TTTGTGTAGCTCTCTTTTCTTACCTAGTAAGGTGTTTATCCACATCAGCCTCAGAATGTTCCTTGGAGATCTATTTAAAAGGAACAGGTTTTGAGTTCATTTTGCAGATTTCATTGTTTTTAATACATTGATAGAGGTGCACTAAATTCTCCCTAAGCCCATGGTAGTTTTCTTTTATCCTTCGGAAGGTATGTATGTGCAAGGGACTTATAGCATGAAACTGACTAAGAAACCTACAGGTGGCTTTCTGCATGTAGGAAACAAGACCACTAATGACCTATTTAGGAATGCTTTTGATAGTAATCCTTTTCTTCTTTTTTAAGAAAAGAGAAATAAAAAAAACTAGTAAGATTGCTCCTAGCTTGTCAGTTTCACTAGAGAGCAAAGTGAAAATTCCCAGCCGGGCAAAAAGCAGCTAAATCTTCTCCTTTCTTCAGCCAGTCAGTGAAAAGCCTTTTCTTGCTGTTCAGAATAAGTACTAAAGATGTGCTGTTTTGAACATCAAGAAAGGGACTTTCACTTGTTTTCATTTTTCTTTTTGTAGAAAGAGCACTTCTTTTGCACAGGTTCACTTGAGATTTTAAGGATAGCAAAGCACACACACAAAAAATAATCAAACCAGGCCTGCACATCTGTCATTGCAATGACCACACCAGGAAATACAAGGTAGAAGCATGTTTATCACTGAATTAATCCCCACTCATATAAACACATCATTATATTATTTAAGATTGAAATATGTTCCAGGCATAGAAGTTCATAACTCTCATATAAATACATCAGTTCTATATTCTAGACATCAGCTATTTTTCTCTCCATTGAAAGGATCAGAGTATTAATAAAAAATAAATAAAAAATCATGCTTGAAAACACAGTATGATTTGGTAATTTTTTTCTTAGCATCCAGTGCACTTGGAAATATTCCAACTCTAAAAAAATATGACAGTTCTGCACCCAGAAGGTAGTTGAAACTATGTCAGCCATATGCTGATTATTTGGTGTTAGAGCTTTTATCAGCTCCTAGACTTTGGGTCAATATACTAGTTTACACTATATATCTGAGTATTTCTAATGGCTTTTTCATGCAAGCTTGCTCTTCTGCTCTTAGCTAAATAGCTGGGGAGGTAACTAGAAAGTATGGAGTGATATTTTGGTGATCTGTAGCAGAGTTTAGAAACTGTGTTATGCAAGACCTGGAGAATCATGCTGTGTCGGGTCCACACCATTTCATATGTAGGTTCTCATCTTTCTGACCAACTGTTTTGTGTCATTGCATCACATAAAGTGGATGGGAGGAAAAATATGATGCATGACTGCAAGTACCACAACCATCTACAGGTGGACCAGGACCAGCAACCTTAATGCTGAAGCTAAGCAGCTCTGATCAATCCCTATGTAGGAAACCTCTTAGTAATCCAGTGTACACTGGAAGGCTAAGTTACACCTACTGTTAGTTATTGAGGCAGAATATCTTTAAATCACAGATGTGGCACAAACCACTTGAAGTTGTTCAAGCAAATGCAGCTCTCCTTACTGTTCTCAAGTTCATTGGCTTTATGATAATTAACCAGGTGACTTTTCTCTTACACAACATACTACAGTTAGATATGTAATTGTTAAAAATGTTCAAATTTCCATATCTGTATGATGGCATCATCATACTTCTACTCAGACATATCTTTTTGTTACCATGGGTTTGATCCTGAGGCTGCCAAGATTATAATTGTATTCCCTGGAATGTGAAGGAGGGAAAGATGAATTAGAGCAGTAATATTTGTTTGTGTGTTTATACAAAAGCTTTCTCATTAAATGTTCATCCACTTCTTTTGCTGCACCACACAATGACAACATAATTATATATTTGGGGCCCTGCCTCTATGTTACTATGGAAATAAATGTGGTGTCTTGAATAACATAAGTATAGCATGTGTAAGAATGATAAATTGGTTCTTGTGGTGAAAACTGATAAATGGGGGAAAGGCTTCAGATTTTGTAGTTAGTCCATTTTGTTAGGTGCAAAGAGCTTTGAGAGCACATTTCTTCAGCATAATATTGGAGAAACTTTCTTACTTATTATTGTTTCAGCAGAACATCACTTTAGTACCTGTTGAGCAGATCTAATGAATCGTAAGACTAGCTGCCACACTTTGATTGAAACGTTGGGGTTTTTCTGCCTCACGCATAACACTAGAAGTCAGGGTCAACCAAAAATATTTAGCTGTCTTTTCCCCTTAAGTGAAGCATATCATAGGCAGAGTCTGGATCTAACCCATTCTCTTAACATGTTGTTTTGGGATAAGATCAAATATCTGGGATAAGATCAAATAACTCAAGTCTTTTTAAAATGTTGCTGCTATTGTAATGGCGATTATTGATTTCTTTCCCGTCCTTCACCTTGAGGTCCCATTGCAACACTCTGTGCTGTTGGAAGGGGAGGATGGCTTTAGTTTAAACTAGATAAATGTTTGCATTAAGGACAGTTATAAACTTTGGAATATCTCTAAAGAAGTACTTTGCATTCATCTAGTAAACTACAGTAGATGAATGCATGTGCAAAATGAGTGATTTTAATTCTGCAGTTATTTTAGCTGATCTGGAGGTGCTCTGTACATTGCATTTGTTTCTCAGAGAAAGCTTTTGATTTCTAGCTCATCTTCCTCTGGTTTACTATATGTATCATATTTATGCAGATAGTACTAACTATCTACACCTTTGTAATGGCCCTTGGTCTTTTACATTTTTTTCTACTGTAGCCCCTTTTCCACTTTCTTCTTGTGCAGGTTGCTTATTTTGAATGATATCCAACATAAGTTTCCTTCCTCTCTGCTCCTGTGCCACTCCAGACCCTCACCCCAACAAATCTGTTCCAGAGTCCCCCAACCCTCTAAAACAGATTTGGCAGGACCATGAGGGGCTGCAGGGAAGAGGGAAGGAAGTACAAATTCTATTGCATGAGCAGAAATCTGTTCCGTTAGGGGTGGGTACAATTACATATCACCCTTTCTCTGTTACATAACAGAGTTTATATAATTCTGCATCCCCTGGCATTTAAACCTCAAGTTTTGAATGAGGTACATAGCATTACTCTTGGCTGAGTAGTGTGGGCTGCAGATTACATCTTTTCCCTAGAATTGCTTGTTGAGTTGTTGATGTCATTCATCTTTACAGCTAGTGCCTGTGATTTAATCCTAACTTATGTATGAAAAATTGCTGAAATATATCAGCAGTCTGGAAACAAAGCAATCTTTTGTCAAGAGTAGACAAGTTCTGAAGTGTGTATATTTGCTGCTGATTTCCTGAAGCAGAATCGTGGCTTTCATCTGCTTTTAAACAACATGAGACATAACTCAAGGAAGCCATTTGTGACACAGAAACAGATTTTGTTTGCCTTGCAAATAATTTATAAGTCTCATAATTCATTTGTGTGGTATCAGTGCTCATTGTTCCATAAAAGATGCAGCTCATGAACCTTTTCTTATTTTAGGAGAGAGATTTCAAGTTTTACAATTTGAATAACAGCAACATCAGATAGGAAGAATATTTCAAAGCAAAAATGTTTCCAGATGGGCATTTTGTCATATATGCAGTACAAGCTTATCAATACAAACATAGACTCAGACTGGGGCAGAACTATAAAATTCTTGCCTGCTTTCCTGAATTTAAATATCCCATCTGTTGTTATTCCAGGTGTTCAGTTTTTTTCCTGCCTACATGACTTAATTGGGCAAACTTGGTACTTGCCTTTTAGTCACCTTTTAATCTGGTCTGTTAACTCAGGTGCTAAGGGAACCTGGCTGCAAATGCAATAACTTAACTTGCACATATTCATTCTTAATTTACAATGCTACCCAGATATTTCCTCTTGAATTGGGGAGTATAGGACAATGAAGATCAGTAGTCTGATGGAGAGCCAATGCCGCCTTCAAATAGAAAACATGGCCCCTTTCACTCTTGATCTCGCAATTGTTTTTGGCATTGCAGGAAATATTCAAGATAAATTGTAGTCAAATGCAGCATTCATATGTAACAATAAATACTGGTTTCCTGCCATATGAAAATTAGCCTAAGCAAGCCTTGGTATCACCCACTCCCCTCCACATGAGGAGGAGATTAGGAAAAAATGCTCTCGTTTTTATATAGCCATAGTTGAGCCTTACACCTGAACCCTAAACTGTGCTTAATTTTAATTATGGTTTGTTGAAACAAGCCAGCTTCATCAGCCAGTGTTTCAGCTGAACTGTAACTATAAGTGATTTTTTAAAGGGTTCTTATCCAGAGTCCGTGTTTTTTTAGATATATATCAAAGTATACATTCATCTTCATGGCCATTGGGTTGCATGTAATCTTGAGGCACATAATCTTGGTTCTTTCTTGTGAAATAATTGTTTTTGGCATTGCAGGAAATATTCAAGAAGTCATTCTTCAGGAACACTTGGAGAAGGAAGATGAAATTCTAGTGTCCTTGGCTGGATTGAAGCAGGTATAGCTTTTGACAAAATGAAGATTCTATGTATAAAAATTTTTGAATGGCACTTCTATAATTTATGTGCTTTTTTCTGAACTTTGCATTATTCAGGATTATAATTGCTGAACTTTAATAGTTTGTTGAGATTTATTATGATAGTGATCAAAAAAAGAGTCTGTGGAACTTACTGAAATAATAATGCTGGTAGACAATTCTTACTTTCAGTTTCTTCTTGTTCTGTGAGCTAAAGAAACAGTAGCCAGAGTAAAAGGCCATAACCTTATCAAGCAACATGGCAACCAAACTCAAATTACCCAAGGCCATTTCAGAGGGAATCTAGCCAGCCCCAATCCAGTCCTCCAAGGCATATCCATGATAGGCCAAACCATTTTAATAATGAATTCCTTCACTAACAGGACCCCCAGGAACCCTGTTGATTCTGTATTCTCTTGTCATCAAAGTTAGAATCATAGAATTGTATAGTTGGAAGGGACCACAAGAGTCATCTAGTCCAACCACCTGCAATGCAGAGATATTTTGCCCAATGTGGGGCTCAAACCCACAACCCCGAGATTAAAAATCTCATGCTTTACTGCCTCAGTTATGACAAGTAAGACTATAAGCAATTGAACCAATGAAATGACCTTAAAACTTCAGGTCAGCAAGAACAATAACCTTAATTTGACCAATTGTGCCCTTTGGAATTCCATAGAAGAGCAAAAATACACAGCCAGCCAAGTTGGCATGTAAAGATTACATTCTAGTGCCCAGTAAAGGGAATTTTTTTAAGCCCATGATGTTCCAACAGGGTGAGTGACTAGATGAAATGTCTGACTCATCTCAGTGTTCCAGTTTTGGTTTGCCTTCAGTTTACCTAGCCTCACCTTGCAAGATCTCACAGTATCTCAAGCATTACTATCATTTCCCAGAAATCTTGCGAGGCCAAGAACTCCAAACCTTGCAAATTTCTAAGGGAATTTGGCAACTTGGTCCCTCCCTGCCCACTTTCTTACCACACTCACTACCACTGAGGGATGAACGGTGGGGGACCTTTTAATGGTGCCCAGTCTTTGTTCTTCATATTCTAATGTCATTGCAGTTGTAAGATCATGCACTATGGGTTCTTTCAGTTAGATTATCAGTTTTAATATATTTCTGTTCTCTCTTGCAATTTTTCAGTACTTTGTGGAATTGTAGACTGGATCCAGAAAGGGCTCAGGTCGATACACTATGGCACGTTTCAATGTTTTAATGGCATCCAGGGGAACTGATGTCCTTTTAAATGCATTTCCTTTATCTCATCATTCTTGCTAGAAGATTCAGTGGCACCCTAATGCTTTTACTCAGAAACACAGTTGTCATTTTTATAAATGTCTTCAACAATTTAGGCAATCAATGCATAAGAAGATTGATTCCGAAGAGGGCCTGGCTTTAAGTGGCAGGTGTTGCAATGCAGCTAAATTACTTTTTCCCCCCCTTGATAAACAGATCAAGGATATTTTGAAAGGTTCCTTACGTTTCAATCAGAGCCAGTTGGAGGCCGAGGAGAATGAACAAATCACAATAGAAGATGATCACTACTGTTCCAACAATCAGACCAAGGAGACAAATGAAGCTGTAGAAGAGCCTTCCGTTGCAAAGGAGCCCCTGCCTCTAATGAAGCAGGTAAAATGCATGCGTTTCAGAAAAGGAAGGTCTGGGGTACTTTTTAAAGCCTTAAAAAAAGCAGACAGGAAAGATAAAGGCCTAATCCAAGCCAAGCAAGCCCCATTGAATTCAAGTCCCAATGGATTGCAGGCTTAGAATTTATTATTATTATTATTATTATTATTATTATTATTATTATTAACAACAACAACAACAACACCAATTAAGTCACTTTCAAAATAAATAAGTAGCAATAGTAGCTTCCAACTCCATTTGAACCTTTTTTCATAAGAATCTGAATTTATCTTTTAAACTTTCTGATGGCCCCCAACATGGCTTTTAGGTGTGACAAGTTCATGGACCATAAGACTATTAATGGCTACTAGTCATGGTGGCTGTATACAGTGGTATCTTGGTTTTCCAACAGAATGCATTCTGAACTGTTCAAAAACCAAAGTGCAGCTTCCGATTGGCTGCAGGAGCATCCTGCAGCCAATCGGAAGCCGCACAGGTTGTTTGGCTTCCGAAAATCGTTCGAAAACCAGAACACTCACCTCCAGGTTTCGATCGTTCAGGAGCTGATTTGTTCAGGAGCCAAGGCATTCAGCTTCCGAGGTACGATTGTACTGCTTTCAGGATCAGAGACAAGCACCGCACTGAAAACCTGCTGCCGACAAGCACAAAATGAGAAAGCAATTGTCTTTGTATCCTGCTTCTGGGGTTGGACTCGATGGGCCTTTAGTCTGATTCAGCAGGGCTATTATGTTCCCCCTGTGGGGCAAATATCTTTGGGATGTCCTATTCTAATCACAATTACTGACTTTCAGATAAAGTGATTTTCTCTGTTGCTTCCCTGTTTTCTTGTATATATGAAGATAAGCTGTGATATGCTAAAAGATGCAGAATCTGACTATAGAAACTAGGGATTTCACAACAGAAGATGAGCATTTTTTGGCATTGTTTGACTCTTCTTACTATCTCTGTCTTCTAGACTATCATTATGCAATAATATTTGACCAGCTACATTGCTGCGCTATGTTTATCGTCAACAGTTTTGAACCACTCTCCTCTTTCAGCTGTTTGGGCTTTTCCTTCAAATCTGTATGGTAGCTTTATCTCTTGTAAACGCTCGTTCAAGTTATGAAGGGAAATAGCTCTATCTGCCTTCCATGTAGCAAGTGGTTGCGTTAGACTTTTCAGTCTTATACATAGGCTGATGGAGTAGACGATCAAGAGTAGACGATCACATACCAGCAATAACATTAATTTATTTTTAATCCACTCTTCATCATAGAGCGATCTCAGGGCAGGGCACAATAATATAAAACTATAAATTAAAATATAAGAGTTTCAACTACGGTGATCAAACAAACAGATAAAATGATAAGATGGAACATTTAGAAAACCCGTAGCGTAGCTGTTTTCTTGAGCAATTCCAATTTATTTCAAGAATTTTACAATGGAAACTCCCAACAGATTGTGCCTGAGATAAAGGAGTCCCTAAATGTTATGGCTGTTTGACATTGGCTTTCCAGCACTATGTATCAGTCAACTCTTTTCACACGTACAGTTTAAAAACCCTTTTTCTGGGTAGTCCTCTTTAAGACGTGTGCAACTTTTTAAGAGAAGGAGATTGTCTATCTCAGTACCTTGGAGAGCCCTAACTCAGGATTCACTTTAATATAGCCTTTTAATTAAAAAGTTAATATGGTGAGCACTTCAGGGATTTCTGCTTAAAAACTGACCAGCGAAGTTGGTGACCAAAGAAAAAAATATAGAATCAGACAAGTTTTACAAAACATAGTATAGTTTACACTATGGAAAAGTAAAAGTTTTTTTAAAAGTTTTTTTAAAAAAAGAATTCTGCCTAATTGGTCAGGTATTAAACATGCCTAAGAGAATAATCCATTCAGTGCAAATAGAAACTTGCAGGATTGGTCATTAGCCTCCCAGCAGTCTTGTCAATACAAGTCAAGCTGGCACTGTGCCCCATCCCACTTCAGTTTTGTCTGTAAATTTGGGATTTGTGGACATAATCTACATTGTTGCCCCTGCAACATAGTCCAATAGTTTTCTCTTCATAGCTCTCCAGCTATGGGATGTTGCTGAACCATTGACGGGGCTGGGATGCAGACTGCAACCCAAAATCATATTAACCAGTGTCATTATTCAGTGGTAAATCTACTCTGAATCTTCAAAGTTTTAGGACCAGGTCAGCTTAGAATATCTGCTTGAACATGAAAAATGTGATTTCAAAATGTTTTGGACTGGATTCATTGCCGTGATGGATCACATGCTCAGAAGCCTATAACTGGTTGGGTGCTACTGAGAATTGCAGTCTGCCTCCAGGATATCTAAGGAAGAAGTTACTGTTTTCCATATGACAGCTTCTGTTTAGAAAACAGGCTATGTCTGCTTACCTGTTGTATGACATTGTGAAAGCCGGTCTACAGTAAGTAACAGGCTCCACTTACATACTGGACTTCCAATGTCAGCATACTTTTATTAGCAGAGAAGAAATTGCACACCATTTAATGTAAATTTTATCTCATAAAATAGCCAATTGATACTTTTCACAGAACAGGAGGTGTGGCTTAATAGGATTTTCTGTTTATGAATATTAGGATAGACGGTTTCTGCATCTTTTTACATTTAAGGCAGATATGATAGCCTTTCTATTACTTACTTTGCAAATAATATCCAATGGGTCTAGGTGTTTACTAAGCAATTACACCTGCTTTTCAGTCTTCTGAAAGCCCTGCTAAACATTTTAGAGACAACATTAGAGCAGAATACTAATGCATAGTATGAAACCCTCATTCCCTCAAATAGATTAAATTAGCCTTTTTGAATTTCATGGAGGTAGGGTTCTATCCAACATGCTGTTGTGCAGATTTACCGTATTTTTCGTCCCATAGGACGCACCTAGTTTTTTGGGGGGGGAAATAAAGGAAAAAAATTTTCCCTTTATTTCCCCCCCAAAACCAGGTCGAGGAACAGCGGGATGGCGGCGCTGCGCCTCCCTGCTGTCCCCCGAGCTTGTGGGGCTGGAGCTGGGGAGAAGCGCGCTTCTCCCCAGCGCCAGCCTCCAAACCAGGTCGAGGAACAGCAGGATGGTGGCGCTGCGCCTCCCTCCCGCAGGGCTCCCCACGCTGCGGATGAGTGCCCGGCGCGAGGGGTGCTCTGCTTCAGGGCGCCCCGCATGCCGGGCAAGAGGCTGCTATCCGCAGCGTGGGGAGCCCTGCGGGAGTTCCTGCAGGGCGCCCCACGCGGCGTATGTCTGCCCAGCGCGCGGGGCGCTCTGCTTTAGGGCGCCCGGCACGCGGGGCGCTCTGCTTTAGGGCGCCCGGCACGCGGGGCGCTCTGCTTCAGGATGTCCCGCGCGCCAGGCAGCAGGCTGCTATCCGCAGCCTAGGGAGCCCTGTGGGAACTCCCGCAGGCTCCCCAGGCTTGCTGATAGCTTCCTGAAGCCTGGAGAGCGAGAGGGTCGGTGCGCACCGACCCCTCTCGCTCTCCAAGCTTCAGCGAAAGCCTGTATTCGCCCCATAGGACGCACACAGATTTCCCCTTCATTTGTGGAGGGGGAAAAGTGCGTCCTATAGGGCGAAAAATACGGTATATAGAGGCCACCATCTTTACAACTAAAGTGGGCAAGTGCTTGTTCAAATAGGTAAAGACAATGAAATTTGACTGGGGCAAGCTGTCAGATGTTTGGGTGGAGTGTGCTCCACTAGAAAGTGACGCTAGAGAGCCCTGAGAAGGGGTGGTGGTTTTGTTGCTTTTTGTGTACTTTCATGGAACAAGTGTAAGAAGGTGAGCATTGCACATAGCTTTGGTGGGGAAGAGGTGGCCCTTTTGAGCATTGCTGCCTGGCCAGTCAGCAAGGTTCTGCCCTATCAACACGGTCACTGATTGGGCCGTTTGAAAGGGCATTTTTGGCAGGAGTCCGCCCCTAGATCCTCAGGCTATGGGGAATTTCCTGCAACGGTCAAGCAGAGGAAATCGAGGCTGGAGTATGAGGGACCGCAAATGTCACCCCACCCGCCCTAGGAAGGCGGTGAGCAGCCATTGCCAAGAATATGTAGCTTCCCATAAGAGCAGGCAAGACACTAGGACCAAAGTATGGTGTTTCAAGCTCATTACTATGAGGGGGGAAAGAGGCCAAATTATATATCTTGCCTGGCCTATCCCAGTAGGAATTCTGCCTGAAATTGGACCCTGGGTATCCTGAATTTAAAAAAAAAAAACACCCTGAGGTGCTAGATAGTTGTTTGTCCTCTTTTTTTTCTTCCTTTTTCCTTCTCTTTGTAGGATTTATAAAGGAACAATCTTACTTTAGACAAAAAGAATGTAGATCGGTTCCAATATATATAACATACAATGCTTACTATGTTCTTTATTTCAAAAAATTAGAGGAAAGGAAAACATGAATACCTCTATTTCATGTCTTCCTTTGTTCTGCTTAGCTTTAACTTTAATCAGAAGCATTTAAAGAAATAAAAGCTTCATAATGAATTTTCAGAAGTTAAAGAAGTGCTATGTTCAATGGCCTATACAAAAAGGACACCAGAGCCAACTTTCAGTTTTAATGAGGCACGGTGTCGTATTGTGGTGTCTTTAGGTCAGGCTGGAAGAATTTTATGAGTGCAGCATAAGCTTTTAAAATATTGCCATGAATTAATTGGAACATTTTAATGCATCAGTATCTGTTCTATCAAAGGCAATAGTTCTAAACTTAGACTAGACTGCAAGTCTTTTTGAGCAGGCATGCTTTGGATTGAGCTTTTTCTGTATTAGCACCAAAATATCTAATTGTATTGCTTTTTCTACCCCTCTGTAGTAGTATGTGTGAGGCAGCTTCAAGGCTGCTACCTCCACTGTATTGCAATTACGTTGTGGCTGCTCACATTTCAGCTTCTTCTTTTTAACCTTCGGCTTATTAATGCATAAAGTTTATTTTGCCATGATTACCTGCACACAATAATTTCCATACAGATGCAACTGTGTTGAAATAGCCAGTAATCCAACGTGTAGATTTAAAATGATCCAGCATTTTTAAGTCCCATAGATTTCAGTGGCAGAGTTAAACAGATGCTTAACTCTCTCCCAATAAGATTAGTGAGGTTGAAAGTTCCAGAGGGGGGGCTAAACAGCCTCTCCTCTTTTTTCTGCTGCCTCAGTCATTATAGACTTTATTAGAGCTAGGACAGTTGAATGCTTGATAGGAAGATTGGGACTTGACCTTTCTCAATAAATCTTTTGGAGATGCCAGTTGTCATCTCATAATAAACAAAAGCAAATGTGTATGTCCGATTGTGATTTGCAGAGAGATAGCTTTACAATAGGGCAGGGGAAAGGGGTGAATTAATTTAGAATTTTACAAAAGGCCAATTACTTATATGATCAACACATTATGTTTTCTTTATACGAGACCAGGGAACGGTCAAAATTCAGAGCCGCTGTAATATTTACAATTAGGGCTGGCAACACGCAAGGAAGAAATTACAGTGGTGCCCCGCAAGACGAATGCCTCGCAAGACGGAAAAACCGCTAGACGAAAGGGTTTTCCGTTTTGAAGTTGCTTCGCAGGACGAATTCCCCTATGGGCTTGCTTCGCAAGACGAAAATATCTTGCGAGTCTTGAGATTTTTTTGTCGCTTCCCCCCCCCCATTATCTAATCTGCTAAGCCTTTAATAGCCTTTAATAGCCTTTTAGCAGCTAATCCCCTAAGCCTTTAAGCCTTTAATAGCCGCTAAACCGCTAATAGCGCTAATAGCGCTAATCCGTCAATGGGCTTGCTTCGCAAGACGAAAAAACCGCTAGACGAAGACTCTCACGGAACGGATTAATTTCGTCTTGCGAGGCACCACTGTAGTTTCAAATGTTTTGCTTGCTGGATTTAAATTTAGAGGGATTTGCATATTCTTTGCATATTGCATCAGTATAGATGTTGAGTAGAGGAAGTTTCAGCAGGATGTTCAGCAGTACAGTTGTCACAAAAGCTACGCCTGGTGGCATTCTCTCCTTTGCAAATTTTGAGGGAGAGGGCTCTGGTGCCTTATAAGGTGGAATGGAAAGGGAGAGTTTGCTTATTCTAAAACTGCTGTTGAAATGAAGGGAAGGACAGCTGATTTATCTCTCTTCCATGATTTGGTTCCAGACACCCCTTCTTTCACTGCTCACTACTTTACCGCTTCCCATCAGCCACACCAATTCTAGTCTTTCATCACCTGCCCTGCAAATGCAGAGAGCCAGTGTGGTGTGGTGGTTAGAGTGTCAGACTAGGACCTGGGAGACCAGGGTTCAAGCCCCACTCAGCCACAAAGCTCACTGGGTGACCTTGGGCCAGTCACTGCCTCTCGACCTTATGTACTCCTCAAGGTTGTTGTGAGCTCCTTGGAGGAAAAAGTAGGATAGAAATGCAATTATTCAATCAATAAAAGATAGCAAAAGTTCATTTTGTGATTCTTACACAGGACATTATTTCTCTTCCTCCCCCCCCCCCATGGATAGCTAAAGGGAGGCACACACATGAACCCATAAAACATGTAGACCTGTTTAAAACATAGTATCAGGAGGGTTTGCTTGCTTTAATGCATGATGGAAATAAGTTTCATCCTACTAGAAGATACTCATCAGGAAAAAATGTTCCAAGAAGCCATATGGCACTGGGTGTAAGGTTGTTAACTTTCAAAGCTACTGGAAGTATAATTCTGTCATATTCCATTTATTCAGTAGCAGCAGCAGATGGGAGAAAACATGCTTCATATCACTATGAGTTTTCCTAAACCGAAACTGGCAGAGGAAGGAGTGGGGAGATATTTCACCTCTGAAAATAGCAGCGTCAGAAAAAAAAAGCTAGCATGTTGCAAAGGATGCTGCAGGGAGATATATCTATATATGGCTTGAGAAACTAATTACATATAAATTTAGAGATTTCGTTTTAAAATGTGTAATGGAGTTATTTTAAGATATATATTTTTGCAATGCTGTAGTTAAGAGTCAAGCCTTATTAACGGTTTGCACTTTGCGAGTCGCCAAGAGCCGCTTCTCGTGTGGCATTTTTTCTGCACAGGGATAATTGAAATGTACAGGATCATTGTAAAGAATGTGCGGTTGCAAATGTGTCAGGAAACCGACAGCACAACTTTGGCGGGAGGGAGAATTGCATATGCTTTGAACGGCTTCGGTCCTGTGCATGCTTATGAGAGGGGACACCTTGACCCTATAAACCCACTCATCCTTTATAATCTGTAGGAGAGACCCTGCTTAAAGAGTTCCCAACTAGGACCCCCTTTATATGTGCCTTTACTGGTGTGTACCTTTACACGGGAACGATGGTGGAGGCAACGGCAGCCACGCCTGTAAAGGTATGTGCTAGCTGTGATGATGGATGCAGTAGGCGTGGTATTTAAAAATGGATTTTCTGACATGCTTGCCTGTTCAAAATTCTTTTGTTTCATAGGCTGTGGGCGATTCGAGTGGAAATTCTGCCAACAGGCACACGGATGACTATATTCTACTTTCCAAAGAGGAGGGAGGGAATGTTTGTCTTGCTCCGGAGCATGTGCAGACTGTGCCAACCTGCAAGGATGTGACCACCAAGAGTGAGGTCTCATGTCACTCTTCTTTAGCCTTTTCTGATCCATTGATGGGGTCCATATCTGCCTCTTCTAGTAACCTCAGTTCCAGCCCTGATGACGACAGCAGCAGCAACAGCAAGGATTCTGATTTCACCATTGTTAGCCCCTTGGAAATTTAAGTCAGCCTGTGAGGTCAGCTGTGTCACATTGGCATGTGCATCCGACACTTCATGGGACTGGGAAACTCATAAAACCAGAGCACAGATGTGGTAAAGGCAGTCCTTTTTCAGCAAGGAAATCAATACAACAATTATGTAATGATTGCCTTTAAAACATGCACACGTGAATCTCAAGATCTAATGTATACTAAAGGTACTCGTAGGTTTACTTTGTTAGCAACTTCTTGGAATATTGAAGTAGTAGCTCATAGTCACTCATCATGTAGAATAACATGAAGTATATAATCTCGTGGGTAGACAGGTGAGCATCTTTTCCAAATGTGGGGAAAGCAAATGAGCACCAGCCTGGATTCTGGCAGATTGATTTGGTCTCAGGAGAGAGTGGGGGTACTCTTCCTCAAAACATGGCAGCTAGAAAATCTGAAAAGTAAAGGTTTCAGAATTGCATCCTGGTTGCATCTCAGGCACTAAGACAATTGGCTGGCCTCCTGAACCATTTCCTGAAAGAAAAATAACATGCTGAATTTACATACAGCAGAAACCACTAACTGCTGTTCCTATCGTGCAAAAATTTCCTCGTAAAGTAATACAAATTAGGTGCACATTAGTTGCTTTGAAACATTTAGACTGTAGTCTCCACTAGATATAAACTTGTCTCCCAATGAATAAATTGTATTGTTGTATATTATAGCCAGGAACATATTTTTATAGCTATTTCAGGACATCCACAATCCCCTCAGGCCCAGGACCAAGGCTCATTGTAGGGTCATAATGCAGCAGTGTTCCTTAGCCATGTAGAAACGGTTCCTTGGCACTCATTTTTTAAATTTAATTTAATATGAGTGCGCATGATTATGTATACATCACTACATGGTTCCCACAAAGGGCAACAAGATTCCTCATGCTTTTTTATACCAAGGATGTCATGTTTCACTCTAGCTCAAATTTCTCTCACAATCTTAAGAGTAGGCTAAACTATTTCCCAAGGCTGATTCTGTCCTTGGGATCAACTGATATGTCAGTGTCCATAACTAGTGCATAGTAAATAATGCTGATGGAGTAGTGGCTATGTTCCTTTCTAGCTTTTAAGAGTATAAGTTCTCAAAGTAGCTCTTCCTCTGAGTCTCACACCCAACATGGCCAATTTCAGAATAACCAGATGGTAACCGCAGAGAAGAGCTACAAATCAGGGAAGCACAGGTCTGAGCGATTTTCCCATGGACCTGCTCCTTTCCCAGTGAAATTCCCCTTAAAATCAGAACAAGCAGCAATCCATGGAAAACCCAATTGCTGTTTTCTCCAGTTTAGCGCTAAAGAGTGGTTTTCCCCAGGAAAAAGCAGCAGGACAATAGGAAGTATGCATAAGCCCAGAGACATATTCTGTTCTCAAAAGGCTTCTTCCTTTCCCAGGCAGCCAGTGCTAAACATTATGTGCAGCATTGCTCTAGATTACACTGACTAATGTCACTAAGCCAGGGGGAGAATTTGGGTTTATTGAGATTAATAGCCCCAAGTGTTTAACCTCTTGGAGATCTTTCACCTTAGCAATACATTGGTGTTGAACAGACTGAATTTCAGAAAGCTTCTGGCTTGCAGGTTGAACACAAGAAAACTCAAAGGATGGGTAGGTATGTGGGTGTCCAGATATGCCCACCCATCCATTTCTGTATGCAAATATGCCATGGCAGGGTTTCTCCAGATCTCATCAAGAGATAGGCAATGGTTCAATGATGTCAACCTCCAGAAAGACCTAATTAGCCCACTAATCTGGTCTCTCTCTTTTTAACTGCATTTGGAAAGGAAACCTCTTAGCCGTGAAATGTGTAACCCATTAGGGAAGGAGTTTTTACTAAGGGTGTTGTGCTTCATTATATATAATTATCTCTAGGACCCTTGGAGGTAACAAACAAACAAAGGTTGCTCATATTAATGCAGCGTATTCCCCCCCCAAAAAAGCCTGTTCTGTAGACAGATGCTGGTGAAAGATATTTTCAAAGATTTATCTCAAAGACACTTTGCTTGTATGCTTTAGTTTTCTTTTCCAGACACACACACAGAGTATAACCACCGTCATGTAATGCAGTTGCATGGTAAGTGATAGGGCATGAAGATGTTAATGGTGATTAATTGCAGTTGTAACTTACATTAAGAATACTTCTACCCCTCCATCTGCAGCATGAGTCATGCTAAACCAAATTGCAACCTGACCCCAAAGCATAAGTGTTACATAACGGATAGTTCTCCTGAGAATATTGCCCCTGTCATTTTGTACAGGGGATTGTGGGGTTGGGAGATGCGAGCAGTGGGAAATTATTGGATCATATTTTGCCCTGAAGTGAATGGAATACGATTTTTGGGTGAGTTTGCTCTCCCAGAAGTCAGTTGAGCTAGCAATACAGTGATACTTTCCCCTAGTTTTGTATCCATGAATGTGACCCAAATTAACAGGTAATAGCTATTGAACAGTGGCAGGTTCACATTTACATATTCAGACACTATCAAGTAATTCTTCACAAGATGATGCCCTTGTGCCTTGTAAAAGTGGGAGTAATACTGAGAGGTGGTTTGAAGAGCTTAATAACAAATACAGTTTGTGAGGTCACATTGCTGTTCTTCTGCATGCAAGACCTAAAACATACTGTGGTTATGCAAGGCTTCTGTGCCAGCTTCAATCTAGCACTCCTTCTCATTTAAACTTACACAGTAAACCACCTTAAGATTCAGCCTTTATGGCCTGTGCAGGCTTTTTTTAAATATAATTTCCTTTGAATTTGTAAGGATAACAAAAAAGGATTACATAGCTTGTGATTAATTTTGATCCTTTAAATGTGACTAACCTTTCTGTTTAGATTTGTTTCTGTTATAAAACAGGGGAAAGTGCCATTTAGAGTAAACAGCTATTTAAAAGTGGGAAACCAAGTAAGAGAGAAACTAGAGTATGGTATATCAGCTTTCATCAAGTGGGGGTGGGGGAGTTCATAGAGGGTTTTGTAATTTTGTTATGATTGACCCTTGCTGTCTACAGATAATTCAGGGATCATATTATTTTTCTTGTCAGAGCTGTCTTAGTGCCATGAAACAATGCAATTTATTTTATTTTTTGCTATTATCTTGCTGGGATTTTTTTAAAAAACACATTTGCTATAATTAGTATAACTTTACTTCCTCAATGCCTGTAATTATCTCTGGTTTCAGAAAACAAACAGTGCTTTATGGAAGGACAGCAATGAAACCTAAGTAACTCCATTAGAGGAGTCAAAATTGGTAACCCTATGACACAGTCTATCTCAATGCTGTACAGTACTGGAATTTGCTTTTTTGATAATTCTGGAAGTGCTTGGTTTTGTATGCATGTCGATCCAGAATGACTACCATAATATTAGGTCATAATAATCCCATATTGCCTTACATTTGGATTCCTAGATGGTACTTTCCACTTTAAAGTACCAGTTTATTATGTCTTCTAAAATTAACCTACTCATCTTGTTCATGGGTATCAGTAATCTAATAGAAAATAATATGCGGTATAAATGGCTGCTTAGTACTAATACGTGGAACTCTAAAATGTTTTTTTTCCAGCCTCTTAGAGTCTCGTCTGATTCTTATCACATCTTCGCCACATGGCTCTTTCAAGTCTGTTGCATGTAATGTCCACATTACTGCAGAATGATTATGACCATATAGTGACTGGATGTTCATTTTTAGCTGTGGAAATTTGTATCTTTCCTCTAGAAGAATGTCTGACGTACTTTATTAAAGAAAGAACTAATATGCAGACGCTTTGCATTTCCCCTTGAGTTTTTCTTGCGAAAGTGACAATTATCCTACATCGTCTCCCTTTAAAAAAAAAAAAAGACAGTTCCTACCCACCTTCTTGGAGTTCAGTCTGCTCAAAAGGTAGGAAAATTAGATTTGATCTAGTACCGTCAAGTTACTGTGTGCCTCATGTCCTCCTGTGAGTCAGCAATTTGTATAAATATGTGTATGCAAAAGAGAAAGTTAAAGGAATGTTCCTGTACACAAAAGACTGGAAAGAGCAATCCGTTCTGGCCCATCTCCATACAAATCTTCATTGCATTGTGTTGAAGAGCAAGAACAGAAGGGCAATCAGCTAGATAGAAAACAAAGACACATTTGGAACAGAAACCTACCGTCTTTGAGTGACAGTAAATAGTGTAAAACTGGGTGACAATGGAACTTCTAGTTTCTCTTCTCCAACCCTTTGCAAGCCCTATCCATTTGTTCCAGGGGATTCCCTGAGCCCTGTAGTGTAGACTTCAGGGATGTGCAAGGGAAGAAAGAAGCAGACTCCCTCTACATTGGATCTCATCCAGTACATCTTAAGATAGAAGTTGTTGAAGCCAGCAGCTGGCAGAGCAACTCAAGTATAGCAGCTTTGCCATTGGGTAGGTACAAAGAAGCACCATTGACCACTCTCTTCCCAATTCAGAGAACTGTAGGGGTGGAAGGGATCATCTAGTCCAACCCCCTGCAATACAGGAATCATAGCTGAAGAATTCTCGACAGATGGTCATCTAACCTCTTGTTCTCCAATGAAGGAGAATCTACCACCTTCCCAGGTAATTGATGTTAAATTATTATTCAAGCTTTACAAACCCGGTTATAAACCTGGTTTCAAATTTTGGTTAACAGAAGAAATATAATTAGTGCAGTGTAAAAGTAATATTACCACCAAGGGCAAAGTACTCTTCGGAAAGAACCTCATGGAACTCAGGGCAGCAGAAAGGAACAAGGGATTTCACAGTACATTCCCAACAACCAGGGTTAGGAGACTGAGGGCAGGCCATCCAGCCTGGCTTCATAAGGGATCATACTGAGTAATGTGTAACACAGATGGTGTGTGCATTTTCTACCCCCTTCTATATACACATCCAAATGAAAAGCATGTTCTAATAATTGTTAAAGACAATCTGTTCCTGGGTGTGATGTCACCACCTGGATCCTCATTACTCTACCTTCTGCTACGGGAAGAACAAGAATCCAAATAAGCCTATTTCAGGAAGATTGGGTCACCGAACTATTTCTCAGGCCTGTTTTCTGAACTGAGCAATCCGTGTAAAGATTTTGCTGCCTCTGTTTATTGGTTTTCCTCTTCCTTCCTCATTCCTTTTTCCTTTCGTGTCTTGCCTTTTTAAAATTGTAAGCTTGGAGGCAGGGACTGTTATTTCCGTTGATCTATTAGCCGCCCTGGGAGTTTCTTCTGCTTGAAAAGGGGCAGATAAATGCTTTGAAGGTATGAATAAATAAAAAATAGACTATTGTTTTCTCAGATTGATTAATGCGGAATACTAGGGCACGGTGCAGAGTCCTTTGTGTTGCACTTTGCAAACCATCTGAGCTCTAAATTAAAGACTTCTCATAGCTTCCTTCTAATATAGGCCTGGTGCGATGCAATAACAACTGTTGGTTTCAGTGCTCCTCTGAAAACAATGGGCTGCTTAAATGGTGGCACAGCCACATTGGTCAGCTTCCTGACTTTTGAATGTCAGAGTTTTTTAAAGACTACTTTTACTGTTCTTCTCTGCGGGGCTCTCAAGTGTATACTTATGACAGTGATTAAACATGAAAGGTGTAATTTCAGAAACCAAACCTGCCTCTGTGCAGGATAGTAATCATCCTGCCTACCACAGTATGCTGTTCTCTGGAGAACAATCATCAGGGCTGTTAACTCTCTCATTGTACTCGCTAGCTAAAATTAGGGCCAAACCACACATTATGCAGGAGATCAATGAATGGATCACCTTTTCTTTCTTCCTTTCTTCCTCCCCCCTCCCTACTAAAATACAGCAATGGTAGCCTGTCTGGGTTTCTTGTGGGGTTTGTGTGTTAGCAACAGCAAGTCAGGGGCAGTTAGCCCTTTGCTCATCTCCTTCAGGGTTCTCCTCTTCAAAATCCCTTGCCTAGGCTCCTGATTTTCTGAGCAAACAGCAACTGGAGGGGTGCTCCTGTCTGGAAAAACAGCAGAGGCGGAAGGAAAAAATTAAACACCTCTTTCCACATCACTGTTCCAAAGAAACCAGCACTGCCCCACTGTGGGTGCACTCCAGTGGCAAAGAAGTTGGGATACCCAGACACAAATCTCCTGTGTAACATGTAGCCTGGCCCTTTGAGGCAAGTGGAAGTCTCTGAGTAGGAAGTGCCTATTGAATTGCGTGTTGCCTACAATAAATTCTAGTGGCACCAACATGTAACATGATAGATGGTCCCAATAACACTTGATCCCTATGCAAGGAGGACAGGGACACCACCTGCTTCAGCTTATCTAGGGCAGTGGCTGAATTAGAAACGCACATGTTCTACTCAGATATGGCAGCCTACTCTGGAATGGCAGTGCCCTGCCAGCAGGTGGCACAGTGGACTGGCACCAGATTCTCACTATTGCTTACACCTCCAAATCACAAGTTGAGTTTTGTGGAAGTTCACTGCTAGTGATTTTGTTACTTGATACCTTAATACCTCCCACACATTGTTGGGTTGTGAAGTACCGTATTTTTCGCTCTATAGGACGCACTTTTTCCCCTCCAAAAATGAAGGGGAAATGTGTGTGCGTCCTATGGAGCAAATGCAGGCTTCAGGAAGCTATCCGCAAGCCTGCGGAGCCCGGCGGGAACTCTATGACTCTTATGACCACTAGGCCTGATAGTGATTTCTTGGAGGAATCTGCCTTATACCAGGTAAGGCCATCAGTCTCACCCACTATTGTCAACCCTGACTAGCAGCAGCTTTCCAGGCCCCACTTTCCCCAAACCTAGTAAACTCTTGCCCACCTTTTGAGAAGGAGGTGGGACAGCTCTAGGACTCCCAGTGCCCTCATGCTTCTTCCCAAAGCCCAGCACCTCACTTACCCAACTTTGGGATGGCAGTGCAAGGGCTGGTGTGTTGGTGTCAAATTTAGGCTTCACTCGCAGGCACCTGCACACCACAAGGCGGTGTGTGGCCCATGGGTTCCACACTAGTAGCCCACTTGGTATGAAAAGCTGGACCACCCTGCTTTGGGCCATGTCCAGAAAGACACGAGAGAACGGAAGGTGGCAGGTGTGCCTGGATCACTGGTGTTCGATTTAACTGAGTGCCAGGCTCTTGAACCCCTTTAGATGTGTAAAGGGGGTGGGGAGAGAGAAAAGGGTGTCTGGTGTTCCTAACTTTAGCCCTGTTTCCTGCTTTGCATCAGTCACTATTGCATGCCTCTGGTACTCGTTTGGGGGATCCCCAGGCTTGGATTCAGACCCTGAATTCCAGTCTTAGCAATGCCACCGACTATGACCGAGCTATGATCCTCCCCATCATAAACAATCTGCTCAGTTGTTGGTAATACTGTTACATCAAGCCCAAATCCACATGCAGACATTCAGAATAGTGTGAGCACTTCCCATACCCTTTTGCTGGGCAAGAAGGAGGGCTGTTTTCACAACAGATAAATGATGGGCCAGGAAATTAATTTTCTCCCACTTCCTGTAGTACTGCCAATCAGTCTCTTTTCTTTTGAGTTTTGTCTGACAACCATCCCCAAGGCTCCCATGAGCTCTTCGTATCATCTTTGCATACCATGTGGCAGATTTATTGTATTGCAAATCTTGGCAAAACGCATGGGTAGAGAGTTAATAATGCCAGCATGACAGCAAACACGTTGGGTGCATTTTGCTGTAGCTGTAAATTTAATTTGCATGTGCGTCCAGACTTGGCGCCTTTGTTATCTGATAGAGTTAGGCTCTGTTGTGGATAACATCATTATTGAGAAATCAGTTCAGTTTATAAGTGGAACACACCGCAAAGTTTCAGCTGATGACAAGGTTCCTTGGGCTTGCAAATTGAATCAGGCCACTCTTGAGAGGAAGAAAAAATATCCAGAAATGGCTTAAAAACCAAATTATTTTCATCCACATGCAACAAATGTATGAAATTATGGAGAAAAACCAAGAGATGTCTTTGAAAGTATTTAAAATAAGGGAGGAAAGTGAGAGCAAGTTTGCTGTAGGAGTATCAGACTAGGACCTGGGAGACCTGGGTTCAAATCCCCACTCGGCCATGAAGCTCACTGGGTGATTTTGGGCTCTTCACTACCTCGCAACCTAACCTACCTCAGAGGGTTGTTGTAAGGATCAAAAGAGGAAAGAGAGAACCATGGAAGCCACTAAACCTATTGGAGATAATTGTGGGATATATATGTGTGTGGGTAGACTGAGCTTCAGGAGAGGAGAGTGTTCTGCTTAAAGACATTGCTGATGTTTCAGTTTACTGTTTGTGTAGCCTTGAACGGTTCTGTGTTGCATGTGACCTGCTCAATGGATCTGCTTGCTAAGAAGCAAATACATTGCCTTAGCTTACCCCAAGCATCAGGCCATTTGCTTGATTTCATTATCTTCTTGGAGCAGCCAATGTTTGGTGTACCAAAGTCTTGACAGTTTAGCGCCTCCCAAATTGCCCATGAGAGAATGAGCTGTTTACACTCCCCTGAACAAATTTGTTTTCATCATGATCAGGGCTAATTCCTCAGCATGCCCAAAGCAAAGCAGTCCATGACTCAAGCAGAGCTATTGACCCATGCTGAGCTGGTGGTTTCTCATTTATTTTGAGACTCTACTACAAGAGAACTGAAATTGGCCACGTCCCTAGTCTGACCTTACTCATGCATGGCTTGCAAGTATGTACATTTGCCCCTTTCACCCACCATTTACCTCTTTTTTTCATGTCTTCTGGAAAGATTAGGAGTGATACATGGTGTTCCCGGAAGGCCATATTTGATCTTGGATTCCTGCTATGAAGATTAGGAAGCAGCTTAAACTGAGACAAAACAATTGATGGTTTCTAAAAACAGCCAGCTTGGAAGTCAGCCCAAGAGAGCCCTACCTGCTGAGCTCAGATGTGGATGCCTGCATTAACGGTTATTAAGGACATTTTGAAATTTAAGTTCCCATTATTTGAAGGTTAAGGCTTACTGTAAACATTTATTTTGAGCTGGGCCCGCTCAGAAAAAGCTCTGCTCATAGGAACTTGGGTTGACACCCTTGGTTTCATACTGAAGCCTGTTAAGCACATTTCTATGCAACAGGCACAAATAATCTAAAGTTAAACTTCATCCCCACCATCACTACTGCTGGGCAAAATGTGGTCAGTTGTATTTTCCATGCCATCCAATTAAGGTAGATGGCACTTCAGATACAACTGTGTTCAGCAGCTGAACCACCAGAAGAAACTGAGTGCTATATAGATTTGACTCCTCCTACATGAACTTGCCTGTCTTTCAATCATGGTTGTCACCGGGGGCTCTGTTCTGTGTCCTGTAATCGGTAGGGACCTGGGGCAGAGCCTTATCAGTAGGAGCACGCCAACTGCACAAAAAGGAAATTAGATTGACCCCTTTTTGTTGCATATCAAGGGGGTGATAAATATATTTTTGTTCCCCAAGGCTTTTATATGCATTGCAATTTTACGCTTTCTCTGTATGTCTTGAGCATCTCTTCTTTCTTTTTCTTTTTAGGTATTGGTGTGGTTTTCTTTTTTACCCATTAACGTTTTTATCACGTATTCAAGAAGTATTGTTACAGTTGCATAGTTACAGACACAGCTGTGAACCATTGTATTCAATCACTGTAATAAAAGAATGAAACCTGTGGGGCTCTTTTAAAGCCCAAATGAGAAATGGAAATGTTTTATACCTACTCAATCAATCAATAAAGCTTGCTTTCTTAAAGCAATGCAATGAGAACTGCAACAAAAAAAAATGTTGCAGCATGGACTGCTCCTGTTTGGAATGTCAGCTAGGTACCCTTTCCCAGGATATTCCATTCCTCCTCTCCCCCTGCTCACCCACCCAGTAGTCAGCGTTTCATGGCTACTGATCCCACCCAGTTTTCAATGAGCAGGGATGGAGAGGAGGAAATGCCACATAGAATTTATTTCTAAAGATCATTGTGTTTCTGCAAGCCTTCGTGTGTGTGCATGGGTGGCCCATGTTGACTCCATACTCAAAATCTTGAGTTTGCTATTGGTATATAGGATTAATTTTCTGGGTATGTCTGTTCCACTTAGGGAGCTCTCCTAACTCCTGCTCTGGAATGGCAGGGTGGGTGGGTGTGGATTTGGCAAATATGTCTTTCTCCCCACAGTACCCCCGCCCCAAGCTCATTCAGCTCCACAGAAGCATCTGCTGTGCCCACTGAAGGTGTGGGTGCCTTGGGAGCTGGTGGTGTTGGTGTTTCTGCTGGCAGTAGCAAAATGGTGTGGAGTGGAGCAAATCTGTTGCAGGATCTGCTGGATCCTAGGCTGGCCCAGACCATGCCTCTGCTATGCTTCCTTGGAGGAGTTAGAGGAAAAACACCACCCTTCTCTGCCACTGATCATCCCCAAGTTAGGATTGCTCTGCCCAGCATCTTTTTAAATCTCTCTCTCCCCCCTTAATTTAGCTCAATCACAGTTGTGTATTAAATTTTCTATTCTTCCTTGTCTCTTTTTTGGCTGGTGGTTCTCGGTTTTTTTGCAAAACGGCGACAGACGAGGCATAATAATGAATTAGTACCTTGACACAAATCGCAGACTTTCAGCCCTGAAAAGAAACATTCACATGTTGTCCTGACCTCAGTCAGACTACAAATATAGCCAGAATTGCTGGTTACCAAGGCAGTTAAATCTTTAGTTAATGAAAACAAACAGAGGTAGTAATAAGCATGCTGGCACTCAGAATTGTTCGGAGTATTTATAAATGACACTTGCTGTTTAGTGGCAGGCATAATCGGGGTAATTATCAAGAGCCTTTGCAGAACTCGGAATGAAAAGTTCTTCTGTTTGAGGAACAAATGCAAGTCAAGCCCTCGTTTCTTCCTGGGCCATAAACATTCAAAGCAGAAAATAGCTGTCATTGCTGCAAAGGCTTGTCCAGACAGCAGCTTCTCCTGTAGTTTGTTGGGTGCTGTAGCTCCCTTGGGCAAGTGTCCTGGGAGGGTCCCACTGGTGCTGATGCCAATACCTGTTTGGCCATTCTGCCAGCCAATTCCCTGCCCATTGGCTTAACTGGCCGTAGCAGCAATAGCAACTGGGTCTGATTACATTTCCCTACATGTCTTCAGGTGCCTGATGTAAACCAAGTGAATCTTGCCAAACCCTAAGGATTATCCACTTGTGATGCAGTGCTGGGCTTTTTCTCTGGTGGCGCCAGTGCTGTGAAATTTACTGTCTCTGAAATAAAACAGTGTTATTATTCTACTGGCTTTTAAAGATATTGTACACCTGTTTGCTTTAGCATTCACTTCATCTCTTTAGTCTTCTGAGTTGTTTTGATGAAATTGTGTTATTGCCTATTTTAACTATGGTGATTTATATAGAATCATAGACATGGAGCTGGAATGGACCACAAGAGTCATCTAGTCCCAAATTCCTGCAATGCAGGCATATTTTGCCAAATGTGGGACTTGAACCCACAACCCTGAGATTAAGAATCCCATACTCTACCAACTGAGCTGTCCCAGCTGTAATTTTTATATTTTGATTGGATTTTTATCGTGCATTTCAATTATGGGTGTTTATATTTTAATGCCTGCACAATTGGTTTTTATATTTGCAAACTGCTTGGATGCTTATCCTGGTATTAAGTGGTATATAAATAAATACATAAGACAGTAACGGCAATCGGTAATGGTGTCAGGTAAGCTTCCCCTGTTTAGGGAAGTTTTTAATGTCTGGTGTTTTATTGCTTTTTTATTGTTATTATTATCATTAATTCTGTTGGGAGCCACCCAGAGTGCCTGGGGAAACTCAGCTAGATGGGTGGGGTATAAATAATAAGTTGTTGTTGTTGTTGTTGTTGTTGTTGTTGTTACACAAAGGGCAGGCCGTAGCAGGGCTGCAATTTTAGCCCCAGCCCCATTGTCTGGGTTTCTTTGCCCAAATACAATGGCTAAAGCACCAGCCCCTCCTTGCACGTGGGGGTTGTGTGCCATTGGCACACTCACACAACCAACTGCTCTAATTGGGCAGCACCCCCTACATGTGAGGAGGTGCAAGCACCTTGGCTTGGCTTGGCTTTTGCATGCAGACAACCACATGCAGTTGCTATGAGAAGAAGATCCGTTGTTGGGACAGGGTGAAAAGAGTGGCTCCTCTCCAGTCTGCATCCAGGTATGCTCTACATGGAAATAACAAGTGTGTGTGGCTTTAGTTTTTGTGTAATTCTCTCCTTTCTTGAGTGATGCACAAAGGGTGGAGAAAAGAGCTCCAAAAATGGGCCAAGCAGGAAAAAAGGAGGGAGGGGTTATTCAGGGGCTCACTAGTACAAGAAATTTTTTACTCTCGAGAGCTTGAAAAACCTGAGAACTCTACAAACCTAGCCAACTGCAGAAACAGCTTGGAATAATATCGGCGCAAAACAGATTTCTCTTTCTCTGCATCTAAGGTGGGCCTTTGCAATGACCCTTCTGGGCTGCGTTGTTTAGACTCCCCTTGCTAGTCCCTGGTTTGCCAATTGGAGAAGCAGGGATCTCTCTCAGTGTGAATAGCAGATGTCAGATATGCTGAATCTGGTTAATTAATGCATTTTTGCCTTTTGAGTCATACTGTACAAATATGTTTTGTTTACCCCGTTTTCTCAGTGCTACCATATATGCTGCATAGATTACTCATATGGTGAGAGCATCTGGGGCTCTGTGTTGTGTGGTACAGGGAACGGGAATGAACCCGGACTCTCTGCCTCCCTTAACAAACAACTGATGCTGATAAAGCCTTGCTGTTTCAGCTGTCCATCTACATTGGTCCATGTAGCTCAGTATTGTCCACACTGATTGACAGCAGCTCTCCAGGTTTTTTAGGCAGGGTTCGCTCCCCCCATCCTACCTGGAGATACCAGAGATCAAACCTGTGACCTCTGCCACTGAGCTGTGTGGCCCTTCCCATGGCTGCCTTGCTACCAAACATGCTTTTTTTTCTGGATCAGGACTTGTGTGAACAGTCACAGATACTCACAAACCATAATCAATGTTTTCTTTTGTACAGGCATTTCCACATCCTGAAGAAGGTGAACTTCCTTTAAGGAATCCGTAGGGAATTTCTCAACTTCTGTAAGGGCCAAAATAGCACAAAACCTTTGGAGAACTCTGAGGCTTACAAAAAATAAATAAATCCTCGCAGTGTTCTGCATCATTGTTTGTATTTGCCTGTCAAACAAGTGCTTGCTTCTTTCTATTTTCTTAGCTAAAACCGGACACAAGTGTAGAAAATGTGAATGATGGTGGGGATGGAAGGTTCACGCTTTAAGAAGAAAGAGACAGTGAGAGACATGAATATTATTAAGATGCTGTTAGGGCTAAATGCAGTGAAATGTACTTCACAGTCACCTGGTTCACAGGCTCAAGAAAAGAGTCTAGCTAAAGGAAAACAGAAAGAAATGGTTGCAGGGTGAACTGAAATAACCTGAAGATATCAAAACAAGTAGGTATCTTTACTGCTGTTTTTATCTTGACAATGTTGATTCTACTTATCTGCCTGTCCCCAGCCTGTTCCGCCCCTGCCCATTTTTTAATTCTTTGAAATTCCAACTATATTCATTTCCCCAATTACTTACATACTGTATTATGCTTTCATTCCTGTTAGGTCCCCAGAGCACCACGTAGCAGCTGGGAGAATCCCAAAACAGCAGTGGGCAATTTCTTAAAATATTGCATTGAAACAGGATTAACTTGCCATCTGAACTCAGTTGATGAGGTAGATAGATCTTCTGAAGCAATGAATTCCATAACTTGATCCCTGTTGATGAGATGATCTGGTCCTGCATCCTTGTTCTCACATCTCACAGGGTGGAGGAATAAATAACTAAACATCTCCTAGTCCTACAGGGCTTTGAAGGTAAGGGTCAGCATCTTGAATTTCACCAGCAAACAAATTCAGAACCAATGTCACTTACCGTATCTAATATCAGTGTTTTGTAATATGGCTGAATAAACTGGCTTACCATCAGCAGCCTCACCAATGCATATTGCACCAATTGACATTTCCAGACATTTTCAAGGACGACCCCAGGTAGTGTTCTAAGTTTTTGGCGGGGGAGTAGGCTGTATGCTGAGACCCTTCTAATTCCTGGCTAGCTTCCTGATAAAGCAATACAGTGGTACCTCGGGTTACAGATGCTTCAGGTTACAGACGCTTCAGGTTACAGACTCCGCTAACCCAGAAATAGTACCTCAGGTTAAGAACTTTCCTTCAGGATGAGAACAGAAATCATGCGGCGGCAGTGGGAGGCCCATTTGCTAAAGTGGTGCTTCAGGTTAAGAATGGTTTCAGGTTAAGAACGGGCCTCCGGAACGAATTGAGTTCTTAACCCAAGGTATCACTGTGGGCCATTAAGGAAACAAAGGGAGCAGTTCTGTGCTAGGCCCCAAGAGGACCTTGCTTCCCCCATAGCTGCTGCCTTGGACTCAAGCAGAACTCAGGCATGCCTCTGATTCTCTGGCTTCCTAGCCTGTTGCTTTGCTGCCAGCTTCAGGCTCACATAACTCAACTGTAGCCTTTGTCTTTATGTTTAAGGAAGCTTTTAATATTTGATGAATTATTGTATTTAATATTTTCTTGGAAGCCGCCCAGAGTGCCTGGGGAAACCCAGTCAGATGGGTGGGGTATAAATATATTATTATTATTATTATTATTATTATTATTATTATACCTCGGTTTAAGAATGATTTGGTTTACAAACTCTGCAAAACCAGAAATAGTGTCTTGGTTTGAGAACTTTGCCTCGGAATCCGAATGGTGGAAGGGCACCAGCGGTGGGAGGCCTCATTAGGGAAAGCGCGCCTCGGTTTAAGAACGGAATTCCGGAACAGATTAAGTTCGTAAACCGAGGTACCACTGTATTATTATTATAAGCACCAGCCAGCTGAGGAAGGGGGACCTACCCATTTCCCATCAAGCATAGAGCTGTTCCCTTTGTTTCCTTAGGGGTGGCGTGCAACACTATGACAGTACAGTGGTACCTCGGGTTACATACGCTTCAGGTTACATATACTTCAGGTTACAGACTCCGCTAACCCAGAAATAGTTCTTCAGGTTAAGAACTTTGCTTCAGGATGAGAACAGAAATCGTGCTCCGGCGGCGTGGCAGCAGCAGGAGGCCCCATTAGCTAAAGCGGTGCTTCAGGTTAAGAACAGTTTCAGGTTAAGAACAGACCTCCGAAACTAATTAAGTACTTAACCCGAGGTACCACTGTATTTTAATCTGGATGTGTCCAGGGTGCTGGGTAACTGGCAAAATTAATACAGTCCTACCTCAGAAGTCAAACACCTTGCGAGACGAATGTTTTGGCTCCCGAACAGAAGTGTTCCGGTTTGCGAATGTTCTTTGGAACCCCGGATGTCCGACGCGGGTTCCAGTTGGCTGCAGGACCTTCCTGCAGCCAATCGGAAGCTGCACCTTGATTTCTGAACGTTTTGGAAGTTGAACGGACTTCTGGAACAGATTCTGTTCAACTTCTGAGGTATGACTGTATTCCCAAGTACAGGCTGGAGCTGGCACAGCAGCTGAGGCTGGAAGCAGGCTTTCACTTCTGGTTCAAACTTGGCGTGGAAGAGCCACGCTTCAGCAGTATTAATAGGAGTCCAGTTTTGAAAGGAACAATGTGAGGCGGCACCTCATTTGCATCCCTAGGGGAACATGCGCATAGGATTTCAAGCCTATAGATGGCAGTTTTCATTCACTATTACTATCTCCCCTATAACCAAATTCTGGAAGCCGTTCAAACACCCAAGCATGGAAATACACATTTACACATGCTGTCTCAATCTGATAGCTTCCTTTCATGCCTACAGGAGCACCTATTTCAAACTGGCTGGTGTTTTGTCCAGGGACCACGATAATAGGCCGAGCTGCCATTGTGTCCTTGTTTGATCACATCATTACCACCCTACAAAAGAAGAAAACATTTTTCCCCGGTGCTCCAGCCTTTGTTGTCTGCTGAAAATGCCTCCGTAGGAGATATTGCCATGGGGTGTTTTACACAGACCGTTTGTTAGAGAAAATAGAGGAGGATGTTCCTTTGCAGATTCCGACAAGCACAATCCAGCATTTAAGAACCGCATTTGTTCCTCCGCGAGTCTCTCGTACAAGTGAGATACTTTTTTCCCTCCTCTTTAAAAGAACCACCATGATATTAATTAATTTGGACAGAAAATCCTCAGTAGAACAGGTGGAGTCTTTTAGCCATTTGTATATTAGCACTCCTAAGTGAGGAATGTTCCTTTCATGTCTGCTCTTTTTAAAGAAACCAAGTCTTCGTCATGCACTTCTGCGACAAGACATAGGAATTCACGCAGAGCCCTGCTGGATCAGACCAAAGGTCCTCCTGCTCCAACATCCTTTTCCCTACAGTGGCTGGTCATATGCCTCTGGGAAGCTCAGAATTAGGACACAAAGGCAGCAGCCTTCTCCGGCGGTTGCTCCCCAGAGTCTGGCATTCAGTGAAATGAGTGCGCATAAGGTTGCGCATTGCCTTTATGAAGAGTAGGCATTACTCTCCATGAGTCTATCTAATTCCCTTTTAAAGCCATCTAAGCAAGTAGTCATGACTAAGCCCATGTAAGAAACGCCATAAACGAATTAGACAGATTTCCCAGAGGTAACAAGTTAATTCTGAACAAAGCCACATGAGCAATAAAAGAGTCTTCTCTAGACTCTAGACTTTCCCCCCCTGAAAAGGAGCCTGCGTATTATTGCGAGCTACTTGTGGCCTTGCTCATTGGCTTGGCCTCTAACAATAAATTTAATTGGCAATCGTGGTAAGTTAGGAATGGAAGGTGGTGCCTAGTGGCCAAGGTAAGGGCTGAGGCCCGTGTTCTGTCCAGGTGTATTCATGGCAAGTGAGGGAAATAGGGGTGGGTTTGGGGCTTGCCATAAAAGTCACAGCATACCCTTTTGCTGCTGGTTAGAGAAAAATCAGGTTTGCAGAGGGAGGAAGAAGGTCCAAGCCTAATATAGCCGGTGTGGGTACCTGCTTGCTCACCTTTGCTCAACCTATATATGGGTAAAAAAAATCCAACGACCCTGAACCAGTGCTGACGAGAAGCATGCCATCTGTAAAAAGCCTTGGACCCGGGTGGAGACAAACATCACCATCAAATGAGTGCAATTGATCATGGCATCATAGAGCTGGAAGGGACCCCGAGGGTAATCTAGTCCAACCCCCTGCAGTGCAGGAATGATGCCCCCAGCCACCATTGGGTGGACTCAAACCACCAACCTTCTGGTTAACAGCCAGATGCACCGACTCACTGCGCCACCTTTCTACAAGGTGTGCATCTTCCTGTGCATCACCCGATATGTGCTGAAACCTGGCTCCCTTGCTGGATTAGAAGAGCTTCCCCTATTCTTCACAAGGGGATTCAATTCTCAGAGTAGTTTAATAATCCTCCTTCCCAGGGAACTCCAAGAATTGCAATTTTGTGAGCTGCATTAGGAGTCTCCTAACAACTCTCAGCACCATTAACAAACTACAGTTCCCAAAATCCTTTGGGAAAGTAATAACTGCAAAATGACATGAGAGTGCTTTGAATGGGTAGTGTAGACGTGACCTAAGTGTCCTGTATTCCATGGATTCTGCGAAAGGCTGCACTGACCCTTCATACCACAAGGGGAAGCAAAGAGAGTTTACTATTGCATGGATTGCAGAGGTATAAAGTTACACTCAAGTCCTAGAGGTGGTGTTTGTTTGTTTTAGCATAGCGTTTTTTTCAAGAGTGGCTTTCTGGGAGGAAACGTGGGGCAGCTGTAGTTAGAATAGGTCCTAAACTGGCTATTAGGAAAAGTTGAGGACGGTGGATGAGGCCAAACCATAGGAGACTATGATGGTGGAGGTGCAGATTAGGAACAAAGTTTACCCCTTTTGTTAGGATAATTTAGACACTGCATGAAGTGGGACTCGGACTCCTAGGCCAGGCTATGGCCAAATGGGAAAAACGGGTAGAGAGGGAGAGTCTGCTTAACCCTTTCCTCTCCTGTACTTTTTTTTTAGCACCAAATTGCCCTCAGGCTGCTTTTTGAACTGTGAGCAGGGAGGGAAAGGCAGGGTCCCCAGATATGCTTGACTCCAGTTGTCTTTTGGAGGGAGTGTGGAATGCAGGGGAAATAATGTACTCTATAGCAAGAATCTTAGAGCGGCTCTCCTGGGACAAGAGAGAAGGAATGTAAGCAGCTCCCTTTTGAAGACTGGCTTTCCGCTCCCGTTTCTCCAGCAGCATTAATGTTGTGCCTCTAACATTAAGAACATGAGCTTTTGTTTGCTGTTAGTCCATCAGCAGGACACCAAAAAGAAAGCAGGAAGCTGAAGTCTATAAATATTATCACTTAATTATATGGGGTTTGTATCGATGAGTCTTCACCGCAGGCACCATAACAAACAAAGGGTTTCCTCTTATTGTAACCATGTGATTTTATTATTTACTGAGAAAAGATAAGAGCTGCTAACTGGAAAGCAGAAGCACTCCTCTCTGATGCAACTATTTCACTCTCCCATTGCCTTGAGTTGCAAGGGCAGCCTTCCTAGAGTTTTTTCCAGCAATGTAGCAATTCCAGTGTGAGAGCCAGTGTGGTGTAGTGGTTAAGAGCGGTAGACTTGTAATCTGGGGAACCGGGTTCGCTTCCCCACTCCTCCACATGCAGCTGCTGGGTGACCTTGGGCTAGTCACACTTCTCTGAAGTCTCTCAGCCCCACTCACCTCACAGAGTGTTTGTTGTGGGGGAGGAAGGGAAAGGAGGTTGTTAGCCTCTTTGAGACTCCTTAAGGCGAGTAAAAGGCCGGATATCAAGTCCAAACTCCTCCTCCTCCTCCTCCTCCAGTGGAGGCTCTCACATGGACTCTGGGAAGCTCTTGCAAGTTCTCATGAGAGCCTCCCAGAGCTCAAAAGCTATTTTTGTGCAAGGTTTTCCCAGCATGGAAATAGCTTTTCAGCTCTCCACCGTCATTGCATTTAATTTTGCAATTTCAATTGGCCAGTCACCAAGTATGTCAAGTTGAAATTGTACAAGTTTAAAGGCATGTAAGGTGTGAGTGATCTGTAATCTGTTTACAAATGTGCAGGTTGAACAGGTGCTAAATGGGCTTCCAAAGCTAGCATAATGTAGGAATCTAAATCTAAAGATGCTTGTTGTAGCTTATAAAGCCCATGTGACCAGGCTGCTTGAAAGATCTCCTCTTTTGACAATCTGCTCATCCTTTAAGAACGGATGTTCTGACCCTCTCGCATGTGTCATTTGTAGGGGAAACCTACTGTGAAAGACACTTGTATTTCAAGGAGATAGGTTAATTGGTCTGTAAGATTCTTCCTCCCTGCTTAGTAGCACCTTGGCAAGTGGAAAAGGTTTGGGGTTTGCTTCATTGTTTGCTTTCACCCAGGCCTAAGTAGCAGCAGGATGTGGGAAGACCTGCTGGTGGGCCAGGTGTAGGCTGAGTACTGCAGGAGTGCAGCTGCAGAGTTGATTAACTGTGCTGCTCCCTGTAGATTGGCCTAGTTTGACAGGTGGGTTGAATTTGGGTATTAGGCCAGTAAGCCACCAAGAGTCTAGAAGAGCAGAGCTTTTTCCAGTTCCAGCACCTCTCCAGTGCTCACCAGTGCCATTCTAAGAGAAAGAGGGAGGCGTTCATGGTGAGTCCTGACACCTCTTTTTAGAAAAATAGCACTGTGGAAGAGTATATAAGTTTATCAGGTGGGGTCTGACCCCTGGAGGTTCATTGTAGGCCCTGACATAGCTCAGCTGGTAGAGCATGGGCAGGCAAACTAAGGCCCGGGGGCTGGATCCGGCCCAATCGCCTTCTAAATCCAGGAATCAGCGTGTTTTTACATGAGTAGAATGTGTGCTTTTATTTAAAATGCATTTCTGGGTTATTTGTGGGGCATAGGAATTCGTTCATTATTTTTTTCAAAATATAGTCCGGCCCCCCACAAGGTCTGAGGTACAGTGGACTAGCCCCCTGCTGAAAAAGTTTTCTGACCCCTGTGGTAGAGGATGAGGCTCTTAATCTCTTTTTTTTTTTAAAGCAATTTATTGGGTTTTACAATAAAGATAAACATAATAAACAATATAACATTTGTCTTAACATAGTTTCACATTTTCTTTGGACTTCCTCACATCCCCCGCTCCCACTTTCATCGTTATAACATTTTGTCAGCAATTTATCATCTTATTTAAATTCTTATATCTCTTCAATGTTTCATAATCTTATAGTTCTCATAAAGAGTTAAACTTTCACAGTCTTACTTGTTTTCTTAAAAACTTCTAAGTTAAGTGGTGCTCAGTTATTTGAGGCTCTTAATCTCAAGGTTATGGGTTCAAGTCCCATGTTGGGTGAAAGATTCCTGCATTGCAGGGGGTTGGACTGGAAAGGATCCTCGCGGTCCTTCCAGCTCTGATTCTCTGAAAGGGTGCAACAAACAGGCCAGCTGGAATCTTCCTGTTACTGATCACTGGAGCTCAGGATAACTGAACGGGGAAGTGTTTTATCTTGTTCATGCTATGTTAGTTTGCATGAAGTCTGTTTTGCTGTTTTTTGTTGTGCTGTGTTTAAGCCTGCTATTTAATGAAAGAAATGTGATGTCCCTGAATAATAAATTTTACAAAAGCTGTTGCATTTGGCAAAAACATCATTGCACCCTGTATGTGTGCAATGTTGGGTTATCTTCCTCTTTGTTTGAAAACTTTCCTTTTCCCCATACGCATTTGATTCTGTTCCTGTTTAATGCATCTACTGTATGGTGCTGCTGTTTGTGGTTTTGCTGCTCCTTTTAGTTAGTTAATTTGTGTTTTAATGGTTGGGTTATTTTTGCTTTTATATTTGTAAGCCTTTTTGAGCAACTTCTTGGTGGATGGGGGAAGTGGGGCATATACCCATTAACCAAAAATAGCCAAATTCATATTTAACTATCATCCTGCATATCTTCATAATGTCGTGCTTTCTTCTTCTTGTTTCTGGAAATAATACAAGGTGATGCAGCATTATTAAAACAAGCATGGGGGGGAATAAGTAGCTTTTAATTGTATATTTTATGAAACAAGGGAGATTTAGTACACACATCGAATTGATTGTTTCAATTTTACATAGCAATAGAAATGATTAAAAAAAACCATCTATACAGATCAGAGAAATGTTTTCAGGGAAGGAGGAAGAGATAGCAAACTGGCAGATGCTAAATGTTAATCTTTCATCCAGTCTAGGAAATTGTAGGAAAGTAATAGAATACCTGGAAATGTTGTGCCATATGGAAGAAGTTGGAGGCAGGAGGAGACTGACCTGATCTTTCAGTGATATTTATGATAAAAATAAAATGTATTGGGAAGACCTAGACATATGCAATTAAAATGAATAAGAAATGAAATGAATGCAATTCAGGTGAATTTTTAAAATGAAAATGAATTGAGAAATTAAAACAAAAATTTGCACACTTTTTAGTAAAGAATTTTAGCCTCTTGCAACTTGAACAAACAATACCTAATTGACGCAAACTCTACTGTGTTATTGAAATTAAAGGGTTTAGTTTGTTCATATTTCCTGGCATACCGATTTAACTGTGTTCTTTTGGGATTTATTTATGTTTAAGTGGGTTGTAATTGTGCTGTGCTTTGTGATGCCTTCTGAGCACTAAAGTCAAGTCATCCTGTACTATATTTGAAACTGATTTACTAGCTGAACTACATCATTACACAACGTAAACACCATTAAGCATGGTAGATAAATGCAAACATCTAGCAGGTCTTGCCTCTGTCCGGTTGTAATTCACATTGCCCTAAAGCTAAGTGGTCACTAATTTAATTCAGACTGAAATTAGTTGCCAACTATGCCAACTGCATTATTCAACTTTTTAGAAATAGTGTATTACACTGATGCTGGCTGGAAAATTACCCTGAGGTATGCTGCTTCAGTCTAAAGAATCGCACACACTACTAACATTTTGGGAGCTGTAGTTTTTTAAGGGTACTAACGCCCCTGTTCCTCTCACAGAGCTTCATTACTCAGAGTAGCTTAGCACTCGTTTCCTCTTTCAGGAAACTCCAGGAATCATAGTTCTGTGAGCGGAATAGAGGTTTTCTAACAACTCTCAACACCCTTAAACTGCAACTCCCAGAATTCTTTGGGTGAATCCATAACTGTTTAAAGTGGTATCATAGTTCTTTAAATGTACGGTGTGATTGTGGTCCTGGTCAAGATCAGCTGGTTATCTTTGTGTTCTTAACAGCTATGAGTTCTTATCAGGTGGAATAAAAATAAGAAAGATAGATATAATAAACCTTTAATTTGTGGGTGCTGCTTAGCCGCAAAAATACAGAAGGCCCCCAATGAAAAGTATTTGGTGTTCCTGAAGTCTGTATCTCATCATAGCTAAAACAGGCACATCATGAAATATGTCAGAATCAGATAGCAGCCTCAGCACTGTCACTTTTTGCAGAGCAGGGAGACAAAATAAGCCCTTCTCAGTAATTGGTTGCTCTACTGTACTTATCCCCATTTTCTTACTGCCAAGTCTCATTTGCTCATTTATTCTGTGATTTGGATTGACAGTGCCTCTCCACAGTCATTCTCATTACAGTAGCCCAAGGGGCATAGTGGTCTTACTTAACGTAGGAAGGACTCAGACAGGGAAGTGTTGCCTGCTAGAATCCTGCTCAGAAGATTCTGTAGTTCATCAGCCATCTTTTGCATGCATCCTTGGAAAAGGACCACAGCTCAGTGGCAGTCTGACCTGGTATAAAGTAGTTTAGGCACAACAAATTAAAATAGTAAAGTAAATGGACAGCTGAGACAGTTTTCACTGTATGAATGTGCATAAGTGGGCAGCACCGGCCCTACCATTGTGAAGCAGCTGCCTCAGGCAGCTGATTGTGGGTGTCAAGAAAGGCAGAAAATTGTTACCTGTAGATATTTTTGTATTGTTTCTCTGCCAGGGAAGGGAAAGAGCTGCTTGTGGGACTTCTGCTTCCAGTGCCTGCTTTGGATACATGATGTGTCACTGAGGGGAATTTAGTGTCCTGCCTCAGACAGCAAAATGTCATGGGATGACCCTGGCTGGTGCTACGGATAAACATTCTGTGCACTCCGCATTGTGTGCAAACATGTTCGTCATGTGGGTTGTGTCCATTTGTGTTTAGACCTAAGCTTCCAACCATGCCCTTTCTTGCTTCCAGCCTCTGCATGTGATTGGGCTTTCTGAATGGTGAATGAATGCATATGTGGCGAGGTCCATGGGCATGCTTACATGGGCTGGTTCTTTACCTGCTATCAGAGTCTTTACAGCACTAATGCATTCACAAGCATATTTAGCACATACGTGCAGATCTTGGAAAGCATGTGCTGCTTGACTGAGAGCAGAAAGGGCCGGGTGCGAAAATGAGAGAGACATTTCACTTAATCCTGTGGCGGAAAGCAGGGCTTGTGAGCCTTTGTACTTGTCACTAGTCATAAAAAACAATATCCTTCATGGCTTGTGCTTAATTCATTACCATTTCAATATGAAAAAGGGCTCCATCCCTTGCAAGCCTTTTATCCCCTAATTAGATTTTCCTGTTATTGATGCTCTCATAATAATGGCTGCATCTGAATGGAATTTATGCAGTTAGATTACATTAAAAAAAAAAAACTGCACAGAACCAGCGCATAGAGGCACCATATGTAAAGTGCCACTAACCGCATGTTGTTTCCCTGATAAGCTCCCTGCACTGTTTCTCTCTCTCTCTCTCTCTCTCTCTCTCACACACACACACACACACCCCTACCCCTCTCAACCGTCTAATGTTGTGACATCTGTGGCATTTAAATGTCTTACTATGAAATGTTTCTCTCCCCCCCCCCCGCCTTCCAGTACAAAACCCTTTAACACTGAGGCAAATCGTGCTCAGCAGAGAAAGCGAATGCGTGCGTCGGAGTGATTTAGAGGACACTGTATTTCCAATGATGTCATTGTAAATGAGGCTGAGCAGTTCGGCTGAAAACACCCATCTGAAAGCCAAGATCTTTCTGGTGGTGGAAATTGCTCAGCGGCTGCTCAGGGCTTTACCCACATCCAGTAGATTAGGGATGGGGAACCTGTGGCCCTCTGAATGTCACTGGACTACAATTCCCATCAGCCCCAGCAGCATGGCCAGTAGGAAGGGAATTGTAGTCAAACAACTTCTGTAGGCCTGCAGCTCTGTGGTAGATACACTGAGTTGCTGTTGAGTTTTATCAACAGACAAGCCTTCTGATTTAGTGTGTTTGTTGCGTTAGTGGCATTTAGTTGTTCAGAGTTGTTGATGGTCTACAACAATTAAAAGAAAAGCAACCAACTAGGTCTTTAAGGTATGCACACAGCTGGTGAGCGGCCTGATAAAAATGTGGTTTATTCTGCAAAAAGTGGCATCTAACCACTAACTGAATTTCTTTGTATTAACACATCTAAGCTGGTGCCGTTGTTTGTCAGGAAATCATTCACTAGCCTTGTGTTGTCCAAGTGACCACAAAAACAATAGGGTATCTTGTAGTTCTTTAAAAAGATTCCAAGTAGTTCTATCCGAGGAGGGTGCAATGGCGTGCCAAATTATTATTACATAGTAAATAATAATAGGGGGATAATGATATTCAGCATTAGCCATACTCAGAGCAGACACACTGGAATCAACAGAGTTACATAATGTAAGTCCATTTATTTCAATGTGACTGCTTGGAGTATGACAAATGTTGAATATTGCCCATAATTAAGAATTAGTCCTAGTTTCCTTAGAAGTATCTAGACCTGTGTTTTGAACAGGGACAAATCTCAGCACTACCATTCTATAAATGATGACCAGCACCATGTTTTTCAGCCAAATTGGAACACAGCAATTATGTTCTGAAAAGCGCTCTAATGCCTTATCCAGATTTATTTGGTCCATCTACGTCAGTATTTTTTTTACAGAGATTGGCAATGGTTTCGGACAGACCTCTTGATGCAGCCATACCTGGAAAAGCCAGGGGTTGAACCTGAGGTTTCCTATGTGCAAAGTATTGAGCTGAAGTCCCAAAATTCCATCCAGTTGTGAGCGCCTCATGCCATTTAGCCAAGTGAAAAGCGTTATCCACCATTGAGCAGTGGTATCCTGAGTCGGGCTCAACATGTTAAATTTTATTTGGCCAATACTGGTTTGTTTAGCTGCAAGAGCAAGTTTTGACCGACTTATCATAGAATGATTGTCATCATTAGGCTAAATAGCTCGGCACAACGGCTGAGGATGATTTTGTTTTAACGTGATGTAACCTTTCCCAACCCAATATCCATTTGAAGTGTTTCAATTAAATGAATAAGCCTGTGTGAAAGAAAACGGGGAACTTGCCTTTTAAAAACCATGTAAAGGGAGTTTTAAGTGATTCAGCAGAAAGCTGTTGCTGAGGGCCACTATACTGATAGAAGTATTTGGTGTATTATGCTCTTTGCAGAAATCAGGATACATTGGGCAGTGTTGCAAGAACAGCCCAAGGTAATTCAAATATCTGTGCTTCACCATCAGATAACTTACATGGTTATATGATAGCATGCTGGTGTGGAGTGGTTATCTCAGATCAGCTCTTACAGAGAGCCTTGTAATCATGTGATACCCGCTGGTGGAGACAAGTTTATCAAGTGAAACCCAGAGCGTGTCATAAGTACCACCTCACTTCATCAGAGAAAATTGGATTCCACTTTAATCGGATAGAGTATTGATAAGTGTTTCACTTCCAATGTAAGGATTTTTTTTTAACTGCTTCAAAGTGGGGTGGGAGGAAGCGCCACATCTTTAACCCAGGGTGTATCAGGTTGACAGTTCAATAGCGGGAGCCATAGAAGTAAATTTGACTCATACAATGCTAGGACAACCTAGCCATTTTTGTCACTTTCATCATTGTCTGGAATACGGAATATATGAGCAGGTTCACATTGTCAAGTCACACCAACATTAAAAACAACAAACTGCACTTGCTGTTGAATTCCCTTTTCTACACAAATATTAATAGTTGCCAATGCATTGGGTCACCCTATGCAGTATGGACATATGAAATAAACCCAGGCCAATGTATCGTGCAAGTTCCCATGTAACTGCAAATGCCCTTTAAGTTTTTGCAAAATAAACGGCTTCTAATATCATGCTCCTTGCTCCAGGTGCAGCTGCTCCCTTGTCCATCCCATAATGACAATGAATTGTTCCTTAAGCAACATTAAAAGCACTTCACAGCAAGCCCTGTCTTGAACAAGGGTTGCCAGCTGTCTCGTTTTCCACATGATATCTCACTTTGGAGACTTTTTCTATCTTCCTTCAAGCAAGGGCCAATTATTTGTCCCCTACGCAGAGGCTAAGGGACAAATCATGCTGCTGCCTGCACAGCTGCCTGCACAACTTTGGGGCCTTTTGGGGGGCACTGTGAACAAGTCTTTCTGACATCGGTTGGAAATGTCCATCAGACATTTCTCCTTCATTTTCCCCCCTCAGCTTATTAATAAGGCAGGTGCAGGGAGCCACTGGAATAAAATTGGAGCTCCTGTAACATTGGTCCTCATGCACATTGTGGCAGGTAAGAATGGTAGGATATGGCATTAGTTTGGATAACTAAACTTGATTGAAGGAGCCATGATTAGGTCTCTGGTTCTTGAGCAGAGAGGCCCGTAATTCCCTGTTCGCAACCAAAAAGTTCTTCCTCCCTCTGCCATTCCTGTTTATAATAATAATAATGATAATACTAATAATAATAATAATTTATTATTTATACCCCGCCCATCTGGTTGAGTTTCCCCAGCCACTCTGGGCGGCTTCCAATCAAGTGTTAAAAACAATACAGCATTAAATATTAAATATTAAAAACTTCCTTCAGATGTCTTTTAAAAAGAAGATAGCTGCTTATTTCCTTCACATCTGAAGGGAGGGCATTCCACAGGGCGGGCGCCACTACCAAGAAGGCCCTCTGTTTAGTCTTGTTACAGACTGTCCTTTCCTTGGCTGGTGTACCCAGTACCATGCAATCAGCAAATGCCAATAGATGTGACTCTGTCATATTTCCATGGGCTCAGGCAGCTGAGCCAAGTCACCAGCACAAACTGCAGAAAGGTGTTGTGCCAGTTATGTTTTTGCTCTGGGAGGCAGTGCAGTGCAGAGGAAGGGACACCACAAATGGGATTGCAACATTAAAGGAAACCATTGCACTTTACTCTTGCTGTGCTTAAGTTTTACGGAAGAGGTTTCTTTTCGTGAAGAAAACAAAATCAGTTGAGGCACAGGCAGGAAGCAGAACTTCCCGGTGATTTTAGGTGTGTTTTGACGGCTTGATATTGCACTGGTAGGCTTATCTATATCTTTAAAGGTGTTTGGAAGGCAACTGGAGGACAGCAACACGCAATGATAAGGCTGCTAGTTCACTGAGCAAGAAAGTATCGTCTATCCCGGCATAGTTTAAGATAAGCAGAACACAGATAGCCCTTCTTTAGTTCCACAACTTGATACCGTTTCATCCACTGGACTTGAAAGGGGTGTTGAATTTGCACGACCACAAGACTAACACTATTGTAGTCTTTGCTTAAGTGGCGACCCACAGTTCAGAGGCTAGAGGCCTATTTAAAAGCCGTCCCTTACCCCCACCTCTCTCGTGAAAAGGGAAGTGAGCTGTTCTGCTGGTTGCACCTCTTATCTGGCCACACCCAGGCTGTACCCGTCTCCACCCATTCAGCAGAGAACTAGCAAAGAAAAAGTGTCCAGGGGAAACATCTCTTGGTGGCAAAAAGATTGGTGAACCGATTCTGCAGTTAATGCAATCTACTCTGTATAGCCTTTCACTGTAGGACTGCCTCTAGTATTGTCACTGGCTGATCCACTGTTCAGGTGGTAGTCCTGATTCAGTCCTTAAAGGTTCAGCCTACAACATTACAGCTATTTATACTTGAACCTAGGGCTTTTTTTCAGCTGGAACTCAGTTCCGACACCTCTCAGGTAGGCGCCATTGCCATGATAAAAGAACAGAACATTTCCCCAGAAAAATAGCACTGCTTGAACTGAAATCATTTGAGTAAGAAATCCTAACTGTGTTGCTTAAATGGTGTATCTGTTATTGAGAAGGCTTTGCTGGAAGGGAATGGTGTTTCTGAGGTGCACAGAACATTTTGGATCAAGCTTGTCTTATCCGCTGAGCATGGTAAGCACTCACTTGATTATCTTGTCTCTTAACAAAATCAGGGTTGACGCGGGCACTCAAAAAAAAGACAATTTAAATCTCTTAAAACTGACTTCATTTGCTTCAAATTTATTGCACCTTGTGATGTCGTACCCCATTTTATTATTTTTAGCAGAAACATTAGGAGGCAGATCTTGGTTTGTATATTCAGCTTACAGTGAGTATGAAATTTCAAAAAACAAATCCATGTTAAAACCACGTAATGGGAAGATTGATGGATCTGGAAGTTTAAAAAGGCTATTTAAAAACCTGAAACAAAACAAAAATTGAACTTCAGTTTTAGGCCAATAACATGGGAATTGTATCATAAAACATTTTAATGTGAATTACTTCTTCACTTCCACGAAATGATAAAACTATGTACAGTATTTTGTTTGCAGTTTGGTCACTTTTACATTAGCTGTAGACATCTGCAGATGTTCTTAGGTGGAAATAGGTATATGCACCTTACTCAGGCATTTAATGGCTGACTGATTGCACACGTTCCTTCTATGCAACGGCTCTCCCACAGTGCACTGTGCCAGGAGTAAGCACTTTGTATTTACATTCCCCTTTTTATTTATGGCTCAACAACAAAAAAGAAACCCAAAAGAGTAGCACTTTCAAAGCTGAACACTGCCAAGTATCTTCATCATAGAATTTTGCTTAATCTGTGCATTTGCTTACATTTTCAGCCCTGATTTTTAAGTTAGATGTGCAACAACAGGCCTAACACAACAAACTATTATAGAACTGCACTGCTCCTAAATCAAGGAATCACTGCACACCTAGATTTTCCCCAAAAATCAAGGCACTTTTCTGAGCAATGACAAAAGCTCCTTCCCTTGCCATTATAACGTATTTCCAGTCAGGAAAACCAATTTGTTTTTCTGTTAAATGACAATGATATTTTTCTGCACAAGATTATTGAATCATGACATCTTTTACACATATACAGAGTGTTTTAGCCAGCAATATTATTTCCATGTTAGAACAATTCAGTTGCCTCTGCACACAGAATTGCTATGTACATTCACAGTTTTCATGGATAGTAATTAGCTTCTCCAGTTGTGCTTTTAAAATTCCAGGATTTCCCCTCCCACTAGTAGTAAGTGCAAAGCAAAATGTCTTGTGCAGCTACAATGGTTGCAGAGTTATAAACTCCAAAATAATGAGAATGTTCTTTCATTCTCCATTTTCTTCACCCGCCTTTTCAGGTATAGCCTCCAGGCTTCGACGGGGCTTTGAACCCTCGGCTGTTTCCGATCCTGGCTTATTCAGTCCACATGAAACAGTGGCATAGTGGATTTGCTTTAGGTTCTCCAGGGCTTTGTTCTTAGCATCTTTGAGAAGATCAGCCTGCCCCTGTTAAGAACAAAAGCAGTCACAACTATCAATAATGAGACCATTTTCTAGACTTGATTTATTGTACCACAGCCTAGTTCATGAAGATGAAAACCAGATTACTTTGAGCTAAGACACACACACACACACACACACACACACACACACACACACTGGATTGAACTGCATTCAGCTGGCTGAATGCATTTAAAAGACAATAATATTTCCCACCAAACAATTCTGGGCAAATAACTTTTGCTAAGAGTTTTATTGTTGTGGACGGAATCCAAGAGCCATCAGGAGTTTATTATTCATTGTGATCCAGCAACTGCAGTGCCTTTATACTGAGCTTATTTGTAACATTCAGAGTTAGGAAGAGAGTGTCCAGGGATGATAGCTACCTTTCAAAAAAGAAAGATGCATGTGTGTGCATGATCACAGGCTTCAGGTTATTTTCAGTTTATTGGCCAGCGCTCCAGGCATAGGCAGGAGAGCCCTGTTCTGAACAGGAGTTCCGATAAGTAAGTGGTTTTGGCATGGGCTTATGGGGTAGGAGCAGTGCTTGTATGTAAAGAAAATGAGCATATAGGAAGGGTGATCATCACATTTTTTCATTAGCAACTCCTTTGGAGCTGTTGGTGGTATGGCAGCATAGTCCTCTCGTAAGCGTAAGGAAAACTGCTTCTAGGAGAATTCCCCCGACTTTCTCTGGAGGGCGGAATGCTTTGCAGAGCAGAAAACCACAAGTCTGGCAAAGTTCCAGACCTTGAGGATAAGGCAGACACTGCATTCTTCTAAGAAAAGCAGCTTGGACCATAAAATCATGGTCTAAGAATACAGAGCAAATCTTATAGAACTGGGAAAGACACCACTAGCTGAATAATAAAACATAAAGTCCAAAACCCCTATGAACATTCATATGGCAATGTTGAGTTTAGAGAAGAACACCTATTCATTGGACTCTGGCTTCAGTGGCATTCTTTAATCTGTCGACACATAACTGGTATCCTTTTAAAATTCCCATGAAAAAGGAAACAAAGAAAGATATATGAAACATTATATGGCAGAGCAGATGAATCATATGTACGTTATCACAAATGTTTCTACGAACTTCAGCACAGAATCATTTATTTAGTTCATGTTGTTTTCGCTTTGGTTTGTTTAAATCTAAGCTAATCTAGGCTGACTCTTGCTAAAATAAACCGAGTGAATTAAATGCTGGGTGCAATTTTCAGAGTGCTTAGAATCCAACTGCAGCCCAACTGAAGCAGTTTTCAGCTGCCTTGTCTGCTTATCTGTTACTTGTAAATAAAGTGAGCTATAACTGACAGATAATTCAGAAACTGCTAGCAACTGCAGAGGAACCCCAAGCAAAACTCAACACTTGGAAATTTTTCTCTGCAAAAAGGGCATAGCCACATCCATCAAAACTCCAAAATAAGTCTTTGATCACAAATGTAAAGCAAATTATTTAAGAAGCTTAAGGCTGATACAGGGCTTCCAGAGAACAGTTGCTACTGAGTGAGCTCCGAGGCCTGTTTTCCTAAAGGTGAGCAAGTTAATTTTAATGAGAAATAATTTAATATCACTTTCCACAAATGGCATATTCACTGCCCCATAAGGGCACTGTGATCGGCTAATGGAATCTGGCTAGTTTCTTCAAGGCTGATGATTATTGGCTTGTGGTAACACAGAGCAGACTTTTCTACTGGTAACACCAGTGCTTGTGGAACACTCTCCCTACTGAAATACAAGAGCCCCTAAAAATGTTGACATTTCGCCAGCTCCCTAAAAATGCGCTTGTTTAGGCAAACATTTCCCTGAATTGAACTTGTGGTTTGTTTTTAAACTCTTTGAATTGTTCATTTGCTTTACGTACATTTTAATTAAGGATGTTTTAACATTATTGTGTATTTTAATTTTGGCTTGATTTTATAGTTGTAAATGGCTTCCAAGAGGTAAACTGATAAATAAAATGTTGCTTTCTGAAATATTACTAATAAATGAATTGTTTCATAGGGTCCTGAGTTTGCTAGTTTTGTATCTTAGGAGGGCAAACAGCAAGATAGTTTTCTTAAAATGACTTGTTCACTTTGTTCATCCCTCCACAGGTGCTTCGCAAGAGGCTAGGAAAGATGGGCTGCTTTGCTGAGATGTGTGGGAGGGAATTAAGATGAGGTTTACAGTTTGTATGCTGGATGTGTTTCTACAATAGAATTCTATGACAAGTTAGTGAGTGGGAAGAATGAAGCTGAGAGGAGGTGAGATGAAACTGTATTTTTGAAAAACTGAAAGAAAGCTTTCAAAAGTGTGTGGGAGAGAGAGAGTGTGCCATGAAATGTGATGTCGTTAAAATAGATTCCAGAGTTTAGTGCAGAGATGAGTTATTCGGTGGGCAAATGGAACCTTTATCTGTTTGGGGAAGAAAGACAGGGAATGAATTACAGGCAGGCAGCTGCACTAACTTTGCCACTTCTTCCATTTTGCTGAATGGAAAACACTGCTGAGAACAAATGGAAACAACTCTGCATTTTAATTGTATACTTCCATATGAAAAAAGGCTTTGTTTATTATATGATTTTAAATTCATGCAAAATGTAAAGCAAAAATGTTAAGATGAAGTTAAGCCTAGAGAAGTGTGAAGCAAGCATATGCAGCGCCTAAAAAGGAAAAGATGTTAATACTTTCCCTCCTGTGTACCTCATTAAGTACCATTGATACTTTTCAAAAGAGCGGCAAAGTATTTAATTTTCTCATCCTAACTGCATTAATGTTAATTCAGCTGCTTCCTTTTCAAGGAAGTAAACAGATTTCTAATAGCTTCACGGAGCCTCTTTAGAGCCCTAGCCACTTCACATAAAAATCGGTTTTAATGATGCCAAGTTTATAGTCTGACAACGGGGGATTCTGATATCACTAGAATGTTTTTTTAAAAGAAAACATCGAAACAGGAACACCAACAACATTGGCAAATGTTCTTTTAAATAACTGTTTTAAAGAAACAAAAAGTGCAATGATCTTTGACGTCTATTATTTCCCCATCTCAAATATGGCTATGCAAAGGTCTATATCAACTAGTAAACCACCTGTTTTATAGCGTCTTGAGGTTACTGAGGTGTGGATATAGCAATCAGAGGTTCAACCATTCACATCGCTGTTGAGGACCTCATTTTATTTGCACAAATTCCATGTGTCAAAGGGCAGAGTCTAAATATGACACAACGTACCGTATTTTTTGCTCCATGAGATGCACTTTTCCCCTCCTAAAAAGTAAGGGAAAATGTGTGTGCGTCTTATGAAACAAATGCAGGGGGGAGGCAGGCAGGAAAAGCCCCCAATAGCCGCACACAAGCGCCGTTCGGCTCTTGCGGGCTTTTCCCCAGGAGGGAGAAGGGACTGACGCCACCAGTCAGTCCCTTCTTCCTCCTCGTAGAAAAGCCTGCAGGAGCCGTGCGCTCCTTAAAGGGTGCGCGGCTCCTGTGAACTTTTGCGGGATGTGGGGGAATTGCCATAGCCGCGCGCAGCCTCTCCCGGCCAGAGAGGCTGCCCGCAGCTAAAGAAGCCAAGACGGAGAGCGCGATCCATCCTGCTGGCTGTTTTGGCTTCTGCCACAGCCTTGTGCAGCCTCTCCCGGCTGGAGAGGTTGCGTGCGGCTATGGCAGGAGCCAAAACAGCCAGTAGGATGAATCCCGCTCGCTGTCTTGGCTTCTTTGCTCTTTGGGGCTGGGTGGGGGGGGGGGAATAATATTTTTTCTCTTGATTTCCCCCTCTAAAAACTAGGTGCGCCTTATGGAGCGAAAAATACGGTATATCCCCCGGGCCATTGATTCCATGTACCAGTGGCCCTTATTTTAGACATGTGATCTTTTACAGGGAAGTAGTGGCCTTTGTGCACAAGGCAGCTGAAGAGGTTAAAGAAGAGTTACGTTGAGGGTTGATACTAAGGTTGCGCCCTGAATGCAAAGGAGACTTCAGGAATTACATGCTCAGAAAATCCTGAAGATTATCTGTAGCTCTTCATCCTTGCAGATTAGTGCTACTTCACAAGTGCACCTGACACCTAGAAGCCCCTGTCCCCAATAGGACCTCTGCCCACACTGATTTTCACTGCATTGCATTCATTTCATCACTTTTCCATTTGCATAATCTCCAGCTAAGAAGGTCAGCTAAACACATCAATAATAACAACAACAACAACAAATTTTATATCCTGCCCTCCCTGGCCAGAGCTGGGCTCAGGGCAGCCAACACCAGTAAAATCACAATAAAAATATAATGGGGGGGGGGGGGGCAATTTAAAATGCAATTTAAAATGCAGCCTCATTTTAAAAGCCTCAAAACCATAAGGGGAGGAAAACATAAGGGTCAGACTGAGTCCAAACCAAAGGCCATGCGAAACTGCTCTGTCTTGCAGGCCCTGTGGAAAGATGTCAAGTCCCACGTCTCTTGTGACAGAGCATTCCACCAAGTCGGGGCCAGTACTGAAAAGGCCCTGGCCCTAGTTGAGACCAATCTAACCACCTTGAGACTTGGGACCTCCAAAGTGTTGTCATCGATGAGGCTTCATTTTAATATTTTAACGTTTCAATATTTTAATGTTGTATTTTAATTTTGTTTTTAAGTTGTAATCATTCAACTTGTTTTTATTATTGCTTGTAAGCCGCCCTGAGCCCGGCCTTGGCTGAGGAGGGCAGGGTATATATTATTATTATTATTATTATTATTATTATTATTATTATTTGTGAACCTTAAGGTCCTTCGTGGGGCATACCAGGAGAGGTGGTCCCGTAGGTACGTAGGTCCTAGGCCGCATAGGGCTTTAAAGGTCAAAACCAGCACCTTAAATCTGACCCTGTACTCCACCAGGAGCCAGTGCAGCTGGTAAAGCACTGGATGAATGTGATCCCGCGGCAAGGACCACATAAGGAGCCTCGCCGCAGCATTCTGCATGGATCACTGTGCCAGATCAGGGTGAGAAAGGTAAGGGACCAACTGCTTAATACGGCGGAGATGGAAAAATGCAACCTTTGTAAAAGATCTCTGCTTGAAACCCTGGGGAGTTGCTGCCTGTCACAGAATCTGTTGCTGTTGGACTCCAACTCCTGTCAGCCCCAGATATCAAGGCCAGTGATGACGGGATGTTGGGAGCTGGTAGTCCAGCAACATCTGGAGTACCAGATGTTCTCCACCCTTCATCATCTATGCAGTTTTTATTCCTATGTCTTTGATGGCTAAAACTAGACAAGTATTCCAGCTGCATCTAACTAATAAAGGGTGATGCTATACTGTTCATATCCAAGACACAAATGTTTCTGTAAATTCAACAAAAGGACAGCATTTCCATTTTAAGTATCATCAAACTTTGTATTCAGTAGAACCACACTCTGTATAGTGTAACATTAATTATCATATTTTTGGTAATGGTCTAAGCATGGTGGTTTATGTTTCAAAAAGTATTCAACTTTAAAAAAACATACCTTTAGGATTGTAATATTCCAGGTAAAGCTCTCCACTGCTTTTTGTAGCTTTCTCTCCTTTAAACCTTCCTTGGCTCCTATACTTTGTAAATTCTCATGGAACTCCATCGCTGGGGGAAGGAAAAACAAAACAAAACTGACCTAAGAGAATATGAAGAAAATGAAGCGATACCTTATACAAGAAACCTCTGCCAACTATATATTAAGTCATGTAAGATTTGCTGCAGCACAATGATTAATGTGCTCTAAATTAATGTGAGAGAGCACACAAAATAACAGGGATCATAGCCAAGTGTAATCTCATTTTCACAAGGGTCTAAGGGAGGTTCACCTGGTGCTGCCTCTCTTCCTCTGCTAAGCAATACAACATGATAGTGCATTAACTATTTTTGCATTAATACCTACTGGATCTGATACGCTTGGTTTCTACCAACTAAACAAGGTGTCAGTTAATGATGATAGCTCATTAATTCTGAAGCACAGTGACTTACAAATCTTCTTTGCAATTTCAAAAGAGGAAAGAAATAAAGAAAGGCCAATCTCAGGGCCCTTATAGATGAATAAAATATTTTCCCCTTTAGAACTGTATTCTTGAAAGTTTCAATGCAGTGTCTAGAAAGGTTCTAAAAGGCAAAATAGTCAAACAACATGAATGATAAATTGCCTCAGGAAACACACTAGAAGGCTGCCATTTGGCTAAAAAGTATTACTGCTAGAATGAATACTGTTGATAAGACTTCATTTCTTTTTCATATATGCTGTTTTAACAAGGAGAGTATCTTTCTGATGCAAAGAAACAGAATAATAGCTCTATGCAGGTGGCTTTACCTGGCTGATGAGATGAGGATACCACTTTAAGACACTGAGAAATCACTTTTTAAAATACTATGTATAAAAGTATTAACTTGTCAGGGAGATGACTAGGCTACAATTGTTCTACCTGACCTTCTAGTTTTTTTATGTGGAATTACTTTGTATGGAAGAGGATTCACTCATGTGAACCTCCATCTGAAGTCTAAGGTGGGAAAACACAAACACACACATAACCCTAGAGCAAAGATAAAACTATTGTACATTTTACCTTAAAAAGTTAGTCGAGATCTATGTAGACTCATGCATCTGCATAGACCAAGATACACAGAAGGATTTTTAATCCTAAACATAGCCCATGGGAAAATTCCACTGCAAACAAAGTTACACCCCCATGTGTTTGTGGGACTAAAAATGCAAGTCAAGGTCGTTGCTTCCTGAAAGAATTTGCAAAATCAGGATGCTATGTCAAAAATATTCATCTACCTTTCTCTTTACTGCTTCATAAAATATGACTTGGTCATAATTAAATGCAGTGCAAAAAATATCCAGCAACATATTTTTTTTTTTGCACAAAACAAACATCAGGAAAACTAAACACTGGAGGTTTATCAGCCAGACCAAGGTTACTTATTAATACAAATATTTGATAGGTTAATATTGAACCATATACAGTGGCTTGCTAAATCAGAACTGGAGCAAGTCAGACTTCACACGCACACCCAGTTCAACAATTGCACCCACCACTTCCCCAACGCAACTTCAGCACTGAAGGCTTTTGTGCACTGTGGGGCTCCATGCCGTAACTACTTGAATCAACAGTTTGCCACATGTCTTACTGAAAATGTCTGGGAATGGAAACAGTCTACATTGTTAGTAGGATCAGACATCCTTTCTATTGCCCATTTATGATGATTGCACATGCAAAAATTTTGCTTCACCTCCAAACTGTGCACATCCCATAACATCCTGGTGGAATCCTATAACTTTTTATACCACAAATAGCTTGGTCTTAATCTCAGGGTCATGAGTTTTGAGCCCCGCGTGGGGTAAAAGGTTCTTGCATCACAGGGAGTTGGACTAGATGACTCTCATGGTCCCTTCCAACTCTATGAATCTCTGAATCACATTTATTTTTGTTGTACTTTGGTTAACAAAAGCTATAATCCCTCTTGGGAAAGCATTGCAAAACAAACTAATACAAGACTAATGCACTAGAACATGTTGCAGAAACGTCGTAAATCACAGCCGTCATCTGAAGCAGTCCCTAGGAGCTTCAGTGTATAAGGACCACAACATTCTTCACACTGACACAAAGAAATGGTCCCATGAAAACAGAACAACACCTCCAAAATGCATGTGCTAATCAGACTGCTTAGTTAGGGTAATAAGTAATTCCACTGATACTTTTAGCAGTGCAATCCTGTGCCTGCCTACTCTGTCTGCCAAGTTCAATGGGTTCCTACTCAGAGTAGAACCACTTAAATTAATGAACCCAGTTCATGTCCACTAACCTCAAAGGACCCACTCTGAGTAGGACTAGTACTGAATACCACCCAATGGGCTTACTGACAGGTAAAGGTTAAAGATCACAACCTTTCTAGACAATTCATCAGACAGGAAGAAAGAGTTCTAACTAAAAAGCTCTTTATGCCATTTAGACCAACAAAAACATCTTTATGTTTTCTTTGTGATACATGCAATGCTATCAATTGCACATTTATTTCCAGCATTTTGATCATTAAATCTTCATCTGTTCCACTCAACTGCAAAAAATGCATTCCTATCTGGTCCTAAAAAATGTAATTACACCTGCAAGACACGTATTACTTTCTGCTTTACAAACAAAACAAAACAAAATAGGTAGAAATTAAATGACCTATAACTGTGAGATCCTCTGGCTTGCAACTGTATATACATTGCTTCCAAATGGCATAAATCCATCCTTAGAGAAATCCTGCCAACACACTATATTTTCACTATTTCATTGTCAAATAAAAGATGGAAATAATTGAGACAGGGAAGCTGTATACTATGTATTATAAATATTATATGTGATTTTAAATGCCATTAAACTTCCCTGTCAGGTGGAAGCTGCTCATTTAATTCTTGTTCCAGTTAACGCTTTTAAATTTTGGCATTGGCAGACTGAGGCAAATCTTGATTCTTTTCCGAGTTAAGGCTAATGTGAGACCTTGGGCAAATCACTTGCCAAAACGTTTCACTCAGCCAAAAAGCAAGTTTTTTACTCATTGTAAATTGAAATGAAAAATGAAAGAATAGAATAATCAGCTGCAATGTTCCATGTATCAAAGAAACATAACTCTCACATAGCTCCTAAAATCTTTAACACAAAAACCCAAAAGTAAGTAACTGAAATTCGTCTGTTGAATCATGTTGGTTATATAATACATTGATGTGCGACTATTTTTACACTTTTAGCAGAATATGTTAACCCACTGCAGAATACTGAATAAAAATAGAGTTGTGTCCTTACCTGCTTTTTGGCACTGGGCTATTTTTTCATATACGTTATCTGCATTTTCTATCAGAGTCTTGATAGTTTGAATCATCTGTAACAAGAGAATAACTTGAGTAATGAGAAAATGAGCAATGAAAACTAGAAGTCAGAGCACTGGCGAATCCAGACTCACAGCCTGCATGAACTGGCCATTTCTCAGACAGAACGTATTTCCCTACCCGAGCTCTTTTCTTAATTGAAGTTGCTATAGATTAAAACGGGACAATTGTGGCCTTCCACTTGCAAAGGATAAACTCTGCTACAGAGCTGTGGCTCCTCTCTAAACTTTGTATAGTAACATTCTCAGATTACGGTGGTACCTCGGGTTAAGTACTTAATTCGTTCTGGAGGTCTGTTCTTAACCTCCCGCTGCTGCTATGCCACCGCAGTGCGATTTCTGTTCTAATCCTGAAGCAAAGTTCTTAACCCGAGGTACTATTTCTGGGTTAGCAGAGTCTGTAACCTGAAGCGTCTGTAACCTGAAGCGTCTGTAACCCGAGGTACCACTGTACTACATTGCTGGTGACACTACCAGAGGCGCCAGGTTCTGTCCAACCTATGAGCAACACAGGCCATGAGGCCCGCTGCCACCCCCGTGAGGCCTGGTGTCGTGAGGCCCAAACCCTCAAGATTTGCGGAGCTGAAGACACCTCAGCCCTATGGAGCTGGAGCCTATGGACACTACTGCATTACTTTTTTAAAAAGCTGTTTATTTAGATTTATACCCCACTTTTCTCAGAGACTCAAAGTACCGTATTTTTCGCTTTTCCCCTCCCAAAAAGTAAGGGGAAATGTGTGTGCATCTTATGGAGTTAATGCAGGCAGGAGGCTCTGCTCAGCGCTCCCTTTAAAGAGCCGCACACACGCTCCATGCACTCTTTAAAGGGAGCAGAGCTCTTGGGGTAGCCTTCATCCCGCTGCCCTGAAGAGGCTTTGCGCGACTATCCCAGAAGCCAGATCCCTCTTGCTGTTCTGGTTTCTGGGAGTCAGAATATATTTTTTTTCTTGTTTTCCTCCTCCAAAAACTAGGTGCGTCTTATAGAGCGAAAAATATGGTACCTTTGAAAAATTCACATATGTTCTAGTAATTCGATCATATACAAATGTACAAGATTCTATAATAATTGCCTCCCTGAGGAAAACATATTCACAGGGCTGTTATTTGTACTCACTCATTTATTTGCTAATATGCCAAGTCATCCTCCTTTACTAACAGGCATTTCAAAGTGTCAGAATTTGCCATGTTAATTGTGTGTGAGTGTTTGTGGATTCTACAGATTTAGAGGTGTAGTTATGCAATAAAATGCATAGGTTGCTCCTTTTAGAATACAGTGCTTCCATGAGAACATGCTGTATATATGTTTCAAGCCACAAATCCCAGGAGCAATGCTCAACATTGATTTCATGGCTAGAGTTTAAATTGGCCCAGTGTGGATACATAAAAGTCCACAATCCTGAATCTTGCCAAGTATTGCTTGTCAGAACAAAATGCAGTCAAACAGGGCCTGAGATCTGTCAAATATTTCCTCACATATCCACTGCCTAGCAAACAGCAAGGCAGACAGGGAAATGCCGCTACCATGGCACTACACTGATGAGTTGAAACAGTTTTCACTAAAGAAGGGAACTGCCACAACACGGCAGAAACATCTCCAAGCCAGGTGAGGTCAACTTCGTAGTGTTTCATAGTCTCCATACTCCCAAAAAGAGCCCAGTCTCAATTTCTCTCTTATAAACAAGGGGCAAAAGATCATACAACCCATATACTTTATAAATAATGCACAGAAAGGCAAATTATCTTTAAATTATTTTATGACTCCTCAAGAAACATTTAATGAAGGCAGTAACATCAAATTAGCAGGTGGGGAATTGTACCATGTCCTGTATTGTATATCCTGTGCCCACCAACTGATTTAAAAATTTGGTTCATAAAGCCACAAGTTTAATGATGAAGGGCTTTGAAATGCTTTCAGTAAACCCATTACATCAGATTCAATACAGCAATAAGTCTTCAATATATAGCAATAAGCAATACCTTATAGCAATATCTTCAGCTGGCTGTCAAGTTAAAGTGATCCATCTCCAAAATACAGAAAATCCAATAGCAAAAAGAAATCCTTTGTAATCCTCTTTTTGTTTTCAGATTATCATTTACTCATTATTTCAGTGTCTCACTTTCAGGGTTATTGGAGCACATTCAAAAACCTTTTTTCATTACCTCCCCTCAGTGGAGTTAATTTACTTTAGCTTTATTCTAGTTTGTTGCCTTCTTCTGTCATGGTGTATTTTCCTCCTTCACCCTGAAACTACACTCCTCCAGACCAAATTGTCCAATTGGCCCAATCAAATAATGACTAAGTAAGCCAGGATATGCACCCACATGCAGCCCCTTTGCTCCTCCTTTGGGGAAAGTGCAGAAACAAGTCACGGAGCCGCAGTTAACCATAGTTTCCTGTGAACTGGAAACTGTGGTTAGTAGCTTCCAAATGAGCCAGGATTTAAACCATGGTAGAATTCCATTGCAAGGTATATATGACTGTGGAAAGGAGCCTAAGAAGATGCAACCATAAACAATTCCAATGAGAAAGCGAAATGGGACACATTTTAAAATGTGATAGCACAAAAAAACTTTTAGTGGCAATACAATGGCAATTAAGACACAAGCTTAGTAAGGAGGGTTTGGGGTTTTTTAAGGGACATGCAAAAGAAGTTAAAACAAAAGACAGGTCACTAAGGATGAATACAAAATTGTTTAGTTCAGTCTTGTAGGGCAAAAGCTATTTGCCTTAGGGTTTGATTTTACTTTAGGAATTTCTTTCACCCAATACACTGTTATACTAAAAGTTGAATTAGCAAAGTAGGTCACATTAAGTGGTTGAATCTGACAAGTAAAAGCAACTTTTAAATAGTGCTAACCTAACACTCAGCATTGATATAGGAAACAGTTATCCAGCCTTTTCTTAGTGTCTATCAGGTCTTTTTTATCACTCTTTGTCCTTTAGAATTCTTTTGTCATTAGAAATACAGGGTTTATTTATTTCCATTTTTCATAGAACTGTGATAAGAACTCAAAATAAAGAGAACTCGGTGACTGCGAGTCCTTGAGTTCCCCCTGTCTACTTCTTGGGTGGTGTATACATGGAGCTGCATTTCAAATGTTACCCAAAACATTAACATTTTGAGAAAATATGCAGTCCATATTCTGTGGAAATATGGGCACAGCCTTTCTGAAATACATTAACTGGCTTGGAGTCACATCTAGGTATGAGAGCTTCATCAGGACCTGGGAATTAGGCAGCTCAAGTAAGAATTTGTCCATCGGGAACTTAGATGGATAGTTAGGCATGAGCAGTTATGCAACTTTATTAAGAGAGGTAATATGAAGGTAATCCTTTAACCTCTATCCTAATGACGAGATTGCAGAACTAGAAATTAAGTACAGATTTGCAATGTCTCAAGAAGTTAAGAACATCTTAAGTATTAACCGGGCCTCAGGATCTATACATATATCAAATTGTGATGGTTCCAGCACATCCAGTAAGGGAATTACACTAACCCACCAAACAAGGCAATGATTTAACTATGGAGAGAAGATTTAAAATACTATTTATCAGATAGTGACACTTGTCAGATCATTACTTGAAAACAGATACTAATTAAGATCTTACATGGCGGTTTGTAGTCCAACAACATCTGAAGAGCCGCAAGTTACCTTCTCTCACTATAGATCAATATATGAGTGTGTCCAAATGACTGCAATGTTCTTGGTTTGTTCAACATTTTACAGAGTTGTAGGGCTTCATTTCTGACTCGGCAATCTAACCTAATCTCAAGATTTGTCAGTAGCCTTCATTAAATGCTTTTCCAGAGCAGCAGGCTCACAAGTTGTTACTACAGAAATAGTACTACCTGGGAGAAGGCCACTGATATTATACCTACCGCTCTGGCAAATGTGTAGCATTTCACAACCTCTATAATTATGTTGGCAATAACACATAGGCAATAGCTATTAAGTTTGTTTAATACATGCTAACAAAATGTTTTCTGAATCTTTACTTTCTTCGTATACCTTATAATTTCAATGATAACAACTTCTGGGATTGGTGAAGTACAGACCTTCACTTAAGAGGAGCTTTGTACGTCAACCTCTGTGACAGCACATAGGGAAAAGACCTTGTAAACAAGACGGCAATCAATAGTAACCTCATTACCGACCAGCTGTGGTTAGGCCCAGGCAATCAAAGTCGATTTATAATGAAGTGTAATTGATCTTTCTACTGCTTTAAATGCTGTCCAAAATTGCCATTGTAAGAAAACAAATCTTCTGGGTGCTACTTATGTTTACAATAAAGTACTTGTCATTCATATAAGACTGCTTGGACGAGGTTTAAGAAATGGAATTTGTCTGGTGTTCCCAATTGGTCTGAAAACCATGTATTTGTACGCTGTGGACTGCATGGTGCTATTCATTTACGGGACAAGTAGACAAAACTTGAAAAGAACATTATTGACCTCTCTAGAACAGCCTAAAAGCGTCTTCCCTACTTTAACTACTTTTTTTTAAAAAAAAAGCCATGCTGGAGAAAGAACCATCTAATACAGCATCTTGTTCTTACATGTTTTAGCATTTTGAAGGAGAAAAACCTATACTCACTTTCTACACCTGATCCATACATTTTATACACATCTAATATGCTCCCCCTTACTCTTCATCTTCCCCCTAAACTATAAGTTGCTTTGGGACACTCTTCTGTGTGTGGAAAGTGACAAATCAATAAATAATATATAAAACTACCACCACTACTACTAATCTTTTTTATTATTATTTGTATGCCATCCATCTAACTAACTAACTAACTAACTGGGTTGCCTCGCCCACTCTGGGTGGCTCCCAAAAGACTTTTAAAAACATTAGAACATTCCAATTGCACCCTTCCCTCATAAGGAAATTGCTCATATCCCACAATCATTTTGGTTGCCCTCTTCTGATTTTTGCAGCTCTGTAATGTCCTTTTCTGAAAAAGGACAACAAAAATGAACGGGGGATTAGAGCAAACCGTCACACAATCCTTTCTGTTCTGTTCTATTCCCTTCAATCCCAAAACACTATGGTAGTGGGGCCACTTTTGCTTTCACTAGCAGGAGGGAACGGGAATTCGAAGAAAGTTTTGCCTGCGTTTTTTTGCTACAGAATTCCCACTGCCAAACTGGGAAACCACTGCAGTTTTTAAAAGCAGCATATGTACTTGATATTTGGAATGGTTACATCAAAACCAAAGCAAAACTCTGTCTGCACATGTGGATTCCTCTCTCATACCCACCTTTTGGATCCCAGCTGTCCAGTCCTAGTCACAATTCCTACGAACACTTTGGATCCGTCACAAAATATCTCTCAATGTCACAATGTAATCTACTCTTGGAGGGGGTCTCATTTCCTTGCATCAAAAGTAATAAACATGTTTTTGTATTATCCCCTTATACCTCATAATTTCATCACCCATTTTATCAGAACTTTTAGCTAAAGGAAAGCATTTTCTTAGGGTTTCAAGGAAATGCAGGACAGTAGGTAAGAGGGATAAACCAATATTGTACAACAATTTTGTCCCATTGCAACTTATCAGTTGCCATAATGAATCTATAGAAGGAACTGAACATAGAACCATGTATGTTTAATCTAGTTTCGGGGTGGAGCTATGTTCTCAATTCCAGGTTGGTTACAGTCTTCTTGATTCCCAGATTTGGGGTGCCAAATCCTTCAGTCATTCAATCGAGTTGCCCAAAAAAGAGTACAGTGGTACCTCGGTTTACGAACTTAATCTGTTCCGTAGGTCAGTTCTTAAACCGAAACCATTCTTAAACCGAGGCGTGCTTTCCCTAATGAGGCCTCCCGCCGCCGGTGCCCTTCCATCATTCGGATTCCGTTCTTAGACCAAGGTAAAGTTCTCAAACTGGGACACTATTTCTAGTTTTGCGGAGTTTGCAAACCAAATGGTTCTTAAACTGGACTGTTCATAAACCGAGGTACCACTGTATATTAACCAGGGGCCTCATGCTTGTTTCAATAATGTTACGCGTTCAACTAGATATAGCAATGTTGCTGTTCTGTAACTTATGGTTCTAGCATCTCTCCACTTACTATAAATACTATAAATACATCCAAATGTGGGCTCAGGCTCAACTCCCAACTGAAATAATTTGCAATTTCTCCATTAGTCCACATAAGATAGCCTGGGGGGAAATTCCCAAATGCAAACCCAACCATTTGCATGCAATAATGTATACTGAATTTGAAAAAACTGTATCGTGCTTTATATTTTTATGAGGAAAATGTATAATCTAAAAACTATCCAGGGACATCTTAATTAACTGAAAATAGTTGCTCACTTGACACTAGTTCTTTAATAATTATAAGTTTCTCCTTTAACACAGAACACATTTTCATTCTATAATGCCTCAATTCCCTGTAGTATTTTGTCATTTTAAATTACTCTGATATTGGCTAGCATTTTTGCTGGAGAGAGCTTACACCCTTGTGTAGGTTAATGAACAAATATATTGAGCTCCCTAGTTACTCATTGTGCAAAAATAAATTTAAAATACTAAACTAGAGAGAGGATTACTTCAGCTACCAGTGTAAATGTTTGCTCTAATTTTTATGGTAAGGGAGGTATTTCTGACTAAATATTAAATTAGTATATTTATCTGAGATGGATTGACCCAGGAACTGTTGTACTTTCAGAAACATCCATGATAACCACGAAGCATACTGAGAATGAAGAAAACAATGTAAATCAGAGATAGCCCATGCACTCACCATGGAAACCAAGGTTTGTTTTTAAAACATTCCATAAGGAAATGCCCATGTTTTCACTCTAGTGCAGAGCAAAGGCTGCAGCATGTTAAAACACAAGTTATAAACTAGCTATGCAGCACAAAAGTAAAAGGGTTTCTATTCTTATTTAAGACGAGTTTGACATAACTCTACCATAAACATCACTACAGTGGTGCCTCGCAAGACGAAAAGAATCCGTTCTGGGAGTCTCTTCGTCTAGCGGTTTTTTTGTCTTGCGAAGCAAGCCCATTGACGGGATTAGCGGATTAGCGCTATTAGCGGCTTTTAGCGGCTTTAGCAGCTTATCAGCTTATCGGATAAGCAGATAAGCGGCTTAGCGACTTAGAAAAAGAGGGGGAAAGGGAAAAAAAAAACCAGGAACTCGCAAGACATTTTCGTCTTGCGAAGCAAGCCCATAGCAGATTCGTTTTGCGAGGCACCTCCAAAACGGAAAACTCTTTCGTCTAGCGAGTTTTCCGTCTTGCGAGGCATTCGTCTTGCGGGGCACCACTGTATGATTTACATGCAATACCTATACATTTGCAGCATTGCTTGCCAATAGAGGCTTTCCTTGCCCCTTACATATATACATATCCTACCAAATCACATTCTCTTGACCAATTCCTAATGACATATTGCAATGCTTCCTGCGACATATGAAAAACTACAAGTATAGTTTTATAGCAGCAACGTTTAACTTTCAATGTGGAGGCCCTTTGCTGCTAAGTTTTGAAATAGCTTTTGTTCTAAGTTTCCTATGACATATTTTGTCTGAAACTGAACTTTGCTCCTAAAAGCTAGGCAAATGTGCACCTACTGTATTATAGTTTCAAGCAGTTTCTAGTCTCAACAAAATGCTTGGAACAATTAATATTCTAAGTGCAAAGTTTAAACAGATTGTTTGCATATTGCAAATATATCCTCATCCCTATCTGAGCCCTGGTAAAAGTAATGGTGGAAATGCAGCTTTGTCTATCTATCCACTAACAAAAGGAAATGGTTAGCAGAATGGGGGAGGGAAGCCAGTTTTGCCAACTTCCCCTCCACCCCACAGCTTCTGCAACCATCATCACCCCATCTGCTCTGCAGGTTCCCCCATGCCCCTGGAACAGAACAGTATCATGGATCAGATGGTTCTACAAGAAGACTATAAGCTCCTCTTAGTGTCTTAATGTGAAAATGGAATGAGCTACAGTGGTACCTCGGGTTACATACACTTCAGGTTACATACGCTTCAGGTTACAGACTCCGCTAACCCAGAAATAGTACCTCAGGTTAAGAACTTTGCTTCAGGATGAGAGCAGAAATTGTGCTCCGGTGGCGCAGCGGCAGCAGGAGGCCCCATTAGCTAAAGTGCTTCAGGTTAAGAACAGTATCAGGTTAAGAACGGACCTCTGGAACGAATTAAGTTCTTAACCAGAGGTACCACTGTACTCTCAAAGTCCATTTGTTCAATAAAGACAGGACTCACTGAGAAGGGAACCAAGTTTGGGGAAATATAATGGGAGATGTTTCATTTTAGCTTGCTAAGTAATAGTTCTCGAGTGTTTCCCTTTTCCATGTTCCAGAAGTGGTATAATTTAATAGATATAATTGTATTTGCTAGGTAGCCTAAGCATTAAAATATTCACATTTTTTATCAATTTCAGGATACATCTAGCTTTAAAACACATTTTCCGAAACATATACAAGGTGTTAAAGCTTGGTTGCTGTTTTTAAGTGACCACAGCTGCCCAAATTCTGGTAGCACAGAAGTGGAGAAGAGACGAAGTACCATCACAAGAAGAATGAATATATAGAACTTGCCAGCATGACAAATAGAATAAGAAATAAAGATGATAAAATTTAAAAGAGGACTGGACATTATATATAGATTATATGGAAAAATATTATAACAAGAAAATAATCGTAACAGGCTGACAAAAATATTCAGCAGTAGAGGGTACAACGTGGGATAATATAAGGTAATGAAAACAACTTAGTAGAGTAAGATAACACAGTGGAAAAGATAGCAGTTAGGAAACCAAGGAAAGAGTGGGAGTAAAAGTTAAGGTTTATAAGACTCAAATAAATTGGAGGAATAAGATATTATCATCAATATACATATATATGTCTTATATTTATGTATTTTTTCTTATTATCATGTGTGTAACACAGTAAGTGTTGATGATATGCTAAAACAGAAAAGCAAATAAAAATATATATTTAAAAAAAGCTTGTAAAGAAGTTTCTAAAAATTGAACTGAATCAGGTATTGAAACTAATGTGATTCACATTTTTGTAATAAAACTAAACCCTTAAAACAACACCATTTTCTTTTCCCTCTCAGACTAAAAACAAGGCTACAGCTTGGTCATATATATAAAATTGCACAGCAGTAACCCACACACACGAGCATAGCATCAGATACACATCAAGCAAATGTTTTTGGTAACAATGACTTGCACAGGCCACAGTTTCATACGAAAACATTGTTATACCCTCTGCATTCATGCAAATGATCTTCCATCCACCTGATTTGGAAGGTTAGACTAATATTTTGAAAGTAATATATTGTCTAAAGTATGTTTAATAAAGGCTACTCACTGTTTCATATGCTGTTACAATTTTTTTCAAAACTTCTGGAATGATTCCTTGCAACTCCATAACGGGATACTGTTCGCTGAGATTCATCACAACCAAGGGTGTGTTATCAGATCTCACCAAGCGTGGAGATACTGCCACAATGCATTGCATGAGGTTTGCTACAGGAGAGAGGCCACACAGCTCTTTGAATAAAACCACTGCATTCTGTTGAAAAGAAAGGAAGAAGTTATATTTCACTTATACACAATTTGAATCTCAATTATCTTTAGTTTAAGATATTTCAACCTCATTGTACAATCCTAATAGCTACCAAAATAAAAAAAAAACCCTTATCTGTAGCCATGTTCTGCAGAAACATCAACTTTCTGAAGGAATTAAGGTGCCAACAAGGCTTGCAGTAGTTATCCAGAATTAAAATTAAGCAGATATGCTTTAGAATGCTTCTACATTCTAAAGCAATCCCACTTTTCAGCTGCAGTTGACAGTATTGTAATCATTTCTTCTCCCTGCAGAGAAACAGTCGAAATTCCAGCTCATGCTCTTTACTTGAAAAACTTTCAGTCATCAATATTGTCATGCAAACTTTTTCTCTCTAGGAGTTAAGTGATCATGGGTCATTTTACATTACTCTTCGGATATATATTTTTCCAGTGCTGTATTATGATGTCTACGATGCAGGTCAACATCTGTTGATCCTGCCCAATGTTAGTGTTTCTATTTCAACTCACTTTAGTCTTTGATTCATCCTTTAACAAGGTAAAACGAATCACAGGCAGGAAGTATTATCCTAGAATAATTTAACATTAAATGAAATACCTAATATTAGTACTTGCTTAGTACCAAACCATGATAACAGCAACCTACTTGACACGACAGTACATGAAACAACATAGAAATGCTGAGGATATGGAAGGTTTTGCCTCAGCAACAATTTAAACATACATCTTAAGTTTATCTGACACTAGTTTATGTAGGGCCTTCACATCCCTTGATGACTGCAGAATCAAGTGATGGCTTGCATATATGAATGAGCCATTTTAGATCACACACCACAAACACAATGCTTTTTGATGCACTTAGCTCATACAATCAGCTGCAAGCCAACAAACACAACTGTTTTCTGCAAAACAGGTATGCTGAACCCCAGGCTTGCAAGCCTCATCCAACCCACCAAGCCTTTTCTGGTAGCCTAGAAGTGCCACTGAACAAAGTTCCTCTCCTCTTATTTATCCACTAACACTTAGCAGATCAGAGCACTGGAAACCTGAGCACTGGGTGTATCAAAATAAGGCAGCAGCTTTCTGTTCTGACCTATATTCACCACAATCAACAGCGTATCCATTCTGCTGCAGTTTGGCTTCTACAAAGTACTACGTTATTATCTTGCTGCCCGCAATTTAACATAACTTGCATAACTATTTATGTATCTTAACATCCCTTTCAGTGTAAAGGAAATGTCAAAACACTGTAGAAAGGTCATTAATTACTTACTGTTCATAGAACTAAACAAGAACAACACTGAACAAAGACCAGTCACATTTGTTTACCATTCACAACCACACATGAACATGCCAACTGCAGCAATTTCTGATTTCTTTTCTGTTTTTGTCTGAACTCTCCGACACCCCTAGCTGGGAGTGCTTCGGAAACATCAGAGCAGAGCAGAGTACTCCCTCCGGTTTCCAGAGACCGCCAATCTGTTCAGTGGCAGTGGATAGAAAGGAAAGGCACTTCATTAAACGCTCACGAGGAAGGGACACCAGGGAGGAAGACGGCCTTCTCCCTGGCAGAGCGGTGGGGGAAGTTTCCCTTCCCCCTTCCTGCTAGAACACTACAGCTACAGAGGGAGCATTTTTTTCTTCCCATCCTTCACATGGCACTACAAAAGAAGTCCACCTCAGGATGCTGCAGCATACCATTGCTGGAATGCTGGTCTCCTTGGCACGCTTGAGCTCCTGAACCTCTTTACTATCTGCCGTGGGTAAAAAGGTGTTGTGAAGAAGGAATGGGGGCTTTCTGCAAGCCATGTGTGGGGTGAGATGGCGTATACTGTATGTGTACTGTGAGTATATGTGCCATGAGAAAGAAGGGGCAAAGGTGGGGTGGGGCATCAGAACCCACTAGTGCTTTGATCATAGGCGCCATTGGGATGTAGCCCTCAGATTAGTCAGCATGTAATGCAGTCCTGAGATTAAAATTCTACTCTGGAACAGATTTTAATGAAGATCAGACTATATATTACCAAAATAAATAATGAAAGTCAGTGTGGTGTAGTAGTAAAGTGTTGAACTAGGAATGGGGAGACCCGGGTTCAAATCTAACTCAGCCATGAAGTTCACTGGGTGACCTTGGACTAGGTCTCTCTCTCTCTCTCTCTCTCTCTCTCTCTGCCTCTGCCTAATTTACCTGCCTAATTTACCTCACATAGTTGCTGAGAGGATAAAACTTTACCTCACATAGTTGCTGAGAGGATAAAATGGGGAAGAGGGAGAAGTGCCATGCCACCTCAAGCTCCTTGGAGGAAAAGTGGGGTAGTTTGTGATTATAAGTTGTTTCATACGGTTTTTTAAAAAAATATTGTTGGACTGTTTTATCGTTGTAACTTGCCCTGGGACCTTAGGGTGAAGGGCAGGTCTATAATACTACTAAAAATAAAAATACAGTGGTACCTCGGAAGTCGAATGAAATCCGTTCTGGAAGTCCATTACACTTCCAAAACTTTCGGAAATCAAAGCACGGCTTCTGATTGGCTGCTGGAAGCTCCTGCAGCCAATCGGAACCCTCGTAAGCCGCGTCGGACGTTCGGGTTCCAAAGAACGTTTGCAAACCGGAACACTCACTTCCGGGTTTGCAGCGTTTGGGAGCCAAAATGTTCGACTTGCAAGGCGTTCGGGATCCAAGGAACAACTGTAAGTAAATAAAACCAGTTAGCTAACCTTGCTATAAAACATATCTATAATCAGTCATCCTTCAGAAGAACCGTCAGATAACAGAAAATACCTTACCGAACAAAAACTGAATCCAGTTAGGGTGGCATCCGTGCCTGAGTATCTTACAGCCATCACTTGAGGGCACTGATAACTCTAATCCTTACTTTTAACTGTCTGCAAAGCCACTGAACCTCTGAGCACATTTACCACGCTTAACTATGTCACATTATTTATTATGGAAACATATAATTACACCAGTATATCTGTATGTAAAATGCTAATCTCATATAAATGGTAGTGAATAAAAGACGGTACCTGCATGTTCTCCCTCAAATCTGTGGCATCCCGTATGGGCTGGAGAGCATTCTTGAATACTTCGTCAATGGTTTTAATCCATAAAGTCCTCATACAGGCATATTCTCTGGATTTCTTGCTCTTCCTGACAGACAGGCCCCGTTTATGTGGCTTTCCACCACCCCTTCTATTAGTTATAGCAACGTGGACAAATAAGAAAGCATGTGCCAGAGCTTCTCCTGTTAAAGACTGAAGGGGGACGTGGCGATAACCTGTCTGCAAACACTCAAAGGGAATTGTGTACTGCCCAATAAATTCATCCCCGATATAATCATCGTCCAGCACTACAAAGCGCACCATGGCGAGTTCAGGTAGATTAATCTGAAATTCAAAACTCTCATCAAAAATTGGGTTGTCCCCATTCTGATGCACAGTTTTTGTCCTTTGCTCTGCACAGTCTGCAGGGATCCCATGGATTTCTACATAGACATAAGGGTCTACAACATCACCTTTGGCACCTGACCCTTTTGGTTTAGGAAAGTTCTGTCCGCTAATAATCTTAACATGAAGAAGCTGAGGTGAAACTCCAGGCACAGAGTCCTTCGTATTTGCACTGAAGTAAGAGACTTCTTCCCGCATGATAGCAGGTCGAAGAACATAGCCACAGTTGCCGTTTTGTCGAAACCAACCAATGTTGAGGTCCATCATTAATCCAGGTGTCTGAAAGTTCATTGCTACTATCTGACAGCCACACTTCCAAAAATCCTGTGGGTTCATATTACTAGAATCAATCCTCATAGGGCTAGGGAAAACCCTGGCGAGAAACCGTTTGTTGTAATTCACAAAGTCTCCAGGGTTTTCATTGGCATATTTGGTAGCAAGCACTTCATTGAAGGAGCAAACTTCCCAGTATTTTTGAAGCTGAAATGAAACCTGAAAATCTTTAAATTGAACTGACTTACACATGCTTACCAGTTCTGAAAGCTCTTTGCAGAGCTGAAACCGTTTTACTGTGATAATATTCTGTTGTTCCACACCCTCTTTTCCCATTCTCTGGGACATTTCTACGCCTTCGTCTTCATCTGTAACATCTCCCTCTAGCCCAGAACAATTAGGAGACAGCTTCTTGGCTTTAATTAGTATTTTCCCTCTAAGAGATTCAGGAGAAGGCAGATAAGATTCCTCTGTGTTTGGAGACTGCGTGTGGACCTTGTCTCCCAGTATTTTCTTTATATGCTGAACCATCACCTTCTGCTGCTTGAGACAACAATGGTTTTCTAAGCACAAAATAAGAGGATATTCCGAAGCAACGAATGCATATTTGTTTATAATGTCGATTACACTGCGGAAGACTATCTGCGAGGTCATGGTGTGCCCTGTGTAAATTACTGGTTCATTGTCAGGACCATCCCACACATCCAACTCGACACACCGACACCCCATTTTCAAAGCACGAATGTATCCTGTGATATCAGATGGGCCTCGGAACTGATCCTCTATCAAGTACGTGTTATGAGATGAGTTTATAAAATAATGAGACAGAGGGTGGTTCATGCCCTGGCACACTTTTTTGTGCTCTGGGTCAAATATATGGCATTCTGGAGAAGTAAGGTAATTTGTAAAACCGTCTATGGAAAGCCAGCCCTTTTCCTGGCCCTCTTTAGATGGCTCATATTTGTGAATAATATCCAGGCTTATCTCTTCGGTGACATGTGCAATACCCTGTTCTGCTTCTAAAAACATCATAAGGTCCTTTGTGTCCAGGAATTCTTTATTGCTAGAAAATTGAACTAACAAAAAATAGATTTCAGGGCGAGTGCAAAGCTCATGAAAGACTTCAATAAACTCTTCCTTTGTGATTTCTGTACCAGGTTTGTCTTTTGTTCTGTGTAGCTCTTTGAACTTCAATTCAATTTTACTAGTTTTTAAACCAGGATTTAAATTTTTTATAAACTGTACAGCTCTGCACATAGATATGCGCCCCAAATTATCAATATCTGTTTCTTTAAACATTTGTGAAACCCATGAAGTCCGCATTTTATCTTGGCTACTTTCTAGCATATCTAGTGTGTGTTTTCCATACGATATCAGGTATCTCAGTCCAGTGACCCAAATATTTGCAACATCTGCAGAATTTGCAACGAGATCTAAAGACTCATAATTATCTCCATAAATAATAGAAAATGCACAGTCTTCCGAAATCTGTTCCGAAATTCCATTGCTACGAAAAATGTCTGTATTTTTCCCTGTTCTCACTTCTTTGATTGATTTAACGTCAATCTTTGCTTTCTCAGAATCCTTCTTTGAAGGTTCCCAACGTAGAGACTGCATGTCCGCATCTAAAAGGAAGTACCGGTGGTAAATTCGGGAGTTGGAGCGAACCTTTCTGAGTTCTGAGCCTTCAACCATGGCGTTAATACAGTCGCTTGCGCTGCTGATCTTCTTTTCAGTTGGCATGCTGCTAAATGACACCGTCTTTTTCCGTTCTCTTTTTTGCTTCGTACCATCCTGAAAAGTAGAGGAAGGGAAAGTTGGTAAGGTACTTGCCACATGTTACAAAAACAGAATATTCTTAAAAGATCTGTTGAGGACTAACATGTATGTCCACCAGTACTGACGTCTATGCAAAATGAATTAAAAGCTACACTAAAAGGTAACAGATATGCAATTTACCCTTATGCTGTTGTGTCCAACTGAGCTCAGTACGACTTATTACCAAGTAAGTGTACAAGGGATTGCATCCTTAGGTGTCAATGGTGTTTCGTGGCCACTTTTTCTGCATTTTTGCAGATAGTATATATTATTGCCTCTCTCTTTTTTACACTCACAGTCAGGAGACTTGCTGAAGACCAAACCAACCAACCAAACTATGCTTCAACAGTACATTACTGTACATTATCTATAAACATGTAATGTGTTTGTGGGCATGGCTATATTTTAATATCTGTTGATATTCTAGGCCACAATTGTTAACATATTAATACAAATGCCCAGAATTTTATTACAAGTCCTGGAAAGAAGAGACGCATATACTTCGTGTGTGGGTTGGGTACTGATTCCTCTGCAATGTGAGACAGAAGAATGGGCCCCATGACAGGGGGAGAGGGCAAAGGATATGAGATGCCGAACTAAGGAGCAAACAGCAGAGTGTTATGAAGCCTAGCAATGTCTTCCTAGCAACTAACCAAGGAGAAAGGAACCTGTGGCTACTGTGGCCATGGCCTCAAACACTCCCCTAGCCACTACAGTGGTGCCTCGCAAGACGAAATTAATCCGTTCCGCGAGTCTCTTCGTCTTGCGGTTTTTTCGTCTTGCGAAGCGCGGCTATTAGCGGCTGTTAACGGCTATTAGCGGCTTTAAGAAAAAGGAAACAAACTCGCAAGAACTCGCAAGACGTTTCGTCTTGCGAAGCAAGCCCATAGGGAAATTCATTTTGCGGAACGACTCAAAAAACGCAAAACTCTTTCGTCTAGCGAGTTTTTCGTCTTGCGAGGCATTCGTCTTGCGGGGCACCACTGTATTGTCTGCTAAAGAGTAAAGGGGTGCTTTAAATTGAGATCCTGCTCCTGGGCATGAACATGGAAATGGGTACAGCTTGAAAAACTGCCTAGAAAAGGTAGAATTCTAGCTTTGTTTACATTATAGCAGGTATAAGTAGGAGGCTAAGTTACACATTGCAGGGCTGCTGAACAGGGCTGAAAAAAGCAGTAGTTTTAAGTCAGAATTCAAAAGTTCAGCTGGCAAAAGACCCAGTGCAGAATCTAGGAGCATTAGCTTCTGCCAACTTCAACTGAAGATGCATAACAAAACTCTTGGCCGCACAGTGAAACTGACAAAAGTGGGGTGGGGGGTGAGCATAAGCTGCTTTTGGAACGGTTTCTTAAGATAATGGGCCAAGCAAGTCTGGCTTGTCCTAGTCTTTGCATATTTAGTGTTTGGGATCAAATGGCCATCAACAATCAGTATCTACATGTCACCTTGCCTATTAGAAATGGACTAAGGTTGGCCTATTTATTGGGGGGGGAGGAATCAGGAAAGGCCTATAACTTCAAATGTCATTTTATTCTCCATGAAATCCTCTTCATAATTCTTTCCCCACTTTTCTTTTTAACACACAGCAGTTGCAGCAAGCTTGGAGACTGAGAGGAAGACTAGGGAAAGAAGGGGTGTTTATGCATTCCTCCTCATGCTGTTTTTCTTTGGTGGTGGGAAGGATGAAAAGATACCTAGTCCTCAAGGCTGCATACCTTTTTGAAGGAATGAGGGGATATATACTTATATTGCCCATGGCAACACCTATCCATGTATGATGGGAGCAGTGGGAGTGTGGGTGGAGAGAAAGGAGGATTTGGAAGTGGCAAGAAAGATTGGGAAAAGAACCAGAACCGTATCCCACCCCCCATACATGTCTGTACACCCATACACATCAGATCTGATGGGTCTTAGTAACTTCACAACGTTATTCAAAATTAAAGCAACAGTATTGATATCTACACAAGTATTTCTGCAGCAAAATCAAGGACACAAAGCTGATAGGAAGCAGAGCTCAACAGTAAAACTCTGGAGAGAGGGTTATGTTCCAGGGATCATGCCTAAAGCCAAAACTGTATATGGTCAAAACACACTGGGTACAATGGCAGGTGGGATTGCCAAAGTCTTTTTTTCCTGGATGTCTGCCCCCGCTTTAATTTTTTTCAAAAAATTTGGCCAAGTTCATTGAATGTGCATAAGTTGTGGGTTTACTGTAATGCTATTTGAGCACAATGGATGTGAATCACCAGGTTAAATTTCTGAAATTATCAAAATAATAAAGCAGAGCAAAGATCTGATAAAATGCTCATTCTAAAACAAAAACCTGTCACACTGATGGTCATAACATCAAACATACAAGGGCCTGTTTACACATTTATAGCTGCTACACAAAATTCACCTTAATATCTCTCCACATGGCAACTGTTACATGAGAAGGGAACACTTCGGACGATGGCAATAGATGTGGGGAACTAGTGTTCAGTAGACATGCTGTAAGGTTGCAAGGAAATGGAAGGTGGCTAACCACAAAACTTGCTAGGAAAAACTAATAGCATACAGAAATTGAAAGGCTAATGCCTCCATCTATAGAGCCCCATGTATTCTCCAGAGTGTCCACCCAGCTCTGATATTCACATGGAGACATGTGATTGCACCTCTGAGCTTTTGCCATTTCTATGTGCAAATAAATATATGCATATATAGTCATCTACTTCCATAACTGAAATTAATGAAGCCAATGATGGCATTCATGTTTATGGTACATCTTGCAACTGATGTTTCTACATACAAGAAATCAAGAATTTGGGGGGGAGAGCACACCTCTTCACTCCAAATTTACACACTATCTTAAATTTACAACCAAATTTTCAAACAGGCATCAGATAATTCATTCAAAATTTTATTTTTATTTTTTCTTTATATGCTGCTTTCCAGTGCAAAGCTCTATCAAAGAATTTTAATAATTACATTAAAAGTGTAAAACATTTTTAAAAATAGAAATAAATCAGTCCCGTTTATGAAACACAACGGCATCAGTTTAATGAGTTGTTTTACTAAAACATCACTGTGGCTACAATCCTAAGTATTTTTGAAAGTATATTCTTTTGACATCTGTACAGGGCTATGAGAGAAACAACCAGGCAAAGGATACAATATGAGTCACAACAGTACAGCTTCAAATGACTTTTCATTACAAAATAAAATAACCAAGTTGTAGTTCTTCCATAAATCTGAGAACACCATAACAAATCTAAAGTTGCTGATGAAGGCCTGTTGTCTGCAAAATTCATAACTCAGTAAAATATTTCCTAATATATGGTAGTTCTTCCTGGCATCTGGATTCTAGAGAATTTTTCAGCTGTGTTTAGAATCATAGAATTATAGAGCTGGAAGGGACCTAAAGGGTCATCTGGTCCAACCCCCTGCAATGCAGTAATATATCATTTGTAGAATATATCACTAGTGTACATTAATCATTTAGCCTGGTGGATTTCTATCACTGCAAATCAGGAAGAAACAAAGCTAGGTGGAAGCCAATGACTCACCACTCTGCTCTACAAATGAAACTGTATCTCAAACATAATTCTCGCTCAGGAGAATTAATTACCTCATCAAATGAAGAGATTTAACTTGATCAATCGATTGATCATTATTAATGCATGTAATAACTATTCAGAAAATCACTCACAGGGCTGTGGAAGCCCTTGCAAGTTGTATAGTCTGACATCACTCGTGGGGAGGCTCATCTGTTCCCCTTACCAGAGTATTTTAATGCTTCTTCCCCTCACACTTAAAAATAAATAAATTCTTAACATGTACACAAACTCCTATATCATTCAAACACAAGAAAACCCAGACAGTTCTCTTCTAAACCGTCCAACACCAAAAGGGCTACCTCATCTCCCTTACAGTAATACCATGTTACTTCATAGGTAGTTTGCTGCTTTGCAAAATGTTATTTAACTTTGAAAGCTCTACACTCACCCACTCCAGTGATGTCCTCTGACTTTTTTCCCCTACTTGAAAGGAGTAATCAGAGTATAGCTATTCCCAAGTGTAGTACCTCTCCCCTTACACAGAGACAATGATTGCTTTTGGTTCTGGATTGGTGCTACTGTGAATACAGTGGTACCTCGGGTTACAGACGCTTCAGGTTACAGACTCCGCTAACCCAGAAATAGTACCTTGGGTTAAGAACTTTAATTTCAGGATAAGAACAGAAATCGCGTGGTGGCGGTGGGAAGCCCCATTAGCTAAAGTAGTACCTCAGGTCAAGAAGAGTTTCAGGTTAAGAACGGACCTCTGGAATGAATTAAGTTCTTAAGCCAAGGTACCACTGTATAGCCCTTTTTAAAAGGTGTGCCTTTATGGGTGCTTAGAAGGACCCTTTCTATAACCACATACACGAATATCCAGCAACATTTAAAAATAAATACTGCATCACTGCACTATAGCAGGATGTACCATATTTTTCGCTCTATAGGACGCACATTTTCCCCTCCAAAAATGGAGCCCCGCGCAGCCTCTCCCGGCTGGAGAGGTCGTGCATGGCTAAAGAGGAAGCCAAGACAGCCAGCGGGATGGATCCCGCTGGCTGTCTTGGCTTCTTTGCTCTTTGGGGCTGGGGGGGAAATATTTTTTTCCCCCTTTATTCCCCCCCCCCTAAAAACTAGGTGCGCCCTATGGTCCGGTGCGCCCTATGGAGCGAAAAATACGATAATTTCAGCAGGTTTAGTCTAATACTTAGACAGAAAAAAACAAATAGCAGCTATTATAGTTTATTTTAACAGCTACACCGATTACTCCCTAATCTGTGTATGGACACCATGGCAAGATCATGAGCAAATCTTCACTCGGTGTTCTCTGTCTATTTAACTTCCTGGTTAATCTCCCTGATTTGGTTATTTATTCCTGCCCATGGTGAAGGGAGTCCACAATCCAGAAGCTCCTCTACAATTTCACAAACAGGGAAAAGCCACTTTTTCACTAAACCAAGCCACTCGCTTTCATCCTTTAATTCACTGGGATCCACAGAATGTTCACTACGCCAGCGTGGTGTAGTGGTTAAGAGCAGTGGATTCGTAATCTGGTGAACCGGGTTTGATTCCCTGCTCCTCCACATGCAACTGCTGGGTGACCTTGGGCTACTCACACTTCTCTGAAGTCTCTCAGCCTCACTCACCTCACAGAGTGTTTGTTGTGGGGGAGGAAGGGAAAGGAGATTGTTAGCCGCTTTGAGACTCCTTAGGGTAGTGATAAAGCGGGATATCAAATCCAAACTACTACTCTTCTTCTTCTTCTTCTTCTTCTTCTTCTTCTTCTTCTTCTTCTTCACTATTCTGATTGTTGGCAACAATCTCGATTAGTACCAAACTGAGACAGCAACAACATACTGACACTGCATGAAACAAAATGGCCGTGCCGAGAAAATGAAAGTTCTGGCACTGGCAGCTACTTAATGTGGAGTCCACAATAAAGAGTCCAGTGGGCTATAATTAACACAGACAGCAAGTTCACAAAGCACAGGGAGCACAAAATACATAACATCCCAGCAATGCCAAAATAATGACATGGCTTCCAATGTTGCACTCAAGCAACTAAGCCCATATGCTTTCCACTAAAGCCCAGAAAAATGGCATGCCCAGAAAAATGTGCAAGACACCCAAACAGAACTGATTTCATATGTTAACAATTAAGGCTAAATATGGTGGGCAATTTGCTTCTCACACTTCTGTTGTACAATCTGAAACGAACCTTAAAATTATACCAATCAGACCAGATGTTTGAGCCAGTCACTTTGCATGCAATAAAGCTTTGAGAAAGGAACAAAAACTACTTTGAGATTCATCAGGTAGTAGTTTACGATGACATTTTGTGTATATGGTTTAAGCCCACACTCTTATTTGTACGAATAAATCTATAGCAGTGGGAATGAAGAGCCACTCTGAGCTTGGGCTCCATAAATTGGCCTCTTGGCAAAAAAGCAAAACACATCTATCAGGTTTTATTTATTTATTCTTTGGACTGAAGCTGTCACCCTTTCTTAAGTTTGGGAATAGATTATTAAGTATTGTTTTTTTAAAAGTGAACTCTTTAAAACAATATTCTTTTTAGTAAAGAATACTACAAAATCCCGTTTGGCAGCAACAATTGCCTACACTTTATTTATCACTGGAACAAATGGCCCTGCAGAGATGGAAAATTCAGAGATAATTCAAATGACAACATGCCAGAAATACTGCAGAATTATTAGCTAAGGTGTTCTACTACACCCTCAAAGCTCAGAGGTGCCTTGTAATAATGACAAAAGTTTATTAAATTTACAGGATATGTCACAGGCAATAGTTGGGATTCAAACAGCTGGTCAAGCTTATGCAAATAGCTGGCACAACTAACCAAGTGGATTTTTATGGTACTTTTACCCTTTCTGAACAGCTGAACTCATGTGATTAGCATAAACGTCTCCTGCAACTGCCAACTCCTCATTTCCTGTATGGTATACTGAAGACTAAATCCTCATAGGATCCTTATCCATGTTTATGACATTCAGCTCTGCCTCCTTCAGTACAAAGCCTATTCAGTTTCTTGCTGCTTATGAGGTTACCCTGGTGAAGGATTTGGCTCAGTTCACCTTGTTATGTGGATAATTACACATTTGTTTCACTGTATTCCCCTTCTGAACCTCAGCTCCGTATCAAGGCAATCCTTCTGTGGCAGTTTTGTGGGGCAAATGACCACCACGTAATTGAATCCCTTTCAAAGTTCAATAAATCTCAAGGTTAGCTTTCGAATCAAATTCCACCTTGTTTATGTTTTGCAGTTACTTCAGTTAAGCTGCTGCTCTGCCCCAATAAATGATGCTTACACAGCAGCAGAAACCATTGTTTATAGCTAAAATTGCTCCTCAAGATCAGACTCTTGGCTTAGCCTCAGACACAAATGCATTGCAAGGGAAGAAATGGAACATAAAACCCTAAATGCTGCAAAAGGAAATACATTAATTTCTTATGGTCACTAAACAGAACATGAAAAGAAATTATGACCTGGTGTCCTTCTATTCTTTTTTAAAGTCTCAAGTGGGAAGTACAATGTGTGCCTGTGATTTGTTAACAGCAAGCCAGCTAGTCCAGATGTCTATAAATAATTAAATTACACAGACAGTTCTGCATTGACATACAAACATTTTCCTTGCCTAAAGGGATGGAGAGACTATGCTAAAAATGACCCTCTTTGTAGTCAAAAGTTGTTGATAAGTTGTAACTACTTAAAGGGTTTCAAATCTTCCAATACAACTCTGGAAAATCTGTTGGTTTACATTTTTTTCCTTTTTTCTTTTTTGAAGGGAAAATATGGCACTTTATACAGTGGTGCCCCGCAAGACGAATGCCTTGCAAGACGGAAAACCCGCTAGACGAAAGGGTTTTCCGTTTTTCAATGCGCTTCGCAGGACGAATTTCCCTATGGGCTTGCTTCGCAAGACGAAAATGTCTTGCGAGTCTTGAGATTTTTTTTCGCTCCCCCCCCCTTTTCTAAGCTGCTAAGCCTTTAATAGCTTTTTAGCAGCTAAGCCGCTAAGCCTTTAATAGCCGCTAAACCGCTAATAGCGCTAATCCGCTAAGCCGCTAATAGGGTTGCTTCGCAAGACGAAAAAACCGCTAGACGAAGATACTCGCGGAACGGATTAATTTCGTCTTGCGAGGCACCACTGTATTTCAACAAAAGGTGCACTATTAATGCAGACCTCCCATTTCCAGAATTCTTTGTTTCTTTTAATAGAAAGGGGGAGGTATCTAGTTCAGATACAAAGAATGCAATCTAATGCACACTTCCTTGGGTGTAAGACTTATAGAATTCAGTGGAACTTATTTCAGAGTGATCTTGAATAGAGTTGCACTGTGAACTGCTCTCCAAATGGATAGTGGGGCTGTCATTTTTTCGGCCAGAAAACTGAACAGTGATTAATTGAACACAGCATTTGAATTTTTGAGATTAGACTGTTATTGCAGCCAGGGCTGAACAACTGAGATTATTGTTGCAGTTAACTTCAATAGGCTAATTGTGACTCACGCTGTTATATGCCCTGTTTAAACTCAAAATTACCCACATTTTAGGTCAAGTCTCAGAACATGGTACTAAAAAGTTCCTTGGCACCTTTGGAGGGGCTCAGAGATCCAACTTGAAGTTCATACTCCTGGGGGGCGGGGAGGACAGAATTTGGGAAACATCCTTACCAGAGATCATGGAAGGTTCCTGGAAGTCAGTAGACAAAACTGGGCTTCAAAGCAGATAGTTAAAAGAAGGTATAACTTCCTTAAATTAATAAACTGACCTGGTATAAGACAGTTTTCTATGTTTCCTAAACCTCTATGTTATGTTATACAGCTGCACAGCCCAAAGAAAGGATGGTGTGGGTGTTGATGACTTCACTGACAACCAGTATTGCTTCTGCACAGATCCATTCATTTTCAGTAAAACTCACACAAGGCTCATACACTAAACATGAGATGAAAGGAGGGCTCCCGACTCATGGTTGAAAAATTAACTGTTGAAGAAAGTTGTTTATGAAGATAAACAGATCCTACATTATGCTGTCAGCTTTAGATAAACAGAATGCACTCCTCTAATTCCAGACATACTGGTGTGAAGCCATTTAATCCTATAAAAGAAAATGACAATATTTTTAAGCAGTTGCCTTACTGGTACGTGTGCGGAATGTTTACTAATTTTCTTTCTAGATAGCTGGCCATACAGCATCTCCTTATGTTCACTTATAAAAAGTAAAGTTCATATATATAATTGGAGGCCTTTGATTTAAACTTCCGCATTTGCATTCTGCTCACCTGGAAGTTTCTTTAAATGAGATAGCTCCAATGAACTTGAGATACTGGAAATAACTTTAGTGCAGAAGGTGTGATCTCGTATCAGACTTGGGCAAGGGCATTTAAAGCACATGACTTCCCCCAAAGAATCCCAAAAATCCCCTCACAGAGCTACTATACTCACAGGAACAGCAGGATAAAAATGTAAAATAAATGAACACACATGATAAAGGCACAATTCTGTGTTTCAAGGCTGAATAATAGCTTGGTCATAACTATTCAGTTTTAAGGAGGCCTGGGAAAGATGCAAAATAAAAAACTGTGATATATGGATTCAAGATTGAGAGTTCACATTGAAAACATAGCATAGTGCAAACACATGCTTGATCCATGCATCTGTTTTCAAACAGGGGCAAGGAGAAAAAATAAAAACATAGCGTGATGCAATACCTATTTTGGAGCTCAAGATATTGGAGCTACAGTTTTGCATGTTGGCTACACGGTTCTATACTTCGTGTTCACACCTGGCACTGAAGCCCAGAAGTGCGCAAGATGTTTATTGGTCATAAGCACCATGTTGCCTTGAAAAATCAAGGTGAATACGATCAATTAAAAATGATGAATGATACTGTGATGATAACAAGGTTATAAATTATTTTGCTTTTATATATCCTCATTAATACATCCACATTGCCTGAGAAGCATAATAAAAGCACTTCTACGACCCCAGTACATCAAGGCAAAAACATAAACAGCTTCAGGTGACCCTCCCTTTCAACATTAGGGCTGTGCTGCAGGGGACAAATATTTTTCTACAGAAATGCTTTCATTTATTCTGTGCCATCCTCTCGCACACCCTACCACTCAAACTGTATTTATGGCAGCTATGGGTTTGTGTAATAAGAGAGCTTGCATACTGTATTTATCTTTTAATCTAATTTTAAAATGAGATGCACAGACTTTCAGCTGCATGAATTATTTTGTTATAAAAGTTTCCTTAATCTCATGAGTTTAACAAGCAAATGAAGAATATTGTTTTATTTCTAGATCGGCTTTAAGCCTCTGGAAAATTTTGCCGATTCTCTCTCTTCTCTGCAATTCTCAGCTTTTGAAGGTAATGTTATGATTCGGCAAAATCATTCGCCTAAGCAAAATATTCCACTAGAATAATAAAGTACGACACAGCATGGCCCAAAATGGTGATTGTTGAAAGACTGAGGCATGCCCCAATGCTGAATGACTCATATTACATTTAAACAGCAATGCAATCGATTGTGCAAGTGCTATCAATGCTACATGTGTACAGGTGTACTTCACATGAGCAGGGCAAAAATAATTTCAAATAGGAATGAGAGGGTCTATTTGGTGCAGAGATGAACCACTGGGATAAGTTTCATAAACATTTTTGTGCCCCTCTGTGGAGAGCTGAGTGGGGGGGCTCAGTTATTCATTACAACACCTGACCCTTCCGTCCCCTTTGGCAACAAACTATGCAACAAAGCAGTCTTCACTTTTTTGGTAGGGTAACTGCATACAGGGCTGAACTTGTAATCTACCATTACACCAGAGTCAATGTTTTTCTGTGGTGCCTCTAGAATAGCTGGTGTTATATAATTTTGTGTATGAGTATATTGTGGTATTTATTTATTACATTTCAATGCCATGTTTACTGCAAATAAGTCAAAGCAGTAGAAACGGTTCCCTCTCCCTTCCCCTAATTTTTCTACGCACAGCAACCCTATGCAATAGGGTGAGGCTGAAAGTGTGTGACTCGCCCAGTATCACCCACAGAGAATCTAATGGCAGAGAGGTATCTGAAACTGGGTCTTCCTTGGCCATTGTCCAAAAGTTTAACCACAGCACCCAGGGGCCATTCGGAACAGCAGCACCTCGTATCAGCTGCATGTAAGCGATTTCTATGGGGAAAGGTAAAGGTAAAGGGACCCCTGACTTATTAGGTCCAGTCGTGGCTGACTCTGGGGTTGCGGTGCTCATCTCGCTTTATTGGACGAGGGAGCCAGCATACAGCTTCCAGGTCATGTGGCCAGCATGACTAAGCCGCTTCTGGCGAACCAGAGCAGCACACGGAAACGCCGTTCACCTTCCCGCCAGAGCGGTACCTATTTATCTACTTGCACTTTGACGTGCTTTCGAACTGCTAGGTTGGCAGGAGCAGGGACCGAGCAATGGGAGCTCACCCCGTCGCGGGGATTCAAACTGCCAACCTTCTGATCGGCAAGTCCTAGGCTCTGTGGTTTAACCCACAGTTCCACCCGCGTCCCTATGGGGAAAGAGTGGGGCCTTATTATTAAATCTGAGAAAATATTTTCTCCTCTTGCCCAATGTTTTCTGTAACTGTAGTAAGCTAAAACTTATTTCCTCTTATTCCAATGCAGCCTGAAGTCATGGGAAAACTTTACAATCAAAATTAACATCACATTGGAAAAAACTCTAGGAATACGGGCGGGGAAGAGGAGAAAGGTCAAATGATTCAGTTTGGGGGTTTTTTATGTAGAAAGTGTTGGATATATTCCATTAAAAGCAGTTCGTTTTACTCTGCTTTAATAACTCAAACATTGTAAAGGGATAATCCTGTTTGAGAAGATAACCATGTCAGAGAAAAGCTCTCCCATCAGCTTCAGAGAGTTTCATACCACAAAAATAACATTATGAATGGCAACAAATCACATAATGGCCAGCTTGGCTAATATCAACTATCAGCTTTCCAGTGACGTTTCAATAGCCTTCTAGGGTTAATAGAATCTGCAGCCAAAGAACTGGGTGCTTCCTGAAATCAGTCTGTGGAGTTTAGTGTCCTGACCATCACTACTGTACTTGAGTCCTCTTTGCTGCAAAGACAGGAGAACCCACAATAGGCAGAATTCCCCTGACCAGGGTCTATGAACCCCATTTCTGTCCCCACCACAATACACAGACCCTCAATGCAAAATGTATTCATATTTATCTCTCTAGCTTCAATTCCTTGTCCCCTCAATCGCTTTCCTTAAGCCACCTATCCTTTCTTCCGCTCCCCATCTTAGTTCATTCTCTACTCTGTACCCAGCCAAACTGACACATTTCCCTTCTCTTACAGAAGCTGGATACCACACGATTTAGTTCTCTGAGCAACTGAACATTCTGTGCCACCATACCAGCTTAGGCGTACAGTACAGTACAGTACAGATTTAATTAACATATCTTCCTCATGACAATTAGTGTGCTATTCTTCGACCCCAGGGCTCAATGATGTCTTAAAAAATTAAGCAATGCTGCATGCATTACTAATAGCACAGGGAGATAAGACAGCAGATTAAAAGCAAGCAAGGTATGTACAAAAGAACATTGTATAGAATTGTACTTTAAAAACAAACCTATGATCTAGGTGGGTCTACCTAGCCCAGTATTAATTTGCACTGATTGGCAACAGCCAAACAGGTTTTAGTCCCATCTGGTGGTGCCAGGGATTGGAACATGGGACACCTTGCATAGCCAGTGAGCTATGACCTTCTTTCAAGGCCCCTTGTTATTTGCATCTTCTAAGATGGGAAAAGCTAGAACAATAACAGGCCTTTCTCATTTAGAAAACAAACAAGTTAACTCTGCTAGGGTTTCTAAGAGAGGATAGATCATTCTCTACAATTCACCCATCTCATTTGGCTCTCCCATCTTCATTTGCAATTGTACCAATGCATGGAACTATGCACAGCTGTTTATATGGAAAAAATGGTCTCTGGAGGCCAGTAATTGCTATACGTGTAGATGTTACGTTCACCAGCTTAATCAAAGGCATCTGATTAGCAGCTCAGAATAAGAGCTGAGTATTATAGGAAGCCCTTGGATATATTATTCTCTTGAAAATTTTATTTTGTCTTAAATTAGAACAATTTAGAAGTAAAAGGGAAATACTTGAGTGAGATGTAAATGAGGTATCACAGTCCATGTTGCTATTTGAATAGGACAATCATTATGCAAGAAAACAGAGGAGTCAAGCTAAGTTTTCCTAAAAGGAAAAAAGTAGCATTAAAAACTATAGTTGCAGCTTTAAAAATCATGGATATGCCAACCAATAAGCTGCAACTGCACCACTTTGAAATAAATGTTAAAGAAATATATCTTTCACTAATGTTATTAGTCTTGGAAGGCTTAATAATAAACAGATAATGGGTGAAACTGGCTCAATACCTCCATTCACTGTACTTCATTCTGCATTAATGCTGAAACATTTTCATTATACTGTTGGTAAAATTATTCATTCTTCCTTGAGACAAATTAATACAATTGATCAAAGTGTCTTGGAAAATTAAACACCGGGTTTTCTTTTGCATTTCATGACAACCGGCTTTAAAGCAGAAAAACCCTGTAAATGTGACATCTTTTTCTCTTTCCCTTTGCTAGATCGAGTTGAAAGACATTACATTAAAACATCAATTTGTACACTTTCCCTCCGTATCTTGCAATTTCCTGCTAACATGTGTCATAATGTTACTTCAAATTTTTCTTCCCTGTTGCAGCTTTACATTTAGGTTTTAATTGCGGCACAACTGGTGGATTTCTGTCCCTCTGGGAACCGGTTTATTTGAAAAGTAGCACATAAAATAAATGCAGCTCTCGCCCTAAAAAATATATATATCCACAAATAACAGGAGGCATGAAGCTAAGCCCTGATCAAATATTTTCCCTTAACATTTAGCTGCACAAACTGGCCGGAGCCTTCCAGACTTTGTACACTTGGTTCAAAGTTGGGTACAAAGATTAGTCTGCACTAGCAACAGTAAAACCGCATAAGCAAAAGACCTTTTTAAAAATTCATGAAAGCACAACTGAAAAGACAGGCCACTTTCCCTATGGCCAGAATTCAAAGGTCTGCAGCTGGGATCCAAAGAACTGTGTTATCTCTAATGCTAGTCCTTCCCCTTCCCAGCAATGCCTTATAGCACACCACTTCCAAAATTGAAATTTTGGAAATTGGAAATGGAATTCAACAAGAAGGTTTGGGGGGCGGGCACTGGATGTACCTAAATTTGAGGGGACGTCAAATGTAAATCTTGGGATTCTAGATTGGGGAATTTAGCTCCATAACAAACGTTTTGGGACAGAGGTGGGGGAAGAAGCATTCAATAAGCATTTTATAAATGGTATTGGAATCAGCTGTTTAAAGGGGGTAGAATAAGTAAAAAAAAGGGGGGAATCAAATGGGCTGGTGCAAACCCCTTGCATTTGTCTAACAGGCTCTTTAGATCTTAGTCTATGTAACTATGGTGCAAGGCTAAAATAAAATATACTAGTTTCATAACCAAATCTAGCAACAGTTCATGGTAAGTTCCCCGGAGGCTACCAGCGTAGCTGCAAAAGGAGAAGAAAAACTAGCACCCTCATTGGAGGATGTTGTGAGGTGGTGGTGAAAGCTTGAGAATTGCTAATTCAACAATGTGCAGATCTGGTTGTTTGAGTGGCCAGAAGCAACAACAGGGCCCACCCTGGACACTGCTAGCAGCCACTAAGCAATCACATACTTAGCAGATTTAAAAAAAAAATATTTTCTTTTGTGCACTGCAAGTTTGAAATATGCTGTATTGAAATATGGTGTATTTCAGAGAATTCCAAATAAATTTCATTGAAACACTTATTACAGAGACATGCAGTAGGTCTTTTGTATATATATTTATTAAAAAGATGAACCTTACAACTAATTCAGAGGCGGGTTTGGGGGCAGAGGAATTTGTTTAAAAGATGTAAGATAACCCTCCTGTGGCTTCCAGCAACTGGTATTCAGAACCATTACTGCCTCCATAGTTTAACTATGTGCTGTGTGAAGAAGACCTTCCTTTTATCTGTCCAGAATCTTCCAACATCTTCTGAAGTGCCCTGCACTTGCTCTTTACTGGCCCTAAATTCATCCATAAGGATCTATGGACACTTCTCCTTGTAGCAGCCCACATGTCTATTGCGGAAGGACGGAAGATGTTCTCAGACTTTACCCTTGAGGGCCAGTATAGGCACAATAGCATTGTCTGAGAAACTCCTTTACACCATCCAGCTTCCCACAACTTGATTCCCCATTTTCCTTTCCCTCCATCATCAATGCCTCCATAAGGGGACTGTTCCCATCTTCGCAGATAAGCTTCTGGAAGACTCTATTCAGTGACAAGCTCAAACTGCTGCATTATCCTCCTCTTGATCTCCCTCCCTCCCTCTTCCCTAAACCTTACTTTAAGTTATTTTTAAACTGTGCATTTACCCATGTTCATTCGTTCTCTCCTTCTTTAATCTCTTTAGTTTATTTGTTTTGAGATTTACCTGTTGTTACATTATGACTGTTTTGCATTATTTGAATTCGACTCACAATATTTTAAACCCCAAACAACTTACACCTAAGAGGTACCACCTCCTGCTAGACTACCCTGCTCATCCCCTAAGGAGAGGCCCTTCTCGTGTCTGATCTGGGGTGCAAGCACAACTTGTCCCAAGAATCTTGGATGCACCATTTTATGCTGGTTGACAAAAACCAATTTTAACTGTGAAAGAAACTTCACACTAGTAAAAACGTGATGTTCCATGTAGAGGCCGTGTTTTATCTGCAAACCATGCCTTTGCGGTGCTGTATGTTTCTGTGAATATATAGATTATATCTATGGGGTTTCTTTTTCAGGCAGCCCTACCAGATCTTTACTAACCCATGCATTAAGCAGTTAATGCAGTCTCTGATCAGACTTCATCTAATACATATTAGATGCGTCTGTAAAAGGTTTGTTTAAAAAGCTCCCAGAACAATTAGAGGACTGGAACATCTGCTTTATCAGAGGAAGAGTTAAGAAGATCTGTCTGCTTAAGTTTATCTAAGACAAAGATTAAAAAGTGATCCCAAATGTGAGTAGGGATTCCTGCTGCCAGAAATTGCAGAGATGGGTGGGTGCTGGTAACCATTGTGCTGAAGTAAAATCAATTGGCTTGTTCAGATTTGGTTCTGAGCAACAATATCCACATCTGTACAGAATAGGTTTCTGCCTGTAGGCAGCTCCTTAAACCCACTACCTTTATAGGTGTAATAGAAACCAGTAGATGGAAGATGGGTGTGTTGTGTTTGTTTGTTTGTGTGTGTGTGTGTGTGTGTGTGTGTGTGTGTATTCACTTTTCTTCAACTCCAAATACCCATTAGAAAATAATCACAAGAATTAATCATGTGATATGATAAACAACATGCCTTATAAAAATAAAGAGTTTAGTTTACACTGGAATTACAGGGGAATAAATGCCAAAGAGCTACAGACCAGATTATCATACTGATAGATTTGTAAAGCCATGAATCTATAAAGGCTGCTATACACAAATGTACTTGATGCTAGGAAGTGGTATACAAGCCATTTACTGTATATAATTGATGAGAACAGTGCTGCAGATGTTAAATTATCCCCAGGTAATTTACTTTGTGCTTCTGGGATAGTCCTTTGCCAACCATCTGGTACATTTTAAATGATGGCACAAAATATCAGACACTACTTGTACAGATGACTTTGTGCTCCAATCCTTTTGTTCTATTGCGGACAATTTTTCTGTTTATACTTTGTCATAATAATGGTGTTAAGTCCTATAGAACTGAAGAACAAAATGTGGGCTATGAGGAGAGCCAAGCATGTGAGATTCTAGGATGGCAGAAACACACTTGGCACAAAACTGAAATTAAAAAATGGAAACGAGCTGGTTTTTAAAAGGTGGGAGCAAAGCAGATTCCCCACTATTCCATATGCTCCTTTCTCACTGCCAGCCTGCCCTCTACTTTATTATTTCCAGGCAGCCAAAAGGAACATATTATCTTATGCTAGAAGCCAGGGGAGAAAAAGTCAACAGGCCCTGGAGCAGAGCAACCCAACTTTCATACCAAGTGGGCCGGAAGAATACTCTCACACGGAATCCGCAGGTTCAGTTCAAATACATTGCATATATATTTTTATAACCACAAATCTCTCTTGTATCTTATATTACAAAACATTTGTTATAAGAGGTTGTTAAGTTTTGCTAATGACCAGAAAATTCTCTTTAGTTTGCAGAACTGAGAGCCTCATAGTATTCACATGTACATTAACAAGTAACTCAAAATTTGTAATGGTCTAATTGCTGCATGAGGATCAAAATACCCAACAACAACCAAAGTAGTTATACCTCAGCTCTATATAGTACATATAGTAAATAATAATAATAATAATTTATTATTTATACCCCGCCCATCTGGCTGAGTTTCCCCAGCCACTCTGGGCGGCTCCCAAGCAAGTATTAAAAACAATGCAGCGCTTTTCCCAGCCAGAACTCACCAGAACTCAGTTCTGGCACCACTCAGGTGGGTGCCATTGCCATTATAAGAGAACAAGGGAGAGGTTTATGGTGAGTTCCAGCACAGCTTTTTCTAGAAAAATAGCACTGAGTAAATGTATGTTACAATAGCTTAGTGCAATTTTAGAAATCAAAGTAAACACATACAAACACACACGGTTTTAATTATTTCACCAAATTTACAACGTACAATTGCCTGCTATAAGAAATAGGATGCTCTTGGCAGGTGGATTAAAATTCTCTTTATCCAAACAATTAGCAGGAAAGCATTAGCAATGAATTAACAGTTGTATTTATACAGAGTGTTGCTTTTGGAGAGCAGACATAAATTTGATGTAACAGCAAGCAAGGCTTTGTTTCGAATGTTAAAAATAAATTAAGCTTCACATTTACAACAACCCATAATGCACTATACAAAATGAAAATGTGTCGTAATTTATTAGAAAGCTTTCCATGAAGCATGTGGGGTATATGTTATATAGTACTGTGGTGATATTTTTCAGTGTTACTTGGACTTTTAAAAAAAAAAAAATCCTTACATAAGGGAAGTCGTCCCCCCCCCCAATCTCTGACTGAGCTGGGGGAGAGCTGGCTTAGGATAATGGCTACGTGAACTATGTTCCGTTCTAGTTAAAACCAACAAATAAAGAGGCCTAAGTTATATCCAAAAATAGTATATGCAATGTAATAATGCAAGTTTAAAACTGCATACAAAATAATACAATGATCACTAGTAAAGCATTCATTTTAACAAATACTCTCTGCAAGTTCCTGAACGTGAACAATATCAAATTCCTTCAGTGAGAGAGTATATCATCAAATTCCAGCTTAATGATTAATTCAAACTGGAATTTGACAAGAAAGTTCCCTGCAGGAAAGGTGGCATATAAATATAGTAATAAATAAATAATGCAAGTCATTTATAAAAAGGGAAAAAGCAACCTAGATTTCATTTGAAACCAAGACTCCACTTTTCCACCTGCACACACACTACTGATACATACACATACCGTATATTAATATTAAAATATTATAAGCAGCATTGCGCAGTCCTTTGTATGTACAACAGAACTTTCCCCAACACTGAAGATCAAGTCTCATGCAGATGCGTGTATGCTTTGTAGTTACAGTGGTACCTCGGGTTACAAACACCTCGGGTTACAGACTCCGCTAACCTGGAAGTAGTACCTCGGGTTAAGAACTTTACCTCAGGATGAGAACAGAAATTGTGCGGCGGCGGCGGGAGGCCCCATTAGCTAAAGTGGTATCTCAGGTTAAGAACGGTTTCAGGTTAAGAATGGACCTCCGGAATGAATTACGCTCTTAACCAGAGGAACCACTGTATCGAGGAGCCCTGTATCACAGCCACTAAATTTTGGACTACTGAAAAAGATACCGTACTCTCAAGCAATTCAGAGAAGGGCTATTTGTGCTTCTCTCCAGTTCACCTGTGCGTTGCCCCTATAGGCTAATATTCAAATATTAGGTTTTGTGGAAGCCAGAGTAAACAATGTTCCAAATCTACATGGTCTAAAAAGTAAATACGGTAATAAATAGTTCTGATGTGAATTTAATGAATAAAATGCTCTCATACATTAATCTGGATCTTATTTTGAAGTAGAATGATTTGGGAACCACAATCTGACTATAAACACACTCTCAAAAAAAAGATTTAAAACAACTAATATACTCATAAACTGTATGTAATAATTATTCTTCCTGACTCCAAAATACCCAGAGTGTACTTACTACTGTACATAGATTGACCATAGCTCAGTCTGGAAAGCTTGAGGCTCTTAATCCCAAGGGTTGTGGGTCTGAGCCCCACACTGGGCTGGAGATTCCTGGATGGCAGGAGATTGGACTAAATGGCCCTTGAGGTCACTTCCAACAATTCTATGATTCTATGATAATCACTAAACGCTGTCAACAATTCTGAGCTTAACTGAAATACTAGTTAGCAACAATATCCTGGTTCAAAAGGGATCCTTGCTGTCACAATTGTTACTCAGCTGGGATGAAAGATGTCCTCTTTCCCATCTGTTCTGATTCTCTCAATCCTTCACAAAAAAAGGATGGGCAGTTAAATACTGCAGTTTTACTAAGACCTAGCACCTCAGTGTCTGTCTTGGTTCAGAAGTAGTCCCTGCTGCCACAATTTCTAGCATAGATTCATGCCACAATTCAGTGGTACATTTGTTTACGAACTTAATCTGTTCTGGAAGTCCGTTCTTAAACCAAAGCATTCTTAAACCAAGGTGTGCTTTCCCATAGCAGCGGGGGACTCAATCTACAAATGGAACACACTCAACAGGAAGCAAAACATGCTCTTATTCCAAGGCAAAGTTCACAAACCAAAACACCTACTTCCGGGTTTGCCGCGTTCTTAATCCAAGTTGTTAATAAACTAAGCTGTTCTTAAACCAAGGTACCACTGTAATTGTACATTGCTCAGAAATAAGACCCAATTCTCTTCTCTTTCTGGGCACTTCTGCACAGATCTCTCATACATTCAGTAAAACGCTGGCATATGTTCTTTGTGTGTTAAGAGTGCCGCTTCATAAACCACCAGAAAGAAAGGCCATACACTGATATTAATCAAAGGCTAAATAATGTTCCTACACAACAAAGAGAGTTTTAAAAATTGATATTTTGCAGTAAGGAAAGTGGTGGGAAAATACAATGGAAAGTGCAGGGTAACAGCCACTTGACATCAACATCATATAACAGTCAAACAAATTTTGCGAAATAAAGTCAGGAGGATTGTTCAATATGTGCTTCACTGGGAAATAACCTAAACCCTATTACATAATTATTCCTCATATCAAATGAAGAACTGAATACTGTTCTAATATAGCATTGCATTCTTTTCTTGGTTTTAACTACTCAAGTACTTTCGTTTTACGTATTATTTGCACAACCAACTGCAATAAACTACATTTCTAAAAACCATGCAAATTTTCTTTTTTTAAAAAGATTAAAACATTAAACAAGGGTTTTTTTCTAGTATTAAGATAGCCTAGCATTTGGCTATCACTGGAAAAAACCATTTCCAAAATGAAAAATGACTGCTTATGAGATGAGATTACCCTGTCTCATGAAAAGTCAAGAGGTATCGAATATCATTAAACCTAAGATGCATAAATCTAACCAAACTCTTTAGCTTTCTTGCTATAAAGTGGCAGATCAATATCCACCCTTAAAACTGTTTTAATTATCTTTTTAATAAGCATTTTATTTGCAATAAGTTAAAACAGTAAACCTAACTATCACACGATGATATTATTATTGATTATAAAAGTGCATTGCATGGAGCTGCCAAGACCCAAGTAAGAAAAAAAATACATAAATAAAGCAAAGTTATCAAGATAATTAAAATGACAGCTTTGATCATACGCAGAAGAAAAAGGCTGATAAGAGCTTCTTCAACTGAAACTTTGGCCCAGTGGAGATATAACGGTGTAATCAAATTAAGTGTCAGCTTCTGAATTCTAAGAGAATGGGCTTCATCCTTAATATTTAAGTCCTCACCTCTTTTACCCCACTTCTTAGCCACAATGAAAGACAAGAAAACTGGAATTGCTAAGTTAATTAGTGATCCTACTGCAGATAAATCCTTCCAGGTCCACTGCAAGTCTTTGCCTAAGCAGTATTCTGCCCAGAGAGGTGCTCAAACTGTCCTCAGCTGCTCTTCGCTCATGACTTGTCTCTAACCTTGCACTGTTCCTCATTTGTCAGTTCCTGTTCCCAGCTCCCCTGGATACCCAGCATGGCTGAAGCTCCACTTCATCCTGGTTCAACTCTGTCCTCGCTGTTCTGGCTTCTTCCTCTGCCTCTTGTTGACTCTACTCTCAGCTGTTTCTTCCTGGTCCTCCTCTCATGTCTTTTCAAAAACCTTCAGCTTGTGGGCCATATGTTTGGACTGCAAAACCTCTTGGGAGGCTCACACTGCTCTACAAAATAGGAAAAACTGGCACATAGACAGCATACCTTATCATGATGCTGGAAAGTAGAAATGTGGCATTAAGGAAGACCCACCCAACCACCCCCAACCCCGCTGCCCAAACATCCTGAATTGGGCTGGTTTGGATTTCAGAGCCAGAAATGCCAAACCGTTCCATGAAGTAGGCTTAGAGATTTTGATGTGCCTGCTAACTGGTGCCCCCTTGCTGACTTCCATCCATGCCCTCCTGTTGCTCCCACACATCTACCAGCTGAGGCTGCAGTTACAGCCCCGTTGTTCCTTACCACTGCCCAGTGCACAGATTAAAACTAACAGCATGCACCATTAGAAGGCTATGTAATCAATGCACTTTTAAAAAAAACCCATATTTATTATAGGCAGGCCATAGAACTTGACATTGTGTGGCAGTGTACAAATGTTGTTAGTCAACAAATATAAACAGATTTAATAAAGACCAGCATTCTTATCCATTAAGTCTTTATTTCACACTGCACCCATTCTGGCTTCAACAATATGTCAAGAGAAAGAATGACACTGCTTTCCAATAGACTGTTCTCTAATGGAAAGCTGTTTCACCGTATTATCAAATCTGTTTTCTCTCGCCTTGCTGTACATTCCTATCACATCAGCTTTTCTGATGAGGCATCTAGAAATCCATTCGCCAGCAAGTGCCCCCTGGCCTTCTAGTGAACAGATTCCCTCCCTGACCCACACCACTTCCAAGTAAGTACTGCTCAACACTGACAAAATATGAAATGTTTTTATCTATTGAAAGGTATTTTGTCAAGAACCTTAAGCTTTGTGGTCATGGGCTTTTTACTTATTTATTCATAATATCCGTTTAGCACTTCTTGACCACAACGGTGCTCCTGTAACATCTGCTATGGTTTAAAAGCTAGTTTTATAGGAATGAGATTTACAACGTATATAGTGCTTATTTACATTCAGGCAGAGTGTTTATGAACCTCAACAGTTGTTTTACATTCTGTGTTACCTTCCAAGCATTAGTTAAACACCTCCTCCATGTTTCACCAAAATGTTATGCTGAGTATACACTGAAGACTTGCGTTTTTAAAGAGATTCTACAAACATTGAACAACGTAAATTTCTAGGAAGATAAACATTGCACCGCAAAAGATTAAAATGCTGCAAGATTATCCTCTGAAAGTGCAAGCTGCCATTATTGTTTGTAAAGCTATACAGTGGTACCTCGGGTTAAGAACTTAATTCGTTCTGGAGATTTGTTCTTAACCTGAAACTGTTCTTAACCTGAAGCACCACTTTAGCTAATGGGGCCTCCCGCTGCCGCCGCTGTGCAATTTCTGTTCTCATCCTGAAGCAAAGTTCTTAACCCAAGGTACTATTTCTGGGTTAGCTGAGTCTGTAACCTGAAGCGTCTGTAACCTGAAGCGTCTGTAACCCGAGGTACCACTGTATATTATGCAAAGACAGAAAAAAGCTGTATCAAACTTTTGGATTCTTCCAAAAATAAATAAATCTGTAAATAATAAAAGAAAAAATCTGTAAATAACACTCCTAATGTGATTCAGGATTTTGCCCAAATTGTATTTGCTTATATCCCAGTCTTAATTTAAGTAGTATCCTTTCTGCAAGGGACAAACACTAATCCTCTGCTTTCCTTTCAGTAATATGCTCTTGCACTTAATGCTAACACACACACAAAAATACAGACCAGCAGCTTTCCAACTACTTCCAAACAAATTGCATTGAAATCAACTGAATATTTTCCTAAGTGAAAATGTACTTAACGTGGATGTGTAAACAAGAATAAAAGTTTTTGAAAGAGTTATGATTCATTTTATAACCTTTATAAACTGTGTTTTTTAGAAAAAGATACCAGGCTGCTATTCAGATGAAGATCAAAGAGCAGAATTGTTGCTGGGGGAAGAAACAACAGATGTACTTGGGAAGGGTCACTGCTCAGTGAAAGAGCATCTGTATAAATTCAGGTCCTAGAATAACTCCCGTCTGAACCCTGGAGAGCCACCGCCAGTCAGCATAGAGAAAATACTGAACTCCATGGCTCCCTATAAGGTAGCTTCCTTCTAAGAGAACTATGCATATTGTGACATGAGCTCATGGGTGCTTTGTTAACAGTGGTGCCCAAAGGAGGTTAAATGCAAATGATTTTTCTCCAAAACCTGCTTACAAACAACATTCAAAGCAGCTCTTTGAACTCCCTTATACAGATACTGCAGCTATTGCCACAAAAGCTGGGCTCTCTTCCTCTGGACCCTCCAGTGACTTGGACTGGGGCCCAGAGGGAGAGAGCTCCAGCTCCTTCCTCCAGGGATTGCTCCTCTTCGCCACTACTTGACTGGGGTAAGTAGTGGTGGCAAGAGTAGTTCAATGCTCGAACTTAGGACGAAAGGGAGAAATGTGCTAAGAGGAAGAAACGTTTGGCAAATCCTCACCGTGATCTACTCCCACCTGGAAACCTATGTACCCACTGTCGAAGGATGTGTGGATCCAGAATTAGCCTCCACTGTCACTTATGGACTCACTGTTTCATGGAAGTGATCGCCAAAGAAGAGAAGAAGCAGGAGTCTTTCCCAGCCTCAGGCCCCCAGATGTTGCTGGGCTACAATTGCCATCATTCTCCAGCCAGTATGGCCAATTGTCAGGGATAACAGTTGTAGTCTTGCAAAATCTGGGGCTCCAAGGCTGGGAAAGGCTGTGTGACAACACACAATTAAGTTACACAAAATGGAAGCGGTGTAGCTGGTGATGGGGTCTCTTCCAAGGTTTTAATTAGCCATAGATAACTGAATGAAATCATGTTTTAGTGCAGCAACACCATAAAGCCATTTGTTGCAACCATCACCACTACAAAGCAGACCTTCAAGTAAGCTATATGTTGTCTTCAGCTGCAACTCAATTTGCACCTTCTGCTGTCTTTGTTCCAGCTTTTCTCACAATAGCTCACTGAACTAAGGAGTCATTGGACTTCCAGACTACGGGAGATTGCACCAAAACTGCAATGGTGTCCAATCATTTCTGCATTCCAAAGATCTACGACATTGACTCTAGAAGAGCTAAGGCTGCCAGGGGATAAATCCCCTGAGATTTCTTGACCGTAACAGGGACAGACCATTCAGATTGGTCTCCCAATTTTACAGGGGTAGCCTGCGTTCTAACTAGGTCATGAGCTGCCCATAGCAATTCCCAGCACAAGCCAAGAACAAATCCCACATATGTTACTGGGCCCAGTAGATAAACCTATATCATATATTCCTGAGCTATACCTTTCTGTCAAGGTAACCTTAGAAAGGAAACAGAGGACCCTCTAGGTGACTTCAATACAAAATCAAAGAATGCCTCTGTCAGCTCAGGAAGAGTGGTGGATAGTACGCTAGTTCCATTGGATACTTAACCAAAGGTTTGTTATATTTCTAGATTATAACAGCTGTACTTCCCTACCATCTGAAAGGATGTTATTGTTTTTGTGTACTCAACTGGCAACATCTGGATCAAAACAGGCAACCCTGCCTCATTCAGTCAGGTTCCAGTAATGCATACCAGACTGACAGCCTGATTCAGGATTATATCATGCATAACTTTTGCTTTGATTGTGACATTGATAAGCACCGACTGCAACTAGGAAACTAGTGGAGTAATGGCGAGTGTGACTGAACACAAATACAGTTTTCCCATCAACCACTGTTTAATCCTCACCACTCCCCTCATTTTCCATTGCACCCATGACTCGGATTTTGGTCATTTTGGGATTCTACTTGAAGAATACAAATACGAGAAAAGCACAAACCTACCACAGTTTTAATCCCACAGGAGAGTAGATGACTCTCTTTGTTTCCCAATTTGCTTTCAGCTACTAATCTTGTGTGACAACAAAGGTTCACATTTTGTTCCTTCTTCTCTGTATGAGATTTCTGACTTGAATGAAACATAATTTTACATTTTGCCTTGCACAATATTGTAGCATGAAGGAAAACTGGGCATGTTTCAGGACATAAAATTCATTGCAATGCAGCTTGATGATGCCACCGCCTGTTGGTAGTTTCAATCACTTCTTTTTGGCCTTTATCCTTCAGTGTGTTTCAGTAAAAACCATTCAAGGGTTCTCTTGGGCAGCTGTGAGATCAGCTGTCCAGCTCAAGAATGTGTTTTTTCTCTCCATCAGTAACAATTGCCCATGGCTGCTTTCCCAGATTGACAGTTCTAAACCTTCTGGCGGCTCTCCTGCTATTCTGTAGGAACTACATGCAAGACCAGTAAATTCTACACAAAACTGCATTTGGCACTGAAGCAAAATCCCCCACCCACCCACTCCCATTTAGTCAGAGTGATGAGTGACCCCTAGACTTAAGCTTAGATGCTAAATGCTACAATACTAAGTCATCCTTACCCAGAGAACACAGTGGGCTGAGTAAACAAACGATTGTGTTGCAAGTCCTACAGAGCTATCTGTTTTATGGTGCAGTGCACCTTGCCTGACCCTGTTTGCTTGTGTCGTAACTGTGGTCTGGATTATGTGGATTTATGGTTAAGGTGTGGGTGCAAAAGTTGTGGCCTTTCAGGTTATATGGCAAGCCAAGGTTCATGGTTTTCTCCTGACACAGTCAAGCATTTGGGAGAATCACAGCAGTGGCCCACAAAATCACCCCCTTTTGTTTTGTTTATTAATCTGAACTTTTCAGAAGCCACAGATTCTGTACTCAGCAATCATTTAGGTGAAGGGTGAAAGCAGAGCTGTAGATACGGGGGGGGGGGGCTAGCCAGGTTTTTTGCCCCCGATGAAGCCTCCAGAGGGGAGCCATTGAGGTTCCCCGCCTGTGGGGGTGCGCAAGTGTATGTGTGTGTGTGGGGGGGGTGCCAAACTGGGTCTTTGACCTGGGTGAAATAAAGCCAAGTTTCGCCTCTGGTGAAAAAAAGCCAAAAACATTCATTTGCAAAGAGATGGCTGAAGTATGTCAAGTAGAAAATAAATTATGTGAAATGACAGAAAGCAAGTACCACAGAGGGAAGCTAGTGCACTCTGTTTAAAGTCTGCTTTTATATAGGAATATTAATATTAAGTGGGTTAGAAGTTAGATACAATGGGGGGACAGACTGTTTTATCTCATCCAAGTCTCCCAAGTAGGGAATGGAATGGCTGGCTGAAGAAGACAGTAGAGCACGGATCAACCCAATATATTTACAGAGTAATGTGAATGGATTCAGTACAGAAGGTGATGCCATCCATAGGTTTGCAAGCTGCTTGGATTCAACCCTTAAGATGGGGATAGTAGTTACCAAACTCACACCAGTTGAGAAAAGCCAACAAGTTTAACCTTAAAAATACTATTTTGAAAGCTGATTGGAAATGCAAACAGTTCAGTAATATGGGTGACTACGTAAGCAGCCCAGCACTTGAGCTGTTTTCTGTAGCGCAGATCATAGGTCCAACTTAAACAAGATGCTGGCATGCATTCAGTTTTACACATTCAAGATTTGATGGAGCCAAACATTACATTCAAAAAATTCTTAACCCACACACTGACCCCAAAATGCATCTCATATGCACCACCAAGGCTTCTCTCACAGAGTAGGTCCTTGGTGCTCTAGCACAACATGCAATAGATCCAGCACACATGTGAGATGTGTGTGTGTGCACGCTACTCTGTAATTTATATAAGCTCTAAGTCTGCACAAAAATATTCAGTAGCGTTTCCTGAAAACTAGATTAAAAACAAGATTAAAAATAAAAACCAAGCAGTGTAGCTTAAGAATGCAAGGAGAGAATGTAGTTGAATGACAGAGAACATGCTTTGAATGCAGAAGGTCCCAGAGTTCAATATCCAGCATCTCCTGGTAGGCCTGGGAGACACTCCCATATGAAATCCTGGAGGTCCACTGCTAGTCAGTTTAGACCAGGGGTTGTCAACCTGGTCCCTACCGCCCACTAGTGGGTGTTTCAGGATTCTAGGTGGGCAGTAGGGGGTTCTATGGCACAAGCTGAATCCTCCTTCCATTGAGCACTGGTGGGCGGTAAGGAAATTTTACCATCAAGTGGGCGGTAGGTAGAAAAAGGTTGACTACCCCTGGTTTAGACAGTGCTGAGCTAGATGGACCAATAGGCCTGACTCTGTTTAAGTTTCCTGTGTTCCCACCTTTTAAATGTGTATGGAATTCTGCACAAAAGCTTATGTACCATCAAGAGTTTCATCTTCGTCCATTCCCATTCACTGTGGGGAGCAAAATGTCTCACCAGGTAAGACAAAACGGTCGTAATAGCTGGCACCTGGTTCAAAAGTTACACAGAAGCGTAGAAAACAAAAGCACAAGTTAGCTACAGGTACACTTTTACTCCTTTTATGCATCAATACTTTTGACCTGACGACTCCTGGAGCTCATGCATCTCACCAGGGGTGAAATCTGCAAATTCCACAGGGCATGTTTCAGCAGGCTGTTCAATGCAGAAGCCAATATTGAGAAAAAGTTATACTTAACACCCAACTGATTTATGATCATTAAATATCTCCTCACTCTCCTCATCTTCCAATTAGCCTCTATTCCACTTTCAAATCTAGTACAATCCTCTTGTCCCTTATGTGCAATCCTTTCCATGGGCAGTCACCGTTCTACCTTTGTAAGTAGGACCTGTTTACTTACTTTTATATCCTGCATTTCTTCCACCATGGTTCCCAGGAGGCTACCCATCCAGGCACTGACCAGACCCAGAGCTCCTCAGTTTCAGCCAAGTGCTGACCTCAGACTGTGTCCTGGGGCCATACCATGTTGCAAATTTATCCTTGCCTACTAAAAATGAGTGTCCCTGGCTCAAAATTCCAGTCATCTATGGCCTCCTCTATTATATTATATAAGCTGTAAGGCGCTCAAGCAGGCCACTACATTCCAGACTCCCATTTCTGTTTTAAAGTTTTATTTTCCAATTTGAACTCACTATTTTGTAGCTACCGAGTATACTTAGCCTTCATTTGGCTGTTTTTTTGGGTTGTTATGTTTACAGTTTTGTTACTTTTACATAAACTTCTGGAAACTCTGGGGTTTCCCCAAGCATGCCAGTAGCAACGTTTGCTTCTCAGTAGCCCCATTCCTATCAATATTTATCACCAGGACTTGCTATTAGTGGGATTGCTATATGTGTACCATATTTTTCTCCAAATGCTTCTTCTGTGCTCTTAACGTTAGTTTCCTTAAACTAAAATTTACTCTTCCTACAAAGATCTCAGCGCAACTTATATATGGTTCCCAGGTGTTCTCCTATTCAGGCTACACAGCTTCAGCATTAAAACTGCTTTGTATATGCCTTCAAACAATATTCTTTTCGTTGTAGGCTTTTTTGTTTTTTTGTACTGTAAGCCACTTACCGTGAGCCACTTTTGTACTGTATGCCAGTTTAATAGGAAAGCAGGGTAAAAATATTAAATCTAACTGTAACAGACTCTCCCTCTAATGACAGGAGCTGGGTAGCACGATCAACATGTTTATTGGTGGTTTAAAAGATTCAACTCTCCCTGCTAATAACGCAAGAGAGGTGCGGAGTTAACTGTTTATGGTAGCAAGGTATTGTATTACCGTATTTACTCAAGTCTAATGCACCATCAAATCTAATGTGCACCTTAATTTTCGCAACGCAATTCGGCCAAAACAGGTGAGCATTAGATTCGAGTAAATACGGCATGTGAAGGTTGTGCTGTATAAACTTTTCCGCCTCAAACACAGAGGTTCAGTTTAAAGAGGAGGCACTTCTAGAACATTCTTCTAGACTTTTTATTTCATTACGCTCAATGAGGGTTCAAGCCTGATGGTTACTCATGATAACAATACTTAGTTACAGGCACATGCTCATATCACAGATAGGCAAGAACTTACTTAAACTCTCAGACCTTGTCTCAGGGTAGACTACAGACGACTCCCCGTTTGCACGGGGATTGTGTTCCAGGTCATCACATGCATCAGTGAAGCATGTGCCAGCCCACCCCAATCTGCCCCCTTTCAGGGCTGAAAACGGCATGCGTGTCAGCAGTCACACACCAATCAAACACACACAAAATGGTTACCGCCTTTATTTCCACCTAGAATGGCTATTAACATTACTAAAACAACAACTCTCCCTCAGCCTCTTCAAAAATATTTACTTCACCCTCAGGGAATTAGCCTGGGTTGCCATACTTAGCTTACCCCAATCCCTATCAGGACATGTCACCCACTTCCCAGGTCCCTATCTAGGTTTTTTCCCAAGCCATAACTTCTCATCTGACAGATTCCCATCTGACAATTTACCGTAACTGAAAAGTTCTAATTTTCTGACTCACCTGGCCCTTCTGATTGGTTGCCAGGTCACCACAAAGCTGACCCAGAGTCTCTCCACCACGCTAATCTAATTTTAATCCAATTATTTATCTGTCCCCTAATGGCTGGAACACATATACTAGGAACTGGCAACTAGCACCTTTGAGGGACTATTTCGTTCCTCAGAGATGTCTGATATGGAGCTCAACAATGCTTCCCATCTCATGGCTTCCAAATATTATGTAACTTGGCTATTTTTCAGTACTGACCTAGGAAATTTGCCTTCACCCTCTCCTGCCCATAAAAAAGTTCAAAATTTTCACAAGGGAACTCTTTCAAAGGCCTATGGCTGTTCACATGGCTATATTGAGATTCAGAGAGCAATTCGCCTGTGTCAACTCTCATGGGACTGAATCAACAAAAGTAGCCAAACTTGCTCTTATTGATCCTTGTTAAAAATTAGTTGCCAACTAGGTACAGTACCTAGTTTGCAATCCCTCTTTGTTCCTCTTCCAAGCTTGTCTTTTTAAAAAATGACTCTGCACCCACCCTCTAACCTTTAACTCTTGCCCCCCCCCTGCAATTGCATTAGCTTACAGTTAAGATGTAGTTCTCTACCCTAAGTTTCTGCCCCCTACTCTCAATTTTTCATTATCTTCTACTGTGCTTATTAAGAGAATACCTAATGCTAGTTTTGAAATGGAAAACAGAAAAAAGTGACACAGCGAGTCTTCCCTTCATGTTATAGAGCAGGTGAAAAGCAGCAACCCCTTTTGTTTTCCCACTGGGATTTGGGAGAGAAAACAGAGCATGCTGCCTCCCCTTCTGGGAACTCATTTCTGGCACATGTGATGTTTGTCGAAAGCTTAAAGTGCAAAGAGGATAGAGACAAATTTTTACATGTCTGCATAGCCATTTTCCATTACAGTCAACAGATATTTTGAGCACCACTGAGCATCAGTATATATTTCTATGCATACATATCTGGGAATAGCTATAAGCTAGGCAGAGCACCAGCATTAAGAAAAACCCAGATGTATTTCTAGTAAGAAAGATTCCAAATCTCTAGAACAGCAAACTGCAAAAAGCCAGCAGCATAAAACAGTTGCTTTTCAGCTGTGCCCACTGGCAACATACTACTGCACACTAGCTTAACAAAGTGTTATCCCTAAAATATCCTGCCTACATTAACAAAATTCCCTAATAAATATATGAATATATGTTACCTATTCTTTCTCTCCCAAACCCGAGTCACGTGAAATGCATATTTTCCGTAACAGCAACAACAACCCATGCTAATACACCAATGGAAGGCTGTATTCCTGTTCTAAAATATAGTGCCACAGCCTTCTGCTTACAGCTGGATGAAATCAATCTATGTAAAGAGACCATCTCTTACCCCAGAGCTGCCAAACAGCAGACAGCTAAAATGGCTGGGGGCTGATAACAGTGGGTGCTGCCGGATTCAATTTTCACCAAACTGTAAACTGACATGTTGGTGTGTCATACATTTACATAAAATTTAGTCCGCAGATATATACAAATAAAATTTCCATTTAGAACTATATTTGGCAATGCAGTCCTGGAGTCTTTATTTATTTTTGAAATTGTGAAGTGTTCCTAGCAATTGGTACCAATCACCCCAGTCTTTGCCAGTTGGAATCCATGTATTTAATCATATGGCTGGTGGATATGATAGTGGATGGATCGATATGATAGTTTGATTACCAGTGAACACCTCTTGAAAAGAAGAGGGGAACTTCAGTTGGTAGAGCATGAGGCTCTTAATCTCAGGGTGATGAGTTCAAGCCCCATGTTGGACGAAAGATTCTTGCATTGCAGGGGGTTGGACTAGATGATCCTTGTGATCCCTTCCAACTCTACGGGTTCTACAATTTTATGATTGTTTTTCTTTTGGGACAGTATGCCAGGTGAGCAAGACAAATCCCCTTGATATTCCTTGCAGAGTGAGGTGGTCAACCCATACTATTGCTTACCCTGATAGATGGGTTAGTTGCCCCTCTCCATCCTTTACATCCGAATAAGCACTGCCATAACAATAGTCACACAGAATGAGCTACAAAAGAGGCTTACCATCTTTGCAAGATACAGGCTAGGTTTTATGGTCTGGAAAACCCTACAAGGAACACTGTGTACACAAGCGTCCAAATGCAGGGAATAGTCTAACACAAATTAAGATGCAGGAGAAAAGCTATACAGTCCACGGAATCAAAATACATGGATGCTCTAAGGCTGGCAGGCAATTAGCAATGACAAAGGGGATGGCAGCAAACAAGTCGATAATTCAGTCAAAATGGGCTACAAGTTGCTGAACTGGGCTAAGGCCTAAAGCAGTCAGAGAGTCAAAAGTTTAAGTAGAAAAATAAAAATCAAGGTCAGAAGTAAAAAAAAGGAGCAACTAGTCTAGTAAAGATCTTTGCACACACGCCTCTTCTGGGTATGCTGTGTCTCCCAAGAGTGGTCTGCTCCCCACATTTTGAAAAAGCATTTTGATCCAACTGCAATAAATTTCACTTAAACTGTATTTTAATAACCTTGCCAGTTATACAGAAAATCAGACTTGCTTCCAATGCTTATTATCACCACATGACTCTGGACAAGTTTTATAAGGCCTCTGAAAAAAAGCATTATTTTAGGGTGGAAGAATTTCTGTTGTGCAGCTTTGAGCTTTTCGTTACACCGCTGATCAGCAAGGTCAATATTACAACTATTTACATTTAAACAAAACCCACATCTAATTTTGTAAAATGACTGAAACTCAAACCTGTTTGAATTACAAACGAGGGGAAAGAATTAAACATGCAATTATATACTACTTTTTTAACATCTATAGGCTCCTTGAAGGGACAAATTCTGATTCTTTCACCAACAGAGAAAGTTAATATTTTTGTACCAAAAAAACTACACACACATGCGGTACTGCCATCCTCCAACTCCACTGTACAAGACCCAAAACACCTGAGCCTCCCCCCACACCGCTCCCTCACATTAAGAGAGTAGAGAAGTCTGGGACCCTTTATATCAAGCAACATCTTGCACCTGCTATTAATATAGAAGAAACTGTGTTTCCCAGAGCACAGCCTATATCCTGCATTATCCTACATCCCCCATAGAGCCTTGCCACATTGCAGAGTGGCACAGTGATGGAGAAACCCTTTTGGGTTATGCTTAGAAGACAGGGCTTTCAAAAAATGAGCCAAGACTTCCCTAAGCTAAGAGCAGAATGTTTGCTTCTAGGGATTCCACCATCTCTTCAGTCACAAAATACTTGCTTGCAGATAGTTAAGTGCATAGCTTAGTGGTAAGCATTAAGGAACTTTTCTACCCTGACAAGACAGTTAATCTCCTCATTCTCATTTGCCTATTCATCCAGTAGGATTACCTTCAGATCTCATATCACCACTGGCTGGTTCCTAATCTGCAAGTGACCGAAAGTCACCATGCTAAGATGCCCAAAGCAACATTTCACCTCCAAAAGCATCTTTGTGGGAGGGCAGGAGCAGGGCTTACAGGTGCAGCAGGGGAACTCAGAAATTACCAATCAATGAACAATGTGATCCCTCATGATTCTGATTCAGTCCTGAGCATGTTGATGCCAGTCATTAGCTTAATAATTGTCAAAGTCTTCAGCACCAGCTCAACAAACTACCATAAATGAAAAGCCAGAATAGAATAAAAATTATTTTCTCTTTTGGTTTCTTTCCAAGATTGTCATTTTCATGCCTTTATCTCTTAATATAGTATACAGTAATAAGAATACCTCCCCAACCCCATATATAAATGATCCACAATCCTTTTTGCCTGTTCTGCTATATCTAGCTGCTTTTCTGTTATGACCATGGTTTTGTTGTTTTCATTGGTTCTGCTGCACTTTATATTCTATATCCTATCTGGTATCATTACTGATGAAGGGCAGGTTATAAATGTTTTTAAATAAAATCAAAATATAATGGTAGTTTTGCACACTCAGTGATAACCCTATGGTCCTAAATGTTCAAGTAATATTACTAGCAATCTGGGTGTGCCATACAGCTGCTAGCCCTCCTTTTACAGTTTCTGACAGTTCTTACTAAAATAGAAACCCTGTATCCAGAGAGACTGCAGGTCATATCTGCACCCAGGATACATCAGCAGCAGCCATGAATGGTGAATCCCAGAAGATCTTAGCAAAAATTCCTAAGAAACTTTAAAAGGAGATGATTCACCACCTTAAGTGAGCAGGGTTGTGACACACTCATTATAAGGCACCATGATGTACATGAATATGAACCTCAAATTAGGAAAACCAACATGGAAATTGTTGTTTACAATTTTCTGAATTTTAAATATCATTTGGTCTATGGAATGAAAAATCCTAGTGGATCTTTCTCAGCTGCCTAGAATATTCATCCTTGAAATAAAACTTGTCCTACTACAGGCCAACGCCTACATGTCATTCAGGAAAGGTGGCAACACAATCTCTTTTTATGCCACCATTTCCTGATGGGGAAGGAACAACCACAAAATGTTGCAACAGAGCTTGTCCGGAGTTAAGAGATATTTCTAGGGGAGAAAAATCAGCTGCTTTGGGCTGGTGCCTGTATGCACAGATGAAGTACCAGAAATAACTGCAACCAATTCATTTGCATTTATACCCATATGCATAGTCCCACCATCACTCAAGCAAATGAACATATAAAAATGAATAGTATAAACCCACCCATTTAACTCAACTGGCCTAATGTATTTATAAACATAAATTTTAACATTTTAATTCTTTCCACCCTAAAGGTTCACAGTAGATGTCTGCATTGCTGGGGGTTGGACTAGATCACTCTCATGGTCCCTTCCAACCCCATTATTCTACAATTCTATTATCCCACAAATTGCCATTGGTCAGCCAACATACTAGACACATTGAGAACTGTTTTTAACCCATAACTCCACTTCCTTCAGCCTCTTTCTAGGTAGGCAGGGTTTCTAGGGGTCCACAATTACAAGAGTAAAAATGACAAAAGACCTATTGATACAGGAATCATCTCCCACACCTTTGCCCAAAAACTCTTTCTTCCACAGTACTGTAGTAAACTAAACTTGTAAACACTGAGCTGTGTCTGACTATGCAACGGGATATTTCCCTCTTAGTTAACTCCATCCGAAAGGAGCTCAAGAGGAGCTCCTTCCCAATTCATACCTCTCTTTCCCTAGTTCCAGTGAACAGCAAGTGCCCAGCATCCATTTCTGCAGTGATCAGTCTAGAGAAGTTATTCTACATATAGTTCATCTCCTTTTGACTGAATGGTTATTCCCCACCCATCACTCAACAGCTCACCTAGAGCACATCATAAAAATGGAGTAATTTCAGTGACCTGGTTTGCAGGCAGTAGTAAAACAAATTGGCCAAGTGTGCGGAAGCATGCAGATACTTACAGCAAAAAAGTGGGGCTGCTCTGCTCCTCTCCCACTCTTCCTGCTGCCATGCTGCCCCGAGGCAAGCCATGGTTTGGTTTAGTGTTATGGTTTGTCTCGTTCCAGAGGCACTTTTTCAAAAATTTAGGTCACAAACAGCAAAGAGCTTTATATAATCACCAGCACCTTGAATGTGGCTCAGAAGCAAACAGGTAACCACCATAGTTCTTTCAGAATAAATGTTATGTTTATTCCAATTGGCTGTTCAATCTTGCAACCCAGAGCTGCAACTTCTGGGTCATCTTCCAAGGACACCCTTCAAAGAGTATATTACAATAGTATAGTTAAAAGATTATCTAGAATCATAGAAGTGTAAAAGTTAGAAGAGACCTCAAGGGTCATCTAGTCCAACACCCTGCAATACAGGAATCTTAACTAAAGCATACATGACAGATGACCATCCCACCTCTGCTTAAAAACCTCCAAGGAAGGAGAGTCCACCACCTGCCAAGGGAGTCCATTCCACTGTCGAATAGGACAGATCATCTATTTAAACCACTCACAGCACCACCATCTTGTTGAGATCCAACTTGAGTTTATCGGTCCTCATCCAGCCCATTACAACTGCCAGACAGTGACCCAGCCCCACCTGATTATGGTACAGCCTCCTTTTCGTCACATACCTGTGCATAGTTTTCTTATTTAACTTGGATAGCCTCCTAACCGAACATTTTTCTCTCCTCAGTACTATATTAGCAGTAACATGTTATAAGCAATTACAAAGCTTCTCTAAGTTAAGAACTTTCAAAAAATATAGCAGCAAATAATTGATGTAGTAATGGAGAATTAGACGTTAAATCCCCATAGCTATGGTACAAACTGAAAGAATTTCATAGATTAATTGTGGTATTTTAGAATGCGCTTTTTTTCTTTTCTGCAAAACACAGCTGGCACAACACAATGTGTAAGCATTAAGCAGGTTAGTCAGGCAGGCAAAACTGACAATTGATTGGAAAACTATTTCCATATCTACAAAAGAAGTTCATTGGTGCACATGGCCTCACTATCATGTAAGAGCAAAGGCCCATCTCTAGTACAGTGGTACCTCGGGTTACATATGCTTCAGGTTACAGACTCCCCTAACCCAGAAATAGTACCTCGGGTTAAGAACTTTGCTTCAGGGTGAGAACAGAAATCGTGCTCCGGCGGCGCGGCAGCAGCAGGAGGCACCATTAGCTAAAGTGGTGCTTCAGGTTAAGAACAGTTTCAGGTTAAGAACGGACCTCTGGAACGAATTAAGTACGTAACCAGAGGTACCACTGTATCAATCTGCATTGACATGCATTTACAACCAACTAAAATGTTTTACGTATGGATTCATGAAGAAGGCTCAAAACCAAAGTAACCAGTTGAGGAATATACTAACACATTTTGTTCTTCAGCAAGCTTTTCATTCTAACATGGTTATTTTTACAGTCAAGAAGCTTTCAAAATGGATTTAGAATAAAGGTACATTTGAATATTTGTCCAAATAGGGTAACATGATTTTATTTTTTCAAATACTTTTTTAAAAAATACGTAGAGGCAGTCTATTTTTGTAAAGAGTCAAGTGGATTAGCTAGCTAGCTATGTAGCTTACAGAAAAGCAAATACTTAGAATGGCCACTGCAGAAGACAACCCTAGCTGGCTGTTACTAAGAAATGTGGTTAACTACATCATTATTTAAAAATAACTTTAGGAATCACCTCTGAAGGATCACAGAAACATTTGACTGTAGCTACTTCTGTGGCTCATGATATCATGCTATTATTTTTGTGAATCATGTTAACCAGTAAGCATTTACGTAACTTTTAAGCTATTTGAAATCGTGCACTTAAAGTTGTAAATTCTATAGACAGTGTGATGTAGTGGATAAAGTATTAGCCTTAGACAAGGCATACACAGGCTCAAATTCCTGACTGAGTGCATGTCAGCAACTCTCACCTCACTGAGGATACAATGAGATAACTTTTGAGTTCTGTAGAAAAAGGGCAGGATAACAAATGAAATACTGTAACTGAAATTAAATGTCCCTCCCTCACCAATAGTTTCTTATCTACATTTAACAAAAAAAGCTTTCTATAAATAGCTATCACACAGTAATACCATGCCCTTTCTTGAGAAGTTATGACAACCGCCTCATAAGAACATGAGCCCTGCAGGATCAGACTGAAGGCCTATCTAGTCCAGCATGCTGTTCTCACAAATGCCTCTGGGAAGCCTATAATCACCTCACCCAGAACTCACGTTTCATATTAAGTTCTATAATGCCCTGCCATTCATGGAACCTGATCTCCTGCAATCAAGTTCAGCCTCTATTGCTAGGAAGCCCAGAGCCTCAGTTGGTTTCCCAATGAAGTCTACCATATTGTTTCAAAAGCGACTTACGAAGCACCACCACAGGTACAGTTCCGTTACTTACCCTCTGTTGTCTTATAGAACCAAGTATTATGGTCTTCTGCCTCACTCAACGATCAGGACTAAGCAACCCTTGCCTTCTCTGGATAAGAAAACTTCTGTTCCTGCTAGATCATCTTCTGAGGTCATTTTCTTTGTGTGCCTCCTCCTCGAGAGATCTGGCGGGCTTCTCTGCAGTGGCTCCCCATCTATGGAATGCTCTCCCCACAGGGAAGTTCGCCTGGCACCTTCATTATATGCCTTTAGGCGCCAGGCAAAAACGTTCCTTTTTAACCAGGCCTTTGGTTGATTTGATTAACAACCTATGCCCTTTTAAAATGTGAGTGGGTTTTTTGGGGGGTGGGGGAGGGTTCCTGGGTTGTCGTTTTTATTTTGATAGTGTATTCTGTGGTTTTATATTTTGATTTTATTCTGTGAACCACCCTGAGACCTCCAGGTATAGGGAGGTATATAAATTCAATAAATAAATAATAAATAGATCAACAATGAACAGCTTTCTGCTTAGTTGTGCTGGAACTGGGTTATTTACTAAACTTATAGGCTTGTACTCCATGGTTGTCCTCTACTGACAAGTGCCCCTTGATCCAGTATAGTCTTCTAAAGGAACAGAGAGGGGATTTTGATCTGTTCCATGACTTCCCATTCTAACCATTCCATGACTTCCCATTCTGTTGCAAAAGGCCCACCAACCCTTGAAAGCAGATTGGGGGCTGCAGGGGGGAAAGGTGAAAATTACATCCCTCCCTGGTTCCACTGAGAAGCCTCTGTTGGATCAAAGTGCCTTCTATCATGAGAGGGACATTTAGAAGAATTTCATAAAGAGCAGTCAATATATTCCATTGGGATAACCCTGCAAAGTGCCATGCTGGCCTGAGAAGCAGTGACAAAAATCACAGCTCCTCTTACTCCTGGATTTAGTGCCTTAGAAGAAAATGCACATTCCATTTATGTGTACGGCTTGCACAGCCAGATGTAGAGATAATATTTTCCAGTGATGCATTAAAATATGGAGTACACACTGGTTAAAATAACTGCTGTCTTAGACCGAGATATCAAGTGTATCAAAACTGAGCTTACTTTCAAATAATCCGTAGGATTTACTTCCAAGTGAACATTTTTGAAATAATGGATAAAAAAGATCGACTGGTCTTTATGTTAGAAGCTGCAAGGTATAGATCTGATTTCATTCAAGGAGTTATTTGGTTAAATTGAATCTAGACACAATGTAGCCATAATCTGCCACAACATTAAATACAGAGATTTTTAATATCATAAATCCCTAATCCTAAAAAGGCTTAGGGACGCATAGTCACATTTCATTCATGTCTATATAAAAATATGTAGGACTAGCACCTCAATTGTTATGTAATTTATTTCAAATTAAAGTAAAAGAGAGTGCTGGGATATTTTTTTGTATAGGAATCTATTATGACAATTTGCCAGATTATTAGTAATAACCTACTCACTTATTCCTGATCAGTCAAGGTGGAAGAATGCAAGCCTAAAGGCCCACTCTTAGCATCTAACAGATGACCATCCGGAGAGTGGGAACAACGTCTGAACAGGCCCATCTGTCTTTCACTTTTGTGGTAACGGACATAAGCTGCCATTATTCAACCCCCAAAATCAATTCAGCAAGAAAATCCTGCACATTCAGAGAAGTACAGTCATACCTTGGGTTACAGATGCTTCAGGTTGCGTTTTTTTGGGCTGCGGACTGCCAAAACCTGGAAGTACCAGAACGGGTTACTTCCAGGTTTTAGCAGTTGCGCATGCGCAGAAGCGCAGAATCACAACCCACGCATGCACAGACACGCCACTGCAGGTTGCAAACGCTGCGGGTTGCGAACATGCATCCCACACGGATCACGTTCGCAACCTGAGCATCCACTGTATTCCTGTTCCTCCAGTCGTCACTTCAGTGTTCTCAGGGTGAACTGGAACTGGCATTGTAAACCGATGCCTGGTTCAAACTCTGGCTACATGAGACCTCCCACAACCAAAGCATACAGTACCTACCATATTGTGCCACAAATAACAGCAACAGGTAGAAGAAAAGAATCCAGCAGATTCAGAGGAAGGAAAGCCAAGCCACAAACTAAAAATGTACAATTTTAAAGAATCCAGGGCAATGAAATAGCAGGAGGAAAGAAGGGATTATAGGTTCTCTCTTCCTCTTTGTTCCATAAAGGGAAATGAAAACAAAAAAGTAAGGACAATAATACTCAGCAAGTTCATCTATTCACAATCCTTATATGATGAGATACCCTCCTGTTTTAGGGTTTTCTCTACATTACAGCCTATGAGTAATTCAAATCTTCTGGAGGCCACTAGGTTAGTGAAGGCTGGGCCCTATAGCTTTTTTAATTTATTTATTTAAAGCTGGAAAAACAGGGCATTGGTTGGGTTCACCCCAAAACAACAACAACAATGTATTTAGGGGAAAGAAAAATAGTTTTCAAGTCTTTTAGAAGCATCATTGGCAGGTTTGGGTATGTGAACAATGCAAATATGTACCGCAAGCAGATACACATGTTTTCCTGGGTGAGCTTGGTCCAGTCATTATCTCGCACTCTATACCAAAACTGCTTCACAGGGTTGTTGTGAAGACAAAATGAAGTGCAAAGAATCATATATGCTGCCTTGAGCTCCTTGGAAGATATATAGGATCTAAATGTAAAAAAACCAAACAAACACAGAATACAGTTAAACCCATCCACTACTCTCACAGAAACATGGATACAAGCTTCTGTATTCCTCTACAAACTAAATGCAGATTTAGCATGCATGACAAAAGCCAATAGACACTAAGGTAGTAAAATCACATGATCTGAATGTGCATGTAGCTGTTCATATTACACAATGATTGCTTCTATTTTGTGCTGACCTCAGGTGACGACTACAATCTTGGTATTGCATGCACAAGTGGGCATTACCCTGAAACACCAATGTCATATATTTTGAGGGAGGAGCAATTTGAGTACAGTACTATGAAGGAGAGAAGCCTTCTTCCCTAGGATTTCCATGTGGAAAAGCAACAGTGGAAGCATTGAAAAGAAACTTCCCCTGGCTGTTTTAGTGAAAAAAAAGGTTGGGAAAACTCAGCCCAGAATAAAGTCAGGCAATACATGTCTTGTTAACGATGCCATTCCAGAGTTTTCCACAAACTACTCTTTGGTGATTGCTACTGCACAGCTTTTGTACCTACACTTCAAACCTAGCTTTAAAAACTTGGCGGAGTATTTGAGGGGAGAAAGAAGAATTTTGATGGACTTATGCATCAGGAATATCTAGAATGAAGCTGCTTCCAGACAGAGGCTTAATACTGCACATGGGTTGTTAGCAACTGTTTGTTTTTTAATTTAGAGGATTTTGTGCAGAAAATTCATTTTAAAGGGGAGGTGCAGAATACAGGGTGGCATTTTGATGCCAATGATGTCATGTGGATGCTATGGAAAACTTGCATGAGCGGCACCTGTCTAGAAGCATGCAACTGTTTTTGAGAAATGTTGGATATGGCTCACAGGATTCTTCATATTTTGAACATGACATCTGCAACTATGAAGAGCAGAAACTCTAGGTTTTGTTTCTCAAGCCAACATTCTACAGCAGAGTTGAAAGGCAGTGTGATCTTGTCAACAGCCAAGTAGAATTGGATTGGAAAGACCTGGGTTCTAATTTCAGCACTATCTTTAACAAACCTCTCTTTTTGGGAGGGTTGGGCTGGTGTGTTAGTGGAAGGAGTTTCAACTGGGCTCCTGTCTAATATTACAGACAGTGAAGAATGCCAATCCAGCCTTTGAAACAGTCATATCTTTGTATGAATGTGATTTCTATTTTTGTGATTTAAGCTGCAAAATACAACCCTAAAGTGTAAAAGCATTCTATTCTGCTATTAATACCAAGGAAAGCCTTGTGAAACATTTTTCTACCAATTTTGGTCATATGCAAATGAATTTATCCAACCGTAGCTGAAAGCTAAGTTTCCTAATCAAGATGATCTTTTTTCAGAGGCATAATATAGAATATTACTACTAACAGTTCAAACAAGCTTTTGGACTCTGTAAGGAAGTAACACCTACTATTTCCTAGTACCACAACATCGCTATGAATGCCTTTCTGGTCTGTCACCTGGCAGTGGGATGGTATCTTCACACATACTCGAATAAGAACACATTCCAACCCTGTCCCACAAAAACACAAGACCAAACAAAACACACCAACACATTGCATGGTTAAGTCAAAAGGGCACAGCATCACAGAATCACCTGCAACAATCAAGAGAAAAAAGGAGATGAACAAAGAATATAAATCACCCTAAGAATTAAATATAATTTTAAGAAATTCAAGATAGAAAACAGTGTGTAGTTCTCTACCAGTGTGACATGATTAAGCAGAAGCAAGTTCCTAAAGAATTCAATCAAAATTACTGAGCTTAGGAAATCAAGTCATTTTTATCACTAGCAAAACCTGGCTGGCCAGCCATTTTAAGAAAAGCATTGTAAGACCTATTGAAATATTCCTTTCATAAGACGATAGGACTCACCTCCTTGTACATTGGCTTCCACTATATCCGAATTAGTACCAACACACTAATAAACCTACCTGGTCATTTTATTTGTTATCATCTGAAAAAAGCTTTAGGAAATCTTGGATGCAAAAGTTAGATCCACAGACTTCCATGGGACTTACTCAAGATTAAACATGTACAGGATTGCAACCTTAAAATTTCAACTGAGTTTTTTAACCAGATCTAATCCTTTGCCTTACATTCTTGCTAAACACCTATAAAATGCATCACAAGTATCGGTAAATATCGTTTACTGGTCTGAAGTTGTATTTCAGCAATGAAATATTTTATGTCATATATACATTTAAATTTTACAGTATTAAACTTGTTTCTGAACCTGAGACCAAAGCTAACATAAAAAGCTCTATATTTGCTTTATATCTGGGTTTGGTTTTTTGGTGTGTTCTTTTCTTTTCTTTTTTACTACTTTGAAAAGTATGTACTTTTGGAAACATTTTTTCTGTTTCCTGAGGTTTAGGTGGCTGTTGTATAAACAAAAAAGGACTCCAAGTAACAACAGCAAGACCTATTGGAGGGCTAGGTCCAGTCTAAACAGAGGCTGACAACCAACTTGATGAATTCCTGTCCTTTGTGATAGCATTATATATTTTTGCACAGACTAAACAATTCCTCTTAAAACAAATGAAGACTATGTGGAGTCATTCAACTCCTGGTTTTGTTGTAACATAGTGCCACAACAAAGCCAGTTTGACACATTGCAATAAATTATTTGCACTTTCTTTATATATCAAACAGCTGGTGAAGTTGTTCTAGTGATTATAAGCATTTAGGGCTGAGTGTGGAGTGTTAGCAATAAAAACTGCTGGTCATTTTCTTCCGGGCATTTTCCTTTCTCCCCACCTCCATTCCCAGATCAATATGGAAAAGGAGCCCAAGTTCTGGAGTGCTCTGTTCATTACGCCTTGGGCCATAGAAGCTACTATCATGGGTTCTTTTAGGATAAAGAAAGAAAAGAAAGAAAATGGTACTTCTAATTTGTCTATCTGTCCTAGTACTGTACATATAACAAAAGGGGGAAAGCAATCCTAACACGTTACCTTACAGCAGGGATGAGGTACCTGTGCCCCTACAGGTGTTGCTTACTCCAGCTTTCAACAGGCCTAGTGAACATGCCCAATGGTCAAAGATGTAGGAATCTGGTAGTCCAACATCATCTGGCAGGTAACCTATTCCTGCTTTATAGTCATAACATACATACATACATACATACATATGAGATATGATGAAATAATCTGTGAAAAAGATGTCATTATTCCATTTCAGAAGTTTCTACTTTCAGTGTCCTTAGTATTGTTCCTTTGGGATAACCAAATTCTATTTTAACTGTCCAACAGTGGAGCAGACTCCCATGAGAGGTGGTAGTGGACACGCCATCACTGGAGGTTTTTAAGCAGAGGTTGGATGGCCATCTGTCATGTATGATCTAGTTAGGATTCCTGCAGTGCAGGGGGTTGGACTAGATGACCCTCGGGATCCCTTCCAACTCTATACTTCTATGATTCTCACATGTAAATGGTATGTACATTGAGATGTGCTGTTAGTCAATCAAAATGTCAATTCAACTATGATTTCTAACTCCGTGGTTGGAGTAAAAACAAGAATGCCAATGCAGTACAGTTGCTAAGAGTTTCAGACTAAGGTTGGGGGAGACCCTGCTCTGAATCCCAACTCACCCGATGAAGCTCACTGAGTTACCTTGAAAGAGTCACTACCTTTCAGCCTAACCTTTCTTACACGATTGTTGCTGCATGGGGAAAAAGAGAGGAGAACCACATCTGCTACCTCAAACAACTTGGAAGAAGGGGAAGGATATAACAAATATTTTTGTTATATTTTTTAAGGCAAAGACATCTCCTTCCTAACTGCTTGTTTTAAAAACTACTCCGAATGAAAACATGCAGGAACTGTGTTACAATGAGAAAGTGAAGCTTTAATAGGTTACTGCATTATAAATGTTACTAATGTATTGCCTTTTGTGGCATTTATCTCCAGCAGAAATTGAGAACATACCCTAACTTAAAGTAGGGGGAAGGAAAAAGCATGAACAGAGAAAATACTCTTGCTGCTGCTTTTCCAAAATGCTTGGAGAGCTAGAAATATTGTTTGCTATGCACAGGATCTCTGTGCAGAAGTGGTGCTTGCCCAATCCAGCAGGCTATGCAGGCAAGCTGTCCTACATGCCAAAATCATCTGAAAGTGGGAGGAAGGGAGGGCTAAGCCAGTAACAGGTTAAGAAAGCAAGAGACTTTCCAGTTCGAAGCATTCATCAAGCCAGACTCACTGTCCAGCTTTTAAAAAGTGATAATGTAAATGTAAGCAGAGTACTTGTATACAGCAAAAGTAGGGACTCCCAATTAAATAAACAAACTATATTGTATAACATCGTTACTATCAGTAACATATGCATAAAACTTCAATATACAGAACAACAGAGAGTTGAAGCTCGTTGTGCAACATCCCACTCCTAAATGGTTGTGTTAGCTTCATCCAGATGCACACCACCACAGATAAAGCACTATTCTAAGAAGGACCAAATGAGGTTCCATTTGCCATTTAGTTTCATAAAGTGCTGCACTGAAAACTCCTGTTGCAATCAGGAGTGCCCACGTGGTAAAACAACTCTAAGGGTTACAGATGGGGCATGAAAAATTGCAACACAGAAGCGGTCTACCACAGAGAAGTAGCACACAAGCCAGCCCTTTGAACGCAGAAATCCTCTTACTACAAATCCCGAGAACAGCACAGGGTCCCTAAAAAGTGGTGACAGTTCTTATGATTTTACATACGCAGCCAAGCCTAGCAACAAACCAAGGGTCAGGTTCCACAATGGATAAAACAGCAACTTCTGCTGGAACTGGAACACTACAGCCAAATCCTGAAGCCTGCTACCAAAGCAGAGCACTGTAGTTTTTTGCAGGCCCATACTTTTCATAAGATTAAAATTGTTTACTCCAGCTCTCAACAAGCCTAGCCACTGTTCATAGAAATGTAATAAACTACACTGGGGAAAGAGGTTCAGAATGCCAGTATGGTGGGCACTGCTTAAACAACAGTATATTATTTGCATAAGCAGGCATTTATTATCATATTTGCGCTTACATTTCTACATCAGTTTTTAGTATATAACTCAGGAGCTGCAGATGGACTTGGCAGGTAGAAGCACCATTAAACAAAGATTAGTTTCAATAAATAGGAATCTGCGTTTATGATGTTAAAATTATACTGTAGGAAGCAGTTATTTTAGTGCCACTAACTTACACAAGTGTCTTGCCAAACTCTTGTATTGGCAGCCACATACTTCAAAAAGAATGCCAACTGTAGAATAGATAATATAGTTGTGTTCAACTAAATGGAAAGTAACAGCTGACGCAAGAAACTCATATTATTTGCTTATGCTGCATGTCTATAGGCAAGTATTTGCATAAACTTCAATATGGATATCCATAATCAATAGCATGTTTAAAATTGCACATCTAGGGCTTTTAATTTTTTTGCATATGTATGAAGGTGACCTTGAACAATAAACAAATTCTGAATAAATTCCAAACCTTAGTTTGTTTAAAATTCCTGTTCCCATTGAACTACCAAGGACTTGCTTCCAAGTAAACACACATCAGACGTGGCTGTAAATATGGCTGACACTCCAATGCAAAATAATTATCAACCAAGGCATGTTAATAAGTAATATTTGGAGTTCACACCATGCTGAACCACTAATGGGAGTAATAATACGAAATAGATAGTGAGGAAAGCAACTAACTTTATTTTTAAAAATACTTATATATCACTTTATCATAAAAAGAAAAAAGTTAGGAAACAAATCTACAGTTTTAACCCATAGTTAGATAGATGAACCACATAAGTCATAGATGTGTGGAAGGCAAAGTCCACTTTCAAGTTACCAAATTCTGAATCCCAATCCTAGCTTTAAAGCAAGCTACGGTTTGAAAAAATGTTTCTTTTATTCCTACCCTTTCAAAGCACAAGCTTGCTACAGAAACTAAAAAACAACACACACCACTATTTAACAAACTCCAGTAATACAGCAATTATACTGTTGTTTGGACTACCAGGGAACACAATTGCAGAGTTATAAATTAACTCTGTGCTTGGTTCAAAAGATATTTTGGCAGGCTAAATAAATACGGTATTGAATTTATACCTAAACAAGAAGCAACAGAAGTTTGCCACTGTGCTGCAGATGTTTGTCACACAGGCACACTGCTGCAAGTGGTTAACAAACCTGCACCACCTCTCTCTGACAGGATGGGTGGGTGCAAGACTGTCAAATGCACTCTACCACTGACTGTCCTTGTTCTCCCCTTGATTCTGAAAACAAGATCCTGCAGCTTGCTGCACAACTTGAGATCTGCTGCTAATGGAGTATTCATTATAGAAACATTTCACTTTACAACATGCTACCGAAAATACCTATTCTCAACAAGGAGATATCATTGGCTATGGACTTGCTGTATTCATACATATTGCAACTCTATTATTTTATATAACTTTTAATGCAGCTCATCTGTGTTTAAAATTAACAGTATGGGTTATATGCCATTCAGCTATTATGAATCCTATGCCCTGTAGCGATCAAAGATAAATTACTGTCATGTTTTTTAAAAAAATAAACAAACTGTTTTCTTTAAAACTATTAAGACTTATAGCCAGGAATCCTTCATTTTGTGAATCTATGATTCACCTACCAGCATTGTCTTATCTCCCCGTACCTGTTTGATATGTGACAATAATATCTAGAAAGTAATTAAGAAAGGCTAAGACTATAGGCATAAGCTGCCATAAACAATCTCTTGATGGATGCGCTGTCACCTTTAGGAGGGCGTTCATCTTTCTTCCCCCTCACCCACGTCATTTATCCTTGGTTTTCACATCACTTGCTGTGCGTCTGTCAACAGGGTACAAAATTGCTCTGCACAGGTGCACCCAGCATCCCACAGAATCAGCAAAAACCTGCGTAGTCTGAAATCTCTGCATGGCAAGCTGATTCTGTACTTAACTAGGCAGCAGTACCTTCCTTCCTTCTTTCATTTCAGAAGCACAAGTTCTCCCTCCCCCCCCATGCCCCCAACTTTACCTCTTTATACAGACACACGCACCAAAGCTCCACACTCATATAATCAAAATTCACTGGCCAGGTTATGTCCTCTCCCTGCTTTAAAGCTGTGTGTTCACCTGCACAAGTCAGCAGACACATTTACTGCTACATACACGGCTGAGTTGGCTCACCTGGAGCCTGGCATTTGTGCATGTCCCATTCCATCATCCCCTTTCCCACCCCCAAATAGCAGAGAACCCCAGGTAGCACATCCTCTTACCTTGATGATGCTCGTTTTCTTGGGGTGACCAGGTTTGCCATCTGGCTGCAGGGTGGGACATCCTCTCTCTGTGGCAGGGCTGCCAGACTGAGTAGACTCTGTCTCTTCTCTGGTGCCCATCAGAGTGCAGTCCCCATTGGAGACCCCGTTGCCGGCACTGTCCAAGTGGGTTCTTGCAACCCCACCACCTCCTCCTCCACCACCACCACCACCTTCCCCATCTCCTGCTTTGAAGGCCACCTTCCCGTGTGCAGGGCTTGGGGAGGAGGCTATGCCCCCACTGCTGGTGCCACCCCCTCTGCTGCCAAACTCCGCCATCAGCCTCGCCAGTTCTAGAGGAGCAACAATATCGACGACCCTTCTCTTCTCCTCCCTCCTCCTCCTGCTGCTGCTGCAGCAGCTCGGCGATGATGATGATTGGGCTTCTCCTCCTTCCGCTTTTTCTTTCTTTCTTTCTCCTCCCCGATATCTGCAAAGGCTCTAAAGAGGCGGGTTGCAAAACTCTCGCGTCTCCGACCGTCGGTCAAACTGCAAAGGTTGCAAAGCGCCGGAGCGATCGCACAGATCCCGGTTCCGCCAGCGCCAGCCGTGGCTTTTCAGCACCTGGGAGAGGAAAGAAGAGAGAGAAGGAGGGAGGGGGGAAAGAGGGGGGCGGGATGAAACGTGACAATCAGCTCTCAAATGAGGCGCACGAAACAATAACATACTTTGTAAAAAATACGACGTACTGCATGCATCCGGTGGGGCGGCGATGCACCGCCTTACACACACACAAACACATACACACACGCAACGCGGCGTGCACGGAGAGGTGAAGGATAGGAGTCCTCCCCGAAACACAACAACAAAGGCGCTCTCCCCGAGGGAGGAGGGAGGGGAGGAGACAAGAGAGATCCCCCCCCCATAAGGAGCTAGAGGCACGGGCGCGCGCGCGAGGCGCAGCACCCTTGCAAAAAAGGCGGCAGCTGCTACTGCTGCTGCCGCCGCCGCCACTACTAAACCAACAGCGACTTCAAAGCAGCGGTGATTATTTGTGCATTAACTGGAAGGCGGGGAGGAGAGCGAGCAAGCTCTGAAAGGAAGTCGCGCGGCCAGTCACTTCCTCACAATATCGATGCTTGCTTGCATCGTCCTCCTCCCGCTCGCCGTTATAATTCCCGCGTGCGCGGGGGGCCAAGGAGCGCCTCCTTCCCTTCCTCGCCGGAGAGCCGTCCCGCCTCTTTGTGTCCTCTCCTACCGGCTGCACACGCAGCTGAGGGCACTGCAGTGGCGCCTCGAAAGCGTTCACCTGTGCCGACACGACCACACACACGCGCGCGCGAGAAAGTCAGCACACGCAGAGAGCCGCCTTGTGCACACACACATATACACGTCCCTCTTCCTCCAGCACCCAGGGGCATTTTTACGCGCTACTCTTAACCTGCCCCTCCCCGCCACCGGGCAGGCAAGCAAGAGCGCGCGCGCCCCTCCCCGGTATCTGGGCTCCAGGGCAGCACCTCTCTCTCTCGCGCGCGCAAGGTCCCCCAAACTGCCCTTCCCGCGCACAGGCGCTGTACGGCCAGCTGTCACTTTTCCCGCCTTCCTTTCCCTCCCGCAACCTTTCCAGCCGCTCTCCCTCCCCGTCCAAAGAATGCGCACACCTCCACGGCAAGGTGACAGAAGAGTCGCCGCTGCTGCTGCTCTCGGCATGGCCGCAGTCGGAGCAGGCGTCCCCTCCCTTCCCGCTTCCCCGCTATGGTCGCCGCCTCTGCCTGAAGCCGGATACGCGCCGAGAGACTGATTCATGTGCCTGGGCTGTGCTTTCCCCCACCCCGTCTCTTGCCTCACCCGTTGGGAGAAAGGGTGGCGGGCGGCGGCTGCCGCGGCTTCCCTCCTGGGCTGCCTGAGGTAAAGGGGCAGCTGCGAGCGTGACGCCCGAGCGCCCCCGCCTGTGGGAGGGCAGGGAAAAGCCCCGCGAAAACAGCCCCCGCCTCCGTCTAATTGCCTGTGCGTATCTTGCACCGGTGCCGGCTGGGCCCGACCCAGTTGTCAATCAGACGGACGAGCACCGCTCAGATTGGGCAGCCGCCCAGCACCCCCTCCGGCAAGCCCAACACACTACAGTGGAGCCGAGGGAGGGAGAAGCCAATCTGTCAGGCAAATGTTGCCCACTCGGGGTGACCTGGCGCTTTGCCTTCACAGGCACCCCCTTCCTTTTTATCCCCCGCCCCAAATAACCAGTTGCTTGGGGTTGTTTTAATGGCGAAGGAACTCAGCCTAAAGTGCTCTTCCTTCATATTCCTCTCATTTTTTTGCTTTTCAACACACCTTCCTCTCCTGACCTCTTCCAGGGCTATTTTCCTTGGTCTCTCATTTTATTTTGTTTTTTAAAACCACACTTTTTACCTTGATGCGAACAACCGCATGTGACATGGCACTTTCACAAATGGGTTTAATTGTTTTGTTTTCATTTTCCGCTTCTGTGATTGAATCTAAAGCCTCGTTTGGCTAGAACATGCGTTCCATTTAAAACTGGCTCTCTCCTGCATTAATAATGCGCAGAAGAAGTGATACATTCCAGACTAAAATGCATTCTCGGCTTCACTTGTAAAAATGCCCTCAGGACTTTCAGTGGTTAACCCATCGGACCATCTGGATTGGGTTAGAGTCACATTCCTGGACAATCAATCCTTTTCCTGTCCATTAATGGCTTCCAAAGTGTAAATCAAATTGAAATGGATGTGTGTACATGCCGTATGCTCAAGGACATATAGATGACGCTTCCAAAAAGAGGCAGAGAGCAGACAAAACAAAAACAACAGAATAAGTGAATAAGCAAGGATATATGTGTTTTTTACACGTGCTTTACATACACCAACCACATCATGACAGCCCAGAGCACATTCTTGATGTGAAGTCTACCAGCCACTTAATGACCACAAAGCCTGCCCTTATACAAGCATACTGGCATTTCAGGTAAATTATATAATTATATTAATAATAAATTATTTTCCAGCCTTCTGCATGCTGTACAAAAACACAAAAGGGATCCTGTGAAAACAGGCAGCATAACGGTCACACAAGAGTTCACTCTTTCACTTTTGTTTTAATTGATGTGCTATAGCTACTACCCCCTTGCTGTTTACTCACTAACTTTAATACAAACACACACCAAAAGGGTTTGGGGAAGGAAACACCTCTGCTTCACTCACTCTCTTTTGCTACCTAGATCATTGGTTCCCAATTAGCTAACGACTGAGGACCCCCTGTTTTTCAAAAGCCAAGCCACAGACGCCCTACTTTTGAAAACTTTGGTATCCCTATGGTAGTTTTAGTTATGTGAATGGTGCCACGGACCCCGAGTGGGCTATGCAGACCCCCTGGGGTCCATGGACCACCAATTGGGAACCACTGACCTTGATAATCTACACTAAGCATCTCAAAGTTGGTTAAGGAGCAATGAACAAATCTGCATTAAATGAGTCTGTGCTAAATGAATTTGAGTAAATACATTAAGTGACATCATGGAAGATAAAGTTGAAAGAGAGATTAGACGGTTTGATAAAGCAACTGCAATATTAACAGCACATGGCAAAACTGAATAATCTGTCATGGCCCTGAAAACACTTTGAAAAAGAAAACAGATATTGTGGGAGTGTTTAAAAAAGGAATGGAATAACTTGATAGAAAAGCTTTAGCACAGTTCAAGAAGGAAAAGCAGGACTGCATCCTAAATACACTTACTAGGGTGTAAACCCCACTGAATACAGTGGAATGTCCTTCTGAGTAATAGGATAGGATTACTCATAAATTTCCTTCTGAGTAAACAAGCATATAACCATTTCTGAATGTACAACAAGGCAGGAGCAAGAAAGGATAAAAGCGGGGTGAAGAAAAGAGGTCTGGAACAGACGGAGACTAGTTTGAAAGTGACACAGAAATCCACAGGGGGTCAGTATAAGTGATGAGCTGTGTCATTGCCTATAGGAGAGAAAATACATAACAGAAAGAAGAAGCAAGGCTTTTCAAAGGACATTTTTTTTAAAAAATCACTGACGTACAAGTACATGCATTGCAACATGACAAAATAAATAACAAAAACAAACATGAATAAATAAGTCTATAACAAATACTGTAGGAATGAAATAATAGCCCCAAAGACTTACTTACAGTAATTATGTTATAATTTGCTTTATAAGACAAGTGTCTTTTCAAAATAATAATTGAGATGATGGAGGATAAAACTCCCAAGAGACCTTCACTGATGTGAGAAATGAAAGGAAACCACTTCTCAAAAAAGGAATTTTGTATAGCTGTGTTTTTGTAAGTCTGCTCTGATGCATTAACTTTTTGAGCAATTGGAAAAAACCAACACACGGATTACAACAGGCAACACAAGGGGTGCTATTGGAAAATGCAGGCACCTTGCCCTCCCCCCTCCCCTCTGAACAAATCTTCATACAGACTGCACAGCCTCCACATGACCTTCAAATGGGGCTTGTTGGTTGTCACTCGTAGAGCAGCATGAAGCTGAGTTTTGCTATGTGCATATACTGTAGCTATCAAATGTGCAGTTTTCACCATATCCAGTCCCATAACTTAGACCAATGCAGATATCCCAGTACAGTGAAAAGAAGCTAAGAGATGGAATATTGACCGTATTAAAGATATTTGATTTGATTTGAGATGGAATATCAACCATTTAAAAGACAGAAGACAAGTTGACTAGGAATAGGATAGAAAATAGATTTTGTTTGGAAAGAAAGATAGCTGAAAACTTTGTAAGTCATTTTACATGAGTAGAATAGAGGACATCGGCAAGATAACTAAAGAACAGAAAGAACATGCTGTGCACCCACTGCTGAAAGACAGCAAGAATCAGGAGTGAAAACTAGGGACACGAAATGTTAGAAGACAAATGGAAGAGGAGACAAACATTGTCTTAATGGCATTGATGCTCAGCCATGTCACTCCTCTGATTCAGTAAGTTTCTGTTTCCTATTTCTCCATTTAGAAAAGCACTGTACAATTAAAAATCCTTTGTTGGTGGATACCAATGTACAGTGGTACCTCAGGTTAAGTACTTAATTGGTTCCGGAGGTCCGTACTTAACCTGAAACTGTTCTTAACCTGAAGCACCACTTTAGCTAATGGGGCCTACCGCTGCCGCCGCCGCTGCTGGAGCACGATTTCTGTTCTCATCCTGAAGCAAAGTTCTTAACCTGAAGCACTATTTCTGGGTTAGAGGAGTCTGTAACCTGAAGCGTATGTAACCTGAGGTACCACTGTATTAAAATAGTCACTAGTTACATTCCACCATACATTACAGTGTACACTAACATTCCAAGGTTACAAGTCTATCCATCTCAATTTAAGCAAGTCTACAATGAATTCAGTTGGCTTGACGTCTGATGGAACATGCATAAGATTCAGCAGCATGGCTACTATTGATGGCGTGTCTGTGAGCTGTGTCCAGAAAGGGAGGTAAGTCCTTGGCTTGGGTTAGGACTCCCTTTGCTAGTCTACCACAGCAGCAAAACTGGGTGGAATGGAAACAGGCTAAGTAAAACCTGATGTTGCCACCTTAATTATGATACTGGTTTCTCTTGTCCTATAGATATAGCCTTACTACTGTTATTCTGGTCCATCCTAGCCTTGCCTTCCTAGCTTCCTGGTGGATTTTGCTTATTGGTTCAAAATAGGTTTGTAAAATTTATCTCCCCTCTTAAATGCCTCATGGAACCTTTAGGTTTTCAAGGCAAGACCCTGAAAGAGTCCTTGTATTTTTAGGAGTTGTATGGAGAAGGTAATTTTACCTGGTGTGTCTTTTTCTCCACCACAACTCTTAGTTTAGCTTGTTTAATAATTTCAAATTACACCCAGAATATACTATTAATTGCATTTCTAAATGTAAGTCTGTAAGAATTTGTCATGTAGAAAATGTAGTTAGAAAAATGCACTTACTAACAGCAAAAAAGAGGTCTTTTCATTTAACATTTTTATAAAAAAAAACCAATAACAAAATTAAGAACTAATCAATAACAAAATAACCAGTCAATTACCTAATAATGCTGCTGCCCCAAAATCAATGGTTGTGTCTCATTGCTTGTACTGTTTGTGCTGTTTCTACATCCTGTTGGTGACAAGGAAAAAAAACAGATATAAAAAGAGAATTCCTGGATGCATGGCTCCAAGTTTGGGACAAGTACTCTGTGTAGAGAGAACCCCAGCAGAGATTTAAAATCACAATATGCAGTAAAGTGCGGAAATAGAAGCTGCTCAAACCTGAGTTCCAAAATACTCCTCTCTTCAACCAGCATAGCAAAAGACCACACATTTTGTTAGTTTAAAATGGTGTACTTGCAAACTCTCCAAAGGTTGGGTTCATGTGCTTTTCCATACAGCATTCAGAAAACACAGGCTTAGTTACTAGGCTTAGTTACAGTGGTGAAAGTTCCTAAATTATTGGTATAAGATTTCAAGGGAGGCTTGTTAGAACCATGTGGTCTGAACTTGGAAAAACCAGCTCAGACCTCTTTATATGCTAAGCTTATTATGTAGACTGGGGGAACAATAGGCTTGATTACCTAGTTCCCTCCCAAGGTGAGCTAAGCCTGGCAGGGCAGTTCACTCAATGGCATTAACCCTTTCGCACATTCCCTTCATGCATTAATTAGACTTAAGCATACTGGTTGTATGAGGGTAGTTATCCCACACATCCAATGTTCTAGGGCAGGCATAGGCAAACTCGGCCCTCCAGATGTTTTGGGACTACAACTCCCATCATCCCTGACCACTGGTTCTGTTAGCTAGGGATGATGGGAGTTGTAGTCCCAAAACATCTGGAGGGCTGAGTTTGCCTATGCCTGTTCTAGGAACAATATTTGGTTGTTTTTAGCTTTCCACATGCATAAATATTATTATTCAAACTGTTTTCTGAACAGATTCGGTAGTCCTATATATTAATCTTACAAATATATTAACATGCACACTTTTTACCAGATATTATAAGAACAATTCATATAAAAATTCCAGACCATTTGAAATGCTAACTATTGGGGATCAATGCAGTCATCAAGAAATAGATAAAACTATGCCTAAATTGCTAGTGATAAATCCACAGATTGGGCTGGGTTTATTTTTTGTGTTGCTTCACAAATTAAATTAAATGGAAGGCTGAAATTAAGTATGGATTTACAGTAACATCTTTAGATCTACAAACCCTTCTGGACAAACAGTCTCTCCCTCATTAGCCTCAAATTAAAATTCTGAATTTAAAAGCTGCAGGAACCCCAAGTTATTAGAATTCTTTGTCATGTAGCCTCTCCAGCAGCGCAGTGAACATGAGTAATGATTTCAGCCATTTTGCCACTTAAAATGCAAGTACAGAACCATCTCCTTGCCACTGCTGATCAGAGTGATAACAAAATTTGATTTCTGCATCAGTACAGTATAGCATGATAACGGATATTGTAAGAGCCGCAGCATTAACATTAAACTTTGGCAGAATGCTCCTAAAGCATGCTGGCCATAAAGAGATTATCCTATGCAGCAGTTGTTCATGGCAAAAGATGTCTAGCAATAAATCTCTCTGAATATATGCTTAATGAATCTGTGATGCCAACAAGCATCATTGAAATAAGTTTGGGAAGCAAGGACATGTTGTAATTGTGATGAGATTTAGTGTTAATGCCTGAGCCTTGTTTTCATGCTGCTTCTCCCCTTCCCTAACTCCTCTGGCACAGTTATACTGAGGAGATCAGAAGCCTTGACTTCCTTTTCAATGAACTGCAGCTTAGCTTTACTTCCAGACCCTAAACTATGGTTAATCTTGACTATGGATCGTTGAAACAAGCAATCTTTCCAAACTACAATCTGCAATTGAGCTGGTTTATTAAACCCGTTTTGTCTGGGATTGCACAAATCTAGACTCAAGCCATAGTGGACTGCCTCAGAAGGACACTGGACTTCTCAGAGACAAAGCAAAACCTGTATGAGTTCAACGCAGGGACTCCTGGAGCACCTTGTGGTGCCTCAGCAATCCAAACTTCAAAAAAACTGCTGCAAAGTGTCTGCTAAAAGTGAACTGGGAGTCTCTAATCTTATTATATAAGGAAAACACCAGAGTGGGGTGATGGGGGAAAGGACATTACACATCAGTACAGGGAAAGGGCAAAGTGAGAGCTGACAAGTTATGGGTTTACCCAGAAAGCAAATCCCTTTAATTCTTTTATTCAACAAACTTTAAAGGTTTGGAACTATTTCTCTACAGTTTGGCAGGCTTATTGCCCCGGGACACATATCTCAAGTCTTCAATTTTTAGACTAATTGCCCACAAGCACTAGGAAAACACCCTAAAACTGTGAAGGTTGCCCTTGTGGGTAAACCATTGCAGCTATCATTCTGAAATTTGACAGAATTCAATCTGGCCTGTAAATGTCATCCAATTCCACCCCAAAATAAGTTCTAAAAATTCCCCTTTAGGAAAAGGAAGAAATTTGAACTTTAGAAGATGCCCTGCACACACACACACACACACACACACTATTTGCCTGTAATTTGGCAGGCTTTATCTATTCCAGAAGGGTAGCATACCTGCAGATTTCATCCACTTTTGTCAAAAGGGAAGCAAAGCAAACTTGGGCAGACCCTAAGGCAAATCAGCCGCCCTACAGCGTGTTCCTGACTGAGATGGGTTGTTTTTCAAAGCACTGAATTGATGTCCAAACCAAATCTTGAAGTCCTTGTCTTGTGTCTAGCGTCAGAACTCAGGTGCCACAATGGTTGTCTAGTGGCACAAGCAGCGGCGGAGGAAGCCGCTCAGGCGCCTGGGGCGCTGCATCCAGGGGTGGGGTGAGCCTCCCATAGGGGTGGGACGCACCATGGGCCTCCAGAGTCTGCCTTCCTCCTCCCACTCAGCCGCCCTACAGCTGGGGGTGGAGGCAGTGGGCGGACCGTTTGGGCAGCGTGGAGCCTGCACACCCAAGCCACTGCGTCTTTCCGAGGAGAGACGTTTGGCTTGAGTGTGTTGCAGGCCCCGCGGTGAGTGCCGCCCGGCATTTTGTCACCCCCCTCAGTGGTGACACCCGGGGTGGCCCGCACCCCTGTTCCTCCACCCCTGGCCACAATATCCAATCATAAACAGGATGCATTTGCCATACAGTCTGTGTACTGTTTTTGATAAGAGGGGAAACAATTGTTCAAGCACAGCCTTATCATAATCATCATCAAATGTTAGGATTCTGCATATTTGTACCTATGGTGATGATGATGGTTATAAATTAACTTCCTGCTTATTTTTTTGAGCAGAAGTAAGAAAAAAACCACACCCCAGAGAATCAACTCTGAGTCACATGCACTTAAACTGAATCACATATATTTTCCTGAAAAGATGAGGATAACAAATCTGTTCTAGATTTATTTATTAATAGATACAGATTTTTGTCTCATTCCCTGGTTGAAATCTCTAAGACCAGCAAAGTCGCAAGGAATATATATATTTATGCATATACATATATGCACACACATACTTACACTTGAGAGCGAGAAATAGAGAGAAAAAGTAATTTTCTTCTTCACATAAATGTTAATAAATTATAAGTTATGTATCAGGCTTTGAAGCTATATACCAGATTCTATCTTCAGACCCTCTGAAAATTAATTCTGAGCAATTGCCTAGGTTACACAGTGCAGTATCGAAAAGGCAAGCATTCATAAAGTCATGAGATAGATCCCTGCAATAATTAGATTTGCTTTAAAACTTCATACATACAGTGCTAACCTGAAGGCAAAAACAGGGGTTTGTCTACTTTTGAAACAGGGATGGAAGAGCTGTGGCCCTTGGGGCTCCAACTCCCATCAGCCCCATCCAGCAGGGCCCATGATCAGGGCGAAATGAGTTGCTGTCCATGAACATCTGAAGGGCAGCCACTTAGTCAGTCCTGATTTAAAGTCTTGTGTTTTGAAGGGACTCCCCAGGTATAGAACTCATTCTGCTCACTCTTAGAAACTTATTTTGCTCAAAAACAGGGGTGGGGGTGGGGAGAGAACAGCACAAGGCAAGACTAGCTGGCAACACACAGTAAACTTAAGGCACAAAATTGGCTAGGAGCAAATACATATATATGAATTGCTACTAAAATGTGTGCAAAATAAAATTCAGCTTTCACCTTACAAGTGTGGACACACATAAAACATGGATGGAATTTCTAAAATACGGCAGTAGAGATATGATCTTGAAGCATGGTAAGTCCCAACAAAAAATTTATAATTCAGCAGAATATTTGGATTATTTGATATGTATTTGTATAATTTGGAATACGTAATGTGATCTGATTGGATTGTTAAAATGCAAAACTTAATAAAAATTATTTATTAAAAAAAGGAATTTATAAAATACAATAATATAGAACTTAATATACAATGATGGCTTAAAATCAAGCTCACACGACAAAAAAAAAAATAAACTGGTAACATCTGTGCTGAAAACCAAGTACAGAATTGCACACAATGTTATCACCAGAAGTTAGTCATTCAGCTGATCAATATAAATAAGGTGAGCTGACATGCAATGGATGCAATGCCTAACTGGTGCTTAGTTAATATAAAGCTCTCACTAAACTAAAAAAACTTAGTTTAATTATTTTTAGGAAATACACCAATCATATCCACAGGAACTTACATATGTCACATTAGCTTGGCATGAAGACATTCTATATTGTTGTTTTAATAATCCTATTTTAGAAATTTTGTCCTTACATTTATCTACATCCAAAATTTTTGTAAGGTTGAAGTCAAATTTTATTTTCATGCATGTTTTAATAGCAATCAATATATATATATTTGCCCCTACCCAGTTGTGTGCTTTAAGCCTACATTTTTCAGTTGGGTTTTGCATTTCATTTATTCTGTGGCAATACATGATACACAGTAGCCAGACTGTGTTGTGGACAAACTAGAGTACTGTGAGAAAAGGTAAAGGTAAATGACCCCTGGACAGTTAAGTCCAGTCAAAGGTGACTATGGGGTGCGGCGCTCATCTCGCTTCAGGCCAAGGGAGCCGGTGTGTGTCCACAGACAGCTTTCTGGGTCATGTGGCCAGCATGACTAAACCACTTCTGGTGCAACAGACGGAAACCAGAGCACACAGAAATGCTGTTTACCTTCCCGCCGCAGCAGTACCTATTTATCTACTTGCACTGGTGTGCTTTCGAACTGCTAGGATGGCAGGAGCTGGGACAGAGCAACGGGAGCTCACCCCATCATGCAGATTCAAACCACCAACCTTCCAATTGGCAAGCCCAAGAGGCTCAGTGGTTTAGACCACAGCACCACCCGCATACTGTGGTATGGCTGCAGGAAACCCCAAGGTAATATGGCACACAATGGTGTGGTTCTTTTTTTTTTTAATGATATTTATTGAAATTTTTTTTTAAATTACAAAAAAGAACAAAATAGAAAAAGAAAAGAAAAAACAAACCACATCAAACAATACAAATTCAAAAAACAAAAATACACCACAAACATTTAAAAACAAATCCATCATTCTCAAATCCTTAACTGTCATTACCTTCTTTCTTTGACCTCCTCCTCCGCCCTTTTTTTGTATCCTAGTTGTTAATTGTCGCAGCAAATCCTTTCCATATTTCATAATATTCTGTCATTACATTACCTTAAACTATTTTAATCTTATCCGACTATAAAAACCTTGAAACTTAAAACTTAAATCTTATTTTTACCAACTTCTCATAACCATAATATTCTTACATAATTCTTTAAACATTTTTACTAAAGCCAAGTAATTTCATTCCAACATTTTTCTAACATTCATCAATTTTATAAAACAATCCTAGTAGTAAAAAAGAAATAAAAACAATCCAATCTTCATCCAGCGTCCCTTCCTCCTGGTCCCGGGTTTTGTCAGTCCTTATTATCCCATCGATCTAGCGCATTAACCTGGTAACCTTGTATCCGAGGCCCTTAAGTCTCTTCCATGTCCCTTCCGCAGCTCTTCTTCATATTCATAACTGTATTTTCCCTTGTCTCCTGCTCGTTTCACTCGTGGGAACTCCAGCTCGACAATGTTTTTGACCCTTCTCGACAAACCTTTTCCATAATCCACACTAAACTCCATGTGGTATTTAAGAACATGTTTCAAAATCCCTCCAAAATTAAGAGCCCCCACAACCCCAAACATCTCACGGCCCATTGCCAGACTTGAAAAGTCCAAACATCCCTGCTTAGGGGGGTCTATCCAGCCCCCCATTTCCAAACCAAACCAAACTTTTTCTTTCCAAATCTGGCTTTTTCCAAGTTCATTTGTCAAATCCAAAAGCTCATGTTCCTGTTGGGCCACAGCTCCCTCCATCTCTGGCGCCCAAGATTCAGCAACATCCTCTTCCCTCATCTGTTCTGTCAGGGCACACTCCTGATTTAATTCCTGGGTGGGCTCCATATATTTTCCCACTGCCTGTTCAAAATTTCCCACTGCCTGTTCAAAATTTCTGATCAAATCAGTCATCAAATCCGTCTTCTCATGTAGCTGTTCCAGTAGGGCATTTGTTTTACAAAAAGCACACAACAGAGCTTCTGAATACATTGTCCTGCAAGGTCAGAAGTCTATTCCCACGATTGTAATCTGTAACAGCTGCAAGCTCCCCGGAGTTGGTTACAGTTTCACAGTCTCCCTCTAGGGGGAAAACTTCTATTTCTTCGTTCTTTTAAAGACAAGTCTAGCAACAAAGTTTCCTTTTTCAGATATTTTATCAATATTTGTTCCTTTAAAAAGCAAAGGGGAACAATGGAATCAATGTTTCTCTTCTTATAGCTATCTGTCAAAAACGTTGTCTCTGGTCAATGAGCTTCAAAAAACGTCTGTCCTGACACCCCGCTCCAGGATCAGGACGGTGGAAAGTTACTTTACTTTACCCTCACTTCTGCTGGTTTAAACGGTCCGAAAAAATCCCCCCTCTTCTCCTGCTTCCGAAGGGGGTTCAACAATTTTAAATGATGAAAGTTAATCTTTTACAGGCGATTTTCTGAGCTCTAGTTTGCCATGTCTTTGCTTTAATCTATCTACAAAGAAACGGAAGGCTGACTTCCTGTTTAGACCTTCCTGTTTCAGTGCCAAATTGAGGTAAACTTTTACGTCCAATTTTCCTTTCTGCTCACAAGTCCTTATTTAAAGTCCAATTGTCCGAGTTTAAGTACTCACGGGTGATTATTTTAGAAGCCAAATTGTCCCAGGAAAAAGGCAGCGCTCTCCGGCAACGGCTGTGCGGCTTCGCTCCACGGAAGAAGCAGTTGACTCTCAGCACTGCGCCACTTCCCCCTCTTCACTCCGGAGCCCGTTAATGGGTTCTTTTGCGGGTTGGGAGGGGCGCTAAGGGCGCCCGCCGAGTCCCATGGTCATAGGCTTCATCCGCCTGTGATTTTTGAAAGGGTCCCTGCTTCGCCGTAGCAGAAAAGACCCATTTCGCGTGGAGCTAGTCCCTCCAGATCAGAGGGAGTCTGCCATTGCCGATGGCGCCACCCCGGAAGTTCCCACCATGGTGTGGTTCTAAACAGTATGTAGCTGACTGCAGCTGAAGGGTGTAGCATGAGACTGCCATCTTCCCCCCACCCTCCCCCTGACAGGTTTCTCTGCCTAGAGATGCTGGTGGAAAAGGTTCATATTCTAAAGCAGACATTTCCAAACTTTTCCAGTTGGTGACACACTTTTTAGACATGCATCATTTCACAACAAAGTAATTCAATTTTACTAGCAAACCGGAAATTAAACTAACTCCTTTCCAGCCCCAGAAGCAGCGTGGGGAGCATTCACATGACACACCTACACAATGTAGCTGACAAACTAATGGGTTGTGTCGCAACACACAGTTTGGAAAGTTTTGTTCTAAAGCTACACTGAAGGGGAGGACAAGGTGGCAGGAAATGGAGCTTCCTATCCCTGAATTTGTAAATAGACAATAAGCTGGGTTGAGCTGGGTAATTTGCAGGAAGATACCTGAAGTCATCATGACTTACACGCATATTCCAATACTGGAACCTTTCTAGGAATTAAAGTACCATTGATAGGCTAGTCATTGTTTTGCATACGGGTCTTATTTGCATACAGGCATTATTTGCATGGTTGTCACTAAAACCTAAGTCACAACTCCCATTATCCCTAGCTAACAGGACCAGTGGTCAGGGATGATGGGAGTCGTAGTTACAAAACATTTGGAGGGCTGAGTTTGCCTATGCCTGAGTTTAGATCCCTGGATCCTAATATTGTATGACTATTTCATGTTCTTCAGCTAAGGAACTCAATTTCATTATTTCTGCAGTTGCAACCTTATGAAACAAATTATCGGCATTATAATTTACATGTATGGAAACACTGAACCTATTTGTAAATTGTTCAAAGGAAGAGTCCTAACTTGATATCTTACATCCCAGATTCAAATACCATTTTCATTTGGCCAGGAGATACAGTGTCACTATTTGAATATAAGTTGATCTGCTCCAGTCAAAAGTTAACAATCATCACAGTGGTTATTAAAAAAGAAAATTGTTTTGAGAATTCCTCATTCATGGATACATCTATAGCACATATCTCCATGTTTCTTCTTGCCCAGCCTCCTAAAGGAAGATGGAAATCTGACACATATTCATTTCAGTTGTACAGTTTCTCCATTCTGATGTTAGCAATTATCTTGCCAGTCTGAAAGCTGATGACACGCTATACTCCAATGGGAGTAAATGATAAGGATCACAAAGGAATTAGTATCAGTCTGATAAGTGGCATACAAGTTACATCATTCTATTTTAGTCAAATGGCTTCTGAAGTATTATATGATACATACCTCCTGAAAATAAAATGAGACAGGACTGATTAAACCAAGCATAAAACACTTTGAGATGCCTGCCTTTGCCCAACCATAAACATACATTATGATTTCCTCTTAAGGACAGATCTTGATGCTACAGTATTAGCATTAAAAGTAATTGGGAGGGGGCATTAAAGCTATGGGCTAGTTGGCCCAATGTCTGTTTTGGGAAAATTCATGGAAATTAATGCAATCTTCTCCAAGAGAATGTAAGGACATAAGGATAGCCTGGTGGATCAACCCAATGGCCCATCAAGTTCAGCATCCTTTCTCATGGTGGCCAACCAGATGTCTGTGGGAAACCCACAAGCAGGAACTGAGTGCAGGAGCCCTCTCCCTCACTGTGGTTCGTTCCAACTCTTCCTGGCTCAGCTCCAGTCTCCACACCAGGTGCTGGTCATAGATATTAGATGCTCTGCCACTATGGCCTATCCCGAAAATGGGAGTGTGAGGAACACTTGGGCTAGAACCAGAGAGACCTTCAGCCTTGTGCAATGCTGCCTTGTGAATCGGCATTGTTTTAAATAGCCTGCATTGAGGTCTATAAAGGTAAAGGTAAAGGGACCCCTGGCAATTAAGTCCAGTTGCGAACGACTCTGGGGTTGTGGCGCTCATCTTGCTTTACAGGCCGAGGGAGCCAGCGTTTGTTTGCTTCCACAGACAGTTTTTCTGGGTCATATGGCCAGCATGACTAAGCTGCTTCTGGCGAAACCAGAGCAGTGCACGGAAATGCCGTTTACCTTCCCGCTGGAGCGGTACCTATTTATCTACTTGCACTGCGTGCTTTCAAACTGCTAGGTTGGCAGGAGCTGGGACCAAACATCAGGAGCTCACTCTGTCATGGGGATTTGAACCACCGACCTTTCGATCAGCAAGTCCAAGCGGCACAGTGGTTTAACCCACAGTGCCACCCGCGTCCCATTGAGTTCTATTAGGCAAAATAAATAGGCCATAATTTGTAATGTTGTTGAGGGAACATTTTCCCTCATCTCTACACTGGGTTTGCCAGAGGCAGGAGACAGCTTTAGTATTCTTTCCAATGTACATTCCTTGACCTATTCACATATTTATTTATATATATTTATAAATATTCACATATTTATTTTTATAGAGACTGGCATTTGGGAATGATGTTGTGGAGAAGGATCCCTTTACTACCACTTACTCTAAGATGATCAGTTCAAAAGTATATGAATCTGCTATTTTTCAAATGCAAGCCTGCAAATTCAGTGTTCCTCAAGAAATCTGGCACACTACAAGGACGATTGCAGAAGATCTTAACTAGGGTCGTCATATGTCTGGAATTTCCCAGACACAGCCAGGATTCAGCCATCGGAAACAGTGTCCGGGAAGAAAGCGCTGCAATGTCCGGGAAAATCTGGACATATGGCAACCCAGGTTGGAAGAGTAGACTTTGGCGGGATTTTCACTTTTTGAAATATGGCAACCCTATCTTAACAGCAGATCCTGAAACAAAAGCCAACGATGAAAACCTTAATCAGCTCCTCCATCTACAACCAGCCATTTCTTTGTTCATTTGTTTGAATAACAACTGTAACTGAATCTGGCCAAAACAGCTCATGTGGATGCCTCCTCAAATAAGTGTGTTTTGAACATATGTGGAGGATAAAAAGACAGCCTGACAAATAGAGGAAGGGGCTGTTTTATGCATAGGGAGCATAAAATTCATGAATGGGGAATGGAAATAAATAAAGTCCACTGGAGAGGAATCTGAGAACAGCAGAAGGAAGAAAAAGGAGAAAGGGTACACTGGTCTGTTGGAATACGCCTACTTTATATCAGTGGCTTGGTGCAGGTACGATTCCCCAAACTCTTCCCATTTCCTCTTGAGGTTCACACACTCCCTGCCACTTGATTTCAGCATCTCACTCCTTTTCAGCACTAACGGTTAGCAGCTGTTGCCTCAACCTGAATGCTAACCACAGATAGTGCTCCAGTTTAAAGCTAAGTACCCTGAGTTTTCAACTCATTGCATCTGTAATGCTCACCACAGTTAACACTGAAAGGGAAAAGGAGGAATTTCAGCAAGTGAGGTTAGAAGCAGCACACAAGCCAGAGGGGGAAGGAGGAGTATTCAGATTCTAGATTGAGAAACATTCTGTCTATAATGAGTCAATGAGATGTAGAGAGGAACAGAGAGGAAATGAAAAAGACCTACTATTAACAGAAGAGATTTAGACACAAGGACTAAAGGTTTCCTGTGCAACAAAATCATTTCCCAATACTGTATACAGAGCACTGCACACTCCTAATGGCACTCAAATGTATCAGCCAAAACAGAGAAGCCAAGGAAGGAGAACACTGAATAGTGTGGACTTATTTTAGCCAGATGGTGTGTCCTCCTGTGAAGCCCAGTGTCCTTGGGATCAGAAGCTCAGGCCTTGTCTTTCTGTTTATATTTTGTAAATATTCCTAAGCCTGCTGTAAACAGTGTACAGTAGTCACACATTTATCTGTTGTCTAAGGAGCAAGTACACAACAGAAGGGGACTGAAAGCATGCTGCTTATCAATGCAGTAGAACTTTTCAATGTCGATAAGAATTTTTTGTTCCTCATCAAGGGCATTAGTATCCTTGGGAATACTCAAAAAGAGAAACAGAGGAATATCTTGTAATGGTAAATAACCAAACTCCAAATAAATCCTTTGTTTGTCACCACTGAAACCCTAATTATAGGTGCAAGCAGCGCTTCCCCCCCCAAAAAAAAATGTTTAGGGGTACTCTCATTTCCCCACACATATTGAAATACTGCCCTTCAATGAGGCCAAACTTTGATTCATAAAATGTTTAGGGGTATGCGTACCCCTGCCCCTGTACCACTGGGTGCAGGTATTCTTTCGCTATCAGTCATAATTATTATTATTTTGCCGTACCAGGAGTTCTCAAACTACAATGGAAGGCCTCTAGCTCAATGGAAGAATATTGCTTTGCATGCATAAGGTTCCTGGTTGAATCTCTGTCATCTCCAAATAGGGCTCCCCCATCTAAAATCCTGGGGAGCTGTACCAGTCAGTGTGGACAATTATGAGCTAGATGGACGAAGGGACTCACTCAGTAGAAGACAGTGTTCCTACACATGGTAATGAAGATCTGCACACAACTACACACGTTGTGTGTAGTCATCTATTTTGTTTTGAATTTGTTTCTCTCCTGGAGTGCACCTTGCGCAGAATAAATGGTTAATCCAAATTGCTCAATCTTTGAGCAGTGTGATATTCCAGGTATTTTCCTAGGATTCGGTTTCCTTGGAATGAGGGACAGCGGAGATTGTGGTCTTTATGCTATATGGCTTAAGGTAAAGGGACCCCTGACCATTCGGTCCAGTCGCGACCGACTCTAGGGTTGCGGCACTCATCTCGCTTTATTGGCTGAGGGAGCCGGCGCACAGCTTCTGGGTCATGTGGCCAGCATGACAAAGCTGCTTCTGGCGAACCAGAGCAGCGCACGGAAACGGTATTTACCTTCCCGCCAGAGGGGGAACCTATTTATCTACTTGCACTTTGACGTGCTTTTGAACTGCTAGGTTGGCAGGAGCAGGGACTGAGCAACGGGAGCTCACCCTGTCGCGGGGATTTGAACCGCCGACCTTCTGATCAGCAAGTCCTAGGCTCTGTGGTTTAACCCACAGCGCCCCCTGCGTCCACCCGTTTACTTGCACATATATACAACCTGAGACTATGATGGCAGGGGGAGGACTTACAGCATTAATACCCCAGAAGGTCTTGCTTCTCCCATCCTCAGAGCCTTGGATTCAAGCAGAAATCAAGCATGGCCCTCACTCTCTGGGTTTCTGCCTGCTTCTAGCCCAGCTCACTTAATTTTAGCCATTGTCCTTCTAACTAACAGTCAGGTGAGGGAAGCAGGTCCTGCCCATTGCCCTCTGGCACAAAGCCATGCTTAGGCCCATTAACTCACCAAGAAGCCTAGCTAGTTCAACAACTGAATCCCCCATTAGATTTTAGCCCTTGCTGGATCCAGGAGCCAGGCAACATGCAGACTAACACACCCACACCCACAAATGTACAGCAATATTTTAAAATATGCCATGTTCAAAGAAGCCATTGTGCTATTCTGCTTTCCTCCTTTTGCTCTGATGCTGTCTTTCTGCTTTTACCTCAGCCAAGGAATATTATTAAAGGATTTCAAGGTGATATGTACTCCTTAGTCACCAGCCTAGCAAAATCTGAACATATTACAAAGGGAAGCACAGCTACTCCACTTGAGGGGGAAATGTACTAAGTAATAGGAAGACATTGTCTGCTGTTCATCCTACAAGCCTCAGGGCTAATAAAAATTGTGTTTGGCGGGGCTTGTGTCCTTTTGCAGTGCAAGCACAACTACATTTTGTACAATCAAAAATGACAAAAGGGGCTATGAGACATCTCAAGTCCCCACGCTTAAGAGCCACAAGATGACAGCTGATGCAACTAAGGCTGCAATCCAACGTATATCCCATTGAACAAACTACTTCTGAGTACAGATGGATAAGACTACACCGAACATCTCCTTCCTGAACCTTGCCATCACCACCATTGAAACTTTTCCTATTCCAGCAGCCATGATGACATTTTTCACTCTGCAAGAGCTCCTGCCCAGCAGCTTGTTCCTCTGGCCTTATTTCTCTATCCTCCTTCGCTTCCCACAGCTTTATCCACAATCTCCAGGGATATATGAGTCTAGCAGACTGTCTGCCAGCAACACCTCTTCTTGCTCCTCTGGTAGCTGATTCCAGAATATGTTTGGGAGAGGGAAAGGGGAGTGATGATCGCTGGAAGTTGCTTATCATCAAATCAGGCTGTTGATTAATCTAGTCATATTGTCTATACTGACTGAGGGCTGTTCTCTAGGGTTTCAGTCACGGTGCCAGGAACCAAAGCAGGAACCTTTTGCAGGCACCACTGAGCTAAGCATGATGCTCTTGCAACACATATGTATACAATAGCAGCTTCTTTTATTCTGTTTTTTATTCATTTTATTCCACTGCCCAGAATACAGATGTGGTTCACTAGGCATCTCATGCAGCTAATATTTTCTCTGGAGGAAACTCTGGAAGCAGCTATCTGGAGTCAAGGAATTGGCATTCTAGGCTGCCAAGATTAAAAGAGTCAAGACAAAGAAAAAAACAAAATGTATTTTTTATCCCCATCGAGGTAAAAATGACAGTAAATTTATATCAGAAAGGACATTTTTCCACTTATGTAACAACTTGCTCTTTGCACAGGCCAATGCTAATTTGAGGCATCTGTAATGTGTTATCTGAAATGTGCACTGGAAATATATGAAAATCAGCAGAACAGCAATGTATCATTGCTCACAATTTTAAGCAGGGTCATCAATACAGCCAAGAGGCACTTGGATGACAAACATCTGTGTTTTCAGCACTATTATCTTATTGATTGCCCTCAACTCTTAAATGCAAGATGTAGGGTTGTGAACAGGCTTCTGTTTTTGCCCCCCCATCCCCCTTTGTGCACATGCTGCTCAGCTGAGCATATTCAAAGCCATTCATTTCCATGTTGGAAATTATGTAAAGTAGTAAACATGCAGAAACACTCTTCTGTGGTTATATGAAAATAGCACCCAGGATTGTTATTGGTTGTGAAAATACTCTCCAATGAACTATACAGGTACTAATATTGCTACTTTGGTAAACTCTCTGAATAGAGATGACTCTATCATTGGTTTATTAATATGCTATTTGAAAGGGAGCATCAATGCACAGATGCAGTCAATCATCCGGGGAGCGTGTGCGGCAATTTCTCCTCTGCTGGAGCTCACACAAGATCCTCTCTAGCATAGATGTTGGGAAGCCTTTCGTGAACAATGTGAGGAAGATTTTAGAAGATACAGCTGAGCTGCATTCCGTAACAATACTAAAATAGATATTGCATTATTTTTTTAAGATGTCTCTTTCATGCTCTTGCAACATCTCTTTCCTTCTGCACATTAGAAAAAGATTCAGGAGCACCAGTAGGAAGATTAGTCATGAATGATGCTGCCAAGAATAACGGAGAGACAGCCAGGAAACACCAGGAGTACAGGCTAGATCATCAGTGTTCAAATTATTCCTGCCTCCCAGTATAACTAGCCTGTGGTTTCCAATAGTTATATTTCAATATAGTTTCACCTCATTATAGTTTACAGCCAGTGCTGTATGCGCCTGTTCCAAGATTCATAGGGCTCATCTACAGTGGAGCTTAATGTGGGTTTGAAACTGCTTCTAACACTAATTATTTGTTTTTGCAGTGTCCACATGACATTCTCCTGATCCAAGTGGCAGTCCTCACTTTCCCACTGGTAAATTAGGATTCTCCTGATTTGTGGATAATCTGATAAGGAAAGAAAATCCAGTATAAACTTGCATGTTACCTGACGGCGGAGGTACTGAAGCGCATTGTATGGGTGAGCTTTTTTCCATGTGTGATGATGTTTTTCAGTTTTTCGCTGAGAAACATTTCTTCCTAAATTGCTTGTAAGAAGTCAAATGTTGTGTTACAGCTCTCGGTGTTACAGAAAATGTGATCAAATCACTTGGTAGTATTTAACGCTGTTGATTTGCCACAGATAGAAGTTGCCTGTGCTCAGATGTTTCTAATCTTTCCATCAAATGCTTCAAGAGAGTGTGAACTTTGTGTAAACGAAAGTGAAGGAATTGCAAAACCAACCTAACAAACCTAAATAGGCTAAGGCTCAAACTATAAATAGGAATCACTGGGCGAACAAAGAACTTAATCTCAAAGTCCCACAATAAGAGCAATAATATTGGCTCAGGTCAACTAGGGGCATGAATCTGTTTAAAATCATGCATCTAGCATGATACAGATGTTCACAATGTAAATATGAACGTGCATTATTCTAGGATGTTTCCATGATTATTTCCCTACCTATGCAGTACTAGTAGAGACTGTTTGCACTAGCGGAGTCTGTCAGTAATGTAATTCTGTAATTTAGCAAAAAGAAACATCAGCTCTTTCTTTAGCACAGTAGGATATGATGGCTCTTCTATCAATTTCCATGTAGTTCTTTTCAGAAATTCTCATTAGGGCTGTTACTGGCACTTCAATTCTGTTTTCCTGTTCTTTCCCTTTGGCTCAGTGCCCATGTTATATTCCCTGCTATTCAGATGTTCTGTTTGATTACACCTGGCCGAATAGTACTAATTGCTTGTCCCAATCTCTGATCCTTGAGATCAATCCATTACGTGCTGACCATGCAAGAACCCAAATACTAGAGGAGACCCTAAGCGTAGCTATGTTTGTTGAGTCAATATTGAAAGAGAGGAGAATTCTTTTGTTTAAAACATAGACATCAGTTGGAGCCCTTGCGGAGCAGAAGAGTCAGTAAATATCAAGAATGTTTAACCAGATGTGAGAGAAGCGGCACAGTAACAACTTTCAAAACTAATACAATCAGAAACCATTTTCACAACTGGAAATTTAGGCACAAATTTTCTATCCGCTTTCCTGTTTTATCGTCTTAGTTTTATTTCTACGCCGCCTTTCTATAGTTAAAACCATGCTCATGGTGGCTTAGAACACGAAAATGAATACATAATTACAAATATAGCAAAAGTAGTCATAAATAATAAAACACATCAAAAAGTACACAACCAAACTGAAAAACTTCCACATAAATAATATCTAAAAAATAATCACAAAAAATTAATATCAATAACAGCAATACAACCCCCTAAACCAGTGCTTTCCAAACTGTGTGTCGCGACACGTTACTCTGTTGGCTGCAGTGTGTAGGTGTGTTGCACAAACGCTTCCCATGCTCCTCCCGGGGCCCGAAAGGGGTTAGTTTAATCTCTGGTTTGCTGGCAAAACTGAATTACTGTGTCGTGAAATGATGCATGTCTAAAAGGTGTGTCACCGACATAAAAAGTTTGGAAAGCTCTGCCCAAACAATTCCCCAGCCCAATAATCTGTTCAACAACTTCAACTTTTGTAGCAGGAGTCAGTCAGCCCTGACCTCCCAAGCCAGATGTCAAAAAGATCAACAAGACAAGGGGCAGGTCTTCCAGGACTCACAGCCAAGATAGCTATGTATGACTGAATATGAATTACATAAGGCTGTAGCCCTATTTAGCCATGCTGACAAGCCCCAGTCCTCTTCTCAGCATATCATGGTCTCCGTCTTTACAGCTGTCCTTAGGTTAAAGCAGGGAATCTCTTGTACTTGTGAAGGCTCTATCCCGCTCCCTGCCCTGGTGATTTGTAACTCTGATTATGTGGAGTTCGCCATCGTGCATACATAATATATAATAATATTATTTATTATATTATATATTTATTATTTTGCCGAATGCATAAAGCTGAATGTTAAATGTGCTTAAGTTGCAGACTTACTGTATGTGCACAATAAAGAGTTCTACAGTGGTACCTTGGGTTACATAAGCTTCAGGTTACAGACTCTGCTAACCCAGAAATAGTGCTTCAGATTAAGAACTTTGCTTCAGGATAAGAACAGAAATCGTGCTCCGGCGGCGCGGCAGCAGCTGGAGGCCCCATTAGCTAAAGTGGTGCTTCAGGTTAAGAACAGTTTCAGGTTAAGTACGGACCTCCGGAACAAATTAAGTACTTAACGCGAGCTACCACTGTAGTTGTGCTTTGTTATAAGTAGGATTGCTATGCCCCAACCCAGAGACTGCCACTTTTAAGAGCTCACACAGGTACCAATATTGTTTCCAAAGGTCTCCGCAATCCTCACCCAATCTACTACACTGCCTGCTGCAGTCACCATGCCTATAAGTGTGGCTCACAATGTGCAGCTTGATGGTGTTTTCCTCAACGTGCTCTACCTATTATGAAAGCTAGCTGCCAATAATATTGTTAGCTTTGGATAACTGACTTCATAGCAATTAATCCTTTAGAACAGCCTTCCCCCAAGCTGGAGTCCTCCAGATTGTGGACTCCAGTTCCCATTATCCCCATCTAGTATGGATGACAGTCAGGGATGATGGGAGTTGTAATACAAAACATGTAGATGGCCCCAGATTGGAGAAAACTGGTTTAAAGGGAGAAAAAGAAGTAAAGTGGAAGTAGGGGGTTGGGAAATGTGATCTGTATAAACCAATACACTTTTCAATAGTAAGTTATTAACAAAGCAAAACAAAATGGAGGAAGGGAAAGGCTGTTGCATACGGTTGTAAACCACATCCATAGGATTATCCAACACATGGGCACCAGAATGCAATGAACACACAATGGCAAGTTGTGAAATTAAAGGCCTTTGTGGCACTTGTCCCCAATCAACTTCTGGTGTGTACACACATTAACCGTAAGTTTAACACTGCTGAAGACCAAGGAGCCATATTTTGGCCACAGGCTGCCTCTTCTGCATGGGTCAAAAGCTGGAGGGGGGGAAACGTTAGGTGGGGGACCTCAGGCTTTGCCTCTCTGTCTGTAGGAACTCACCCCAGACCACATCCATCACTAGCCCTGCTCCACATATTGCTTGAGTGCTTTTGCCCGGCTGGAATTTGTCCTTGAAACTGCAATGATGTTTCTTGCTTACCTGGTCAGAGGATGGAGATCTAGGTGTAGAAATCTCCAGCTTTGTGCGGCTGGAATGTAGCTCACTGTAGAAAGGTATGAGTCACATCTGTTGCTCCACCTACCACTAGCTTGCAGTTCTTGGACGTTTGCCCATGAAGGAATGCAGCCTTGAGGCTCAACAAGGTTCCCCGCCCCTACTTTAACAGAAGGCACGACTGACCAAGCCTGCTAATATTCCTCAGAACCTGACACAGGATTGCTCATTCTAAAGAGATATCCTCAGTCTGTTTCCTCAGGATTCAGCAGAATCTCACTTCTCTCTATATTTGTTTACTTTGTTCTGCTGAGTAATCACCCACAAAAGCATATGGGTGATCTTCGGCCACCACTTCTTTAAGAAGTTCAACACCGGCTGCCAGTTTTGCTTCCAAGCATACTCCAAAGTGCCGATTTTAACCTTTAAAGATCTAACTGGATTGGGACCATGATCCCTGAAGGCACTACTCCCTAACAAACTTAACATAAATTAAGTCCTTCAGAATGAGGCCTCTCTGTGCCCTCCTGATCCTTAGATATTTGTAGGGTGCCTTCCAGAGAGTGTTTGGAATTTGCTGTGTTTAGAATCCCCTCTCCTAGTTTTGCCTAACTTCGTCATTAACATCTTGTTCACCTGTGCTTTTCACACTGTGTGGTTTTACTCCTGCTGATACCAATTTATTGATTTCGGGCAGCTTTTTTTAGATGGTATTTGCACTGTTGATTTTCATTTCTATCAGCCACCTTGAGCACTATTTTTAGGGGAAAGGCAGGATAGAAATGTCCTAAATAAATCAATCAATATCTGGCATATAGTTCATCTCTTAGTTCCTTCTCTGCACTAGTCACCATAGTGTACTTGGCTGCCTAGATATCAGATTAGTTTCTCTATTTTTTCCCTTCTATACAACGAAGCATTACACCAGGAGTAGCTAACATGGGGCCCTCCAGATGTTGTGGACGACAACTCCTATCATCCCCAGCCAGCATGGTGAATGGTTAGGGATGGGAGTTCTAGTCCACAACATCTGGCGGCAACTAGATTGGCTACCCTTAAAATACTTCAATTTCTCACTGACTCCACATCCTTAAAATAACAGTTTTTATTAAGTGTTACTGGGTTAACACTTAGTCCTGTTACAAGAAATCCCAATGGGAACAAATTTACGCCTAATGCAAATGGTGACAAAAAGTGGTTCAGGTTTCTGTAAGTGTCCTGTTTCCCTACCCTCAGTTATATTAATACAGGGGTTGGCAACCTAAGGCCCATGGGCCGGTAGCGGCCCACGAGGCTTGTCTAACAGGCCCATGGCACCCCCTGACACCCACTCTTACCAACACGGCATGGGGACTGACTTCTGGGTTGATGGCACCTGTGCGCATGCGCATGGGTGCTCCTCCAACCCGGATGTGTGCCAGAAATAGCGTGTGCACACGTGTGCAGGGCGGAGAAGTACCCATAAGCATGAACACATGCTATTTCCAGCGCACTTCCAGGTCACAGGAGCACTGGAAATAGTGTGTGCGCACGCGCACGGGCGCTCCTCCAACCCGGAAGAGCTCACATGTGCACACGCTCTGGCCCATCCTCCAACGGACAGAGTGCTGAACGGCCCATCCTCTGATAATCCTCTGTATTAATGCCTTCAGCTTGGGTGGAGGAAGAGGACTTCAGTTATGAACATGTCACAAGGGGAAAGGGTTAAATACACCCTTTCCCTGTTGCTATCCTCAATAAATTCACAGCCCTACTCAATAGCTGCTTTGAAGCTTTAGAAAAGGCATTCAAGGATCTAAACCCAGATCTCCTGCCTAATGGGAAATCTGGCACTCACACAATAGGAAGGAGACTAGTTAGACCAGTCTCCTGAAGCGGCAAAGTCCAGCATCAATCATATTGGCCTTATCTGCGCATCAGGGTACACTATTGTTAATTGCTCTTTTTCGGTCTGTTCTGCTCCACTCCACTACCAGTGAGAGCAAATAAACTACATTCACTGTGGGTTCTCAGCAAGCTATGCTCTGTAGCTAAGATTATTTCTTAGCGTACTGATGATGGCATATTGGAGCAAAATGTGCTACATTCCCTGGTTCATGGAACGTGAAGCCAGGGGTTGTGGTCTTACACCCAATCCTCAGCATTTCCTCCCATATCCTCCTGACAAAGTATTTACCTTGTACTATGTGAAAGGTTCTGGGCGTGGGAGCTTCCTTTGGAATAGTGGAGAAGAGTGAAGAAGAATTTCCAGTTACCTAGCAACTGTTTATCCAGTGTGTTCTAGTTGTTATGCAAATGGAATGCCACTTAAGAAATACTGTAAATTAAATGGCATTTTTAATTATTCTCATTATTAACCACAACAGATATGGGGGCGGGGGTGGGGGGGGAGAGCGGTGACTTTTCAAGTAATCTAAACTTAAGAGATCTAAGGAGAAGAAGAAAAAGTACCTTAGATGTCGGATGAGGGGCACTAAGTGCTACCAGTTACACAACTTCAAGCACTTACCTTGCAAAGAGCTGAAGTTGATGATAAAATGATGGGCTTCTCTTGTTTAGAAAAATTCAGTCCTCAGAAAACTTGCCTGTTGGGAGAGGGAAGAGTCTGACAACAGGTAACTCGGAGGACCGTGATGGGGCCAAATCTCCATCCAGAATGCTACCTCGTGCAACACAGCAAGGGTGTTTGCCGCCAAAGTGGTTATCATTTTGGCAGCAATCTTTCTTGTCATTAGGAGGTTTCGAGGTGTGCAGAGGAAGGCAATGATAAAGGGTCTGGAAACCAAGCCTTATGAGGAATAGTTGAAGGAATTGGGTATGTTTAGCCTGGGTAACAGGAGACTGAGAGGAGCTATGATAGCCATCTTCAAATATCTAAAGGGCTGTCACATGGAACTTCCTGTTCCAATTGTCTGAAATCAAATTGGTAATCCATTGGAAGAAAATCAAGGTGGATGTGCTTAGAGAGAATAACAACAACAAGAAGACATAGATAGAATTGTTGGATCTTGAAAGACTGACATTTCCCTTTGTTTGTAGAACAAAAAGTGCAATAGGATCTGCCTAGTCGCTAATCAAAATTTTAGAACAGTGTCTAAATATCTGTAATGTCCCTGTGGACTAAATGAATGACTAGTTATCAAATATCAGAAAGCCTGGTTCAAGTGACATTGCCCACTCAACAACTAAAACTTCTTTCTCAAATCCATTTGAGTTGCATGTTCTTCCCTAGTCAAATTGTTGTCATATAATGTGTCAACAGTTGTGTGTTTTTTCAATATCTCCAGAGGCAGACAGAAAAACCTATTGCGTTTTGAGGGTGGAGGAAAATAACCGCCTACTTCTGCCAGGATCTTTCAAAGTATGGAGGAGTAACAAATAATGGAAAATTAATTAATCACATGTTTGTACCTTATACTCAGCAACACAAAGTTGGCTTTTAGCATGTCAGACCATTGATCATAGCTCAGAACCTTTTGCATGAAAAACATGAACTCTAGCCAGTGTGGTGTAATGGTTAAGAGCAGTGGACTCGTAATCTGGTGAACCGGGTTCGATTCCCCACTGCTCCACATGCAGCTGCTGGGTGACCTTGGGCTAGTCACACTTCTCTGAAGTCTCTCAGCCCCACTCACCTCACAGAGTGTTTGTTGTGGGGGAGGAAGGGAAAGGAGATTGTTAGCCGCTTTGAGACTCCTTAGGGTAGTGATAAAGCGGGATATCAAATCCAAATCCAAACTCCTCCAATTTTATCAAAATAATTCTTCTTATTCCTGCTGCTCTAATAATGGTATACTTTGTAACATACACATCAAGTAAGACAAAAATAATTTAAAAATAATTATTACCGTTTATTGCCAACCTTTTACCCGCAAGGTCCCAGGGTGGCTTGCAACAATCAAAACACAGTATTAAAAATTAGTCTTCCTGCTGCTAAGAGTAATACTATTTTATTTCTTGCTTTCAGAAAGGGCATTCTATTACCCTCTGAGCAGATCATGTTCTGATCACAAAGTATTTCTGCAACTCAACAATAGTGGTGATGAAAAATATGCCCTCACTCCTCTACACAGAAGCTATTATATTTCAAAAGCAACTCAGTTCTCATGTTTACAGACTGTCTTGACCGAAGACCACAGCACAAGTATTGTGTTGTTGCAGACTGAATGCCATTTGTTTCCACAAAAACAAGCCCTCACCTTTTCCTCCCCGTTTCTAAATAAGAAAGATTTGAAACTCACAGGATTTGACATAGCAAGCTTTGCTACAAAACCTTAGCCATTTTGCAAGACAGGTGAGGTTCCCCTTTATGAACCATCATCAGTAACCTGGACCACACTGTGCTGTGCCAGAACCAATCCAAACCTACCTTAAATGAAATGTCAGACTGCCTTTCTTCTGCTGCTCAGAGTGTTTTCTGCTAAGCTTTCTCTTTCTCTTTCTTCCTCTTGCCAGTCCTCTCCCCACCCCCCAGGTTGCTAGGCAACCAAATGATATGGCTGTGCATGCATGTCCAGCAATAACGAACACTGTGTGATAATTTTTTATTTGATTTCTTAAATGGAAAACAGGGGAATATCCTGGCAAAGTTTCACCTCCTAATGAGTAAGTTTCAGAAAGTTTAAGCTTCCAAATACACACCAACCAAGCCACAGAACTTTTAGACGGTGGAACACCTAAAATTACCAGCCTACTGTTATATAACCTTCATTGTTGTATTGAATGTTCCATGGACATTTCTTTGCTTATTTTAACTGCATGACAAACTCTCACCTGCTGAAATTTCTTCTTCTACACAGCTATTAAAGTTGCAGATACCCTGGTTTCTATTGGATCTGGGCACACTCTCTCCTTGACCTTTTGTACCTGGGAAGGTAACCTTTTAAATACTAATAGGCAACATCCAGTCCAGCCAAGCTTGGGCATTTGTAAGACTGCAACCCTATGCATGCTTGTTTGGAAATAGGCCCAAGTTAAACACAGTGAGATTTACTTCCAAATAGGCAAGCACAGGATTAAACTAAGCATCCCATTTGTTTTAACGGCAGAGGTGCAAAGCACTAGCCTGAGCATTTACTATGTTTTACAAAGGTTCCTTCCCATTGCCTCCAAGTGTCCCTGTTTTCCAGGGACCGTCCTGGAATTATTAAAGTCATCCTGGCTTCTGATTTGATCCCAAAATGTCCCTATATTTCCCGCCAGCGCCGAGCTTGGGGAGGTGGATGAGCTACCGTTTGTCCCTGCAGCTATGAAGGAGCACCTCATTGCATCTGTAATCAATAATATTGTGGCCATTTCGATCCCAAGCTGGTGTCATGTCATTTTTGCTACTTCTGCATCCCAGTGGCCCCCAGCCCACTGCACATGGGCCTGCAAAGTTGTGTGGCTGTGTGCATGTCTCTGTGGGGGAGGGGGGTGGAAGGATGTGTGTACTTGAGTGTGAGCCTGCACATGCAAATCTTTGGGACCCTAACCAACTGCCCCTCCCTGGCTTAACCCTAATTCTACAACAGGAAATGTAAATCTACATTTCGTATTGTACACTGGTATCTGCAGTGGATATATAATTTGTAGTGTGAACGTTAAAATTGTAATGTAATATTGTCTTTTATTGGCTTGCAAAACGTCAGGATTATATTTTACAGTGTGGTAATAAAAAATTCTGTGACATTACACACACACAAACGCATGCACGCACACGTTCCTCTGCTCCTTTCCTCAGCAATTGAGAAATCACTTCATCTCTGTGATGAAATTTCTCCCTCTTCCACCCTCATCCCAGACAACCAATCTGTTAAAGTGGATGGCTACAGTGCCCTCCCTTGACTTAACAATGACTTAACAGATTGAGGGCTTTTTTATTTTATCAGGCTCCTCCACTAGGGGCTAGGTTATATTCAGAAATATCTGTTTGCAGCTCTGACAGGCTCTGACCCTATGTAATCTCTCTAAATATTTGTAGACTATATATCTGACAGTCCACTGTTAAGGCCAAATGGCTTCTTCCATTAATACAAATTATTACATTTAAAATAAACAGGAGACAGTTAATCCAGCATCTGATTTCTCTATTCATATAAACTTATGAAATGGCCACACTGAATCAGACCATGATCTTTCCAACGCAATACTGTCTTCCAAGCAAGTGTCTTTCCAAGCTGTGATGAGACTTGGAAAGCACATCTTACATCACTAAGCTACATTCATGAACTGGATACTTTGCTTTGTTAATGGTGTTTCACAGGCCAACCTGGGTCTTTGGCTTAATAATAACAATAGAGAGTTCCATCTGGCAGCAGGAGGAAACTAATGGTGGGGGGAAGTGAAATGAAATCTCAAACCTCTTAAGTTCCCACTCTCCAATTCTCAAACATAGTGCAGTTCTACAGCTCGGAACACATGGATTCCTTGCGTATTTTTAGCCAATAATGGATCAACATTAACATTTTGGCTGGTACGGTAGATCCTTACCCAAACGTGATATTGCTTGCAACACCATGCAGTTGGCAGTAATACACAAAAGGGTCAATTCAAGTCATAGAGAATCATGTACCAGCAGGCAGCGTTCCCCATATGTCCCTCTGCTAGTAATGTGTTGCTACACTGGAGCTGTAGAACAAAGATGCAAGCATCTTCCAATGAGAAAATACTTTAAAAATCATCTTTTATAGAGGTTCACAACCTGGTGAAGGCATAGCTTGTGTACCTTTCCACTGATAGCACAAAAATGTATTATGTGTGGAAATAGTGTATTAACGTAACTGTACCTCACCAAAAACATGACATTCATGCAACCAAATTCCATATAGCTATCACAGTCCTGATCAATCGTCCTATAATCTCACAAGAATTTGGAGAATTTAAGAAAAGCTCTGCTGGGTCAGTGATCCACCCAGTCCAGCACAGAATCCAGTTCTCATAGTGGCCAACCAGATGGGCCAACCATGGGAAACCTGCAAGCAGGACCTTGGCACAACAGTGCTCTTCTCACCTGCAATTCCCAGCTACTTGTATTCAGAAGCATACAACCAGTAAAGGTAGAGCGTAACCATTGTGGCGTAACCACTGTTTGAGGAACAGAAAATTACTGTGGTCAACAGTCCCTAGCTTCTCTTGCATATGCTAGATCTTTGCATAGAAACGGCAGGCATAGATTTTGTGTATTTCAATAGAAGGGACACAAGATACCATCCTAGATCTGACTATTTGTCCCTCTATCCTAGTACAGCCTACTCTGGCTGGCAGTGGCTCCGGAGTCTCAGTTGTCTTCCCCATCAGTTTTTAACTGGAAATGCCAGGGATATTCTGGGATCTTTGTGTACAAAGCAGACATTCTACCACCAAGCTATGCTCCCTCCACCCCTACTGGAAATGCCAGTGATAAGATGGGATCTTTTCATTCCATGGCCTGAGGATACCTGAGGCTTCTTTTGTGTATTGCCCACTTCCTCAATCAATTAAAAGTTCCAGGGGAAGTACTACCCAAGTATGGTTTCCTTTGGAAGTGAAACCACTGGAGATTTAGTACATGGTAGTAATATTTCCTTTATTTACAAATATACAAAGAGAGTATTCACTAAGATAAGAAAAGAAGGCATCACATCTGCTATTCCGTATCAAATTCCCAGCTGTAAGTTGGCTCCATCTATCCACCTCTTCTGAAAATGATAAATTTATCTCTCTTTCCCCTACACTTTTCTCTCACTTACACACAGACACACACACACACACACACACACACACACCCTTCCATCTTCTTGTAGAGAAGTATGTTTCACCTTCTTCAAACTCTGATGGCTGTCTCCTTCAAAACACTCAAAAGAGGTCTGGCTGTCAGGATACTTTTTCCTAATCCGTTGTTTTTTTTTAATTGACTAGAGTAGCAATTTACCTAACAAAACAAGAAAGAGGTTCATTGCATCTTAATGAGTAAGTAATATATTATGGCATCAGCTTTCCTGGATTACAGTCCACTCCATCAGATGCATGAAGTGTTATCCTGAGTTACAGATGGAGGCGGGATTGTAAACACTGGGAACTGTAATGCAGAAAATGCAGACAGCGACAATTACTTAATTAACAATGGTCACATTGGTAAATCAATTAACAGATGTAATGTGATAAAAATCCTTTCCCCTAGTTCACTTTTTGAGTGAAGCAGTTGATGAACTGTAATTGAGCAGTTTCACAATGCAACCTCCCACTGAAGTTCTTTTGTTCGCTTAGCCACTAATAATAGCCTTACCCTCCATGAATTTATCTAATCCTCACTACATCGTGTGGAAGCAAATTCCATAATTTAGCTATGTGCTGTGTCAAGAAGCACTTCCTTTCATTTGTCTGGAATCTTCCAACATTCAGCTTCATTGGATGCTGGAAGATACATTTTCACTCTTTTGCAACCACTCTGTCCCTTATTTCCATTTAAGAGTTAGGAAGCAGAAGAGAGTCCGAAATGAAATTGTGCCCTAACCCTATGATGCTTTTTTCCTTTTATAGGACAAATTCAAGGGCAGGAAGTTGGTTGTTGATGGCTCTTACTCATAATAGCCAAAGATGGAACCATAATATTCAAAGGAAGCATACTTCTTACTTCAAGATACCAGGGACCAGCAGCAGAGGATGGGCTATCAGCATCGTATTCCATTCGTGGGGTTTTCAAATACACTTTGAGAAATGCAATGTAGAAATAGATGGACTGTGGTCTAAGTCTCCCCACAGTTAGGGAGGATTTCCTAACTATGCAGAACATTTAGTCTAGACTTGTACTTTTTAAAAAAAAAAATCACAGGGCACTGAGGTTCTAGCTAAATATATACACAAAAGGAGACCATGTATGCTTGAAGTGTGACATTTTTTCTGATCACCACTGCTAACCAAGCACAACTGAGACACAGAAGTGAATTGCAATCAAATGAAGAGCTGCTTAGATTATTATGAGGAAGCAGTCTGGTAGACCACTCCTGCGCATGTGATTGCAGGTCCATTTTTTGATGGCATCAATCAAATATTATTGTGAACTTCCAGCTGGGCTTCACACAATCATTAATGGCAGAGTTGAGTCAATAAGGTCATGAAAAAAACTCTTGTTGTGAAATGCTGTTATTCCTAAGCAAATATTTGGGTGGTGGACATCTAACGTTTGAAGGCTATATTTCTTGCTTTTGCATTCTGCATAGGGCAAACAGGTTAGTCTCTACCTAAAAGAATGGGCACAGATCTGACAGCAGAAATGGCAATTTATTCAGAAACTAATACGGTTTTCAACTTCCCATCTTATTCTGCTACTGACTTTAAAGTGTCTGTACAAAGGGACTTCAAAGGGAGACTGCACTGCGAAAGTGCTCAATTACAATTCATTAAGAGGTTCATTGCTGTTATCTGTGAACTGAATAGGGTAAAAGGGTTTTTGTTACACCACCAGTGTTAATTGGTTTATTAATCCCAGTATATCTGCATTAGCAACAATAGCTGTTTTGTGAATGACCACTGTTAATCACATAATTATGGAAATTTGCCTACCAAACCACCTAATTTAACTTGCACCTTTGTTAATATAAAAAAATATGCATTTTGTCTTTATTCTTGTTTTCTACCTACCAAGTAATCTGTGTGTTTCACCTAAGGTTGGAGAGAGATTTGGGTAACAGCAGCTTCTTCCATTTCCAGAGATGGGAAAAGTTGTGTATTCCACCTTCCCAAAAGGCTTTGGTGTAGCCAAAGACCCGCAAAGCACCTATAACACATCATTTGAATGTCTGCTACATTCCCCCTTCTTAAGACTATTACAAGATACAGACTCATGGCTTTGCCACCAGCTAATTCCCCCACCCTCCTTCTCTCCCCCTTTGCTTGGTTTATCATCTAGCCTGATGAAGCGTTCTGGAAAACTCAAAAGCTTGCGCACTGTTTTGTCGCAGTTATGCTTGTTCCCTTTCCTTGTGAACTCGCTATTTATAATCCCCTCCACTGACTATATAACTGTGGCAGTGTAGTATGGTATAGTGGCTAGTGTACTGGACTAGGACGGGGGAGACCCAGGTTCAGATCCCCACTCAGCCATGAACTCACTAGGTTACCTTGGGCCAGTCATGCTCTGTTGGCTGAACTTCACATGGTTGTTGTGAGGATAAAAATGGGGAAGGCGAGAACTGTGTGTGCCAGCCTTGAGCTGCTTGGAGGAAAGGCAGCATAAAAATGTAAACAAACACATAGTGCATCAGATGAAGTGGACTGCAGACCTTGAAAACTCATGTTACAATAAATGTGTCTTTAAGATGACAGAATAACTGTTTTTGCTGCAACTAATTAAGACAGTTACCCTCTGCAAATGACTGTTTCCTGTTGTTGTTTTTTTAAATGCTTCAGAACCAAGGATGTATATTTTTAGTGCACTCGGGACATAGAAGCCAATGATGTCCCAACACAGAAAGCTTTTAACCTGCACAGTAGAAATGAATGCAGAGTCTACCTGTGAGTTGGACATGTGTGTTACAGCCCACATACGGTATGTAAAGGTGCAATACAGGCCAGCAGATAAACTGACACATGGACAAGCTTATGTGGGGCAATGTGGTCCTTTTGTTACCCAGCTCCCAATCTCTATAGGGCTTTCATCATCAAGCCCGTTGCTTTGAGTTCAGAAATGAAATGGCAGCCTGTGCAGCTGTTTTAAAACCAGGGAGATAGTTTCCATTGCCTGGTCCCAATTTGTAGCCCAGCAATTACACAATTTTGGAGTAACAACAGCTTCCAAGCACTCTTCAAAGGTAGTCCCGCCTATAGCAGAGTTGCAGCAATCTGATCTGAAGGTTACCAGATACTTATGACCAGGCTGCTTCTGTCCAGGAGGGGTCGCATTTGGCACACCAGCACCATCTGGTGGAATCTGCTGTATGCTGCAGGTGCCACTTGGGCCTCTAGTATCGTAAGTGAAATATGTTTAACTGTTGTTTGCCCCATAAAACACAGCTGCTGTGCTTCCTGTTACTTGCTGGGGACAGTGGTTATGCAAATGTTGCAAGACCCTATTGGACAGTGCCTATGACATCACTGGCAGGCATGTCATTAATCCCTCCTTTGTCCTATTCACACAATCTTGAACTGCTTGTTTATTTTAACTTCTCCACTTCCTCAAACACTATGCAGCTGCATATGGTACTAAAAACAGAGCTTCCCTCTTGAGTTAGGCTACCCTGTGTGGTGCAGTTAATTCCACTTTATGAGGGTAGAGGTATTGGGTCACATGGCAAGCAGCTGCTACAAGGAGGACATAGAAGGCTGTGTCTGGCCGGAAGTTGGCAACCCTACAGTGTAAGGATTTTTGTTTTTAAAAAACAGGAGCTGAGTCAGTCTTGAGAGTGTTGCTTTTCAATTTCTTGCACTTAAGCAAGAAATGATGGAGATCATGCCACACAGCAGGTTGTCAAATCTTTTATCACACCACCTGAGGCCTCAGAAGACAAGTCTTCAATACATCCTATAGCTGATCTTTAGAAATCCAGCAACCATCTACCACATTTATCACTTTTTATTCTCTTTCCTATACAGATGAGATAAAATTTGTAAGAAATGTTCAAGCAGTTGGTAGAGATAAGCAACAGGAAAATTTATTGAGCTAAGTGATGACCTAAGCATCTTTTCAGTGCTAGAACACACATTTCTCTTGAGAGGGAGTGTGTGTGTGTGTATTTAAAGAAAGCCACATTTGTACAGATATTCCCCTGGCAATAGCCTATGCCCTGTTTACCTTCCCCATGTTACCTGTGCTCTGGATATTGTATTGCTATCTTTGAAATAGTGTTTGGCTGTCAATGACTATGATAAAAGACATTGGGTGATAATCAATGTAAGTTTTACTCAGAGCAGACCCATTGAAATTCATGAGCATGACTAAATTTCAATGGGTCTACTCTGATTAAAATTTAATTGAATACCATCCTCAACAAATGCATTTGGAACAAAAAAAATTTCCTTCCAGTAGCACCTTAGAGACCAACTAAGTTTGTTTATTGGTATGAGCTTCCGTGTGAATGCACACTTCTTCAGATACACTGAAACAGAAGTTAGAGGGTGTTGTTGTTGTTGTTTAGTCGTTTAGTTGTGTCTGACTCTTCGTGACCCCATGGACCAGAGCACGCCAGGCACTCCTGTCTTCCACTGCCTCCCGCAGTTTGGTCAGACTCATGTTTGTGGCTTCGAGAACACTGTCCAACCGTCTCGTCCTCTGTCGTCCCCTTCTCCTTTTGCCCTCAATCTTTCCCAACATCAGGGTCTTTTCCAGGGAGTCTTCTCTTCTCATGAGGTGGCCAAAGTATTGGAGCCTCAGCTTCAGGATCTGTCCTTCCAGTGAGCACTCAGGGCTGATTTCCTTAAGAATGGATGCATTTGATCTTCTTGCAGTCCATGGAACTCTCAAGAGTCTCCTCCAGCACCATAATTCAAAAGCATCAATTCTTCGGCGATCAGCCTTCTTTATGGTCCAGCTCTCACTTCCATACATCACTACTGGGAAAACCATGGCTTTAACTATACGGACCTTTGTTGGCAAGGTAAGTTAGAGGGTGGGGAGGGGTATTACTCAGAAGGGTGGTGGGAATGGGTGATTGGCTGATAGGTATGGTAAACCTGTTGACGACTGTTAACGACTGCAATTGGTCTTACAGGAAAAAGCAAGGGGTGAGATGGCTAAAAATAGCTTTATCATGTATAATGAGATAAGAATCCAATGTCTCTATTCAGACCAGGTCTCTCCATGGTTTTAAGTTTGGTAATAAGTTGCAATTCAGCAACTTCTCTTTCCAGTCTATTTCTGAAATTCTTTTGTACGAAGACAGCTACTTTGAGATCTTGTATAGAATGTCCTGGGAGATTGAAGTGTTCTCCTACTGGTTTCTCTGTCTTGTGATTCCCGATATCAGATTTCTGTCCATTTATCCTTTGGCGTAGGGTTTGGCTTGTTTGTCCAATATAGAGGGCTGAAGGGCACTGTTGGCATTTGATGGCATACAGAATGTTAGAAGATGAGCAATTAAATAGTCCTGAGATGGTATGTTTGATATTGTTCGGGCCAGTAATGGTGTTGTCCGGGTGTATGTGGCAGCAAAGTTGGCATCTGGGTTTATTGCAGGCTCTGGTACCAGTGTCCATGTTAAGTCTGGTTGTTGTATTATTGTGGGTGAGGAGTTGTTTAAGATTGGGTGGCTGTCTGTAGGCAATGAAAGGTCTTCCTCCCAGAGCTTGAGAAAGAGAACTGTCATTGTCTAGGTGAGGTTGTAGATCTCTGATGATGCGTTGAACTGTTTTAACTTGGGAGCTGTATATGATTACTAGTGGTGTTCTGTTATTTTCTTTTTTGGGTCTGTCTTGCAGCAGTCTGGCTCTGTTGACTGGGTATTCATCTGGCTCTGTTTAACTTCATCAGGTGGTCTGTAGAGTTGGAACAGATGCGGCTGTAACGTAGGGCCTGGCTATATACAATGGATTGTTTGGTATGTTTGGGATGGTAGCTAGAAGTATGTAGAGGAAGGCATGCTTGGCAAATCCACACCGTGATCAACTCCCGCCCGGGAACCAATGTCCCCCCTGTGGAAGGACACGCAGGTCCAGAATTGGCCTCCACAGTCACTTACGGACTCATGGTTAAAACCGTGTTTATGGAAGACAATCTTACTCGGCTACGAGTGATCGCCAAAGAAGAAGAAGAAAAACAAGATACAGACTCATGGCTTTGCCACCAGCTAACTCCCCCACCCCCCTTCTCTCCCTATTTACTTGGTTTATCATCTAGCCTGATGAAGCATTCTGGAGAACTCAAAAGCTTGTTCCCTTTCCCTGTGAACTTGCTATTTATAACTCCCTCCACCAACTACGTAACTGTGGCAGGGTAGTGTAGTGGCTATATGATCTGAATATACAGATATACATCTGTTTTATCTGAGCTATAACAGAAAAAGATAATTTGCCTAATTTAGCAGGTTTTGGTCGTTCCTATTGTTAAATAATTAGGGGTCAGAATCTCTTACTGCAAATCACCCAGCAACCTAGGAGATCAAGATCTGTCCTCTGCTGTCCTAGGCAAAGCACCAAGAACAGTGTAGTGAGTGCTGTAATTGAGACACATTCCTACAGTAAATGGAAGGGATAGGGATGGGGTTATAGAGATGATCCCTGGAAGAACAAAGGCTCTGAACATCAGGGAGGAAGGTGAATGCTCCATAATGACTGCATGGCGAGGCCCAGGCCAAAGCCCGCAGGAGAACCAGCCCAGATCCGACGAAGGGGACAAATGGAGGTCACTCTCCCAGCCACTCCTCAGTTTAAATGGCAAGTGGCCACGCCCCCAGCTAACCCGATGGTCAGCAGGGGGCGTGATGCGGCTGGGTGTCCTATTGACATGGGCAGCATCCCTCTGCCCACCCCCGGTCACTGGGAGGTCCCGGAACTCCTCCCACAATGCAGCCCTCCGGAAAAGGGGAGCTGTCCTCCAAGAACCTTTCTGAAAAGACTGCCACAGGGAAAGGAACTGTATGGTAAAGACTCACATTAGGGTGATATGCTGGGAACATCTAATCTTCGGAACATTTATCATAAATGACAGTTGGGCTAATGTTTTTGAGTGTTTGTTGTTGCTTCTAGTTGGGAGGAAAAGGGAGATGCAGTGATTGCTGGCATTTAGAGACACTTCATTAATTTAGAGGTTATCTCTAGCGAAAGAGCCAGTCGCAAGAGGAGCTCCAATGTAAGTTGTTTGTATATCTATCGGGCAATGAAATATTATATTAACTTCTTCATGCGAATAAACCCCTAAGCAGAACATTTCAGCACAGGCAGGAATTCTTGTTTTCTACATATGCAACCACATTTGCAGGTCCACCCGCCCATGAGGCAAGGTGAGGAGAGTAAAGTGCCAGCCTATAGCACAGCATCTTGGAGCCTTAAGTGTGTAAATACTTCCCCAGTTATTTTACTCATATTAGTCTAATTGAAATCAATTAGGTGAATCACTACAAGAAAAACAGCTCCTACAGCTATCTATCTGCTGGATTAAGCCCTCAGGTACATTCTAATAAAAGCCACTGACTATATGAGTCACCAGTAGGAGCACTAAAAGGTTTGATATGGAAAATAGTAAGAAGGTGGGGTAGAGTGGTCTGCCTCTCTTGGGAATATCTGAATACATGGCAGGGTAGAAATTCATTCATAGAGCTAGTTAGAACCTGCCATAAGCAGAGAATTTTTCCAGCCTTTCTATTGCAATTAGGAAGTTTTCAGGAATGTCTTATTTTCTCTTTCACTATTACAGGTGGGGAACCTCTGGTCCGTTGGCCAGATTTGACATGTCAGGCTTCTTCATTTGACCCACAAGGCTGCTTTCCCCAAAACATGCCTACCTGCTTAACACCCAATTTTCCAGAGTTCTAAAAAATCTACTACAGATGTAAAAGGCCCCTTGCTGGAGATGTTCATCTGAAGAAGCTAGCATTTCTGCACCATTCACATAGCAGATGAGAGCTATGGGAAATCTAAATTTCCGAGCAAAAGGTCCCATGGCTGAAGGCAGCTGAACCTTCCCCTACCTTACCTTGCCACTCTGTCCTTTACTTCCCAATCTGGCTCCCAATATTGCAGCTAGGCTAGGAGTTGATAGTTGCACAGAAGAGGGACTTTTAACCAGTGCAGACAGCACCATCTGTCTATTAGGGATACAGTGGTACCTCGGGTTACATACGCTTCAGGTTACATATGCTTCAGGTTACAGACTCCGCTAACCCAGAAATAGTACCTCGGGTTAAGAACTTTGCTTCAGGATGAGAACAGAAATTGTGCTCCGGCGGCACAGCAGCAGCGGGAGGCCCCATTAGCTAAAGTGGTGTTTCAGGTTAAGAACAGTTTCAGGTTAAGAACGGACCTCCAGAACGAATTAAGTACTTAACCCGAGGTACCACTGTACTCAAATCTCATCCTTGTTTGCATCTGGTCCCCCTAGGGAACATCCTCAGAGCAGGAGCCCTGACTCTCCCCACCTATGAACTGAAGCGAGACAGGCAACAGTTTTCAGATGAGGGGAGGCTTTGTCAACTCTAGTTTCTTTTAATGGGGGAGCTGTGTGTGTGCGCAGTCTTCTGGAGACCATGGCAGTGCGGCCAACCTAATATCAACCAACATCAAGCTGTATATAAAGCAACCCTTTACATCTTAAATGATGTTCTGGATAGAGAGGAGGATGTTACAGCACCACCAATGGAGGGGCAAGAAGCAGCTGTGTTGCCACCAATGGGGGGAAGAGCAGTGACAAGGACGTAATGTTTCGCAATCAACAGCTGCCTATGCCCCATGGTGCCGCTGGGTCTTTAATCTTTATTTTATGATTTGTTTCTTCCATTCTATGCCCTTTGGACCCTGCAAACTCATTTATAGAAAATCAGTACGATCAAAATGAAAAAACAAACATTAGGAGCAAATAAAGCAAAGCACATGCAGGATTCTGGCCAAATCACACCCATTTCATTTGGCTGGGAAGCTTAGCTTACTGATGAATGCCACTTTACATTATTTCAGTGTAATAGCAGGGAAAGGGGAGAATACAAGAATTAACTGGGAGTGAGAGAGCCCACGGGGAGATAAATTCACCAAATGAAATGTGGTTTTTGTACCCACATTGGTCACTGTTGTGTACAGTGTTGAGAACAAGTGCCTTGCTTTTTCTTTTACCAAGGCTGTGTCAAGGCATTACTTTGTCTCTTGACTGTGTTGGAAATGAAGCCACTGGACTGGAAGTCACTGAATATGGCTTTTCCCAATTTTCCTTCTCACAGATTATCAAATCTTGATGTTTTGAGTCAGAAGTATGTCAGACTCTAGGAAAGGATAGAGGGGGTTGACTGGCCAAGAACTGAACTAACTTTTGAATGGAGGCCTAGGTACATTGTTTCCAGCATCTGTGTGGCCAACATTACAATAACCTACATTATTTATTATTTAATCAATCAACCTGTATACTGTATACTGAACACACACTGTTCCCAGTGATGCATTTATAATCTGTGTTCACGTTATCCAAAATACATGCCACCTGTACTGTGTTATACTACTGTCTGATGTATTGTTTCTCAACCCAGCCTCCCACTGATTAGAGTCCTTAAGCCTTTCCTAATTCATGTCTAGCCAAGGTGTGAACACCTTTGCATAGGGTAAATACATCCCCGTCTATGACCCCTGGTGTGTATACAACAGAAATGAACTGATGCCCTGCTGATGTGAACAGCTGTTGGGGGGGTCAGCTGTGAAAGGGGGGGCAAATTCACTGCACTGGTAACATGAACATCCCTCTTTAGACAAAATACAGGTCACATAGAAACGATAATTCTACGCTTGATCAGGACTGCAGGGTCATGACAAGGAACTTTTGGAAGATGGGGGGACATAGTAACAGCTATCCAGTAAATAACTTATGTTTCAGCATAATGGAAATGTTGATTACCATGCCAATGATAGACATCAGGTGCATTACTCACTGTTGCCGCCAATTGTGTTAACTTGATACATCCCACAGAAAGACAATTCCTAATTTCAGAGGGCAGTGTGCAATGTGAAGGGGGAGTCTATGTTTCTGCATTCTTTAAGATTAGATAAAAACAGCTTTGTTTCACTATTCTGCAGCACCCCTCTTAAAATATTATTTAAAGCAGAGAAGTGACATACACAAACCTAACATACAAAGTACCCACATTTTGAGATGTAAGATTAACTGGAATGCAGATTCCTATCTCAAGTTATGGTTTGGAAAAATAAACCTCATCATGGGAATTTGCTTCTGCCTAGCTCTTTATTTTGCTTGCTTTCTGCTGAAATATGCAAACTGGGCATGGGAATTGTTCATGAAACTGATCTAGTGTTCCATGCGGGATCTTTTAACATTGGACAGTAGAACTACAATCTCTCAACCACCTCAAGTAAATCCTAAAGAGGTTAAAAGTGCAGAGGCTATTGGGGAAGGATCATAGCTCAGTGGTTGTGCATTGGCTTTGCATGAAGAAAATCTCAGCTCCAAATTTGGCATTCAGAAGATATCAGCTTCAATCCCTGGCATTCTAGGTGGGGCTGAAATCCTGAAGAGTGACTGCCAGTCAGTGTAGGCAATACTGTGCTAGATGGACCATTGGTCTGCTTAGGTATAAGGCAGCTTCCTGTGTGAATCAAATTGTTTAGTACCTGTTAAGAGTCTTGCCATGGTCATGCTTATACAGCCCTGTCTCTAGGGGGTGTAGGGTTGGGGCAAATAACACTATGTACCCTCTTCCATTGCTCCCACATCCTCTTATCTGCACTGTCCTTCCGATGGTAGTGGCAGTGGCAGTTCCTTCCCACCTACTATTCATTGCTTTAGCAGCAACCTTGCTGGTGAGGTCCTCTATTTCCACATCCTCCCTCCCAGGCTCCCTCTAGGAAGGGATGGTTTGAGAGAGCCTTGTCAAATGGGAGGGAGGCAACAGGGCTGCCAGCCATGGCCACCAGTACCAGCCATAGTGTGCCCTACAGAACAGGGTCCAAGGCTTATTCGCCTCCCTGAAGATAGCCCTAGGCCTCTGTATCCAAAATGACCCATTGAGAAGAGTGAGGAATCAGCAAACTGCCATTAACCCCCAAGAACACAAAAAATACATATACTGGGGGAAAATAACTACCCCCCAACTCCCATATCAACTTGTGCTGAGTCAAATGACTTCCCCCAAAGAATCCTTGGAACTGCAGTTTGTTAAGTGTACTGGAAATCGTACCTCTGTGAGGGGTAAGCTACACTTCCCAGGATTCTCTGGAGTAAGTAATGTGCTTTAAATATATGGTGTGTATGAAGCACTAAGAGAGAGAAAACTGAAAACTGAATATGAGGGAAGGATAGAATTTAGAAGGTGGAACAGGAGGACACACACACACACACACTGTAGGGAGAACCATTGCCTGGATGTCACTACCTGGTTCATACTGAAAAACTATGTCCCAAGGAACAGAAATGAGAGCCACCCACACATATCAGTGGAGAAACCCAATATTTTAATGCAGCTGGAGGTGGACACACTTGTGCCCAACTCCCCCTCCCCCTGAGGCTTCCATCTTCTTTCTAACTCAGTTTTTATTTAGTATGATTTAAAACAAAAACAATCTTGCCAATCCAAATTCCAGACAACGCAGCTAACTGACCTCAAATAGCAGGTTGGAAGGGGCTGTTGCTTGGATAGACTTGGAAGCTGCTTAGAAGTAGTTTATGACAGTCCTGCAGTATAGTTCATGAAGGCTTGCAAGAACCCTGCCATGTTGTCCAGAGGTATTGGACCCTACTTATTGCAGGTTGGGCTGAAGTTGAGAGAAGTTGGGTTTACAACAACCCTGCAGGGTTATCTATTGTGTTTATCCCCACCACTGTAGGCTGGGCTGAGAGAGTAGTAAACAACAACCCTGCAATGTCTTCTTCTATACCTTTACCTCATGTAGGAGTGCTGTGTTGAGTGTAGCTTACAGATGCCCAGCAACATGGTCCACTTAAATTGCCACTTCAGACACACTTCCTGGCCAAATCAAGCACTTAATTGCATGGGATAGCCTCTTGAGCAGGGACTCCTTCCTCTGATGCTAATTTTTGTTTTCCCAACATCCTCATCCAAAGGCTGTGTTAACTGATACAGACATGCTCTACTGCTCAGTTCTGCTCAGGTAATGGACACAGTCCTGCTCTACTCATATCTGCAATGGTGGTATCTAAAACTCTTTCTTATGTGACCTGGAGACAACCTCAGCAGCCTCCTTTGGATTATGGCTATACCTTTTATTGCAAATAGAATCAGAATCACTGCACAAATAAAGGTCATAAAGATCAGTGGCAAACCTTCTAAATTAGCTGGAGATCAAAGCAATGAGCTCATAAATGATGTCGTAAGTCATAAAAGATCACAAAACAACTCCAGAGCTACAAATATGCTATAAACATAATAACACGCTCACACTCACACTCACAATGCACTCTATTCTGAGCACACTTCATGCCTATAAGGCACTGTACTGTAGTAAGAAAGCACATTCACACAGAGGCAACCTGTTGCTCAAAGTGACATAAAATCTGTCCTAATCTGAATGTTTAAAGTATTAAAACTTTATACTTCTTACATGCATGTTATATAATGTCAACTACACAGGTCTGTTACTTTTTTCTTTTTCTTTTTTTGAATCAAGAAAGATAAAAGTAAAGATAAAAGGACCCCTGGACAGTTAAGTCCAGTCAAAGGCGACTTTGGGGTGTGATGCTCATCTCGCTTTTAGGCCAAGAGAGCCGGGCGTTTGTCCACAGACAGTTTTCTGGGTCTTGTGGCCAGCATGACTAAACTACTTCTGGCGCAACGGAACACCGTGACGGAAACCAGAGCACACAGAAACGTCATTTACCTTCCCACCACAGCGGTACCTATTAATCTACTTGCACTGACATACTTTCAAACTGCTAGGCTGATAGAAACTGGGACAGAGCAACAGGAGCTCACCCCATCACACGGATTTGAACCACTGACCTTCCGACCGGCAACCCCAAGAGGCTCAGGGGTTTAGACCACAGCACCACCCGCATCACTTTTAGGAATCAAGAAAACACAGTTGTCAAATCTGGTGGATGACATCATTTGCGCATTACAGTGGTGCCCCGCAAGACGAATGCCTCGCAAGACGGAAAACTCGCTAGACGAAAGAGTTTTCCGTTTTGGAGGTGCCTCGCAAAACGAATCTGCTATGGGCTTGCTTCGCAAGACGAAAATGTCTTGCGAGTTCCTGGGTTATTTTTCCTTTCCCCTCTTTTTCTAAGTCGCTAAGCCGCTTATCTGCTTATCCGATAAGCTGATAAGCTGCTAAAAGCCGCTAAAAGCCGCTAAAAGCCGCTAATAGCGCTAATAGCGCTAATCCGCTAATCCCGTCAATGGGCTTGCTTCGCAAGACGAAAAAACCGCTAGACGAAGAGACTCCCAGAACGGATTCTTTTCGTCTTGCGAGGCACCACTGTACTTCAGGAGAGGGAAGACTTTAAGCTTTTCAGATCAATTTTTTTTTTTTTCCTATAACGCCAAGATCTACTAGAGCCATGGACAAAAGACATGCAGTTAGAATTAAAGAATACAGTGTCTCTGAGCCTAGGAATTTGTTGTTGGTACCATAAATGAATTGAACACAGAGTATTTTCACATTAAAGTCCACTTCTCATGAATTTTCTCCATTTCAGCTGCCAAATTTGGATAGGAAAATTTTGTTGTCACTACCATCAAGTAAGGAGGAGCCAGAAACACTTGCTGTCTACTGCACATCACTCATGGCTACACCAGTAGATATTGATCTATTTTCTCCCACACATCCCTGCTCTACACAACAGGTGAACTTGTAAACACGGATGGTATGAAAGCAGATTAAAACAACAACCTTGAACTTACTGCAGAAACAGCCTGGCAATTACTCATTTTCCCCATCCCATGACCTTTTTCCTTCATGCATCCAGCTGCAGAAAGGATAAAATGTTAAGAGCCCTGAAAGATACCCAACACCATCCACTGTATCATTCTGACACTGAAGTGATCCTCTTGAGACCAATTATTCTGTCATCAGAGCCAGTTGCATAGGACAGAACAGCAAGCTGAGTTGGTCCAATGAATTCAGCCCCTTATCTTGCAGCCCTCAGTGTGCTATTGGCAATGGATCAGTAATACATGTTAAATACCAGTAACAGTTGTGGGGGAGCTGAAGAGTTAAATTCCAGGAAATGGTTTTTTGTTTTCATCACAGTAGCTGAAGACTGGCATGTTTTATGGGGAAGGAGTCTCTTAACATTCTGCTTAAAATAGAAACCATTTCAACGAGGGGGTTTAGCTCTTTAGTTACTATTTCCGCTTATGAATCTATTTTGAGGAACCCAGTAATCTGAAACTCCATGTGGGGGAATGCACTGATATAAGAGAAGGCAGCAAGACTGGGGGTTAAATGAGTTTTAGATCATGCTAGTAGCAGCAGCAACTGCTTCATTTCTTCTCTTGCTAGCCCCTGAGAGGGGCACCTGCTCAAAAAAGGGGGCGACTCCTTGTGCAGTTTTTCAAGGAGAATTTCTTTTGATGGAGTAAAAAAGCCTGTCTGCTGCTTGCTGGCTCTGGCTGTGTTACAGGGCCCAAGATCAGGGCAGCTAGTAAGGAACTGAAAGAGGCCTCTGGTTGATTTGAACAGTCCAAAACAGGAATTGGAAAGAAAACTGTGCTGAGCTGGAGCCCAGCATTAGAAAACAGATCTCGCAGAGCTTTCAGCTAGAAAAATGGATGCACCTGGGGTTAGTTAACCAGGTAGAAAGAGTGCTCTCAGCAAGGTGAATTCCATATGGTAGCTTGAATTATGTAGGGCAGATGTTGGATTAGTGAGATCACCTTTATAAAGAAAACACCACCCTAAAACTCTATAAACTCCATGAGCTGAGGGGGAAGGAAATGACTGCCCATGGGGGGGGGAGGGCACATGATTAAAATTAAAATCTTGAGCAAGAGCAGAGCTGAAGAATTTGTTTTCAATATCAGTACAGGTTTCTTTCTACACTGAAATCCATGCCTGGGAAAGTGCATCCCTGCAAGGGAAAGTGTGGTGTAGTGGTTAAGAGCAGTAGACTCATAATCTGGTGAACCGGGTTCGCGTCTCCGCTCCTCCATATGCAGCTGCTGGGTGACCTTGGGCTAGTCACACTTCTTTGAAGTCTCTCAGCCCCACTCACCTCACGTGGGGGAGGAAGGGAAAGGAGACTGTTAGCCGCTTTGAGACTCCTTAGGGTAGTGATAAAGCTGGATATCAAATCCAAACTCTTCTTCTTCTTCATTTTAGCAGCCTAATATAAAGTACGAGTAGAAAAAAGCCTTGGTGGCAATACTGTTAAAGACCTGGGAGTTAAAACTCATGCTTATAACCAGTGCTTTTTGGGGGGGGCACAGGGGTACACATACCCCTAAACATTTTGTGAATCTAAGTTTGGCCTCATTGAGGGGCAGTATTTCAATATGAGTAGGAAAATGAGAGTACTCCTAAACATTTTTAAAGAAAAACAGCACTGTTCCTAGCTAAGGGAGGAAGATAGCCTCAAGACATATCACCTCTTGTAGATCTGTAACTGGTTAAGAAACAGGGAGAACACAGAAGGAATAATAGACAGTACTCCCAATGGAGGGATATAGAAAATGGAGACAGTCCCCAAAGATTGGTATCGGGACCTGTGCTTTTTAACTTGTTCATAAATTAACTAGAGTTAGGAGTAAGCAGTAAGGTAACTGAGTTTGCTGATGATACCAAATTGTTCATGATGGTTAAAATCAAAATGGATTGTGAAGAGTTCCCAAAGGATCTTTGAAGAACTGAGCAGTAAAATGGCAAATGCAATTCAATGTAAGCAAGTGCAAAGTGATGCAAATTAGAGCAAAAACCCTGTTTAATTACACATATATACTAATGAGGTCTGAACTGGTGGGGACTGATCAGAAATGAGATCTTGAGGTTGTAGTGCATAGCTTGATGAAGATGTTGACCTAGCACTCAGCAGTTGCGAAAAAGGCAAATGCCATACCACAGATCAATAGGAAAGAGGTTGAAAATAAAATTGCCAACATCACAGTGGTGGTGCAACTGTTTTTGAAATCATGTATACAGTTCTGGTCACTTCATTTCAAAAACTATATTGCAAAGGTTTAGGAAAGGGCCACCAAAATGATTAAGTGGATGGAGCAACTCCTGTATGAGGAAAGGTTACAACATTTCGGCCTTTTTAATTTAGATAAATGGCATGTAAGAGGAGACATTATAGAGGTGTATGAAATTATGCATGCTGTGGAGAATGTGGCTAGAGAAATATTATTATCCCTCTTACATAAGATTAGAACTTGGGGACATTCAATGAAGCTGAATGTTGTGAAATTTGGGACAGATAAAAGAAAGTACTTCTTCACACAGTGCAGAGATAAAATATAGAATTCATTCCTACAAGCCTTACTTTACCTGGTACCTGTTTATACTATGCACCAGAACTAGATTGCTACAGATTTATAGACAATTTTTGAAAAATTAGAAATTGTTGTGCAGAAGGATTAATTACAAGTAGCTCAGGTGTATTGTCTGGCAGTGATTATAATGATGGAACTGCAGGATGTTTTTGTAAGAGTCCACATAATATTTTTTTCATACGCTTCCAATGATGTCCAGTTTAATGTCTGCTTTGGGGATGAACTCCAACCCTAATGACATTTGTCTCATTCAATTGCTTTTCAAAACTAAAGTTCAAATGCAACGGGAAATTCACCTCATCAGTGGGAAACTGGTTGAACTGTCTTTTTCATAAAACAAAAAACTTAACTTACAGTCATACAAAAGGAATATATGGCCCCAAGGAAAAGTATTAAGAGTACATGCCCTTTATAAAGCAAACAATAAGTCACCAGCTGTGGAAAATTCAAATTTGCTTCTAAAATAAACCTTTTGATACTGACTGGTATGGTGGAAACAAAAGTTAATCATCAAAAAGGAAAAAAGAGCCAGCGTAAGATGCAATGGGAATTTGATGGCAAGAAAACATTTATTTACCGAGCATTGATGATGAATGAGGGCTACTAAATCAGTAAGACTCATGTCATACAATGGGGCGAGAAGTAGAGATGCAGCCAATGAGATAAATCTGAGTTTTACAGCTATCTGAATGAATGAGTCAGAGTTTGGGGAAGAAGAGCACAAAGGTGGGGGTGTTTGTTTTTTGAGGGAACTGATACTGCTTTACAGACCACTGCAAGCTGTCTGGGTGCTTGCCTGCTCCCCTATGCTCAATGTCTGTTTGTAAATAAAAAGAAATCCACTGTAGTAAAATAAAAATGTCACGAGTCTCCAGTGCTCTGTCCTTGCAAATAAATAGATTCATATCCTGGCAGCCCCTAGCATTTTTAAAAATGTATTGTTGTATAAAAACAATACAAAGTTAAATACAGTTATACATATGGATAACTTGCAATCCTGTATGTTTATTATAGATAGATATAGTTGTGTAATATTAATATATATTCATATCAATTAAACACATATTTTCCTATTTCTGTTCAATCATCATATTTGTAATCACTCAGCAAAGTGTGGTGCTGTATGTAGCAAAACAATACAAAGAGAAATACTAACAGAACTAGTTTGCAAGCAAACAGATGGTGGGGCTATTATGAGAAAAAATGATAGATTCAGTTTTAACCTGGTATTAGTGTTTGGTAGATGCAATGGAGAATATGTTCTGTGGCTCACTATGACACAAGGCTCTTTCATACATACAGTACATATTTATCACTTGCTATCTTTCAGCCAATGCGTGAACTATGAACTACAGAAAAATATTATTTGACTTGACAATGGTGACTAATACATGGCAGACTTGCACATACAGTGGTACCATGGGTTACAGACACTTCAGGTTACAGACTCCGCTAACTCAGAAATAGTACCTTAGTTTAAGAACTTTACATCAGGATGAGAACAGAAATTGTGCGGTGGTGGCACAGCAGCAGTGGGAGGCCCTATTAGCTAAAGTGGTACCTCAGGTTAAGAACAGTTTCAGGTTAAGAACAGACCTCCAGAATGAATTAAGTTTTAACCCGAGGTACCACTGTATAAGTTACTGCTTGACACTAGAGTCAGCAAATTTATAAACCTGCACGTGCACAAACCTGCCTATTGCTCTGCTTGCATGCTCAGAGGATGCTTCAACAATCAGAGCTAAGGCTGCCGTCTTACTCCCACTTACCTGAGAGTAAGCGCTATTAAATTCAGTAAAACTTATGAGCAGACATGGTTAGGATTGATCTATAAGGTTGCCATCCTATGCACAACACCTTAGGCATAGGTCCCATTGTATGTTGATGGATTAATTCAAAGTAAATCTCCATAATTTATTCTGAGTAAATTTTGGAATAACATTTTAAATAACAATTCTCACCAAATACATGTGTTCAGCCCAGAATAAATCTTATTTCAACCAGTAGGTAGGGTATAACTGCCAGTGGTACTTTCTTAGATTTGTGTTTGGTTGTATGTTTTGAAAACCAGAAAGGCTTCCAATGCATTAATAGACTTGTGTGCGAATAGACCAGTGAGAATATATGAATTGGGGCTATGCAGGGTTCTATCCTAAATCTGCTCTTCACCATTTAATATTTTTATATGCTACTGGGAGAAAATTACACTGAATATAAGAAGATAGCACAATGGTAGTGAAGAACTAGATAAATGTTTTGGCACTTTTTAATCTATATGTTGATTAGATGGCACAGCTGGATGGCACTGTGAGGATGCAACAGAGGAAGCAAAGTATTCCTTCTTTGCTGACTTCGCCGCCACTGAGTAGGCTTGATAATGAGCATTCAATAGTGTTCAACTGTATTCATTTGGAGTTTTCACTGTCCTAAGCTCTGATGTATATCAAGAAACCAAGCAGGCTCTACAAAACAGAGGAGGGCACTCATTGAAGAAGAAGAAGAAGAAGAAGAAGAAGAAGAAGAAGAAGAGGAGTTTGGATTTGATATCCCGCCTTTCACTCCCTTTAAGGAGTCTCAAAGCGGCTAACATTCTCCTTTCCCTTCCTCCCCACAACAAACACTCTGTGAGGTGAGTGGGGCTGAGAGACTTCAAAGAAGTGTGACTGGCCCAAGGTCACCCAGCAGCTGCATGTGGAGGAGCGGAGACGCAAACCCGGTTCCCCAGATTACGAGACTACCGCTCTTAACCACTACACCACACTGGCTCATTGGCAATTGTCAACGACTTGGCCCATTTACATTTACATTTCCCACAAATCAACCAGAACTTTAACAGAGTGTCATCCATATCAGCTAGAAAATCACCCAGAGCTGCCTTGAAGTAAACTGGATTCATCAGCCTTCAAGAGTGGGCCACCCTAGTAGGTTCCACACACTTGCAGAGGGTAAAAGATGATGAAAGCCTAAATTTCAGCCTAAACATGCATAGGATTTTAGGTTAATAGGACACTTGTAAAATCTGGATATGTGCACATACACACATACTGAATGAAGGTAACCTAAATTCTGCATCACAAAAAGCTGGATTCTGTAACCTGTGTAAATCAGGCAAATTAAGTGCATTAGCCTACTTCAGCTATTTCTGCTAGTCATGGGAAGATGCCTGCTACCTGGTTGCAAGTTCTCTGTCAAAACTGCATTTTAGGATGCCCAATGCGGTGTTATAAGCTGTGTTCATCCTAGCTAGTGGAATGATCCTGAGGACCTCCTGTATTTTAAGCAGTGGTCGTTGTTTATGCAAAGCTGTTCTTAAAAAGTAATGACAATAAATATTTCTACTCAGTTTTCAGTGACAGAGATAAAGGTCTTAATTACTGAGCACTTTACATACAGTTTCGTAATGGATATCAAACAATACATCTGTCAACCATGCCAAATTACATCTTTCCTGTGCACACCTTTCTCTGCTTCAGACAATAGTTGTCAAGGTTGTATACGTGCACTAGGAAACACAAATGCTCCCAACAATTCTAACAGTTTGGTTGCCTTCTGAACATACCATCAGTTTAATGCTATAAGAAGACACAGAACAAGCAGCCCACATGGAAAGGACATGTGTTTCATATAATAAGTTGGCATAGGGTTGCATCTTTTATATAAAAATGCCTTTTATATTTTAGCCCACACACTCTATTTTACAACCCTGTAAAATAATGTGTGTGGGTTAAAATATAAAAGGCATTTTTTCAAGCTGACAATGCAAGTATGAGCTCATAAATGCACTATGAAAAATTTAAGTTGTTTATTAGTGTATGTTTGAATTATTCAAAAAATAGTACTCTAAAACTGGGCATACTCCATTCCCAGAAATTTGAACATTATAGTATCAAAGTTACTCCTGTATCACACATTATATAATTAAGTGGTCTATAATCTAAGGCGGGCATAGGCGAACTCAGCCCTCCAGATGTTTTGGGGCTACAACTCCCGTCATCCCTAGCTAACAGGACCAGTGGTCAGGGATGATGGGAGTTGTGTCCCAAAACATCTGGAGGGCCAAGTTTGCCAATGCCTGATCTAAGGTGTATGGGTGTTGGGGAGAGGTAGTATCTCTGGTGGGTCACACATCTGGTGGGAGACACATCGTGCTTCTTCTGGGGTAGTTTGTACACCTTTTGTCCCTACTCTGCACTCAGCTATGACTGTGGTTCCTAGAAGCTGTCAGCACGTGACAGTGGCCACACTCCAGGAAATGGCTTTGACTGGCCAGTTAAACCAGGTGAGGGTAGCCAATGGATCTCAAGCCCTTGGTGAGCTATGGACTTCCTCTGCATGCTAAGACAGGCTCCAGCAGATTGAGCAGACGAGACCAATAGGTTAGTCCAATAGTCAAGAAAGCAGTTAGCAGAAGCCAAAGTCCATCCCTGTGGTTACCGCATATGCTGCAGAGGGAAATGAGGGACAGGTGGGGCTCATCAAGGTAGCCTATTTAGAAGAAGGAAAACCCTGATCCTAAACTTCAGCTGCCTTACAGCTGTACTCATATGCAAGAAGTAAACCCCAAGGTGAAGAAAAGGCTAAGGAGTAAACCCTAAACAAATCTGGAACAGAGCCCCTAACGTGTTTGGATGGCATCTTGTATACCTCCTTCCAGCAACTCCTGCAGCCAAGCTGGTGCCAAATGTATTGCTCTGTTTTCATTTGGACATCAATGAGGCTGAGAGGGGGATCTTGGTGTTTGGGCAGCCCAGAAGCTCCATACACACTACCCAGGCTTGTGCCCTGGAGAGGTCAGTTCGGTGCTAGTAATGCAGCAAAAACAATGCTGGAGGCAGAAGTTATGAGTTACTGGTCCCTGCAGCCACAGCAGGCGCTGTGATTCTCCATTGATTTCACTTCACCCCCAGAAATGCAATCTATTACCTTCCAAGACAGATGCCAACAACACAGAGTCTAGGATCCTACCAATTCTTTCTAAAGTTAGAATACTATCTTCTTGAGAAACTGGTTATGTCTGGGTCTTGGTTCAGATACGGGACTTGTGTGTACATTTTGCTGTGCTTCTACTGTCTTCTAACAACTACTAACTTAAAAGTGAGCATAAACATACCTGAAATTAGGATGACAGCAAGTGCCTCCAATTCTCATGTCTTACAAGCTCTCTTTGATCTAAAAAAGCACAAGTGTATGTTTATTGTTAATGCTGATACATAGCTACACTTCAAAATCAAATGATTATTAAACCTCAAGGAATTATTGAAAGTGTGTTTTGAAGTATTTTTCCTGGAGATGTCAGTATTTAACATACATGGCATATTTTGAAAAACAACATAGAAAGCGTTTTCTTTTTTCTCCCCCCCCGCCCCCGCTGAACACTGCTGCATCAGTTTATTGTAATATATATCATGACTCTATGAATTAAATAAAGAAATGTTTCCTAGATGGCTACAAGGCACTGACTACTGAATGCTCTATTTAATATTTCACATTAAGACAGACACTTATAGTTAATCCAGAGGAGAGAGAGAGAGTGAAAGAGAGAGAGAGAGATGTACATTACTGGATGGTATTATTTTGTTTGTCTCCTGACAAATGCCTTAATTCAAAGATTACACAAAAAGGTCAGCTATCAGACTAAGTGGGGCAGGTTCTACTGAGTAATCCAGGTGGCTTAATTGGTCATCTACAAGTGCTGCCTCTTTTAACACTTACAAGAAACATAGTAACATAGGAAGCTGCCTTAAACCAAGTCAGATCGTTGAACTATCTGGCTCAGAATTGTTGATACTGACTAGCAGCGACATTCCCAGGGTTTCAGGCAGGAGTCTTTCCCATGCCCTGGAAACCTGGAAACATTTTGCGTGGGAACCATGTGCTTTCCCAACATTGGGAACAGCGACTTTCACATCTCTTCTGTGGGACATGCATGAGTTAGATGTAGTAGAGTTTGGACATCTCTCTAGAGGACAGATATAAAAGCAGTACTCCATACAGTACTCATAAGCATGGAAAGAGGATGCATGGAAAGAGGATGTTTGTGGCACTTCCAGGTATGTCCAAAGCCCAGGCATGTTAATTCAGAAGTAACCTGCACTATGTTTTGATGGAGATTCCTTCAAGCTAAGTGTGCCTAGGATTGCAGCCTGTTACCCAGTGAAGAGTGATATGGATAGGGGTGAAGCCTGCTGATGAAAACTATTATTTTGGAAGTTTCCTCTGCCAAAATAAAAGCTTAGAGGGCTTCCAGGCTGCAGGGGCAAAACTAGGCTTTGTTTCACCTGGGTCAAAAAGCCAGTTTGGCACACATACCCTTCACACTTGTATACACACAGAGGCTGGGAGCCTCAATGGCACCCCTCTGGAGGCTTCAACCAGGGCACACACCAGTAAGTTCAGGTTGTGTAATTAAAACTTACTGGGAGATCTTGTGCAACAAACCTGCTTCCCAAAAAGATCAGACTTTTTGCAGTAAGGCAAGTGAGAAGAAAATACACTGGAAATTTTAGGTTAATGCTTGCAGTTATGCAACATAGCCTACCTTCACAGCAAATGAATCAATATTAACGCTCAGTAAACAGCCAATGTTGTCTGATCTACTGCAACAAATCAGAATGGAATGCTCCAAAAGGTAATCTGGAAGCACCCCTGCTCTTCCAATGAAAGTCGAGGCCCCTTCTGAGGTTTAGCAGTGTAGGAGGAACTACAGTATGTGGGTGTCCTCCTTGCATTGCTCCAGAAATGCATTCTGGGCCACCAGGTGTTATAGAATGCTTTGAAGATCTCTTGCTACATTTGCTTCACTGCTGCTGAAATTAAGTGGAAATAAACCAGTGACAATGGACACAAGGCATTTAGCAGTTATGTTTGGTGGCAAGACATAAAGAGGACGACTAAACTAAATTTCGTTTAGTTTAAAATGAAATTGAAAAATTATCTTCCAATGGAAAGATGGGGCACCATTGCCATGCTAGAATAATAATGCAAGAAGAATGAATAACTTCTCATATGTTTCAAGAAAAAGGCAACTGGGAACTCCCCACACATACATCAGTGCCTTATAACCATTCTTTGAGTAAAACCACATAGTAGTTAAAAATGTGTATATTTAAATTCAAGTTGACTAGGAAATAATTATTCTGTATTCATTATTGCACCATCCACTATAATTAAATGCATCTGCCTTTAATTATCCTACAAGAGAGACAGTTTTTATTATTATTAATGGTGGAGTTCTAGCTTCAAGATCAACCAGGTCACTGAAAACAAAAGTTCTTGAACACGCTATTAATTTGGGCAGAGATCAAATCATGCATGTATTGATAATGCATAGTTTAAAGATTATAAAAGATTTGTTGGCTATCCCTGAATCACATAGCCAATTCAATGAGTGTGGACTTCAATGTGTTCGTCAGCAACAATGAATTCCCTTTTTTCACTCTCATTTTTTCACAAAGGTTTGGCATGCAGTTTATTGTTTATTCATCTTTTGCCCTTAAACACTTTACATTGGAGAGAGAGAGAAAAGAATTACTGCCATCTGCTGTACAAATTACTATTGGTAACTTAGCAGGGCATAGGAGAAAAGGAGGATCCAAGATTGCCATTTATGCAGTTAGAAGGACAACAATTTTCAGTTCAAATGCCAAAGGAAGAGCCCTGTCCATAAAAGGAACAAAATATTAGAGGCTGCTTGGAGAAAAGAGAAGTCAACAACAGCAACACAGAAACTTTGTGACTGTCTATTAATCAGTCCATGTCCCCAAACTGCAGGCGGCAGTGGAAGACAGGAGTGCCTGGCGTGCTCTGGTCCATGGGGTCACAAAGGGTCAGACACGACTAAATAACAATTAATCAGTCCCAACTCCCTGCAGAGGGGAACGGTCATGGAGAAGTCTAGTTGCACCAGGAAGTGATCCGACCATGGCACTTCTTTTGTTTCACATTTAATTAGTGTCAGATCACCCACGTCCACAGAGGTGAACACCAGGTCTAAGGCATGTCCCCAGCTATGGGTTGGGCCAAACTGATTCAGGGACAGCCCCATGGAGGTCATGCTGTCCACGAAGTCCCGAGCAGCCTCTTGTAAGGTTGTGCTGGCATGGATGTTAAAATCCCTAGGACAACCAAACTAGGTGTCTTCAGGAGAACATCCGCCACAACCTGAAGCAGCTCAGACAAGGAATCCTTGGTGGAGTGGAGATGTTGGTACTCCTTTAGGAATCCTGTATTGCCCCTATTGCCCAACTTCCAGAACATGCACTCAGAAAACTGGGTCTTCCCAATAGGACACCTGGTGCAAGCTAATGACTTCCTAAAATCACTGCAACCACCCCCTCCGCCCACATGACCTGGGTTGCTGTATGTAAGAGAAATCTGGTGGACAAGCAGTGTCAAGAACAAGCCCATCTGCCATGTCCAACCAAGTTTCTGTTACACATGCCAGGTCAATTCCTCCATCCACGATCAAGTCATGGATGGCAGTGGTCTTGTGGATCATTGACCTGGCATTGCGCAGCAGCATCTTAAGATCATGTGGGTCACCCTTTTTGATTCCAGTATCCTTCTGGTAAGGACCAGACCCGGAGGAAGGGATAGTTTTCAAACAACAACTAAACCTGTCTCCTCGGTAATGACGTGGTCTGATTGTAGCGTAACTCCTCCTCCTGACCATGATAACTGAGATTGGGTGTCCCAATATATCCCACCCTCTGTAGAACCTGTCCCAGCCATCCTATTGGTTAGGGCCCACTCTGGGGGCAGCCCAAAACCTATCCCAAAACAAGTTTTCTTATAAAAACAACAAAACAAACCCATAAACCTACTAGAAAATAATAAAAGAAGCATAATTTACAATGGCACACAAATTAAACTAACACACAACCCCATTTAAACTTTAAAACCACCCCAAAACAAACAAAACACCCCGAATTTTAAACCCCATAGATTAAAGCTACTGGACCACCTTTTAAAATACATTAGACAGTTGAAGAAGGGAAACAATAGCAGAACCACCCCCCCAGCAATGCCCCAAGGTTTGTTCCAGTGAGTCCAGGCCCTGCCCCCTAGGCCAGATGGTAAAGGCCTTGCCAAGGGCGCAGGCCCTCTAGCCTCACCGCAGCAGAACTATATTATATTCATTTCTCTCATCGCAATAAGGATAATGTCATTATTTCACTCAATGTACTCTCAATTACTGTACAGTGAAAGGTGGCTTACACCTACAACCCAAGATAACCAGGAATTAGATAAACTGCAGTATGGTCAAGAAAAGCTTATGCCATAAAGCTTTTGTTAGTTTAAGGTGCCACCGGATTCTTTGTTGTACTTAACACTTTGCACTGAATTATTTTACCTGTCTTTGGCTTGAGGTTTAGCTGATTGACTTTGCTTAAATCAACTATAGATGTCTTTTCTCCCTTAAGGTTGGTTTTCTTAAGCTGTTGTTAATTGTTTTACTTTTTTGCTCTTTAAAAAAACACTCTAACACACTATTAAAAACAATATAAAAATAAGCACAAGTTCTTAATTAAGTCCTAATTGCATCATTTTTCATCAATGTAAGTAGGAGATTAGAATTCACATTATGAGAATTTACATAATGGAAGTCTGTTATTAAGCTTTAAAGCAAGACTAAAAGAAGCATCTTATTTTTGTTTTGTTTTTAGCAACAAAAATAGCCAAAGGTCTAGTTTGATTCAAAGTTACAGTAAAAGTATACATTGCCCAATTCTCAAAGGAGATGGACAGATAGATATACATTAAAAAAAACCTAGTAAAAATTATTTCACAATTAAACAAATAAATTTGTATTAATTTATGTAATTTAGACACATACAGAATATTGCCTGACTTCAGCTTGGCTTCCTCCTGGCCTGTGGTAAGCCTTTAATACTCCTCCTTGTAACACCCAAAATTCACTTTTTACATAATAGTATTAGGACACTAACAATGACATATCCAAAACTGGATGGGTTTGCATTATAATCTTTGTAAAATGAAAGGCTTTGAGCACTAATGGATAACACTATATATTTACTAAGTACTAATTTTGCATAAACTTTGCTATGGCACTCTTCATCATACTGGGATAGCAAATTTATTGTCAGTCACATACAAATAAAATCTGGTTTGAAAAAGTAGTTCCTTTGGGTAGGTTTTGCATTTCAAAACTACATAAAAGAAGTAACGGGCATTACAGGTGGTTGTAAGAAGCCAATTCAACTAACTATCCTTTTGTAATGAACAAGGTAATGCATTTAATTCTCAGGCACATCAGCTGTTGGGCTAAAAGATCACAGAGGATTAAGATCAACACTAGTCACAATCTTATCAGTTATTCTAGGTCTGGAAGGTTGCTTGTTTGCACTCTTGATGTTTGCACACAGCTTGTCGTCTATTGTTTATTATCCAAACTGATTCTTGTCTCGTTTAGAGACGAATTCACAAATAAGAAGTTACATGCACAGTGTAAAGAGAAGAGGAGAATGCTATCAAGAGAAAACTGGTCCTTTTCAAATGTAGATTGCAGCCTTTAACAGTATATCCTTTTGACCTGATAGGGAAACTGAGATTTGACTCTTCACTTAGGCAGGCCAATGAGATAGAGAGCATTATAGAACAGTTAATATATCGCTTTTTAGTACACAAGCTTTCATAGACCAGCTGGATAAGCAACATATTTTTATCCATATCCTAGCAATGCTGATATCACACACCATCTTGTGGTGAAATGAGATATACCTTAGTTCTTCATAAATTAAAACAGTTAATTGGTCAACTTGTAATTCAATACAACTTGATTCTGCCCCCTCCAAAATAAAACCATGCTGTAGCTATTTTCCATATACCGTAAATAAGTTGTGAAGAGCATTTTCCATGTATAACAATGCAATCCAACATACTTGCCAAAACCAATCCTCATAGTCTCCTCCATTGAGGTTATAAACTTACTAACGAAGCAAATGTAATTCTTCGGGTGTCTGTTATAACTTTATTATAGTAAGACTCCTGCTCCAGGCCTCAGTCAATCTCTGCATGGGCCTGAAGGGCGGTAATTTTTTAAAATAAATAAATAAGAAGAAGATACTTGTCCCAGTCCTCAAATATGCTCCTGGGAAATAATCCCAACCAAGAAATGGAGGCCCAAGCACCTGCTTCCCTCATTGGGCTGCTGCTGTCTCTCACAGCCTTTGACTCTTGTCAAAAGAGGAAGAAAATTATGAAGATGCAAAGGTTCTTAGACGCCTCCCCCCCGGTTCTCGGATGTTACAAGTGTTTCATGCAATAAATCATGGGATGGCCTCTGCTTGGAAGTGTGACTGGCACTGATCATTTTGACATTAAGTAGAGGCCTACCTTGCCTGCGCGACTGTTACATACAGTACTAGTGTCAGTATGCTGCTGCAATTAAGGAGTCAATGAGTAGGGCTGTGGTTTTTTTAATTGTATGGGAGTTAAAGTTTTGTTATGTTTTTATCTGGTCTTTTGACTGTATAGAAACATTTTTGTTGTTTCAACTATATTGTACCCCACCCTGGCCTCATATGATAAAAGGTAGACTAAAAGTACTCTTAATAAATAAATTCATGCAGTATGCCTAGAGACATGTGGACACGTGGCTCCAACAGAAATTTAAGATCTTGGAACTGAATGTTTCTCCCCATAACAGCTCCATGTGGCGGAAGTGTGCTGCTTCCAGAGTCTATCTGTGTGCTTAGAACACTGCATCAGAGAAAGCTAAGAATGCAGAATTTTATTGGGCTGGAATGTAAGAACACAAACAAAAGCTTATATATTTAAAATGTTGCTAAAGTTTGTATGTTCATGTCATAGGATTTTAAAGGATAAAAGTTTTAAAAGGTTATCATAAATATACAGTAAACCCATGTATTTGGATCAGAAAATCTGAAAAAATATTACCATATTATAATGATATTATTACTTAGCCATGTATACTGCAACAATTATTCTGCCTATTAATCCAAAACAATCATCTCCTGAAATGCCAACTGTTAAAATTCCTCCTTTAAAAAAATAAATAAAAATATTACACATAACCAAGTTCCTTCCTTTTTTCAACATCTTATTAACTTCCTATGCTGCTCATTTTTATACCTGCTGCTCATTTTGTCCTCTTTTGTCATTCCTTGCACCTTGCAGGTCTTTTGTCTGTTTTATGAGTTATGGAAATACCAAACAATTGTCAGGCTCCAAAACCTGTGAATTTCATTTAATGAGCCTTGGTACTTTTCATACTTCCCCTGCTTTTTTAAATCACCAGACCTTGTGCAGCTTTTGAACTAGATGGGAGTTTCAAAAATGGTTTTTAATGTGGAACTGATATTCAATGACATCTTTCTGGATTTGTGTTAAGTCCATGAACCTAGGCATTTCTTTGTCCCCCTGTCATTCTCTTTAAACCAGACATGCAGCCTCATCTGCTGAGTTCAATGGGACTTCCTCTAAAGTAATTATGCCTAAATAGCATTGTAGCTATAGTAGACATTAGAACATTCCTGTTGCACAAAGTGCAAAAAAAGAAAAAGATTGATAGGAGTCCTCTGGAAGTTACACATTCCACAAGCAGTTATTTAATGTTATTGTGCTGCTCCACATCCCAGAGTAGTGGCATAATAAGCAGCCTTTGCAGACTTTGGAGAACAGCACCCTGTAGTTTATGGTATTTTTGTTAAAATCCATTTACAAATCTGTAGGTTGAACAAAGAACAGCATGAGAGAAGCAGCCAACATAGACAATACTGATCCAAAGATAGAACAGTGGAAGTCTTTCCAACAGAAGAATTTCAAAGGGAAATAGTTGAATTCCAAACTAATAATGAAGTTTGGTTGTATTCATTTGAGTACAAATAGAGACAATGATTTTCTGCCACACAAATGTTTATTTTATTTGCCCATGCCAGAATGATTGCATTATCATTAATTACTGCTGTTCTGAATGATCACAAATAGTTTCTATGTAATGTTTACATTTTCTTGTTGGGCTAAATCTTGTTTCTTGTTTGGAAGGGTTTGAAATGCTAAGAAGGAAGCAAAGCATAGGATGAAATAGAATGCCCACCATTGCCTAATCACTGAAAATTAAAGAACTGGCTTAATTTTTTTTAAAAGAAAAGGTAATTCTATTGCCTTCCTAGCTGTGCTTAGAAGCTGTGTTACTTATATGAGCATTCGATATGAGCAAAATAATGTATATTACATAATTTATTCAATGTATTCTCATGTAGGCTGTAACATTTCACCTGTGATCAGTGCACCTGGCTGCTAATCAGAAGGTTGGTGGTTCGAACCCATCCAGGGATGGCATTGGGCAAGATTCCTATATTGCAGGAGGTTGAACTAGATGACTTTTGGGGTGTCTTCCAACTTTAAAATTATTTGAGTACAAGTTGTTCAGTGGGACAGAATATACAGTACAGGTTTCTTAAAGATAATATTTTATGATATAAAATATAACTGAGCTTTTCAAGACAGAAGATGTAAAAACTATATATGTAATGCATAGTATCAAAGTGCCCATAGGCATTTCCTGTCAAGTTATACTTGCTGAAATTCCCTCATCTATACAACCATTACATATGATCTCTTTTCTAGCTCCCTACCTTGTTGGCGATGAAAACTATAGTCTGATCCTACGCAGTCAATTCATTTCTGCTGTCGGCAGCTTTAGAATTGGCTAGCCCTTTGGCGAGGTATCATTTTCAGACCAAGGGCTGCAGTCTCATATGGGCAGCCTTCTAGCAAAAGTGACCAAGCAACGGATGTGACTTTTACCTTTGTACAACACACTTTATTCCAGCCACACAAAAGCCAGATTTTTTACATATCCCCACCCACAACTCTCCAACCTCCATCCAGGCACGCAAAAGGCATTATCACAGTTTCGGACACATTCAAGCCAGGCAGACACACTCAGTGAGGGTATAGGGCACAGTTAGTAAAGGTGTGTGGCCTTGGGAAAGTTTCAAGGGCCAAACAGAGAAACTTGGATGGTCACTTTTGGTACTCACTCCTGCCTTAGATATACAGGCAATGACCGATTAACACATGTCTGAATGATGCATGATTGTATGCATGTGCACAGCGGTGAACCCAGAGGTGACCGAAGGTGTCACTAAACACGTAACTAAAAGGGCAGAACAGGACTGGGAGGGGGGCAGAATGGAGGCAGGGCGGAATGGGGCACACTTAAGTGCTTATGCTCATGCTGACACACATGGGGGGCAGGAAAAGAACCCCCACGTGAAATGGTTGTCGATTACATCTTGAGTGAAATTCAGGATTTAACAGCTGTGTATGATACAAAACTAGGCACACCTAATTGGGGCTGAAATAATTGCACCAAGTTGTCAATAAGGAGTATTTTCAACACAGGATGGGATCCCCAGCTTGGTGAAAAATAATATTCCCTTAACACATCACTGACATAAATTATGGACAAAAAGAGCAGCAGTGCCAGCAGACCCCTTGCTTTATGACTTCTTATATCTTAAAATATTGAAATCCTGGCTCAGTAATAAAGTTTACTGACTTGAGGTCACATCATGCATGCTGCTGAACTCATGGGCAGAATTAAAATATGATGGATTGAAAACAAACACTGCCTCTGATCATAATAACCTTAGATGATTAAGCACTATACAAATCCTGTTAAATAAAAAAAAAGTAACCTAGATGTTATCTTTCAGTAATCAGCCAACATACATACACTTCACACTAATTATTAATCTGTAATAACAACACCATCACCCTGATTCCAAATTCACAATCACTGTCATGGATTAGGACTCTCAATTAACCTAGCAGTATGCATTGTCAAAGTGGGAAAAATCTATCCCACTTCTTAGCAAAAAATGTTATGTTGAGAAGGCTTAAGGATACATGGGACATACAGTAGGTAAATCAGTGTAGAAGACTTTGATACCCTAGATAACCTAATCTGTTTTGCAGTTATTTAATTGTACTAAATCTTAATAAAAGTACATTTATCAAATAAAGCTTAAAAATAAATGCCTGGTGCTTACCTGTTATTCCAGGGCCTTTGCTCTCATTGGTCAAAACGATGGAAGGCAGGAGCCGTTTTCTTCTTAGTAAAAAACTGGTGAGGATAATGACTTCATGTTGTTGTTTTTCAATAGTCACAAGTAATTAGGTTTTGTTGGTGGTTGGGATAGTGGTAAATAAAAGTAGAACATCCAGGGAGCTTGACTTGACTGAAATTTCTCTGAGGAAATGTGCTTACACATTCCTTAATTCAAAATTTATTTACCATTAGGTGATGAACAAAACTTAAAAGTACTTTTGTGACTTTGAATGATAGTTTCTCAAACTTTAGATAAACCATTAACCCCAAACAGTAGTATTATAAGCCAATATTTTAATTTGTTTATGAAAACAAACCATTCATTCTTTAAAACAAGTATAGCTTTTACTTCTTTACCTCTTTAGATTCTTAATTACTTATCATGGACCATTCTCACTTGACCATGACTTGCTTTTTAAATATAAAATATATTCTGTTTCTTATTTGGAGATTAATTAATACTATTATCAACAGTCATTTTAACAATTCCATAAGAACCAAAGCACCTCTTCCAGAAAGATGAGAAGGGTGAGCTGTCCATGGAAGCATAAGAGCCCACCCCCTTCTCCCCAAAACAGCAACCAAACCTAGACTCTCTTCATCTCCGTCTGTTCTCACTTCACACCTCTCTGACTAGCTGACTTTTAAACCATGTTAATGATATCACAAAGAAGGATACTGTATGTCACTGTTCCTTGACAGCCTAACTTAGGGTTGCCATATTTCAAAAAGTAAAAACCAGGACACCCAAAAAGTTGTTGAAATTTTTAAAGACAAAAAAGCAAAAAAAAACCCCACATTTTTTCAATTGACTACCTAAGATCCAGGACAATGCGCCGCCTTTCAGAAATTCTCCCCAGACATCAATTCTGCCTTTGAAATCCCAGTAATGTCTGGGAAAATCCAGACACATGTTAGCCCTAGAATGGTAATTGTTCCTCTTGAATCCAGATGTTTCCTTAGAACATTGAGGCCCCTGCTGTTCTTTCTACCAAGTTACTTAGGAAACAACTTTCTTAATTATCATAACTCCATTTAGGAAGACCATCACAGAAAAGTCATACCTCCCCATATTGTCATTTATCCTAAAAGCAAGCAATCTTTTCTACAGGCCATACAGTACCATTCCTTTCTTAAAAATAATAGAGAAAAGTATTTTCTGACTGCGAAGAGCAAGAAACTTCTTATCTGTGCAATAAAATCATTGGAGGTGCAATATGACTTGTAATATGACTTGCTTCACTTCTAGATGAAACAGTCCTTTCAAAATTCCACAAATTAAAATAGGAATGATAAAGATCACTGTGTTTGGAAATAAATTGAAAGGCAGTGTGATTCTTAAAGGTTGCCATTTCATGCTTTGTTCCTATTTATGGGAAGTATGCCCCATTGAACACAGTGGGACTTTATTCTGAATTAACATGCATAGGATTGTGCTGTATATTCTTAACTCAGACCCCAGCCTGGCAGTCCCTGCTCAGAACTGGCACCAGAGGTTGTCTCTTGCACAGAAGTAGTCAATTTTGCCTATTGGAATAGCTTGGTTCACCACTTACCAGCTGTCTTTCCTTCTTCTAACATACATCTCTCTAGGCTGACTGTTGTGTTTAGCTTGATCTGCAGGGCTAGGTTTCTAAACTTCTTTACAGCTTCACTGATATTTTTCTATGCATAATCAATAATGTTCAAAGATATGTGTCTGTGTGCAAATGCCATTTCAAAAAACAAAAATAAAATCATATTTGCTTAGTAAGAACATAGGAACAGCCCTGGTAGCTCAGGCCAAGGGCATATTTAGTCCAGCATCATGTTCTCACCAGTGGCAAACCAGATGCCGGTAGGAAGCCTGCAAGCAAGATCTGAGTGCAAAATCACTCTCCCAACTTGCAATTCCCTGCAACTAATATTCATAGGCATACTGCCTCCAGCAGCAGAGGAAGAAGATAGCCATCATAGTTAATATCTATAGATAAAGATAAAGATTATTCTCCATGCATGTTTCTAACCCTCTTTAAAGTCATCCAATTTGGTGGAATGCATTGTGACTTTGTCAGTTTTCTTGCGCAGGACTGGATACAAGGCTGTGCTGCTGCCATTGATTGGTGCTAGGTCTCATATCATGACTTCTGTGATCCAGCTTGCTTAATTGGTAGCATATTGATATGAGCTGTAGCATATCCATCAGTGTTTATAAAGGAATCAGTACAGCCATGTGTTGGCTGCAGGGTTCACATGATGTAGGTAGGTAGCCAGCTCTTTGATACTGGCTAGGACTCATTCATTAAGATAATTTGAGAGATTTTCTCTTAATTTCTTTTGGCATATTATATACATTATGTCTAATATTCAGTCCTGAAATCTTTTTGTTCTGTCCACTTTCATCTATTGCAATCCTGAGCTGATCATTTGTAACACAATGTGTACCACTCTTAGATCAATAAATAATGATTCTTAGAACACACATTTTTATTGTCATATCTACAACACAGTTTGTTTCAGGGATGCTTAAAATAGAGCAAACTTCACTTACTACAATGAATGCAATCTATTCCGGGGGGAAATATTCCTCTCCCGAGACAGCTCCTACTGCTCCACGCACCCACCCACCTGCGACAAAAATCCTTTCCCTGCAAAGAACCTACAGCTGACCAAAATAAGTTATTTTTCTAGCCAAATTTTTATTGAGGATACAGTTAAGGTGTTATTTAAAAAGAAATACTTCAAAAAAGGAGGTGCGGTTCCATCCCACTGTTTTGCACTTAGGATCTCAACAACCCCTTTATCAATCTAAACCTAGTGCAAAATCACAGAACACAAAATTACATAGTTAACATGCATTATGAATGGTTGCTGTATGATCACACTATTTTTTTTTTAATAAGGCGACAGCCATTTTGAACACCTTCCTCCTGCCTTTCACTGCACTTTTGAGTGTGGCCAACTGGTGGATTCTGAGGCAAGGGAGAACAAAACAAATCCAGGCCCCAATATTGCACCACACGTTTCTCACAGAACCCACAAGTCCAGCCAATGGCCCCTTTGCTAGTAACTAACAGCACAATCCTATGCATGTCTACTTAGAAGTAGGCCCCACTGAATTCAATGCGACTTTTCAAATCTGGGAGGACTGCAGGCCCAAAGCTATTAAAAAAAAAAAAAAAAAGACAGCACCAAACTACACAGTGACTATGCATAAGGGCAGTTGCAATGTATAAGAAAAGGTAGGTCATCTAAGCATTTCATTATTTTTTACACGAAAAAACGTTTTTAATTCAGATCTAGATTCAACAGATGCGCAACCATCCCCTTTCCTGTAACCTCACGAGGGTCAGTGTCGGTTTTAAAAAGCGCTTTTCACAATGGCGCTTTTAAGCCGCTGACGTGAAAGTCGATTGAAGGTCTCTTAAATTTATTTATTTTTTACTCAGGACGGTCCTGAACGGTGAAGAAAAATGGGGGTCGGCGACACGCGCCCACTCCCCAACGAATAAAAAAACCCCATCCCTTTTAAAGTTTTACCTCAGCGCGGGGGGAAGGTAGGAAGTAAAACAGAGGTGGCGTGTCTTTTTATATATATATCTTCGAAACGCTATTCCTACGTAACAACGCTATATAGCAGCCCCTCTCGGGTTAAAAAATAAACCGAATAAGCGTTAAAAATTGAGGGGGGGGGTGAGCAAATTATTAGGACCAAGTCCCGCCTTGGCCCCTTTTGGGTGTGGCGAAGAGCCGTGGGCGGGGTCTCTCTCTAGGGGCGCTTTCTGGAGCAGCTGCTGACATGTTTTAAAGGGAGGGGAGGGGAAATTTGTGGATTTGGTTGTGGTGGTGGGGTGTTTTTATTTATTTATTATTTAAAAGGGGGGAAGAGAGAAAGCCTTTGTTTTCCATTTCGACGAGTTCAAAGGTTTGCCCTAGAAGATGGTAAGTTAAGTAAAAAAGGTGGTGTTCCAAGTTCTTCAGGGGCAGCCACGCTTTTTTACTTCGTCGGTAAAAAAGAATGGCTTTTCAGAGAACTGCGAGGGCTAAGTCGGGGGATGGAGCCGGGGGGGGGTGGAGCTCCCCCCCATCCATGTAGGGAAGGGGGAACGGGGTCCGTTCGTCGCCCCTTTCGGAATCTAGCGGCGCGCGCGACGAGGTGCGCTTTTTGTGAGGGGAGGAGAGGCCGGCTCGACTCGGCCTCGAAATAGCGGCTTGGGGTGAAGGCGGCCCTTCCTCCTCCGCACCTATTGAGGGGTCGAGGGCTGCCGTGGGGAACGGGAAGAGAAGCGGGCCTCGAAAGGCTTCGTGAAAAGCCGTCGGAAAGGCCTCCGTAGAGCGCGAGGAGGGAAGGCGGTGAGGGGAAAGGGGCACCATTTTGTCGCGCGGCGATTTTTAAAAAAACTTTATTTGAAGGCGCTGCCCCTCCCGCAAAACGGGTTCCCCCCATTTGTTGGGTGTCTGGAACTGGAAGAGAATAGTCCTCTCCAACGGATCAGCTAACGCTGAATTTGAGCACGCGTGTTGTGTGTGTGGAGTGCGAAGCGAGCGGCTCCAAACGCGCAGGAATGGCGGGCACCGCCGCTGCGTCCGTGCTGCGCACGCGCACCAGGCCCTGCCGCTTTGCGACTGAAGAAGAACGGTCTGAATTTGGGTTCGCGGCTAACGCGATGTGTCTAATAATGAGCCTTGGTTGGCAGTAATATCGGGGTGCGGGGCACCTGTTCGCTATGGTTCGTTTCTTTCTTGGAGGAAACATGTCTCGTAGTTACTTAACTCTTGTCAACTAGGAGGTAGCGGCGTGGAAGAAACTGCGAGAAAGGGCTTCTTCAGTCTGTGCAGCCTCGGTGCAAGCTGCCAATGCGAGATCGGGGGGCGGGGAGGGTGTAGGGAGCTAGCACTTTTATTTCAAGGGTTTGGGATCCCAAGCAGCTCGCAAGGCTCCTAAGTATCCTGGCGAATGCTTTGCAGCCCGAGCCATCTCTTGCCCAATGAAAATGTCTCCTGCTTGTTCCCCCTCTCTCCCTCGAGGGGCTTCAGCTGCTTCTCAGTGTCCAGGCCTCCGGGGTGGGGTGGGACAAGCTGGGGAGGAAGCAGCAGGGCAGCTGCCCATACCAATGTGGTGGCCCACTCCAGCTGCCCAGTCCAGCAAGGGGGTGCAACACTTGCACCAGCAACCCACACGGCATCTCTGCAACTAGGTAGGGACAGGTAGCTTTGATCTTGTAAAGACCCCACAGAACTACAGAATCGCTCGACTATTCTGTTTAATTCTTAAATCGAGGCCTTAAGATTTTAAAGAGTTTAAAATATTTTTATTAGGCATGTGTTGCTTGGAGACTGTAATGAATCTACAGTAGGACCAATGTTTTTCTCTGTGCGGCACGGTACTTAACATTTTCCAACGCAACATTCTAAAACAGTCATGTTGCAGACAAACTTCAAGGGAAGGTAAAAAGAATCCTGATGTTAGCTAGGAAAATGCACTTGGTATTCTGTTCTGCATGTTAGTTTTATCCACATGGAGCAGAAAATGTCTAATAAACAAGTGTGAAAATTCTTGTAAAATGGTATATAAAATTTGTTCATAGTCTGCTGCAAATCAAGACTCCCAAAACATTACCCGAGAAGAAAATGCTCAGTTGCCTGCAACAAGCCAAGGCTATGTTCTGCCTGAAGGGAAAATCATGCCAAATACCATTTTTGTGGGTGGAATTGACATTCGGGTATGTATTCTTTTTATTTTGAGCTTATTAATATTTGTTAAAATTGGTGCATTGATCTGTCTTGAGGACTTGGGGCAGATGAGTATATGCACAATAAAGGCACAATAAGCTTTTATGGGAACTTAAGTCCAAAAAGTCCAAAACTTAGGGGGACTTAATTCTGATTAGATATGCATAGGATTGCACTGAAAAACTACTCTAGCCCGGATATTACTTAAGGTCCCCTATTTGGTTGCTTTATGTGGAGGTATTATCACTAGTGCTGCTTTTAAATACATTACTCAGACTTAAGAATTTTCATCTTGCCACAATAAAAAAATAATCATTGGCTGTCCAGAGTAGGAGCAAATGTTTGACACATTGTAATCACAAGATCTTCAAATGCAGCTGGAGAGCTAGTAGCATTACTACTTTAGTCAAAATATCTCTAATTTGGTGTTCAAAAAACTGCACAGCCTTTAGAAATGATTTTTACAACCTTATTTTCGCTTGGAGAAATATCTTGTGCTCAGGATGCATTGAAGAAAATATATGCAGTAAGCCTCAGAAACCCAATGAGAACTTTTAGGCAGTGTGCTGCCTTCTTACATTGAGACTCAGTACTTCTCAGCCTCCCTCAGTGATCATGCTAAGGATAATTCCAGTTCTCTCACTCATACATGCCTTTCCCCCATTACCTTCTGTTCTTATGCTGCTGACTAAAGCTAGCTATTTTAAGTCTTGTTTAAGTTTTAAAATATCCTCAGTAGGCAGTGTTAGAAACTGAGATGAAATCTAGGAGTAAAATGGCAAAAACCTAGGTTATGGGCACAACACAGGAATGTCTAGGTGTGGTTTTTTTTAATAAGAAAAATACAAAGCTGAAAATGAATGAACTGCAGCTAAAATATTATGTTCATTTTTCACATGGTCTAGTCCTTCCCCTGCCCACCCCCTAATATTCTTAAGAGGGTCTTCTCCAGTCTTCAGAAAGCAGATGGAAGTGGGGAGGCAGAAAAAGGTCCTCCTTTCCTCCCACTCTGCAGTTTTAATCTGAAATCTTAGGCACAGTACTGTGCCCAGAGCTCATAAACTGCTCGTGCTAATGAAATTTCCTGTTGCAAAATGCGCCTAGAACAATGGGAGTTTTGGACACTTGTCAGTCAGCATATTGCTAGCCCATAGAATAGGCATATTGACTCCATTCAGCTTCTAGCACTTCGTTAAGCAACAATAATTTATTGTTGCTGCAGGATCATAAACTGCTGAGAGTTAATTATTTTGCTGCAAACACTTTTAAAACAATTTTGAAGCCATACTTGTTAGATTCATGATACTGCAATGATTTTCACTGTGCCTTTGCTCATATGGTGCAATGTACTTCTAGATGGATGAGACAGAAATTCGGAGCTTCTTTGCACGATATGGCACTGTTAAAGAAGTGAAAATAATCACCGACAGAACTGGTGTGTCCAAGGGGTGAGTAGATTGCCTTGATAACAGTGTGACCATTAATAAGGTGTCAGTCATACCAAATTAGCCTATTAGCTGCTAGGGTAAATGTGGATGGGGTAAGATAAGCACAGGAAGTATCAGTTGCTATTAGAGATATCAGTACATCGTAGATCTGTGTGAGCTGTGAATTGGTAAATCCCAGCCATGAACACTGTAAATGGTTTAGTGTCTCTGATTTTTAACTCGTGTCTTTGTATTTTATTGTAATAGTGTTTTGATTTTGTCCTGCTAAATATGTTTTCAGGCCTTCGGAAGAGATTAGGTATGAGTTTAAAGTAGTCGCCTCCTGTAGAATACTGTTCTTGTTTTACATTTGATGCTGCTGTGTATTTTATATCTGTTAAAGTATTTTATTTTTTCCCTCTGACAATTTGATGAAAAGTGGGATATAAATGCAACAAATAAAATAATACATATGTGTTTAATCAATATTGTAAGCCACTTTGTGGGATCTTGCAGCCAAAGGGTGGGATATAAATCTTCAAAATAAATGGAATTTATTAAGAAGCAATGTGGCTATCAATAAATCTACTTGTCCTTGACTTTGAGAATTACAAGGAAGTGACAATCAAGTTTGAGAAATTAGTAGTGTCTCTCCACCCCCAACTTTCAGGAACTTAACTGCTGTCATCCATTCTTCATCTCAGTTTGGTTTGGGATTGTACTTGCCTTGGATGTTTTTCTTCTAGTCTATGAGGTTCAGTTTACATGGTGGTGCTAATGCTGAAAAGTTACACTACTGTAGCTAATTTTGACTTACCTTTGCAGGTATGGATTCGTGTCATTTTTGGACAATGTCGATGTACAGAAAATAGTAGAAGTAAGTTGTCATTTGGGATGTCTTATATGTGAGAATTATCTTGAATATCCAAGGGTTCAGTTCTGGTTTGGCATGGGATCGGTAAGGGGTTCAACTTGCAAAGAGAACATTGGATTAGAGTGGCTGATCTTGGTTTCAGGTGGGATGCAAATTGACTGTTTTCAAGAGTCTCCTTTCTACCCAAAGACTGTTTCTTCTCATTCCAAATGTTCATTTAGCAGATAAATCTGTATCTTCTTGCGTTGGGTTCAGTCTGCTATACTTCTGATTATAATTTGTTTACACGTAGGTTCTTAGCCTCTGTAGAAATGGTTGCATTATCAGACAATGCTTGCAGGTTTTAAACTGCTATTGAAAAATAATGATTTATTGATAAGTGTACATCACTCCTGAATAACTGACTTTATTCATTGAAGAAATGAGTAAGCTTCTGTAGCTGCTTCACCAGATCAAGGTACATCAAAGTTCTTTGCCCGAATAAGTTTAAAAAGAAACTCTTCTTTGGAAATCTGTGTTTAGTGTATCAGTACACTACCAGCGTGGTAAAAATCTTTCTTTGTTTCTTTTTTGTACTGTTCCGCCTTTTTGCTTATTTTACAGAATATATTTGCTGTATATCCAATTTGTCAGTTAGCACTTCTAGAAAAAAACAAATTATAATAGAGAAAGTACGAATTAGAATGACATACCATGAAAGCAGTTGCAGATGCTTGTGGCGTTTGTATGTTCCATAGTCTGCAATGTTTAACCCAATTAAGAAAATGTAGGGATCAAACTCTCACATAACTCTTTTTTCAGTCACAAATCAACTTCCATGGGAAGAAACTCAAACTAGGACCTGCAATAAGAAAACACCCAAACCTATGTGAGTATCGTTAAACACGTTCAACTATATCAGATGAAACTTTGTAGTACCAAACTTAATGTTGTTACTATAATTTATAAGTATAAATCACAGCAATAATTATGGAATTTAAACATAAATAACTTATACGGATTTGTACCATAGTGTGTTGTTTTGCTGATAAAACCAAATATTTTTACAGAGCATTTGTAATTCTTCCCAGGGAACAGCAGGGAAGACCTGCAGAGATATCCCAAGCTCTGCTTGCTTGTGCTAGCCATGGCAGAATGTGGTGTTCATGGCTGTTTTCTGGCTTATTGCTAGACTCTTTGGGTTGACATAGTTTAAAGGCCCAGGCATCCATGGAGTTTTGAATCCAGAAGATCTCCACTGGCGACCTGTCCTAAAACACTGTTTCAGAGCTTTCCATCAGCAGGAGAACCTTCAGTGATAGCTTCCTGTTTGGGCAAAGCAGGGAGGGACTGCCAACATGGCAAATCTCTCCTCAGCTGGCAGTTCCTTTATCTTAATAAGTCCAGTGGAGAGACAGCTATATGCTATCCTAGTGCCTCACCCAGTTCACATAAGGTGTGTGTTTGACTGCCTCTTGTGGATGCAATCCTAAACACACTAACTAGGGAGTAAGCCTCATTGAAGACAGTGAGATTTACTACTTGGTGAACGTGCATTCACAAGAGTAACTCTTGTGCATGATGTAGTTCAGTTGCATATCTGCTAATGCTGTCTGTGACTTCTATGGAACTAGAAAAATATTACAGTACCAGCTGTACAATTTCTTCAGGATAAAGGAGCCTAAACTTGTATTTTAAAATACAGTACAACACACTTGCAACTTAGGCACATTTAACTTGTGTGCATTAAAAAACCACACACAATTGAAAAGGGGGTAGGCACCCAAGGGAAAAAAAACTTTGGTAATCACACCCACCATTGTACCCAATGTGTTTTGACGATATGTGATTTTGGCTTTAGGCGCTATGCCCAGAATATAACCCCCACGTAAGTTGTGGGCTTACTGTATATGAAAGTTCTCAATGCTTCCCTTGTCTTCCAAGGTGCCTATCATGTGCCACCGAGACCAGTGCTTATTAATTCGCCCACACCTCAGTTCCACAGCGTTTGGAGCAACCAGGAAGCATATTTGCAGCCTCCAGCTGTGATGAGTCCTGTCACACAATATGTTCAGGTAACATTTTCTAAAGTAGGGCCTTAATACAAATGAACAGCACTCCACAGTTATTTTATATTTCGGGTTACTGAAAAAAAATTGAATTTAAAGATTCAATGTTTTCTGCATAAATGGTGGACAGATGTGACTTAAGCAGTACTACAAGAATAAGGGTTGTATGTTGTAACCATTACTCCTTGCTTCCTTGTCTATTGCAAAGGCTTGGAATGGGTTAAGGTAAAGGGACCCCTGACCATTAGGTCCATTCGTGGCCGACTTGGGTTGCGGCGCTCATCTCGCTTTATGGGCCGAGGGAGCTGGCGTACAGCTTCCAGGTCATGTGGCCAGCATGACTAAGCCGCTTCTGGCGAACCAGAGCAGTGCACGTTTACCTTCCCGCTGGAGCGGTACCAATTTATCTACTTGTACTTTGACGTGCTTTCGAATTGCTAGATTGGCAGGAGCAGGGACCCAACAACAGGAGCTCACCCCGTCACGGGAATTCGAACCGCCGACCTTCTGATTGCCAAGTCCTAGGCTCTGTGGTTTAACCCACAGCGCCACCCGTGTCCCTTTGGAATGGGTTACATTTAGCTATATTTAAATCGGGGCTTTTTTTTCTAGAAAAAGAGGTGCTGGAACCTTTTGTTGGGGGGAGCAACCAACTAAAGTTGTTTTTACGTGGGAAGACATCTCTTCTTCGCCCGCTCACCATGGCAAAATAACATAAACAGCCGCTGCCTACATCACACAGCTCCAAGTGCCATAGTGCCTCTATAGCACAGCACCAAGCACTGTGACGGGCAACAGCAACGCTACAGAGGTGCCGGAACTCAGTTCCAGTTAGTTCCGGCTTAAAAAAGCCCTGATTAATACACTTCTGAAACATTACATGAGAACTGGCAAACATAAAATGCACGTGGGCTAAAGGTTTCATTCTCCGGACACAGAACATTCATGTAGTTTGTGCCTCCCATGACATAAACTGTTAATCTAAACCCAAAGCTGCTAATCTTCCATAGTTACATCTTTCCAGAAGCATGTAAATCTTCTAAGTTGTCTATTAGGGAAGGTGGGATTCTCATGAATTATTTCATATGGGGTAGCACTCTTGGTACAGTAAATAGCTGAAGTGCTAGGGCAGCCTTTTTACCTTTTGAAACAAAGCTTTCTACTAAACTAAACGCAGCTTTGAATTTGTCATAACTCATATGTTCCTCTTAACTAGTCAGTTCGCTCAAGACAGCAGCCTTTTTGTGTGGTGTCTTGCTATTAGAACTTCAGATACAGTTATGTTTGCAGGTCCTTTCCACTTCAAATCTGGTTTAACTAAACTTATCTTAGACCCGTGGAGACATATATTTGGTTTAAACATAAATGAAGCAGCAGTAACCTCAGGCTCACATTCTCCTCCCCTTTACATGTGAGGGGAGGAGATTTAAAGCTTCCTGGCTTCTTGGCTTTTTTTTTTAAAAAAAAGAACTTGTGATTTGAGGAAAATATTTGCCAAGTTTGGATGCAGCAAGAAATAGGAAGTTTTAAATAACTTAAGAAGAGCTCTGCTGGATCTGGTCAAAGACAATAGCACTCAAGTTACTCATGATTCCCAACAACTGGTATTAAGAAGTATGCTGTCTCCTGTCTCTATGCATGAAGGTGAAGAGGATGCATGAGGCTGTGCCATGGTTAACAAGTCATCATCTGCTATTGGGTATACACCACACCATACATTTACCAGCTAACCTGGCACTTTGTCCATGATATTTGCCTTGTAAGAATATACTTTTGCCTAACCTTAGGGTTTTTTTAAACTTTCAGGCATATCCTTATGGATCACCAGCTTTATTAATTCAGCAACAGGTACCTGTCGGGTTTCAGCCTGCTTACAACTATCAGGTTTGTGTTGAAATACATTTCACTTCTACTACTGAAATGTGAAAGCCAAGCTTGATGAAGCCTGATCTCTTTAATTTTAGAGGAATACTTAGTTTAAATATGTCTGGCAGATTGTTCAATTTGATATGGATTTGTTGAATAAATGGCTATAAAATGATTTAGATTTGTTAATAAGATTTGCTATAAGAACAGTTACCAAAATGGAAGTAGTCTTGAGTTATGTGGTGGTAGTATATCTGAATGGATATTTGATCGAATTTACCTTTGTGGTCACTGAGCTGCTTTAAGCATAGGACCTTTTTTCAGTCTATTGTAAATAATCCTGACAATACTTACAATAAAAGGGCAGTATCCACATTAAAAAGAATAAAACATTGGCTACAGTGAGGCATGTCCTGCTACAAAGGCAAAAGTCCTTGCGCCAATGGGATTACTTAGTTGGATACAACCCTTGGTGCCCTATCCTTGTCCAGTTCTGTCACTGAGATGGCTTGCTTCTTCTCTCTCCTCCTCTAAGCCCTTTGAAGAGATCATGTATTCTGTTTATAGTACTGTATCCAGCTTGTGCAAATCCTGATTCAACAGATCTTCATAAACTTGTTGAAAATACATTCAGATTTCTGCTCCCACATAGCATTATTGTGTATCTAAGGACTGACATTTTTAAAAAAACACTTTGAGGTAAAAACTTTTTTTGAAATAAATTTGTTGAACTGTCTACTGCTAAAGGCTGCTGCATATTGAAACATCTTATTTGTTTTTTAAGGTTCCACCACAATGGCCACCTGGAGAACCCAGAAACTATATTGTGCCTCCGGTAAGAGGGTCATACCATGTATTTAAGCTTGATTGATTAAGCTAAATTGACAAAAAATAATTCAGATACTGAAGTACTGCCACAATAGAGTCTCATTAAAAATGGAAGGATTTTTCCACAGTAGAAGTGAGTGCTGAAAAAGGTTCCCAGTCTGTTTTTCGGCAGAGTGCTGAAGTTGTGCATCTGGCACATGTTAAGATTAAGAGTTAAATTTTAGATCCCATCCTTTACACTAGACATTTCAAGAAAGCCACAAAAATCTATCAGGCGTGCATGAAGTGCATATTTGAATTTTTTCCTCCCCCACTCCCTCCTCCCCCTCTTCCTATAAATTCCTGTATAAATTCCTGTATATGCGTAATACTCCTGCTCTATTATGCCTTGGTCAGACCACACCTGGAGTACTGTGTCCAGTTCCGGGCACCACAATTTAGGAAGGATAGTGACAAGATGGATGGAACGTGCAGAAGGAGACAACCAAGATAATCAAGTGTATGGAAACCAAGCCTTATGAGGAATGGTTGAGGGAGTTGGGTATGAAATTCCTGCATTGCAGGATCCCTTCCAACTCTGCTATTATCGTTCTATGAAAATACTTTTTACCTTTGATCACCAATCTATGCAGATACCCATTACTATACATTATTATTTCATATCTGTAATAATTTTTGTATATATACTTCAACATAACTTTGTTAATATATTCAGAACCATTTATCTGAGTTTTTATTGTTATGTTTTAATTTTATGTAATTCTTCCATGTCATACGCTTCAGTGTAAACAAAGATACAGCTCAATCCATGTTAAGAGTTTAAAAATAAAAATGAATAAATACTATGCTATCAAAACCTGTGGGATTGGTTTGTTGTTTATCTTCACTGGCATGGTGACTACTGGTTCTATAGTTGCTCCTATGCCCAGCCTAAGGTTATAGCTACATTAAGAATAAGGACAGACCTTTCTGATAGCTGCCACATTCCTATTTAATTATCCTATTCTAACTAACGAGAGAGCTTATTTTGAGGTGTGTTAAGGATGCATAAATTATCTCGCCACCCTCAATATTTACAACAAGCAGCATAGAGATGTAGAGGTCGAAGGTCCAGAGTGGCTCTGTGAGTGATAGCTGTAGATTGGGGGGGGGGGGATGATGGGTTCCAAGAGATGCTGTGGCTAGTAGGGTAGGAGTGCATAGCAGTGTGTTGTATTATAATTACTGGATGGCCCATCCAACCCTTTGAGCTTTTAACTGGGTGGGAGCAGAAGGTCACGATTTCATATAATAGCTTGCATATAATACTTCCATTTCTTCTGCACCTGGAATAGACAGTGTCAGTTTATATTAACTCATACTTTGTATTTTACATAGGCTTATACCATGAATTATGGTGGTGATTTGGAGGTAGGCGCAGAACAGGCAGAGTGTTCTATGGCTGAGACTGCACAGTCCTGTGGAAACAGTCCACAAAAGGTACCCATGATTTCTTTCAACATCCCCAAAGGGGAACATGAGAGATAAGGAAATGCAGAGTATGAAAAAGGGGTGTTGTGTGCATTGCTTCTCTCTGTTCCTGAAGTATTTTGTGGCCAAGGGTGAATAGAAATACTCGAGTTAAATGAGAAAAGGCTGCTGTCTTGCTTCATTCAGCATCTTGTCCTATGCTTGGCCTTTACATTTTAGCATTCTCCTATGTGTGAGCCCATTGCTGGAGAAAGTAGCATGGCAATGATAATTAACGCAATGTGGCCTAAATTCGTTAGCATGGGATTTGTATTTCTGCTGTTGGAGGTCCTTGGCCAGACCAGAATCTACTTGTTTCTTATTACACAAGATGATTAAATGCCTCAAATGGGCAGGAGGCTACAGTAGTATTCTGCCGAGTAGAATGTTCTATTCCAGAGAAACCTTTGACTCCAGCATGGTTTCTCCCCACCCCCCCTCTCTCTATATATACAGTGGTACCTCGGGTTAAGAACTTAATTTGTTCCGGAGGTCCGTTCTTAAGCTGAAACTGTTCTTAACCTGAAGCACCACTTTAGCTAATGGGGCCTCCTGCTGCCGCCGCGCCGGCAGAGCACGATTTCTGTTCTCATCCTGAAGCAAAGTTCTTAACCCGAGGTACAATTTCTGGGTTAGCAGAGTCTGTAACCTGAAGCGTATGTAACCCGAGGTACCACTGTATATATATTTGCCATTTTGAAGTTCTATGCTTGCATGTCTGAACAACCTTTTAAGTGGAGGATGAGTCCCATAGAGGTGGGGAATGTGTCCTTCATATCTGTCCCCTGGATGGTGTATGTACTTAGTTTGTGTAAATATTCACAGGTCAGCAGTATGCTACTATTTTGTTACCTCTGAATTTGGATTTGTATTGGAACTTTGTCCATAGAATTCCAGATCAATCATTATATTTATGTAACTTTTAATCATAGTAAAAACTGTGTTCACTCTGTCCAAACCCCCTGCACCCCTAAGCAAATTATACATTGGGGTTGTAAGTTATTTCTTGTTCTCTCTCTGTCTTTCCCTAGTTGCTAGTTCTAGAATGCAGCAATCATGCAAAAGTTGATTTTGATAACGTTATTGTTCGTAGGATCTACCTAATCTAACAAGACTATTTTCAAGACTGCTATTTGGGACATAATTTATTTAACGCTAGGAAATCCTCACTGTAGATGAAGGGTATTTTTTTAAAGGGAAGGAATGGTTTTAATAAAACTTTCATTTTGTGTTAGTGCTGTGGTGTCTTCCAAAGTGGCTACTAGAAAGGTTACGAAAACAATAAAGATCTGATTTTGGAAATACCAACCTTTGCAGCAAAGGTCTTGGTACAGACAACTTTATTTGTTTTTACCTATGGTGTACATACTGTATTGAAAATAAACTAATAAAATGTAATTACTTTAGAAATCTGTGGACCGAAGCATACAGACGGTAGTGTCATGTCTATGTAACCCAGACAACAGATTGAGGAACAATATTGTAACTCAGGAGGACTATCTTAAGGTATGAATATGATTGCAGACTACTAGAGGAGATCAAATCATTAGGGCAACAACTCTTAATCACTTGAATTTTATTAATTTGTTAATTTTTGTTTTTTAATTGTGCCGTGTTATTTTTTGATTTTGATTTTTATTAATTTGTATTGTTTGACTGTGGTTTGTCTTTTCTTTGTTTTTTCTTTCTTTTTTTCTTTTTTATTCTCTTTTGTAATTTTAAAATTTTCAATAAATATCATTTTTTTAAAAAAATTATTAATTTGTTGAAGCGTTGGGTCAACTAACTTGCATTCAGACTAGACCCATTTAAATTAATGTATATAAATTGGTCATGGTAATTAATTTTGATAGAGCTATTCTGGGTAAAAGTAAGTTGAAGCCAACCTTTAAAGCTTACTGCTGCTCCTGTTTGGGACGTAAAGAAATCAGGATGTAGTTCTGACTACATACTTGACAGTGACAACTACAAATAAGCACCTGCCTTCATAAGCCTTATTGCCGCATTTTAATTTGGCATTGAAATGTTCTTACTAAATACAACTGTTTAAGCTGGGCAATAAATGGTTTTCAACATCATAATATATCACCAGGTAAATATCTCTATATATATTTGCGGCGGCAGAAGGCCTTGCTGGGGCTCCCCACAGTGGCAGCTCTGTTCCACCATACCTGCCTGCGATTGTGGAGGGTGCACCGCACTTCCCTGCAGCAGCAGAGAGCCTTGCCATGCCTCACCACGGTGGCAGAGTGTCTCTCCGCAGTGGCAGAGGGTGCGCCACACTTCCCCCAGCAGCAGAGGGTCCTGACTGTACTCCCCATGGTGGTGGCAGAGAGGAGGGTCTTAAAATGGATTCTGTGCATGCATAAGCCCCTTAGGTTAACTAAACTTTCTTCTACTTTCTGGGAGTAAGCCTCATTGAATTAAGTAGGGCTTGCTTGTGAGTAGACACGCATTTGCTTGCACTGCTTACTGAAAAACGCCCTACGCATCATTCTCACATAGTACCCAACCTCCCATTTCAGCATAAGGCAGCCAGCTAAATCTTTCCCCCCACAGAAGCCCCCCTACAAGCCCTCTTCCCACCAGTTTCTCCATTTAGCAAGTAAGCAAGCTTTTATACAAGCTTTTATAGTACAGTACTTTTATAAATAAATATAAAAAGCTTCCTTTTTGATATGGAGGAAAGCTATTTAGGGGAAATCAACATAAACGCCACCTGATGATGATGATGATGATGATAATAATAATAATAATAATATAATAATAATAATAATAATAATAAATTTATTTATATCCCTCTCTCCCCAGCCAAAGCCGGGCTCAGAGCGGCTAACAACAGTAAAATAATACAGCATTCTAAAATCAATTATAAAATCAGTTCAAATCAATGTAATCAAATTAATTGATAGAAATTATTCCCCCTCTTTTTTTCACTGGTGGGGGTGTGAGGGAGGAAAGAACTTTATGAAAAGTATAATTGTGCTCTAATTTCTCTCTTTCTTTCTCCCTCCCCCTTACCACCTTTGTAGGAGAAAAGGGCACATCATTTTAGAAGAAGCAGAGCTGTACTCAAATCTGTTTGATTAATGACACTGACCTGAAGTGCTTCATCTATTGCGTTTAAAAGAGAGAGATTACATACACACATATATAAAAACGCACTTGACAATTATGTAGCCTTGTTGGCAAAAGTTGTTTCAAGTTGGAGTTTGTTTGAATTATATGTTATCTATTTCTAGACATGTTAGAATGTTGTGTGTTATCTATTTCTAGAAGTGTTTGCTTTACTTTGTCTAGATGTTTCACTGTTCTAAATTTCTAACCAGAAAACTTCTTGAGTTCAGTTTAAAAAAAGAGTTAAGTTGTGTTTATTCCTAAGCTTTAAAATATGTATGTTTCTGCATGTTGGCAGTTGCTTCTAACATTTTAACTTGTACCTTCAGTACTTTTTATTTACTTCCAGCTCACACTTAAAAAAACGAAGTTTTTTTTTGCTAGAGGTATTTTTAGAACTGTACTTGAATCAGGTGAAGACATCCAGTTGCAACTCAATTAGTGCCAGAAGTACATAAGTACAGTGTTGCCTTAAAAATTCAATCAGTGGGGACTTCATTCACTGTGTGTGCTGCTTAGTTTTATCAGTTTGAGAACTGATAATTAAAAGTGTACTCAAGAATGTAACTTAACGGTATTAATTATACTTGGTGAGTTGCACTTTTTTTTTATACTGAGCCATCTTGGCTAATAGCCATATCCTAAAATTGTGGAAAGAATGAGTACTATGCAGTGTGATCTTGTGCTTTTTAAAACTGGTCACCAACTTTAAATCAAAGAATTTGTAAAACTGTTTAATTATGTAGACTTTAGTTTTATATGAGAAGAATTCCACAAAATAAACTCTTTTGAAGTGGATTTGTTTTGTGATTGGCTATCAATTTCAGTGAATCTTGAAAACCAAGGGATAACTACAGCATGTTAGTAGTACTTTTACTTTGTCTTAACAGAGTTACTGTGTGGGTGAAACATGAGAATGATTAAAAATTATTTAGAATTCATACATTTCTCCTCTAACCATGGGTGTTGCCAGGATTTTTGTTGAGGGGGCAGGCCTTTTGTTATGGGGGCAGAACCTCAGCTATTTTTTTTTAATTGATTTGGGGGGAGGCAGCTGCCCCCCCCAGCCCTCCCTTGGCTACACCCATGCCTCTAACTGAAGTCATTGCTCCAGAAAGCAATTAGGATAGTGTTATCCCCACTTTGCCCCACATGTTTTGGTCCTGTTCTCTGCTTGTACATTTGATGTCAGTCAAACAAGACACAGAGGGCAACAATAGGCATAATTTGTTCCACTTGGGTGGGAAAAGAATTTATAATCTCAAAAAGCAGACCTCTGAACTTGCCTCCATGCATAGACCCACATGTAACATCTAATATACTAGGGGGCTAGGCTGCAGCATTCCAAGTCCGTCAAGATAAAAGGATCTACACGGGCTCCAACCTTGTAGTTAGGGCAAAAATAATATACAGACAAATAAGCAACTGTAGTCTGTATTTTCCGAGGTCAACTCATCTAACAATACACATTTCACTTGCCAGCTGTCCCAGTCTGAGCTGATAGATCAGAAGCAGCTATACATAAACCCTTGTGTGCCAGAAACAACTTAACTTGTGTACTTAAAGCTTTACCTTTTATACAGGACTTTAGGTTCAGATAACTTACACTTGCAAGAGAACATATATTCAAAGAATCCTGTAACCATGAGCTGGAAATATTTTAGAAGAGCAAGAGTATCCTGCCATAGATTTGGTTCCCACAGCAACTCTTGATAAAATTTAAAACTTTGATATACTGCTTTGATTTCAGTGAAGCTATTATGCATGCACCATTATAGCATTTTTAAAGGCTGCCTCCCAAAAGTTTAGAATGTTTTAAAAAAACAACTTGCTATGTCCCAAACTTGAACAGCTTCCATAAATCTGTCAAATATAGTGTGTTACAGCTTAAGGTGATAAATGCTTCCTGTGCAAAACATAGTTGCCAAGCAGTCCCATTATAGGATGGATTACTTCTACTAAATAACTTGTAATGTGGCTACTACTTCAGATAGCAGTTAAAAGTGTGGCCACAAGGATTGCTGGATTGCAGGGCACATAGACCCAACAAAACAAATGCTGTTGATTAGGAATACATCTGATCTGAGGGGAGATTTACATCCAGTGCCAGACAGAATTGCACTGCGACTCGAGAGTCAGGATTGCATCTTGGGGTGCTTTCAGATCCAGGGCTGCATCTGAAGGTTCGCAAGCAAAAATAATGGCCAGAAGTGCTCTTTTTTTTTTACCAGTTCTTTGCCAGTTGCATCACTTCCTCGAGAAGCAAAACCTAGTTGATGTAATTCGCGTCTTAATGACATCCAGATTACACTACTGTATTACACTTTAGGTCTAGGATATGTTACTGCCTGCTGTTTCTCATATGAACTCACTCGTGTTTTATGAGGGCAGCACAGAGCCTTCTGTGCGGCAGCAACAAATAACCGAGGAGCTTCCCAGGGAGGTTCACTTTGGGCCACCTCTCTTTTTTTAGGAACCCAGCCAAGGTGATCCTGTTTTAAAGAGCTTTTTGGGTGCCCAGAACAGACACTGTAACAATGCGGTTACATCATTTCATGGCTCCATTGATTGCTGTCGCATTCATTGCTTGTAATGTAATGTGTTCTATAAGTTGGCAGTGTGTGTGTGTATGTGTGCGCTCGTGAAATTTCAGGCCAGGAGCTAGATTTCATTCTGGGCAACCTTTCGGTAGCCACGTTGCCAGTGGTGGGTGGGGCCAGAGGCAAAAGTGGGTGGAGCAACAAATGCAAAAAAAATCCACTGCAGGGTTCTGCACACGCCCCTCTCTACCTTCCATTGTGATAAACAGGATGGGTTATTAGGGTTCAAAAGCACATTATAGCTGGCATAAACACTTGCTAAGCGAGGCCAGTGAGAGATGTGACTTGGGAAGAGTTCTGATACAAAGTTATGGAGGGCCACATTTTGGCCCCTGGACCCAAGGTTTGCCAGCCTTGTTTTGTGTAATCTAGTATTTTTGCCTGTACATTGCTTTTAACCATTGCTAGCTGTGCTGGAGAGGGACACGGGTGGTGCTATGGGTTAAACCACAGAACCTAGGGCTTGCCGATCAGAAGGTCGGCGGTTCGAATCCCCGCGACGGGGTGAGCTCCTGTTGCTCAGTCCCTGCTCCTGCCAACCTAGCAGTTCGAAAGCATGTCGAAGTACAAGTAGATAAATAGGAACCGCTCTGGCGGGAAGGTAAACGGCGTTTCAGTGCGCTGCTCTGGTTCACCAGAAGCGGCTTAGTCATGCTGGCCACATGACCCAGAAGCTGTACGCCGGCTCCCTCGGCCAATAAAGTGAGATGAGCGCCGCAACCCCAGAGTCGGTCACGACTGGACCTAATGGTCAGGGCTCCCTTTACCTTTACCTAGCTGTGCTGGAGTACGTGTGTGTGTGTGTATGCATGTGAAAAGGCAGAATGCAAATATTTTAATATATATGTGCTTATTTGCAGAGGGGTGTATTGCCAAACAATGATAAAATGTAACTGCTTTTCTAGTAGATTTATAGGTTTAGATATATCTAGCCTAAAAGGTAAAGGTACCCCTGACTGTTAGGTCCTGTCGCGGACAACTCTGGGGTTGCGTGCTCATTTCGCTCTATAGGCCGAGGGAGCCAGCGTTTGTCCGCAGCTTCCGGGTCATGTGGCCAGCATGACTAAGCCGCTTCTGGCGAACCAGAGCAGCACACGGAAACACTAGCCTAGGTCCTCACAAACATAATGGAATCCTGCTGGTTGGCATGATAGCACATTGTAATATAAGAAATGACAGAATAGATGCATATTTCCTTGACTTGGAACATGGGCTATAATACTGTACTTCCACTGCAACATAATCACTGGCCAGCAGATGGGGTGTTAGGCTTAAGTATTACTACAAATTTCAGAAGCGCTGTCATGACTTAGTCTAGCACCAAAGAGAGTTGCTTGCAGTGCATTAGAGACCCATTGGTTTATTTTGACATGAGCTTCTTTATGCCTCAGCTTACCCTGTCAAGGTAAGTTCTGGGAAGGTGGTAGGACTGTACACACATGGGCTTAAATATGGGGGATAACAAGGTGAAAATGAAAGATAACTAATACAGAAACCACATCCTGATTGCTGAGGCAAACACAAATGCAGTACATAACCACATGGAAAATAACTTGTAGTAAGAAAGAGCTACCTGTCTTATTTGAGCTCTGTCTGAGAAATGCAAGTAAATAGTCTGGCTGTTGGATGAATAAAAGATGCAAAGGAGATCAGGGATTGTGTACTTTTAATAGCTGTGTAGAAGAGAAAAGTTGCAGAGCAGTAGCACACACTGAAATTTATTTAAAGGAAAGGGACCGCTGATCATTAGGTCCAGTCGTGGCCGACTCTGGGGTTGCGGCACTCATCTCGCTTTATTAGCCGAGGGAGCCGGCGTACAGCTTCCGGGTCATGTGGCCAGCATGACTAAGCCGCTTCTGGCGAACCACTTTGAGGTGCTTTGAACTGCTAGGTTGGCAGGAGCTGGGACCGAGCAACGGGAGCTCACCCCGTCCCAGGGATTCGAACCGCCGACCTTCTGATCGGCAAGTCCTAGGCTCTGTGGTTTAGCCCACAGCGCCCGTTGCAATTAATAAATTTGTACATAGTCATAAAGAGACATGGGGAGACACTTTAAAAATTTTATATAAATATGCTATCCAGTACTTGGAAAATAAAAATTATAAAGTAGCATTCTGCACAAAGCACGAGAAAACTTTCACACACAAAACATCTCTGAAAAGTCTGAATTGCCAGAACTCCCTCTGTGTGAAATCTAGTGCACCCCCTTACTAACTGAGGCTGCTTCGTCCTCTCCTCCCTCTGCAGTCCTCTCCTCATGCACCTCTAAAATCTGTTCCAGAGGGTTAAGCACACAATGCTTAATTACGTCTTGTATATTAACACTGAGTATTATTTAAATTTACTGTGTTACCTTAGCTGGTTGGGTTTTTGTTTGTTGTCTTCTTGGATTTTATTATGCTTTGATTTTTAAAAATTGTTTTAATATTGTATTGAGTGTTTTTTTTAACAGGCATGAAGGTCCAGTTTGCAGATTTTCAAAATAAAGAAATTTACATTTTCCCAGTTGCTCTTGATGCTCTCTATGCATGCAAGAATCTTAAGAAGAGCTCTGCAGGATCTAACCAAAGGCCCATCTAGTTCAGGATCCTGTTGCCTGAAGTGGCTCACCAGATGCCTCTGGGAAGAGCACAAGTAAGGCTCAAAGGCAATAGCCCTCTCCCGTTGCTGTTCCCTAACAACAAATCAGCATTGAGAGGCATGCTGCCTCTGATCCTCCAGGTAGTGTATGTATGTGGCAAGTAACCTTTGCTAACCTGAATCCCCTTCTAAAGCCATTCAAGTTGCTGACTATTGCTACATACTATGCGGCCCCCAAGCCAAGGAGATAAGTAACTATACAACCTTTAGAAAACATCTGAAGACAGTCCAGAATAGGGAAGTTAAATGTTATATATATATATGTTGGCAGCTGCCCAGAGTGGCTGGGGCAACCCAGTCAGTTGGCAGGGTATTATTATTAATAGGACATCCCGTTTTTATGGAGGGCATGCATATTATTGCAAGTACCATGGTTTCGCTATGCCTTGCAATGTGTGAAGAAGTACTTCCTTTTCCCCCTGTCCAGAATCTTCCAACATTCAGCTTCATTGGATGACCTTGAGTTTTAGTATTATGCAAAAGGGAGAAGAACTTAACCTTGTCAACTTTTTCCACATCACACCCCTCTGCCATGGTGGCTCTCTTGACTTGCCCTTGTTCTACACTGAAAAACCCAAAATGTCGAAACCTTTTCCAATAACCATTTCAAGGTGTGGCAACCAAAACTACACAGTGTTCTTGTATCCCTTAGATAGAAATTAACAAGAGTTGTGATACTGGCAGTTTTATTTTTCAGTCCCTTTCCTAATTCCTATAATGAAATTTTCCTTTTTTCACATCTGCTGCACATGGAACTGACATTTTCATTGCATTAGTCACTGCAGTGTATCTTGGGTTTTGAGGATTTCAAATACAAAGAGAAGTTATTACAAACTAAGATTCTTGGGGTGTACTGACTCACTGCTAGGGTATTAAAAGAGTTAAGACGGTTATACTTTATTATTTGTGGTCTCTAATATAGACACGCCTGAGATCTGTGCCTGCTCAGAGCCACAACTAAACACTTCTCCTCAAGGGAAATGTCCCAATGCGAGACACATGAACATAGGAAGATGCCCTGTACCGACTTATACCATGAGTCCATCTAATTTTTAGCTCATTTCCCTTTTTTTGCCAGGCATTTGACTTTTAATTACATTATTGAGTGGGTGGGATGTTTTAATTCAGCTCTTAAAAAATTGTCTTTTAGATTTTTGTTGTATTTTATGCCAGTTTTAATGTATGTGTGTGTTTATATATTGTAAGTAGCTTTGAGTTACCTTGGTTAAAAAGTGACAAAATAGCAGCAACAACAACAACAACAACAACAAATAAACAGCTTAGTATTGTATTCCCTAGCTGACAGCTTTTAACGCTTTTAGAAAAGCATATTTCCCAGCATAATCCCAGTGATTATGCTGGTAATTGAATGTACTTGTTTTATTTGCAAATAATGTGCTCCACAGCTCTTCCAAGGGCCAAGAGACATGCAAAGGTCTTTGCAGTTTCCTGACTCACTGCCTGGAATGTAAAAATGGCAAAGGCAATTTGACATTAGCTATAAAGCTACATAAGGTATACATGTGGCCCAAAATACACTGACAACCAGGAAAGCTTTGACTACTGTTCTGTCTAACACTCAAACTGTAAACCTCAGATCTTTGAATGAAGGGGCAGTAAATAATAATAATAATAATAATAATAATAATAATAATAATAATATATTGACGGGGTTTACCTGGCATTAATTAGAGAGCTGCAAGAGGAAGTTTAGCACCACATGGAATAGGATGCTGGTCTGTAGAAGATCCATTTTCCCATCACATGGTTATCAGGAACAAGTATCTATGTGTATACACAGAATGTGAGCTTCATTTGTGTGTGTGTGTGCATGTTAGGAAATACTGAATTTGCAAAAAGATACGTGCCGTTTTATGTTCACTTACTTTTTTTGTACATACCAATAATTTGAAGAAGGAGCAGGATGAGCTGTCTTTGAATTAACAGACGTATATATTGACTGGAAGTGATTCTTGTTGAGCACAGGCCACTAGGAAAGCGAGTATTTACAAGCCTTATATATAAAAATAATTTAGAAATTGAGATCTGATACTTAGTAAAATTAGAGGGACAAACTATGACCCCTTTTGAAAGGAACAACACGAGCATTAGTGTTTTATGGAAAGAAAATTTTAAGCTTATTCTCTAGGCCAAGTCTGCAATAACAAAATCCTAATACTTGTAATAGTAAAAATAAAAAAATAAAAAGAGAGCAGATTATCTGTTCCTTAGCTCTGTTAAGCTATTCTTTTGAACTCAGGTAAAAGGATAAATGTTTATATGTTTCAGTGTATGCTTATGGATGATGCAAGGATTCTAATCCGCTTTATTGGTTTTGAATAAAAAAACAGGAGTTGCTCTTCTGGACTAAATGTAGATTCTGGACTAATGTAGGCTAAAATTCAGAGAGCTACAAGAAGCAGAGAACCACTGCCCAAATCCTTCCTTGAAATTCCCCTTCAAAATCCAAGTTCTCCATTAAAACTGAGCCTGTAACAAAACCTATAAATTAACATTCTTTCTGTTTACCCTTGCCTCCATTCCCCTCTTCCTCTATTGCTTCCCCTGTACAGTGTGTTTTTGAACTGTAAGCTCTCCGGAGTAGGGATCTGCCCTCTTGAACTTGGCGATATTCTGTGCACCCTGATGGCGCTACATTAAAAATTGGTAAATGTGTACACATAACTGATGCATCAAATTCCCCCACCCTCCACAATCTTGGTTTCTGTTGGGATTGGCTGCATTGGGAGACCAGATCTGCTGCCCCTGTGGATCCTGCCACCTGAGGCACTAGCCTCACCTTGCCTTATGGGTGGTCCGGCCCTGATTCTTACATTCCACACTTCCAGTGCAGTTCTCCATCACTTGCCTAGCCTCAAAAAATCTGCTTCTTTTAAAAATTCAATTTGTTCTGCTAGGGTGATGGAGCGCTTTAATCCATTTTAATTGTGCAAACCTAAGTTCCCCAGTGTGTGCTGGAATCTATCCTACAAATAAGACAGCGTGTGAGGGCTAAAAGTGCTGCAGATTTCAGACCCAGTTCCGCCTGTAACTATTACGACACACAATTTCTTTATGTAGCTGCTGATTACATTATTATCCGTGGACTAGATAGAATATTCTGTATTGTCTTTTGAATCACATAAAGCTTGACTAAATTATGCTTCATACCAGGAATTAAATAAAGTGCACAATAAATAGCTTAATTTTGGTATGAGATATTCACTTTATTTTTAGGAAACATCTCTTGAGTTTTAACTTTTAATAGCTTTGTTGCTCTAGATATTCCTCAAGTTTCACCTTTGATGTTAAAAACCATCCACAGGGTGATATTAGAAGCCACTGGTGTAGTGCCCATGAGATTGGGGCTGGAAGTGCTGCTGACCCGACTTCTTGTAATAATATACTGAAAAGGCTGCACTTTCGCTCTTCCCCAGATGCTTTAACGCCACTATCAAAAACCTGTGCAATTATATGGCCCCCCTGTTGGGAGTGCATGCTGCTTTCTCGCATAGGCAGAAAGCTAGACAAGTCAATGAGTGGGGAAAAATGATGAGGTAAAGGAAGAGTGTGATAGAGGAAAACAGTGCAAACACAAAAGGAAAATTCAAGGGGAGAAAGAAGAAAAGGGATGATAAGAATAAAAAGTCAGATGGTAAAATGACTGGAAAATGTATGCGCCCTGGCAGTGTTTTCATAATGAAGGACATGAGCCTGTTTTATGCTCTTCTTTCTAAATGTGTTCCCTTTAGGCAGCTTTTTTTATTTTTCCTTCTATTTTGTGCTAGATGGCAGCATAATTTAGATTATCTGTTATTTGCAAATGAGACCTGTTATCCCTCAATAAGCCTTCAATGCAGCTTCCTTTCTATTGTGAGGTGGCAGCGAGTAAAAACCTTTAGAAGAGCCTGTGCCCTATATAGTTAGTCTTTTATAGCACATGACAGCAAGGTTAGAAAGGCTAATTAGATGGTAATTATTATGTAAAGTGAGAGTATCGTACAGTCTATCCTATCCTAGTTACAGCCTTGCATTTAGGCTAGTTCCAAACACATTTTACTTACAAGCGCAGTGGGTCTGAGTGGAACTTGCTTCTGAGTAAACCTGTTTTGAATCAGAATTTGTAATTTTCTGTTTTGTATATGAGCCATGGTCCAGGACATGTTGGTACCTGCAGCAGAAAAATGCAAATAGTGCTCTTCAGGTGATAAAGATAAAGTGGTTTTGGTAGCATAGCATGTGCCATATGAGACAAACCCCCACTTCCAAATGGTAGGACCCACTTTCCTCCATATAGGCAGAACAGAAAGCAACATGTTTCCTACAAACTTGAGTATCTAAGCAGTTTGTAAGGGACTAGGACTTAGCTGATGGAAAGAAGCCTGAATTCAGTTGTTAACGTTTAGGCTAGTAAGATGACAAGCCTAAAGAGCATGGGTGTAGCCAAGGGCAGGCAGGGGGGCAGCTGCCCCTCCCAAATCACTAAAAATCAATACAAATCTGAGGCTCTGCCCCCCCCCAACAAAAGCCTGCCCCCTATAACAAAAATCCTGGCTACGTCCATGCTAAAGAGTAGGCTCACTAATACTCTTCCCTGCAGAAACAATGTGATTTTGTGCCTTAACTCTGCACCTTCACCTACCTCCTTATACCTGAAGCAAAAGACAAGTGGTAGTAATAAGCGAGCTGAAATTCATTGTAACTGCAGGAAGCAGTAGTAGGCTCCCTGTCCATGCTCCTGAACAGCATTTTTAGCCTGCAGTTCTATACATCAGAGATGGCTAAGCTATAGCCCTCCAAATGCTGCCTATCTTCACTGGCCATTGGCCATGCTGGCTGCAGCAGATGGGAGTTGGAGTCCAACAATACTTGAGAGTACCACAGGTTGAGAGTACCGCATTTGAGTAGGTACCTGTATAAATATGTGTTTTTACAACAACGACAAATAATAATAATAATACAGTGGACGCTCAGGTTGCAAACATGATCCGTGCGGGAGGCATTTTTGCAACCCGCAGCGTTCACAACCCACAGTGCCGCGTCTGCACAAGCGGAGGTCGCGATTCGGCACTTCTGTGCATGCACAAAGTGTGATTTAGCGCTTCTGCACATGTGCAAGCGCCGAAACCCGGAAGTAACCCGTTCTGGTACTTCCGGGTTTCGGTGCGTCTGTAACCCGAAAACGCACAACCTGAAGCGTCTGTAACCCGAGGTATGACTGTAATAATAATAATAATAATAATAATAATACTGCCCCCTCGGCTTGGTGTTGTATATGGAAGAATTGCCTACACTACCCTAAATCTGGAGCTAGCCACAGGTTTCCTGACCCTAGACCAGGGGGCTAAAGGAGTTGCAATTCCAAAGGAACCAGAATTCCAGTTGCTGGAAATTCCAGGATCAGGGAATGCTCTTATGCTCAGATCCTGCTTGTGAGTTTCCCACAGGCATCCAGCTGGCCATTGTGAGGACAAGAAACTGGACTAGATGGGCCATGGGGAAGAGAAAAGAAGCAGGAAGAGAAGGGGGCTGGTGGTTAGGAGACAGGGTGTGGAGGGGTGTATTGGATTTATTTATTTATTACATTGATATCCCACCTTTGCCCACGGAGCTCAAGGTGGCGTGCATGGCTCTCCGTCTCGCCCATTTTATCCTTACAACAACCCAGTGAGGTGGGTTAGGCTGAGAGATAGCGACGGTCCCAAGGTCACCCAGCGCATGACTGAACCTGTGTCTCCCCATGGCTGAATCCAGCGCTCTAACCACTGCACCACCCCGACTCACTATGTTGCGTCTGTCATGGTTTGAAGTGGCAGACTCAAGAGCGTCTGAGTGCTCAGGGCAGGCTCTTCAGGGGCCTAGGCAGTTGTCGATTTGGGGAGGGCCCGCTGAACAGTTTACAGGGCAAAGGTGCCACACCCAAGCAGTCCCTGCCCACCTTGACCCAGGGGTCATGACATGAACAACATTCACTCTAAAGGGGCTCTGAAGGGCGTGTCAGGCAACACAGGCCTACCTAAGTGGGCCACGTGAAATATAAAATACAAGGTGTACATGGGAATAGCCAGGATTTTTGTTAGGGGGGGCAGAACCTCAGTTTGCTATGTATTTTTATTGATTGGGGGGAGGCGCAACTCCCCCCCACCACACCCAAGCTTCAGTAACATGTCTCCAGCTCGTATTTTATCTTCCACCAAACTCAGGGGCAGCAGGAAACCGGCCACCCATGTGCAGCAGCAAAAGGGCCACAAATATAAAGGATAAGCGCAAAGAGCTGCGCGTGTTTCCTTGGAGGCGAGCTCATCCCCCACGAGCAGGATTAGGATTGGCCGCGCGCTTCTCGTCTGCAGCAACTCTGGGAGGAATCTCAGATTTTGGGCGGGGAGAAATGGCCGGGCGGGGAGCCCTGCTCTGGGAGCCTGACTTCTTGCCGGCGTGCGAGGAAGGCGTCGCCGTCGTCGTCCCCCGGCTTCGCCTCCGCTCCATTTTCCTCTCGCGGGGTGGGGTGGTGGGGAAGAAGAGGAAGTGCCTCGGATCTCCCCGGGGCCGAGCGAGAGGGGCTGCGCCCGCCGCTCCCCGCCCGACACGAGGCGCCTCCCAGTCCCGCTTCGGCGGCACCTCCTCCGGCGGCTGCTGCTGAAGCGCCGCCAAGCCAGCCCCTCCGAGCGCCCGCCCCGTCCAGAGAGGAGCAAACTTTCTTCGCGGCTGTGGTGATGAAGCGCGCGGGGAGCGGCTGCTCGGCGGGCTCCCGCCTCGGGCTGTGAGGGAGAGAGAAAAACGAAGCGAGGCGCGGCGTGTGAAAGGAGTCGATCCGCTTCGGCCTCCAGGAGGGAGAAGGGGAGCGAGCCCCAGGTGAGGGGGGGGGAGACCCTCCGGAGCAACCTCTCAGGTAGGCTGTCGTGAGGGGAAGGGGGCAGCCAAGGCAGGCGGTTTGGGCGCACCGTCGCCTTCGTTGATCCGGATTCCTTCTCTTGGCAGGCGTTTACAGCGCCTCGCCAAACTTCAGACCGTTAGGCGGGAGAGGAAAGTGTGCGTGTCTGATAGGTAGGTAGCGGGTAAGTGATATTATGATTATTATGCTCAGCTCCCACCCAGCCACCCACCCGACCCTGCTGGACAGGTGTGAGCACTTTTGGAACAGCGCCGTAGGCGACCTGCCTGTTCTGGAGAATAATAATAATAATAACAGTAGTAGTAATAATAGTGGTAACGTTGGCGCAGAAAACTCCGCCTTCCACTGACTGAACGCTTCTGGCAACGGGCCGACCGTTTCGGAGGGGAGCCAAGGATTCCACCCCTCTTGGTTTTTTTTGGAATCCGGAGTCGAACCAGATGAGCGCCTGAGAGAAACGAGGTGGTCCGGTTGCCTGCCTGCCTGCCTGCTTTGCATGTTTGCTGTCTTTGGGAAGAAGCCTCTCTCACTCAGGCAGGACGAACCCCATTTGCTTTAGGAGGACAGATAACGGTCTCTGCTTCTTTCTTGTCTCTATTGAAAGATCTGGGGTAGGTAAAAATAAAAAGTGGGAGGAGGGTGCTTGTGTTTGGGCTGTGTTCTTGCATTTCTGTCTCTTTTGGAAGTTTCTGGGAAATGGTCCTCTTCTATCTGTACTACCTACCTTAATTTATAGGAGTCTGCAACTATAAGAAGGGGGCATTGAAGCACGGGTGTTTGTATTCTGTATTTAAGCTGCTGGGTGTTGTAAATTCGGAGGTGTGCCCACACCCGATGCGGGAATACATTGCTAGGTGAAGATTAGAAAGCTTGCGAAAAACAAATGGAGAGAGAGGGAATGTCATCAATAAGTGTAAAATGTACCACATTTACTGGTGTACAGCAACAATGTGGGCTTAATTCCCTCCTCCCTCCCTCACACATGCATATGTGCACGCACATACACTAACCTTAATCTTTTGCCACAGGCAGCTTGCGCTAAAGATGTTATATTTCCCCAGTGGGTGGTATAAGCTGAAAGGACAGGCAGAAATGTTGGGTGGAAACATTGTCTTTCACTGTCATTTGGTATCATCCCTGTGAAAGTCTCTCATGAATCATAACGAGACAGTGAAGTACATGTTCTGCTTTGATGCCTTTTCTGGCGAGGGTCTCATCAAAAGTGCTGGACGTCAGTTGAAAGGTCTGGAAATGACTCTATTCACAAACTCCACAACAAGGATAAATAAATAGGAACTTTCAGGGCCAAAGCCTGAGGCTGTTAGCTCAAGTTTCATGAAACCAGTAGGAATCTTGTAGCCTGTCTAGAGCAGACATGGAGCCACCTGTGGCCCTCCAGGTGTAACTGAGTTACAACTTGCATCATCCCTCACTGTTGGCCATGATGGCTGGGAGATGATGGAAGCTGGTCCAACAGCATCTAGAGAGCCACAGGTTCTCCATCCCCCTTCAAAAAACTACTGTTGGCTTTTGCTTAGCCTCCGCCAAGCAAATGAGCATTCACAGATTTACTTTTCAAAAAAATCTAAAACCTCCAAAAAGTTAAAACTGGTCCATTTTGTTTCCCTGTTTTTAGCCTGACGTAGTCCAGACTAGGCAGTAACAGCACATCATTTGTTGATGTTTGAGTCTGGCATTGCTTTATTTGAGATAAATTTAGGTAAAGTTTTGGGCGTGTTTGTGTGTGAGAGAGACTTAAAAGCCAGCTCTATATTTCTTTAGAGGGGTGCGCAGCAAAAACTGGATTGGATCAAGACTTAAATCTTTAAGTAGACCCATTGATAACTAACTTATCACTGACGTTAAGTTTTACAGATTTCAAAGGGTCTACTTTGAGCATGATTACATCTGGATCCAACACCATCTTTTCAGTGTCAGAAATGAAACCACCCCATAGTTAAAGGATGTTGTGGTTGTACCACACAGACTGCTAATTTAGGTCATGATAGACCAGGTAAGGCCCTGAGACATGACAGCACTTTGTCGTCTCGCAGTTTCATGCTTAACTGGCTTTTTTTTGTGGGGGGACTTTTTTTTAGTGTTTTCAGAACACACTTGACACGATACTGTAAACGTACTCATTTTGCCTGATAGGAGAAGCTTCTCTATAACCAACAACTTTTTGTAATTGTCATATAGGATAAATAGTGACCGCTTGTCTTTGGCATGAGCTACTGATTCCAGTAGATAGGTTTTGTATGTGTACTGTATTATGAACAATGATTTGAATTAAGGAAGAGCTGAAAAAAATTCCAACTGCTTCAGATGGCTTCTTTGGCCACGACCATCTTTAATTTGAATGGGTGCAGGTGTAAAATTTATTAGAATAATAGAATTGTAGAGTTGGAAGGGACCCCAAGGGAGATGTTCTTCCTTTTCTACCATCTTGCCTGACTCCACTCTTGCTATCCCAGTGGACCTAGCATTGAATTCCATAAAAGAGTTTAATAGCACTCTGGTTCTGGTAGCAAGGAATTGTTATTGAAGTGAGTGAAGATGAGGAGAGCTTATTGCAGATAATTCTACAAGCAAAGGAAATGCTTTTCCATAGGTTGGGATATCATTCCCTGTGAAATGATGAAATTCCAGCAAAGGTTAAGTCAAGATGGGGGCACTGAGAAGCAGAAGAGGGGACCCCCCCCCCCAATTTGCAGAATACAACAAACTCTAAAACAGCATCAGCAACAGTGGCCCTATGAGGACCAATAGCCACAGAAAGTTGGCAGTCAGCTAGAAAGAAAAAAAACTGAGGGGACATAGCTTGCTGGCTGAAACTCTGAACATGAGCATTCCTGTTAGGAGGACAGCAAACACTGAAACATCTTGCTGCAAGCTTCACTTACTCTTTATGCCACAAACGCTTTTCAATAGAATCATTAAATATAAGGGATCATAATAGACTTCTCCACTCAAATGATGTTCTGTCTGTCTTGAAATAATGTTTGCATTGCATCTGCACATTTTTTGTTTCCCAGATAGAATGCTGTTAGGCATTAATGGGGCAACAATAATATTAGATCTTCTGGTGACATAGCAAATATGTGAATAATAATGCTTTTGGCTGCATGTGAATGTTTGTCTTGAAAATGAAAATTATAGTATTATTTCCTCCCACCACAGCAGTTCATTGCATCCCTTTCTGAACCAGGAGGTGTCCTGGCTCTTGAGGCTCTCTGTACATCACAGTCTTTTGAAAAATGGAATCTGAATAGGACTCCCCTTTGAGCTCATGTGTGATGCTTTTAGATTGGCCAGAGGGTTGCCGTTAAGTGATGTAAGGCAACATTGATTCCTTCATAGGAGTCAGCATGGTAACTCTGCAGCACTTTCTAATCCCATCTGGGGCAACAAATTGAACTAGATCTTTCTGCAAGGCAGTGCTGAACAATCAAGCCAGCTGAGTGAACTGGGTGATAGATTAAAAAAAAAGAACAGCTCAAGAATTTGCTTCAGCTAAGATTTAATTATGCTGCAAGTTAAAGTATTTAGTTGTAAAATCTAATGGCCATTTTATTTAATTTAAACAAAAAGTTACTCCACTTGCCTTCCTTTGACTAATCACTGTTTTGTATATTATATTAATACAGGCTGCAATACTGCTTATGTTTTAGGCTGTTTCAATTCTGTTGGAATCAAAACAGTACAATAAGAGTATTACTGTGCAGAGGATTGCAGGCCCAATTAGAATGTTTACCAATCAATATTTATTATGTAGTAGAGAGAAATTCTCTGTTTCAGTTTCTGCAAAGACCATTAAAATGTTGTAGTTGAAGTAGGGTTGACACTTCTAATCCTTGTAAAATGTGCAGGATCTGGGGCAGCCTTGTTATATTTGCCTTTTTCTACACAGTAGTTTCCAATCTATTAGCGTCAGCTTTTTACATTGGGATATAAGCTCTAAGATGTATTACAGCTACACAATCCTATTGGTCACAGATGTGACTACATTTGCTAGCATCTCCAAATGTTATTTTAATTTCTGTTGCTACTTTGAGGCATCTGACAAATTCAGCTTTAAAATACCGGGGGGGGGGGGGGAATGTTGTTTTGAACTACTTGAGCTGTGGTGTTCTCTGCCTATCATGACATAGGTGGGGAAACAATGTAGCTTTGCATATATGTGTATATGTGCCTATGTGCATAAGCCAGGGATGGCTAAAGTCTAGCTATGGTTGGACTGCAACTCTCATCATCACCCACCAGCATGGCAATGGTCAGGGATGATGGGAGTTGTGGTTCAGCAACATTTGGAGGGCCATATTTAGTCATAACTAATGAATGGCAAATGTTAAGGAAAATTCTGTATAGTGGTTTCAAGTGTGAAAGCTTTATTACCTTTTTTTTTGCTCTGTAACTCCTATTTTCCATATCACTTTAGAAATGCAAGTTAATCTGTTGGATGAATAATTGATGCAGCATAACTATACTGCAACATCGCTGCTGCAAGTGTCTATGTAATGCAGTTCCTGGAACTATCATGGGAGGGTTGTTGGGTTAACCATTAAACACAGTGACATAACATCTTGCAATTGCTCTTCATGTTTTTTGTGTGGAGGAGTGCAGAGTTTCAGTGCTACTGTTCTATGTCTCTTTCCGTTGAGGCTTGTGGCATACCTTGTGCTACTTAATCCTAACAAAATGTGGCCTTTGGCA